TAGTTTTACTTTTAATATAACTTTATTAATATAAAATATTAAACTATTTTTAAATTCTAAAATTATAAAGAATACTTTTCTATATATTTTATATATATAAAGTTTTTATATAGCTTTACTATATAACTAGTTATTAAATAAAAAAAAATCAGATTTTTAGCTTTTTTACTAGTAAAAAGTGGTTTATCGGCTGAAACGGTTCATCAGCTGATCAGCCTCGGTATACATGAATGCTTGTTAAGATTAGAGCCAAATTCAGGAAGACACATTGCTGCTCCAGCCCGCTCTACGTTTCCCATCGAGATAATCATCCCTCTCGTCTTCAGCACATCTTTCAGGAAGGTACCTGCCTTATTGATCACCAGAGTAAAGAATCATTTCATTCGGGATGGGGCTTCCGCCTGTATTCAGAGCAATGCTTCCTTCTACTTCCATCGCCCACCACGAAGCTTGGTTGCTGCTTGCTTTCGATACAACTTCTTACTACACGAGTGTCAACCCAAACACCAAACACCGACCATCGCTACCATTCGCATCAACTTGTTTCCAGTACTATCAACATCGCCATCGCTACACGTTAACCGACTGGTTTGCCAGCAATTTTCCAACGCTTCACTCACCATGATGCACAGTCCATTCCAACGTCCATCTTTCAAGCAGCGATTTTACGATCGACTCCAAACCAAGCCTAAACTCAATCTTACGGACGACGGTCTCCTAGATGTCTATTTCATAGTCACGCTCCCCAACTTCATGGCGATATTTCAACTAGAATTCGATATTGCGCATAAGGCACTCATATCAGTAGTCAGGCAATCGCGGTTTCATGGCCCAGTGGATGGCACCCAGATTGCGGGGCCGATCACTGTCTCGAACAGGCTACTGATAGCCTGGGCGCGCCTGATGGAACCCATATACAACCAGTATAGGCTGGAGTACGATCAGTGAGTGAACGGCGGTGATCTTCAGGCAGTCCAGAGCTAAAACGTGCTTCAGTCACAGGCTACATCACAGTGTCGCTGCTGACCTCGAATATCTGAATGCTAGACGGCTCAGGCACGAAGTAAGTGTGATGAGGGGAATCCCGGCAGTAGCAATAGACATTGGCCGTAGCGTTAAAACGAAGATGGCACATTTGGCGGGCGGTCCTAGTGGGAGTGATTCGCAGGAGCAACTGGATACGCCGGGCGACACAGGTACAGGAGAAATTGGCACGGTAACCACGGATTGAGGTCACTATTTCTCGAACGAAGCTTCCGCAGTCATTCTCTCTGCATGAGTCTGAAGATATTCGCATCTATCTCATCACTCAACCCTTGTTCTTGAACTCTAGACCACTTTCTTTTCTCACAACCCCATACACACTTGGGATGTCCCCCTTATCCCCCAACTCCTCTTTGACCCTTTCCAGTCTCTCCTGCGCCAGCCCTAGCATCTTAACACTACTCCCACTCCTGTCCGCAAGGTCCCTCGCATGTCTCGCATCCTTCCGTGCCAGGTCGATATGGAATAGGGGCTCCTCACGCTGATAGTAGTCACCCTGAAGCATCCGTTGGGAGTAGGCGGTATAAGGGCCGGGAAACATTGTGGAAATAAAGGTGTGCAGATTATCAACGCCGAGACCGGATTTCTCTGCCAGAACGTGGCCTTCGGAGAGTTGCGAGACCATGTTTAGAATGAATGTGTTGCCGATTACTTTGAGGAGGGTGGCGTTGCCGGCTGGCTGACCGGAGAAGTCGACGTCGGCGCGGCCCATTACGCCCTTTGTGTACGGGGTGACTTTTGAGCAGGCGGATGAGGTGCCCGCGATGACGCAGACGAGTTGGCCGTTGTCAGCCATGGCTGGGGCACCAAAGACTGTGTGGTACGTTAGTAAGATTCTAACAGCTTCAGTCGTTTTTTATAATTCAGATTTGAAGAGAAGCCCCCCTGGAGCCATTTAGGACTCACCAGGCATCCCGACAAACTCAGCACCCTTCTCTGTAATCCTCTTTTCAAGCGCGTTGGTGGTGTCTGGGTGCACAGTCGAACAATCAACGACCAGCTTGCCCTTCACGTCTTCTTCCAGGATCTTATCCACGGCAGAGTTCACGGCAGCATCGTCGCCCAGACACATGAAAATAATGTCTGACTCTTTAGCCGCATCGTTGATAGTGTCTACGACTCTGGTCTTGGAGCCGAGTTTGGTGGCGAGATCTTCCGCTCGCTGCTTCGTCCGATTAAATACAATAAGTGGTTTGTCGAGGTTTCCCTTCTCTACCAGATTCTTACACATTCCCTACAAATGTCAGCGCTCTATAGTGAAGGATAGTCGGCTATACTTGCCCTGCCCATATTGCCGAGGCCTATCCAAGCGAGTTGTGGGGCCATGTTGAAGTGCTTGGTTTGTTTCCAACGTGGTTGTGTTACTTTTGCGGACAACGATGAACTAGTAAATCCTAGAGCTATATAATCTTATCTTAAAAACGTGCCCCTCATCTACTGCGAACCTCCGCCATCATGCGCTTGGTCATTCGTCGGCGAACGGGGTTAAGGCAAGGCCGAAGTCGGCTAGCTACAATGACGTTTAGCTCCCATTAACAAACTTCGGTCGCGGGACCAAATGTCTGGGGTAATTCTACACCGCTCATAGCCCTATCTTTACTTCCATAATACTTTCGATGTTTTTAGCAATTTGGCGGTAGCATGAAGCATGTGCGTCTGGAGCAAAGCCCCCGCGAAGGGTTTGGGGAGGGCTACAAAGAAAGTGAGTACGCTCAAGGTGGGCTTGACCCATGCAGTTATCTACCACCGAAGTCGCACAGCAGGACTGACATTGGCAGCTGCCCAGGTTCGATAGCACGAGACGAGTCTTTGCAAACACGAGCACTGCTCAATTGTCAACGACGGCCCGCCTCGACGCACTGTTCGCCCGAAAAAGCTTGAGCTCAGCCAAAGAGCGCCAACGAGCCGAACGCGAACAATTGACTCGCCTGCTCAAAGAGTCGCCGGGCAAACGCGATGCTAGAAACTTTCTCAAGCAGTTCGACTCCCCGAAAAAGGCGAAGACTGGTGCTACACCAAAGGTCCAGCCAGCTACGAGCGACGTGGTACATAATGACTACGGTTCGATACGGATTGGTGTGAATCTGGGCAACTTGTATCAGCCAACGATATTCACGCGGGACCCATTACCAGAGGAGAAATACAAAGAAGAAGAGCAGGATGAGCCGTTGCATCTTGCGTTGGTCAAGCTACGGCAGCCACAGACACTGGACGATCGAACTCTCGGAAACATCGCTATGACGTTGAGCCAGATGGCGCAATTGGGCTTGAGCACAGCTGTCGTGTTGGACTGTGACGAGGACACCGGCTCATACACCTCAGAGGTCGATTCACGTTACGAACATACAGTTAAAGAACAAGCAGCGCGCTTGGCAGCGGCACTAGAAGACTACCACGAGCCCGGGGCCTTGCTGATCGAGCACGCGCTGAGCTACTTGGATCTGGGCCACGACAGTCCGAGTACAGTGGAGGTGCAAAGCAGCTATCTTCTCTATCCCCCAATCGACGATGGCATCATTCCCATCATACCGCCTTTTGCATACAACACGGACCTAAAGAAGGTCAAGGTGCAGGCAGATGATGTGCTACTAGCATTGATTCGAGAGTTCGCAGGCATCACGGGGCAGGCCAATGGCACGCGCAAGCTTGATGGTTTCGTACAAGATAAGAACAGCACCGATTTTGAAAGACCGATTTTGGATCGCATCATCATCCTTGATCCTCTAGGGGGTATTCCTTCTGAGAATAGGGCAGATGGTGCGCATGTCTTTGTCAACTTGGAGGCAGAATATCGCGATATCAAGAATGAGCTACAACAACTTTCGTCGGCGGGCCCAGGAGGCGCTAGCGCGAGGAGCTCTTCATATGTCGGCAGCGGTAACCCGTTCTCGAGGTTTGTAGAAGAGGAGATCGTATCGCTGCCGGGATCCAAACCTCAACTCGCGGAGTCTGCGCCCGCGCGCCACCTGAAGAATCTTGATGTAGTCCAGCGAGCTCTCAGACTGCTTCCACCATCATCATCAGCGCTCATACTTACGCCTTCTGAAGCCGGGACACGTGCAATCCCTGAAGATACGCGGTCGACACCATCTAAAAACCCTCTACTCCACAATCTGCTGACCGATAAGCCCATGGTCTCGTCCTCACTTCCAACAGCTCCTGCTAGCCGATTCTTAGGTTCTGCAGCACCCAACCCTTCCACCTTCCTCAAGAAGGGCATACCTCTCACCATGATACCCGATCCGCGTAATTCAGGACCGTGGCAGCCACCTTCAACGTCGCGTCCTAGCATCGACCTCGCAAACGATCCGCGGATCAACCTCCCTAAACTTGTTCATCTTATTAACGACTCATTCCGTCGGAAACTCGACCCAAACGCCTACCTCGAGCGCATTCACGGCCGTGTCGCAGGCATCATAATAGCAGGCGACTACGAAGGTGGCGCAATATGTACATGGGAGAAACCCTCCATCCTCCTCAACACCACGCCTACTGGCATAACAACACCAGACTCGCCCTACTGGGTACCCTACCTCGATAAATTCGCCGTCCTCACATCATCGCAAGGCTCAGGCGGCGTCTCAGATATTGTTTGGGCCGCACTGACGCGGACCTGCTTCCCCGAGGGCGTGGTCTGGAGGAGCAGGACGAGCAATCCGGTGAATAAATGGTATCAGGAGAGATCGAAAGGGATGTGGAATCTTCCTGGGGGACAGTGGACGATGTTTTGGACTACGGAGGGTGTTACGCACGGATGGGATGCGCCCATTGAGGGTTTCGAGGGAAACAAGGAGATTTCGAGATGGGATGCATATGTGGATGTTTGTAGTGCGATTGAGCCGAGTTGGGCGGATGTAAATAAAAAGGCTCATTAAGTCAATTTGAACGAGAGTCGATGAAACATGCTTTAGCTGAGGTCTACTGTGACGCCAGCAAGTCTAATTGAATTTATAAAGCGCGAATAGTATATAGTAACGTCCTGTTGACATACTCTTCTGTATATGGAGCAAGTACAATTCCTCGATCGGCATGCCTCAGAGCTCGCGTCTCAATAAATGAGAAGTATAGTAACACTATGCCATACTGGGATGGCGCTATCTAGTTCTGCATCTGGCCTCGAAAGCGTATCTTCCCGACTCTATTAGATGTCTATGTATGAATTCAGACGCACAACGATGTATATCCAGAAAGATTAGTAACAAGGGCGATCGGACGATGTGATGATACCCCGCACCATCCCTCAATGTAGCAGCCGCTTTTGTATCACGGACATTGAAACGACCTTATCGGACCTTAAAGCTCTGCATGCAAGACGGCAACTTGCGAGTACAGCTTTCGACTCAGCCTTAGCGCCCGAGATAGTGTTACACACATACCAAGGCTAGTGGTGTCTACTAAGTCATGATGTAATCGAAACCTCCGAAATGGGACATGCGCCAAGTTCGCGACGGGCGTGGGGAACCGCCAAATCACGCCAGGAACGGGTGTGATCAGGATGCGGATACGTTGCGGGCTTGGGGATCTCGGGACGGAGGTGGCCGGTAGTCGCGACGAAGTTCCGAGTTGTTTGTTGATGTTGCGAAAGGTTTATTGGTATTGCAGGACGCTGGATCTCAGCTCAGAGCCCGCAATCCTCAACCTCCAAGTTTCAACTCCCTGTCTGATTGAACCAACCGAAAGCCTTCAGCATGTCTGATAACATCATCGTGAAGAGCGTGGCAGGAACGTGTATCACGTTCTCCTTCATCCTAGCTGGTAGGTTATTTGCATTGCGCCGTTCGACCCCGTAACTCATCGATCTAGGAAATGCAATCACACAGTCCTTGATGACTGTCCCAGCACTCCTCGTCGACTTCCCGCCACCAGGATCGCCCGAGCACAGCGAACGTGCAAAGCTCCTGGGTCGCCAATGGCCCCTTTGTTGGACGGTGGGCAACCAATTCTTCCGCCCAATCTCCACTCTCGGATTCTTGGGCTATGCGTATGCAGGATATGCCGTGTACCGCGAGGGCGTTCTAGCACGAAGTGACTGGAAGCTCTTCGGAGTTGCGGCGGTTATGCATTTGACGACCATTCTGCATTCGGCGCTCAACATGCAGCCGCTGAATGACAAATTGGAGGGGCTAGCGTCGCGGGCGAGTGAGAAGGAGTTGGGCGAAGCGGAGGGTATTGCGAGAAAGTGGGCGAGCTGGAATAGGTTGAGGCTGATTACTCCAGTTGTTGCGGGAAGTCTGGCGCTTTGGAACTTGCTTTCTTTGTAGAAGGCCTCACATGGGCGACGAGGGGAAGGTAATGAGATTATTCAAGATGAGCTTTACTCTGGTCAGTCAAAATTGTCTCCGTTACAATTTTTTGGAAAAAGGGTTGAGTTTAGCGTATTTCAGAACAAGAAAATACTTAGAATGCTCATGACAATCTGTAGGCAGTCCAACTACCAAGATCCTGAGAAAAAAGAGATTACATGATCAAACGTCTACCTCGCAATAGCCTGCGACTTCCAAGCACTCCTCTCACGCAACCAAGTCTCGAAATCGCACAGCTTCGGCTCTTCCTTCCTCAGGTTGTCGATTTCAGCACCATAACCTTCCGTCGCAAACCAAGTAATCATAAGATTCAATTCGGTGACCGCCCACATTAGCGCAGACCCAAAAACTCCATACGTGGCAGGCACTGGAATTCCAATCACCTTCTCAAAGCACTCATTCATTTCGTCCAATGTAAGCTCACTGCCTGCCAGTCCCTCGGCGCGAGCATTCCATTTCTCATGCTCTCTGAATGCTCTCGCGGCAAAGATACCAATATCTTCAACTGAGACCCATTGGATTGGCTTGCCCCGCAGCCCATCTCGGAGTGCAGCGAGGAAGACCTTTGTCGGGAAGCCGGGCGCCAAGTTATCCATGAAAGCAACAGGCCTCAAAATGGTCCAGCCCATTTTCTCCCCGTGCTTCCCCGCCTTCTCGAGAAGGTGCTGTTCGATTTCATATTTGCTCTGGAAATGAGGGATCGGCGTCGTGTTCTCGAAACTACGTTTGTTGCCGCCGCGCTCGACGGAGGAGTAGACGAAATGCGTGACGCCTTCTTTGAGGGATTCGTCAATTAGGGTATTGCCTTGTCTGACTTCGCCTTCGTGAGTGACGTTCTTGCCAGTAGATACTTGGACGGAGTAGACGCCCCATATTCGTGGCTCTATGCCAGCTTCTTTGAGCGCGACCTTTGCCGCCGAGAACAGCGCTGGGACATCGTCTAGGTTGCCTTGAACGAGCTTGACGGCAGGGTGATTTTCGACGATGCGCTTCGCGGAGGCTGAACTTGCGTCGCGAGTGACAGCTAGGAGTGTATAATTGGAACTGGATGGATGTGTAGCAAGATTCTTGAGAACTGCGCCGCCCTGCTTGCCCGTGACTCCAGTGACCAGGATGGCTTTCGTAGCAGACATTGTGAGGTGCTCGTATAGCTAAGAGATACTTGGAAACAAAAAGAGTTTTGCTTTCTTAATGTTGTATAAGCTTGGTTAAAGCTACTCGCAGTTTTGGAGAAAGAAATGAACGAGACAGTTAGAAGGCCAAGAACTGATGGAAGATATGAAGATATGCATCAAACATACGCCCGCCTGCGAGCGTGAAGTTACGGCCCCGCAATGCTCAGCACCTCGTGGCTTTTCAGCACTGTTGTTGAGTTTCCGCAAACCCGTTTGCTAATCAACAAAGCCATGTGCGTTGAGCCATTGCCGGTGGTGTACACACCGGCCTTTCAATAGCCTAAATCTGAGCGGACAATGCTGAATGCAGGTCGGGGAAAAGTGATCGCCACTAACAGGGGTGGTGAGCTTTAGCACTTCCGGTAATCATTTTCCTAGCTGCAGCGATCGGTACCAAACCTTTGTCATTTTATGCAACTAATGAAGTTCACCGTAGTGCTACCGTAGTCACACGGTAGAAGCTGAAGGTTAGGGATTCGAGGATTTGCTCGGAGATGGAATGCTTAAAACTATCCTGTAAAAACATTGAACTTCTTACGTGGAAGCGCAGCTGTGGAAGGAGTTCGTCATTGCTTTAATCTCAACTTGTTTAACAAACACTAGAGTAGGGAAAGCTTTTATTGGAAGTTTGCGGCTCCCTACACATTCCAAATGTTATCATTTGTTCAAAACATTGCTCAACTGTCTCTACAACTTCCATTCGTTTCCCACTACATCAACATTTTGCCGTCCGTCTTTATCTCTCTTGAAGAGTGCACTGCTTTTAATTCTGTTGCTGAATTTATAAAGAGAGTAAATATCATGGCTGTGTGTCGTTGACAGGGTCTTGGTGTGCAGAAGCGGAATCTGAGGGGGGAGGGGATGGCCGCGTTGAAGTCTCACATTCGATTGCTGTCAGCGCTTGGGGCTAAACTGTGGGGAGTAGCTTCCGATTTAATTTCTGCAAGTACTCACATCAGCTGTGACTGAAAATCTGTAGAAGAAGTATGCAAGAGGAGCAAGTGCTGCAAGTGCTACGAGAGCCGCAGTCGCAATGCGCATCTCTGAAGGGCTGAAATTGAGCTCTGACATAATGGATATACTATATTAATTGGAAGTTCATGTACTTGCGTGCTGGCTTTGGGAGTGTTCAAAAAACTATCGAAGTTCGTCGGCGAAATATCACCGTCACGTGCTCGGCAATTCACAGATCAGACGAGCAGCACTCAGAGGGCACCAATGTATGTGTCCTAGTACCTAATTCAAAATACTTTGATTGAAAATAACAGGTCAAATATCCGTTCTCTGCCCATAAAAATCACAGCAATGCTCGTACCGTCCCAGGACTCCCGCTCGGAGAACGAAACCACCTCCACAAGCAGTCCCTCATTGTCTTACTTGCAGCATCCCACACAAATCTTACTTTCTGACACGTGTTCAGTTTTGCACGAAGACTCAACAAATGCGTGATTTCTGAGTCTCATCTCAGCACAAGCCATCAACATCCCTCGCATACTATATGGCGCATCTTGGCAGCGTCATTGACTTTTCTGAACCACAACAGACACAGATGGCGAAATGCACGCCACGGTCTCAATCTTGCATTCCCGTTGGAGACCCGTCGGAATACCCGTGGGCTAAGGTAGTGTGCTCAATGAAGTTTATGGTTGCCGGTGCCTGGACTAAGGGCGTAATCATGCCGGGGTCGGGCTGTGAGATGGCAAGGGGTTTTATTATGATTAGGGAACAGTTTTCGAGCGATCTGTGCTTCACCGGCGGGATTATCGTAACCCATGGAACTGTTGTACGTGACATGGTACTGGCCCAACAGAATGTCGTGTCCTTGTACGGGGAAATAATTTCCGAATGCACGGCGTCCTATGCAGCGGTTTCAAAAAATGCAAGAACCCGGGCTAGCTGTACAAGGAAATCACTTACATGGTGCTGGGCAGTCATGCTGATATGAGAGCCGCAAAATGGGGTCGTAACGAGGTAGCCATGAGCAAGCTTTAGATGGAGCTTCATTTGTAATACCTACTCCCTTAGAGTTGTAAGATTGAGTTTGAATTCAACCCAGCCCGTCTATCTGGAAAAAGAAAAGGCTGCAGCTGTCTTGCTGTGACGAGTGGATGTTGAATCTGAACCAAACGGCTAGGTGCCCGAACCTTGTACATTCTGCAAGAATGGTCGCGTGCTGGAATATTCGCTTGCCGTGCGATAAAGTATGTCCCCTGCACCTCGCAAAGGCTAACAGAGGCCTATTCTGTACCTCTATGACGTTTTCATACTCAAGTAGAACTTGGCTGGCGCTAGAGTTATACCAGATCTGTTGTTTAATAATTGTATTTAAATTCATGCCGAATCATACATTCATTCTTACGATCTATGCTACGCCTCGGAGAAAGTGCCTACCAAGCTGAACTATGTATTACTGCCCCACAAGCAAGCAAATGAGAAAGTGCTCAGTCCCAGTCGCCCGCGCCCAGCTCAATAGGCTTCCCCGCCCTCATATCTTCCATAACCTGCTCAATACTCCAGGGTTCATACTTGTACCCACGAGGATAATTGGGCTCAAATGCATCCTCATCCCGCATATGCACGCCTTTCTTCAAACTCTCTGCGGATTTCTCATAATTTTCATAAGCGTAGGCTTCCGGGTCGTGAGACCAAACCCATTTGGGTAGTTTAGGAGCGGCGCGGCGCGGGTCGAGTTTGACCTTGTCCCAATCGGTGTCCTGCAGGAGTTCGGCGTTGGAGAAGCCGAGTTTCTGGGCGCAGGAATTCCGGATGAATCTAGAATTCTGTTAAAAAATGCATGATATGAGAGGTGATTGTGATGGAAGCTTACCGGAATCGAATGTGCACACGCACAGACTGTGGGATGTTCTCTTTGCCACCGATCTGCAAACATGAGGCTATTGAGATTGCATCTTCGATAGCCTGTGTCGCGCCATTGCCCGACGCCGGGAGGTAAGAGTGTGCAGCGTCGCCGATCTGAATTATACGTGCGCTAGGAGATGTCCAGCTAGGCTGAGGGTTGCGCCAGAGAAGTTCGAAGTTGACGATGGTGTTGGGTGGGGTGCAATCCACGAGCTCCTTGAAGATGGGTGCCCACTTTACCGTCTCCATTCCTGGCATCTCATCCATGCCTTGCAGAACTTCCTCCTTCTCGATGGTGTTGTTCCAGCTCTCCTTCTCTGTGCCGGTAACCTACTGGCGTTAGCTGTGATGTTTATCTCAATAAAAGGTGAAACTTACGTCGTGGTTCATGATCCACACCATTACATCCTCTCGAGACAGCGTTAAAGCGTATGAAGAAGGGCTAGGACGAGTCAGTCTTCAGCGGGCCAGCCTACATAAGAGTTGCTTACCCTAGCCATGTCCTCACAATTGATTCATTACCTGGCATCAGTTTGAAAAACTCTTTCACCTTCGGGTTCTTGTCTAGCTCTGCGCGGGGGAAAGCAGCACGCCACATGGCCCTTCCAGAAGGTCTCGCGCGTACCTGTCCGCCGACCAACTTCTGGCTCTTTGATCCGACACCGTCAGCCGCAATCACAACATCTGCCTCGTAGCGCTGGCCGTCATCTGCCACACAGCCTCCCTTTCCGGTCTGCTCATCCTCAAAGTAGTCAACAATTTTCCGATTGAACTCTACAGACACGCCCTGCTTTTCAACCGCACTGACAAACATCTTGTAGACGAGTGGGCGCATTTGGAACTCGCCGGGAGGAGTGTCTGGATCCAATCCTTGATCGCGCAGACGGTCTGCAACCTTCTTTGGCCCAATCACAACCTCGCCAGAGTGCTTGAATGTCTCGATCCAGGCATTGTGGAGGGAGATCTTCTTGTACTCCTTCAGCAGTTCGGGCCAATGCTTCAAGAATCGCGTCGCGCTCAGCCCCATGAAGTACATATCACCTAGTTAATCTGATAAGTATTTGTACACTAGCAGGCATCGAGACTTCTCACCAGCCGTGTTAATGTCTGCATTCCTCTCCAAGACTCGAACATTGTGGCCTTTGCGCGTGCATTCTAGCGCAGCTACCAGACCAGCCAAACCAGTGCCCACGATGAGGACGTCAATGCCAGTTGGGGGGTAAGACCCAAGTGGCTTGGCCTCCATCGTGGAATCGCGGGAAGTGAGTGCGTGAGGCATAATGGCGAATCAGCTGAGGAGTGTATGTTGCGAGTGTGTATTCTCGAGATCAATGTCAAATACCACACGCATGCAGCATCTATCTTAAGGTTCGCTCATTTCTCCTTCTCCGTTGGGGTACCAGGGCGAATTGCCGAAGACATCGGACGTCCGAATTACCGACCTGTCTCGAGGCTGTTACTCTCGACTTGCTTTTGAAGCGCACGAACTGCACCGCGCGATGATGATTACACTTGGTGGCTGAAGTTCAAGTAAATGGCTTTCTCGGCGATACAGTGATATCGATGACGAGAAACGGTTCTAGGGCTGTTCCAAAACTTCCGATCGTAGTGTCGTGCGCCAATGCGCTATGGTTCCCCACCAAGTCCGGAAGGCGCAACGGCACGCTAACCCAATCTTGAACGGACTCAAAGTCGAGTAAGATTTGGCGTTCGATTGGTACGATTTGCGAGGCAACCACAACCTATCGCTGTAATACGAGGATTGCATGTTTCATGCGGGCACGTGAAGCCCATATTGCAAAACATCCCTAGTTGCCTTGCTGTGTAACATACGCCAATTTACACGAGTATGTCTAATGACACTTAGACGTGACGTTTTGAGTTCAACACGTGATACGGCACTCAGCACTCATGGCTTGAGTGCGCTTTTTGGCCAGTAGCCTTCATGATGAACCGACTAGAAGGATCGAGGACCGAGACCGATTGGTTCGAAGCCCTGGCTCTGTGTTCCTAAACCCCTTTCCACAGCCTCAGATGGAACATCATGACGACTGAGAGGAGATTCTTTAGTACTCCTTTTTATGATGCGAGAAGACTGTAGTGTCAGTCGAGGGCCATGGCATAATCGTTCACCGGCCACCCGTCGAGCGGATGGTAGTTGTCTTCCTGGTGCTGTTGAAAATTGCCTTTCACACGGTAATTGTGGCGGACATACTAGCCGACCAATTGAGGTCTGTCAGTCAAGGATATCATATCTTGAACCAGGGGTCACTGTGCGGTACGCTCCTCTTCCTGCATCTAGAAGTACGTCATGACGATAGCCATGTTTATGGTGCACTGTCGCACTTTAGCCCAATCTGAAGGACCTCAACATGGCGTTGTCGGTGCCTTCCTGTACCGACTTCAATTTGTCCACACCACCGGGTATCATACCTTGAAAGTCGGCACGGGATCTTCATTGCCCAGCATCGTAGAGACACATAGGGTCGATGGGCTTCTAGATGTATCCATTGGTCGACCTGCTGGCTGTCAATTCAGGCGATCTCTTGAACCCTCGTCGGCCACGCCCAGCTAGCTGCCGACGGTGTGTCGTGCTGGGTTGTCTCATAGCGCCAGTGGTCCCTGTTTCCCTACGTATGATGATAGGATATGGGGAGCCGGACAAGAACAATAGCGCTGAAGCCTTTGGTCTGATATGTAGGGAGCTCCTGGCAGTAGTGGCCTGTGACTGTAACCATCCTAACAGCACCTTGGGCCGAGATCCTTGGACCCGCTTGCTCACTGACAGCTATTGTACTGTGGGTTATTTCCGTATATTCGACAGTCTGCTCAGTCAATTTTTCGCATCGTAGCCATGCATTCCGTCACAGTATACGCCCTTGGCGTCGCTTTCATCAGTTTCGTCCTCTACACATTCCTCCAGGCCGTCTCAAAATACAACGCCAAATACAATCCTCGTGGACTACCTGGACCAACCCTAGTACCATGGCTCGGCAGAGTTCATGATCTTCCCATTGATTTCATGTGGTTGAAGTTCAAGGAATGGGGCGACATGTATGGACCGATTTATCGAACGAAGATGCTGGGTTCGAACTTCATTATCATCTCTGACGAGACAATTGCGGAAGAGATGTTGATAAAGAAGGCAAAGTTATACTCTGATCGACCTGAGATCAAGTCGTTGTTCGACGCGAAGAGCACGTACGGCTCCATGGAATATCTACCCTTGATGGGGAAGAATCGTAAGACTGTCCATTACCGCTCTGCTTCACATGTTGCTAACAGCTGTTCAGAGTACTGGGCTCGTCAGCGGAAGTTCACACATTCTTACCTCACTGGAGCGACCAATGCCCAGTACTACGGAATCATGGAGCTCGAAGCGAAGCGATGGCTATACAGACTGGTCGAGGACCCTGATGACTTCGCCTTCTCGCTCGAGGATATGTGTTCCAAGGTCATGTGCCAGTTAACATGGGACGATGATTCACTGAGCGTGCCTCTCACCCCTAGTGCCTGGGGTCTTCTAACCCAGATGTCACCTGCCGGCCCCATCACCAACGTGCTGACACCACTCTGGGATTACGTTCCGGAACCCATTAACCCGTGGAAACTTCGAGAGCGCAAGCGCCATGACGAGCAGCAAGCGTGGTTCATGGACTGTCTGCAGAAGACTCGTAGGTTGATGGAAAAGGGTAAGCAGCGTCCCTGCTTCACCCGAACGTATCTCGAGACAGCGGAGAAGACGAGCATCTCTGGTGATTATGAAGCTTCTTCGGTCATCGGAATGATGGCACTTGTCGGTATCTTCACCGTTGCCGGGCCACTATACTACTTCTTGGTGGCAATGGTACACCATCCAGAGTGGCAGATTAAGTGCCAGGAGGAGATCGATCAAGTTTGTGGAAGCCATCCCCCTGCCGTCGCCGACTTGCCCAATCTGCCAATCCTTCGTGCTTGCATCAAGGAAACAATGAGGTGGAAGCCAACTGTCCCCACTGGTAAGTCAAATGGATGAACCATATCTCCTCGATGCTGATAATGTCTTAGGTGTTGCTCATGAATGCGAGGCCGACGATTGGTTCCGAGGGTACTTTATCCCCAAGGGCACGCGTATCCTCCCACTGGATTGGGCGTTCCTCCGCAACCCTGTCAAGTACCCTGACCCAGATTCCTACCGCCCTGAACGATGGCTTGAATCCGGCTGGCCAACGTTCCAGGAACCCCTCACCAAATATCCCGACATTGTAGGCATGACTTCGTTTGGTTGGGGCCAGCGACAATGTCTTGGAATGTCCATCACCCGTGACGAGACTGTTACTGGGTGTGGAGGTCTCATGTGGGCTTTCAACTTAAAGAGAAAGGTCCATCCGGTAACAGGAGAAGAAATCGAGGTGCCACTAGAGAAGTCGAACTCGCTCCTTATCATCAAACCGGATCCATTTGAGATGGCGTTCGAGCCGCGAAGTGCCACCCGGAAGGCCGAAGTGATTGCGCAATGGAAGGCGGCCGAAGCAAAGGACTTGGAGAAGAGGGCCACTTTCCTGAGGCAGGCGGAGACGAGGGAGGTTTTGAATGGTTTGTAGTGGCACCAACTGTATAGTTACTGAGGGGCATAAGTGACAGGCGAGAGGCGTTAATGGGCGTGGCGGCTGTATGTTCCATAGATCCTATATCTACTCCGACTTTGAATGCGCATAATATATTGAAGAGGTGTTGGCTTGGTATGAGGTCATAGTTGTAAAATGCATGCGTAGACGAAGCTGCTTGTACCTAGATCGAGCTCATCCACGTAATAACCTAAGGCATAGTAATAGTGCAGAAGAGAAAATGGAATCCTCAACATCAGGTGGAGTGAGTGAGACTCGAGAATGAATAGGTGAGGAGTTTGGGCATTCCAACGTTATACAGAGAGTTGTAGCTGCTCGTATTCGGAAAGCGCTGAGGAGCCGGCGCCATGCTGCGTTGGGTCTAGCCGCTCACTACCTTTCATCCATTTCCATTTCTCGAGCCAGAGCAGCATCTCACTCAAAAAGGAGCCAAAAATCAGGGCCATCAGCAGCTTCTATCAATGCCCTGTGTACTAGAGTGTGTCAATAGACGCTCCTTTTACAGCTGCCCTGGCAAAACAAGTAAGATCCTGACGGCGCAATTACCCCTCCAGGTACCCCTCCAACGTGGCCAAAGCGCAAACATTTCAAGCTTCAGCTTCCGGCATCCTTGGAGCTTTCGGGCCAGGTCGTGGCAACGAGTGGCAATGTGAGACCAATGAAGTATCTGTCCCCACATAGTGTGCCTGGTCCCTAGCAGCTGTTTCGTGCAGCTGTCATTAGCTCTGCGGAATGAGCTATAAAGGGTGGGCACGACTTACCCCTCCATCGGTCTCTCACTTTTAAAGCTGCCCCTCCTTCATCATCCTTCTCAACAACAACACTCCACCAACAACCCTTTCTTCACACATAACCAAATCCATCAAAATGTCGAACCCCCGTGTCTTTTTCGATATCACCATTGGCGGCGCGCCTGCTGGCAGAGTCGTCATGGAGCTTTTCGCCGACCAGGTCCCCAAGGTGAGTACCCCGCCATCAGAGTCTTCATCTCATCGCGCTCCTTTTCCTTGAGATCTCTACTGACTATCATCACATAGACCGCTGAGAACTTCCGCGCTCTCTGCACTGGCGAGAAGGGCACCGGCCGCTCCGGCAAGCCCCTCCACTACAAGGGCTCCAGCTTCCACCGCGTCATCCCCCAGTTCATGCTTCAGGGTGGTGACTTCACCCGCGGCAACGTATGTTGCTAGAACCCACACAAGTGAGGAGCAAAGACTGACATGCACAGGGCACCGGTGGTGAGAGCATCTACGGCGAGAAGTTCGAGGATGAGAACTTCAACCTGAGGCACACTGGCCCTGGTATCCTCTCCATGGCCAACGCTGGTGAGTAGCTTCTTTTGTAACATCTCCCACGTGGAATGTACTTGCCTCCAACCAGGAAACTGGTTTTCAAGACATTTCCTCTCGAACAACTCAACTAACAACTTCTCAAGGCCCTGGTACCAACGGATCCCAGTTCTTCATCTGCACCGTCAAGACCTCGTAAGTCGACCTTGCTTGCGTACGAAACGCTCTCGCAGAAACTAACTCGCACACCTAGGTGGTTGGACGGCAAGCACGTTGTGTTCGGACAGGTCGTCGAGGGCTTGGACGTTGTCCAGGCCGTCGAGCGTGTCGGTTCCTCCAGCGGCTCGACCTCGAAGACTGTCACCATCGCCAACTCTGGCCAGCTATAAATGCGAGTCACAGCTGCCATGAAGGCGCGTGGCGAGGCGCATGGTCAACGATTATGATTCAATGACAATAAAAGTCTTGGGAAGGAGAGTAGGATTATACGTATTACAGGCCGGTCATAGTACTTTTGATTAGGGAAATGATTGATCAGTGTGCGCCCCTATCAATGTCTTTGCGTGATCACATACCACTTCAGTTACCCAAACGTGTCGACTTGCAAAGCTTTCACTCCCAAGCCCCGCTAAAATTAAACTTATACTCCAACTCTGACATGTTCTTTGCGACCCTTATCCTACCTTTAACCCTTACTTGCCTCAGTCAGTGGGTCCGTTACACCTACCTGGTTATTAGTTACTGCGTCATGCAACGATGAGCAACAACCAATTATCCAATTAATGCAACCATATTGCAGATTGTAGATCGCATATCGCGTCTCCAAAGGGATGGAGCAGCAGCATCCGAAGATGAGGCTCATGTTGTGTTTCGATGTCCCCACCCGAGCTTGCGCAGCACATTTTGGTTGAGCCCTGGTACCCCACCCAGGTTCCATTTCCGTGGGTTTGTAAATCTAGATCGCTTTGTAATTGAACGCGTATAATGAGTGGCTTTGCTGTTGGATTGGACTGTGCAGCACCAATTCAAATGGTGAGAATGCCGAACTACATGCAATATGTACTGACATTGGAATATATGGGGAAGAAGATTTGAAACATTTTCTTTGCACGAATAGGTTACTATGTTGCAGTTTTGTGGTACTTGTATTAGAGACTGAACATGATGGGTGAGAAATACAGCTCAGTGGTATGCTATGGTTGATTGAAAGAAATATGTGGAGTCAGTCAGCCTGAGTGGCCTTGGGGTGGTTTGATTTGAGTTGTGCACGTAGTGGCAGAATAAAATAGTTCCACAATGTAGACCATGTACCTTTGCTCGTGGGCCGCGTAGCGTCTCCTAGATCTAAATGCAATGAGGAACTGAAAGTAGTGGGATAGTGGTGCTTCATAGACTGAAAGCAACCGGGCCAGGGTTGCTGCGACCGTGTTCTGTACTGAGATATTAGTAGCTCGCCACCCCGTTGGCAGCCTGGGGCAAATAAGCCTCAACTTCGGCAATAAGCCCAGCGTTACATCGACCATGCAGCTGCACTTCTCTTCCAGAGGACCGTTGAAGGACGTTGCCATGCAAACGGCATACACCACATGCCCGCGGAGGCAATGCATGGAGGACTTCCCCGCGAAGTCCTCGTATGCCTCTTGCGTGCTGTCGGTGCCTAAAATGTTCGTTAAGCTATGTTTGTACGCAGGCTAACAAGAAGCGACTTTGGGCGCGAAAAAGGAAGCTTCGGGAGCGTTGCCCCACTGACGCATCATTAAGGCATACGAGGCGTGGGCAGTGCGGCGAGGCGAGACGACTCATGTCTTCGCATCGAGTAATGACAAGACGCCTCATACGCTGCGAGGAATGACTATGCGCAAGGTAATCGTCGAAGACTGTATGGTCAATATGGAGCAATCAGTGCCCTCGCTGGTGGTGTCATCGTGGGTGATGTCTGTCAGCACCTCCACGGGGCGTCCTTCGACACGCTCGGTGTCTATACGCTCCACTGATGAGCCATCCTCGAGAGCCGATTCATATGAGTGGAAGACAAGGCGGGGGCATCTTTCGGGGCACCCGCGAGAGTGGAAGAACGTATTGCATGACGGAATATAAAAGCACAAGGCGAAACAGGCGTTCCGCTTAGCGATGTGTTCAATAAAAACAAGCCTATGATTCTGCCGGAGAACGATGGGGAGGAGGGCGATGAGCCGAAGTTGTCGTGGCTAGCATTTGAAGTCAACACGTACCTCGCCTTGATTGGCCCAACTCTGCACAATGAGGCAGTGTTCTAACTTTGCAAATTGAGAGGGACTCAACAGAATGGAGAAAGAGCCAAGATGACGCTCGATGCGAATAGAATAGTCCAATCTGGTTCTCCGTTATACTGAGGCAAAGAAGACGCGGCTGAACGGCGATTGGAGCATCACGTGTGGCAACTGTCACACCTTGGCGGGCATTTCCGCAGCTGCGCGGCACCTTCCAAGTTCGGACACAAGCAGCGAGAACTACTGTAAAGGTTGCCTCTGGAAAATGTCACTGCCTCGGCCATGATCATGTTCACTCGTCGTGTGAGGTTTCTGTTCGCAGGCAACGGCTGCGAGGACTAGCGTCCGGAATGCGTCGATGCTGGTCCTTGCCAGCGCAGCTCTCCCAGCCCTACGCTCATCGGGACAAGGCGGCCAAACAGGAAGAGGATACAGCTTCCAGCAACTAATATGTCGGGTCCAAAGTGATGCGCAGTTCCGATGTTCGCAGCGAGGGCTACCTGTACTACATGACGTCGAAGTGGAGCGGTGGACGTCGCTACGAGAAAGGTGAGCAGCACTCCACCGTCTGGTGACAAACGGGAGAGCCCGTTGAAAAGCGGCGGTTCAATTGCACGTGGGATCAGCCACCAGGGAGCGTGTCGTCCCGCTGGCGTCCGGATCCGACGAGGAGTATATAACCCACTATCGGCACCCGGGGTGAGGGAATGGCGGATAAGGCGGTGTTGCCGCTCGCTGAGGTTTGCGGCCGGTTGCTGAGGTTTTTTTGCAGCCGCTGAGTGAGCACTGGGGCCAGCCGCATGCGCTCTCACTGTTTCCAGAGTAGCTGGACACAGAAGAGGAAAACTCTAAAGGCTGCGTGAGGCCTGCCGTGAGCGTTGCGCGAGGTGGCCAGGTGGTGCTGGAGGAGGGTGGGCGAAGCCGGCTGATTCGCTCAGCCAGCTATAAATCGCTAGTTTCGGGAAAGTCATACGGGTCGGCTGGACGAAACTGGCGTAGCTGGGCGTATGGAACAGGCTCTAGGTGAGGCCAAGGCAGCGGAGGTTGCAGACGGTGCAGGCATGTTGGTTGGCGATGATCGAGGACTCGCAGACCCGCGCGACAGGCGACGACACACTCCAGGCAGCCCCAAGCAGCCCGGCATCCACCTATCCCACGCCCTGCGCTGCGCCTTTATTCACGCTGCATTCCCACGCAAAAGCCTGAGATCTTAAACTCTATTCGATCTCTGCCTCCGCCTCGTGCCAGGTCACCCTTTCGTGCGCTGTCGTAGTCCTGCGCCCTGCGCCTGCTTCACTTTACCATTTCTACTTATACGCTGGACGTACATGGTGTTGTGCGTCAACAAGCGGCAAATCTGCATTTCACAGCCATTACTCTGTTTAATCCAAGCCCTATTCTCTCATCATGTCACCAAACGTGCATTGGCGGCAGCAACATGAATCGAGCAACAGCACCGCGTCCGGTCGCAGCGACAACAGCGTCCGCTCGTACGAGACGGCTCCGACTGAGTACAGCGACCGACGACCATCGCTAGCGCACAGTGCGACATGCTACGCACGAGTAGAAGGACGCGGACGAGACTATTTCGCGCCCAAAGATGACCGCGAGCGATATGAGAACCCTCCTGCCCGCACCTCAGTCGACACATATGCCTCGACTTCAGAGGAAGACCTTACCGATGAGCTCGACGATATGCCTGACTACGATGTCCCACAGTCCCACTACGACCCCCTTCCCTCTGAAGCTATTCCCACAACGCCCCGCGACTTTGGAGAGCTCTTCCCCACAGCCAAGCGGATATCCATACGACACGACGATGCTACGATTGACGGGAACATGAACCTAAGAGTCGACACACAGGTTGAAGAACGAGGCCACAGGAAGCAGAGTTATACCCTCTTCCATCTTCGCATGAAAGATCTACGCACCCGCGAGTTCTCCCTACGCCGATACTGCAGGGAGTCTGGCCGCGAAGTCTGCCACTCAATCCGCAAATACCAAAAGCCACCGGCGGAGAAACGACCAGTCTTGCAGCGCGCAAGCACAGCGCTGGCCAACCTAGTCAAGCCTGACTCGCGCCCCGCCACATCATCAGGTCTCACACGTGCTGACTCTGGCTATGAGTCGGTGCGTGGCAGTGTTAACGAGCGAGCAGACGAGGACGTGGCGGAGTCACGCCCCAAGTCCGTAGGCTACAACAAAGGCCGTGCCCTGATCCCCACCAACACCATCAAGCTCGAGTTCTCCAACTACGCACACCTTGATGTGAAGCGGCGCGGCGCAAAGTCGCACAAGCGCTACGCGTTCGAATACTGGGGGCATGACTACTCCTGGAAACGCATTGTCAAGTCAGAGAGTCAACGCGACCAAGAGAACGTGTCCTACTACCTTGTTAGAGATGACAACGATAAGGAGCCGCTGGCGCACATTTGTCCTGTGCCGCTGACGCTGGAGGAAGCAAGGGAGGAGACGGCGAGGGGAGGCTGGGTGCCGCCATGCTATATGCGTATTACCGGTGACAAGATTCTAGAGTCCGACACGGACATTTCAGAGTAAGTTGCACACGTCGCACATGGCAGCCTGCACCAGGCAGCAGCCTGCAGTATGCAGCACGCATTTGGCAGTCGACTAATGTGGTGAATAGTGTCGTCGTCGCAACAGGCCTGATGACCCTCGTGGACGACTGCATAAAGCGTCGCTTCCACTCAAAGCGCAGCACCCAGTTGCACATTCCACTTCTTCGGACTCCGTCGTTCAAGATGAATATGGAGTACATTGGACCCAAGCGGCTTATTGATGAGGTGTTTCATCGGAAACACCAGGACGGCGGAAGCCCCAAAAAACAACCATCTACGTCACGCTGGGGTCCCGAGTGACTAAGTTTGGAGATTGTTTGATCATTGGACCCGTCGGAATTTGACGCGCAACCCGCCCATGTTGGGAAGACGCAGCGCATTCTCGTACATTGTCACTCCGAGCTGTCAAATCTGTTCTGTTGGGATGCGGGGATGTAAGTTCCCGCTGCCCGCGTGTCGTTTGTAGTCATGTTGTTTTTTCCTACATCGCGTCCGAGATCAGCGTATGCATAGCGTCGCAGATTGTTTGCTGCATTAATTGTTGAGCGTAGGGCCTTCTGTGGGAGTACAACGTTTTTTGGTATCCTTATGCCTCCTCCATTTGGTTATGGACGGCCACTCTGTATCCACGCTTGGATCGATATACACTACGATCCCGTAGTATTGGTATGAACTTACGACTTTTGAGCTATATATGCTCTCTTCTTCCGATTTGGTCCCAAAGCCTGCCGCTATTGAGATATTAATAATGAGCCACACTGGTTCGGACATTTTAGTATGCTGAAGTTACACCAAGCTCTGTCCCGACCGCGTGGGCCCTGTGCGAGTCTCATAGTCGCTTCATGATCATTTGACAGATCATTGGAACGCCGTCCGCCGCGTCCATCGCTGTGGTGTTTGCTTCCTATGTTAGAAGTTTTCACGTATATTGCTGTGGCACCATGATCAGCCCGGCATAACGTGTCTTTTGAAGTCCCAATAATGTTGTAAAGGGGTAAGTTCGCAGATCGCTGACGATTTGCCTTCCTCTTTTGTCGATGTGGGAAATACACGAGCCTTACTGATGCTCCATGCGTTGGGCTGCGGCATCTTGTGCGACACTTCTGTTAGCTTCCCTACCTGCAAGCTAATCAGTTGATCTCACGAGGCATGAAGAATTCGTCAGGAGGCTTGTTGCAGCATCTTAGCTTCCTGCTCTGCGGTGAAACCCCCGGCCGTGGTACGACTAATATTCCAAGTTCAAAGAAATTCCATTACTGGCAGTACACCATCATCATCTGCAGCAAGCAAGCACATTTCACAAAGTCTTTGTTAAATCATAGCCTGGCATACGGCGGTCAAAATTCGGAATTACTATTAGGCAGGTGAGTGGTAAGGCGCGGAGATTTGCGTTTGCTTCACGATTCCATTCCCACAACACTCCGTCGGGTCGTTACATCGCGAGGCACAGACAGCAGGTAGGTACCCGTTATCATCCTGGCCAAATGACAGACAGCTTCTTGTAACTTCGGGATATGCGTGCTAAGCGAGACCGCAAACACCTCCATTTTGACTTTCTCATCAGTTGATGAATCTAATCGCTTCTTTCGCGTGATATAGCAGTCTGGCTTCTCAACAGTAGTGCCCCCTGCTGATGTAATACATCAGGAAACGTGATAGTGTCAAGCAGGGCCTGAAGAGCTACTGCACAATGAGTTGTTCTCGCTCCACGCTAGATGCTCTCTTGCAGCATGTAGTGCGCGCGCAAACGTCTCCTTGGGCTGAAGTTTCAGGAGCATCCTCAACGAAACAGCAATGACATGTCATGCAATTGCTGCCATACCATCTACCTATCATCAGGAGCTCGCCTAACTGGTTACCTTCTCGAAAGTCTGCCGATGGTCTGTCAGGTGCCGCCCGCCACGCCTCGTCTTTTCTTTTCGCGCAAATACCAAAGCTACCCTCCCTACCTAACCCATCGGCCCGCTCCATACCGGCCCAATGTATCGGGTCCGGAGGGTTATGAGGTAAGAAATTCTGTGTGTGGAAAAAACATCATTGGCCCACGGAACATCACCGCTGCATCGCGGCTTCTGGCATCGTTGCATATGACTTGGGAAAAAGTATGATTAAGAAAACGGGTTCTCGCATTTGTACGTTACTACCAGCATCATCTGCTTTTCTTTTTTTTGACCAGCCTCTTGTGAAATTTGGGGATTATAAGTAGCCGTTGGGTTCTGCACAGAAGGCATCAAATTCAAACTATCGTTGAGTACACCGTCTCAGTTATATCCCGCATTATTCAATCGCTTCTACATTTTCGAGGACTTCATAATTTCAGAGGTTTGTTTACTATGGCGACCCGCGAGCCATGGACGCAGCGTCTCAGAGGTGGGTCAAGTGGGGATTGATTATCAATTGGTGGCCTAAAATTACAATGGACTGACAAGGTGTAGATCATTGTCTTGTTCGGGGTCTTAGGGAACCCACATACCAAGACGTGTCTGACCGTCGAGGTAAGACCTACTATCTCACTCAGTCAGCCATCCCATTGATACAGTGTAGGAGGTCGAACCGCCTGGTCTACAGTTGCAGTAGTCAACGGCACCCCATATGCTGCCCGCTTTTGGTACGATGGAGCTTACGTAGACCAAGCAAAGGAAGACGCTGCGGAGATCGCCTTGCGGAAACTCACTGGCTATACCGATCCGACAGTCGAACCGCCACCAGCGAACCACTACCGCCCCGCAATCACAGCCTGATTCTCACCACCAGCAACAGACTTGAAGATTTTTGCATGAGCATGGGTCTTTTTATTCGGGTGGATATCTGTTCTTTCTTCTTCGGTTCGCTCATTCATTAGCCCGAGCCAGTGTCGAGCCAGTACACCGGCGTTGGGGTCAAAAGCGAAGGCATTAGTAAACTTCTATGGCATCGAATTTATATTCATACACAACGCGAGGAGACAGTTCCCCAATATTGCTGAGTGATACTCGCTACGGCTGCTGCTTTACAAGCTCTTACCATTGTTAAACACCAAATTCCACTAGCGCGATATCTCAGCCAAAGTCACCTCACACTACATCACTACGCCCTCAACAACCAACTTGTCCCCCTCACGCTTGTTCTATCATCAATCCCGTTCAATAAGACTGGGCCTGCTATATTCTATCGGAAACTCTATGCTGTCGCTCGATATACTTACGCTACGCCGACCATTTCGCCTCTATCACCTCAACATTATCAGGATCTAACAGTGGAGCAATAACCACTATCTTATCAACCCAGCTCTATTTTATTTTCTGCAGAGCTACATCAAGATTAAATACAACCGCTATCAGCTTCCTAGCAAGATTTCCGACTTACAGACCGTAATATACCTGTAGTTCCATCAATACCACCGCTTTTGTCTTACACATAGTTGCTATCACTAATTTACAGCTGCTCATGACATAAAGGGACTTTACTGATGGCGAGATGGCACTAATATTATCGAAACCAAAGTTTCACCCTTTATCGGATATCAGGCGGGTACGCAGGTGGGGACCCGCCTCCCCATTTCCATTATATATCACCAAATCATACGCATCCATGAAGGCTTAAACTCAACAAGAACCTCGATTCATGTCAAATTGACATTTCGTACATTACAATGACAAACACTCTCGAGCCACCTGCAGCCGCCTCGCAAACGTACACAGCACTATTCAATACAGCACTCAATTTCATCGATGCTCAGACGCAAGATCCCAACCTCCCGTCGCGGATGGACTTTGATCGAATACGCGCCCTTTGCTCGCCTGGTTTCGAACATTCGTGGGGCCACAACTACGCCGTGTCCCTCGCGCCGCCACTACAAGGTTCCCATTCCGTCGATGGCTTCATCTCGCACTTGCAGAAGATGCTTCCGAATCTCGACAGCTGGAACACAGATGTCATGGATGCGATTGTCGACGAGGCGCGGCTGAGGGTGATTCTGAGGATGAGCCTTTGGATGCAGGTGAAAGGCGTGGGCGAAGGGGACGCAGTGGAAAATGATATTTTATGGGTGCTGGATATGGATGGCGATCTAGAAAAATTGAGAGTGAAGAAGAGTATGGAGTTCATAGATGGGCTTGCGGCAGGGAGAATAAAGGAGTTGATGATGAGAAAAATGTAGGTTGGAGAGGTTCGCGGGGTCTATGGCTGCTGATTTGCGAGTATAAAGGTTGTGAAGGTCTTCGAGCTGCTTATCAAACTAGCTACGAAAAAAATGAGTAACTCTAGCTTTATATATTAGCGAGCCTCAGATTGAGGTTTCTTAAGCATTATCGACTAGATGCGAAACGATGATACGTACTGTTCAAGAAAAAATAGCATGTAACCCACGATAGAATTTGCCAAAAAGCTTTTTACGAATAATCCAGCGGTTGAATGACAAACACAAGATACATTGAAGACGTCCAGGCTCTTGTTATTAGAAAGACGCTTCTCACTACCCGCACTGCGCTCGTCGATAGCATCCACATATAAGGAAATGTGCAACGAGAGAAAGAAATTTGTATATCGTAGACGTTGAGGTCTTTGGTATTTATAGCTATGACGTGTTTAGTCAGATGAATGCCTTTCCGTAAGAGAAAGCTGTTGGTACTGAGACCTTCTACCCGTGACGCCATCGCTAGACTATGGTCTATGCTGTTCGTATCCCATCATGGATCTCCTTATCGACTCTAACTCTATTTTGCCCCAATATCTAGTTCCCCTGCCTAACCATCCAAGTAAGCAGATCAACCTTCGTAACAACAGCTACAGCCCTCGGCTCCCCGTCTACACGCTCCGTGACAACCGCGGCACTATTCCACTCAAAGAACTTGTTCAAATCGGTCAAGCTAGTCTCCTTTGTGATCTCCACAAACTCATTTCTTCCGGCCTTTTTCTCCGCTTTCTGGCCATCGAGCTGGAGTCTACCCAGATCTTTGACCACCTCGTTGAGCTTGCGGAAGTCAAACATGACGTCTTCGACGGGGGATTTGGGCGTCGCTCGGCCTTGGGCGATGTAGGAAAGGAGGTTGCCAAGGGTGACGAGGCCTACGAGGCGGGCCTTGCCGGATGCGGAGTATGTGGATACGGGAAGTTGGTCGAAGCCCTTTTCGCGCATTGTCTCTATAGCTTCGCTACAGGGAGAGTTGGAGGGAACTGTGGTGACAGGTTTGAGGCGCAGAGAAGCGATGGTGGCTCCGTGGAAGGCATCAGATTGCTTGGTGTTGGTGGAGAGGCGCCGAGAGATGGGTTGCTGGGGGCTCTCGGTGTTGGGTGGGAGGAGATCGTTTGCTGCGAGCCAGTCGTCATCGGCGAACTATATCGAGTTAGTATGAGAGTTATGGTTGAGAGAATGAGAGGAAACGAACCTTGCTGAGGTAGCTTCGAATGCTGTCTGGTAATATCACAACCACAACGTCATCTTCAGTCAGATTTAGATCCTTGGCAGCGTCAACCATGGCAGACATGGCACTGCCTGAAGAACCACCACACAGAATACCCTCCTCAGAGATTAGTCTCCTCGCATATAGGAACGAAGTCCGATCGTCTGTCTTGTACCACTTGTCCACCTCCTTCTGTACCAGCACCTCAGGGATGAAGTCATATCCAATGCCCTCCACCTTGTATCCTTCATTGATATGCTCGTCGTTCAAGCTTGCGGGCACGGCAAGAATACTGCCGTGAGGATCCGCAGCAATAATCTTAACATCTTGCTTGTGTTTTCTCAGGCCCCTCGCGAGACCAGTAATCGTGCCGCCAGTACCAGCGCCCGCGACAAGGACCGTCACCTTGCCGTTCGTCTGGGTCCAGATTTCTTCCGCGGTGCCGAATTCGTGGGCAAGCGGGTTATCGGGGTTGGAGTACTGGTCCAGAATATGTGCGTTCGGCAGCTCCTTGACCAGTCGTCTCGCGACACCAATGTGACTCTCGGGACTATCCCACGCCGCACTGGTTGGCGTCCTTATGATCTCAGCTCCGAGCGCCTTCAACACGGCCACCTTCTCCGGGCTCATCTTCTCAGGCAGTGTGATGATGGTCTTGTACCCCTTCACTGCAGCCACCAGTGCAAGTCCAATCCCTGTGTTTCCAGACGTGGGCTCAATGAGGGTGTCGCCGGGCTTTATGCGTCCACTCTTCTCAGCGGCTTCGATCATGCGGAGGGCGATGCGGTCTTTAACACTGCCACCAGCATTGAAAGCCTCAACCTTTGCATAGACGGTTGCGCGGATACCGAGAGACTGAGGAATCTTATTCAGGCGGATGAGGGGCGTGTTGCCGATTTGCTGCGTTACGCTGTCCATGACCACTGGTGGGATGGCGGGGCGCGTCGTAGTAGACATAGTGGGGGTTGTACGCGTTTGTGAGGGTGCACGAAATGGCTATGAATTTTTTATATGTAAGCCAGAACGAGGCGAAGAGAGAGAAGAGGAGAGAATGTCGGCACGTATGAGATTAAAGCGATGTCGTGATGGCGTGAAGATGTCGCAAAGAAAACGTCGAATGGTTGACCCGCTTATATCCGTCGCCACTAAGCCGTTGACGCCGCTGCCTCGGCCGGGCGCCACACTCTAGCTCAGCCCTACGGGACTACGCTAACCAGAAACACTGTGGCTGCTAGAACTATGTTTTCTACACCATCTCGCTAACTGTATCCAGATCCGTCCCGGAGAGAGTATCTAGGCATCAGGCATCAGTTAATATGGAGTGAACACGTTACGCAACCGGTAGTGAAGCTGAACTGCCGGCAGAGGGCGGTACTCGGGGCCAATCCATCAACAATCGCTAAATTAATTTGATACGGGTAAGTAAAGTACATTTACCGAGATGCTCGCTGCTCAATCACCGAAGCTAGGTACATATTAGAAGCGGTCAATGGATTATGCAGGCTTATCATACGACTGCACGGCGGATAAGCCTCATTTACCCTCAGATGAAAGCCCGTCCATCTTCCTTGTTGCCGCGTGCTAGAGGAGTACGAAACGTGCTCGTTAACGTTCTATGCATGACCGGCATAGCCGTATTCCTCTTCGCTTTCGCACCGGCAGTGGCTTCCTGCAGCACTCTGATTGCTCGTTTCAGTGCCTTGGTTCGGAAGACGTCAGAGTAAGGCCTCAATATGTGGACTGGTGGCTGTCTGTCGTCACATTAATGCACGCACCTTGCCCCTGTTGAAGGTAAGACCCGTACGGGAAGGAAGCGGAGGGACGGAGCGTTTCCGGATACAGTCTATGGTCGATGTAGCTCGGGTACCAAGCCCTAGCCGAGCTTGTAGATCCAAGGCTGACTTTGGCTCAGCAGCAAAGAAGAGGAGTGTGAAGGGCAGGGAAGTGGGGAGGGGCGTAAGCTTACAAGTGTCTCAGCCATGATCGTCCGTTCGGATTCCGGCACGCTGGATGGGGCGAAAACCGTATGCATCATGCATTATGCATTGACCTGTTCAGCTCGACGTGCTGGAAGAGCATTGTCAGATGTGAGTTAATCTCTGGTAATAGGAAATTTTAACTCTTGGGTTTCTCTCTAGGCTAGAATAAGCAGAACACATTAGAGTTTCGGAAATGAGTGTATTTAATTGGACTATTTGAAAAGCTAGAGCAACGCGGTATGAAGAAGTCAATTCCAATTGCAAACCCACAGGCTAACATGATTCTCATCCACCATGCAAGGCCTTGGCTAAACATGGTAGGCAGAGGGAACAGAGTCTAAAGCAAGAGAAAAAGAAAACGTCTCGACAGTGCACGGAACCGCAACAAAGGAAATGACAAAACAAATAAACAGGGCAAAGAGGTGTGAAATCACAGCCAAGCAGACTCAACCAGATCAATAGGAGTAAATTTACCCTCTCCATCCACCTCAAAAAAGGGACGCCTCGTAGCAACACCCTAGTCCTATTAGCATTTTCCATCCCCCCCAAAAAGCGATATCGTTACCACGCACCTTGGTGAACTCATCGAAGAAGTCATCAGCCTGCTTCTTAGCCACAGCCTCACCAGCCCTGTCAAGCTTGCTGAACTGCACTACATGCTTCTTCAAAGTGGGAAGCAGAGGCTCGAATCGGTGCAGCGGTTGCTCTTTGACGGGCTGCAGCATCTCCATGGGGAACCAGCTGTCTAGGCCTCCGCGTACGAGAGGGAAGTGGGGATATTCGATCTTCTTTCCGTCTTCGAGGATAACTGCTATTGTGTTAGCATCGTAAGTTAGGCTTTGTGTGTATGTGTATGGTTTGACTTGACTTGCCTTGATTGAAGTAGTCGACGACGGTGTAGCTTGTCGAATTCCCTGCCACGCCCTTGATCACGGAGGGCTTGAAATTCTGGGGCATAGCGACATCGACGAGCTTAAATGGTTCGTCAGGTCGGTAGTTGCGCTTTACTTCCATCCCAAGGAAGAAGTCCTGGAGCATGGGTAGATACTGCGAGACGTTGCCGTCGTGAAGGGCTTGACCGAAGACATCTCCCAGGATAGCGCGAAGGTGCTTCTTGTCCTTTGGATTCTTCTGCGGGTCCGGGATGCACGGAACCAGATTAAAGTCCATGCGAAGACTCTTCTCTGTGACATTAATGGACACCTGGTTACGTAGACGTAGCGGATACACGTGGGAGGTGTTTGGCAAGTTCGATCGATCAAAGGCACGAGCGTCATGCGAGAAATTCCACGCCAAAGGATCGATCTGGTCGGCTGCAATGCTCGGCTCAGTAAGTAGCGTGTCGCGGTGCATGTTCTCAACAAAGAACTTGAGATTCTTGACGTACGTCTCATTTTTAGTATCGTCGCCGGAGAACATCATGACGGCTGTGATCTCGCATCTTATTGGATTCCCAGACTCCGGACCACCTTGCTTCAGTGCAAGGTCAACTTTCTGTGGCTCAAGCTTTGCTTTGAAGACGCCATCCAGCCACTGGGGAGCTATGATGAGTTGGTTACGAAGGCCGCTTTTGGTGTTGATAGCGATCATGTCCTTAATGGACTTCAGGCCGATTTTGTCGATGAGCTCACCGAGCGCCTCGTCGCGAAGGTAACGACCCCTGACTGGCACCCAAGCGCTGATCTGCTCGACTGACTCCTCGGTAGACTCTGTCTTGTATAGAACATCTACATCCGCAACACACAGCTCAGGCAGGGTCTTGATTTTGTATGTTGAATGTCCGACGGTCGTCTGCGCACCGTAGCCGTTCGTTTTGAGCGTCTTTGGGCGAACTGCCGGAGAAGACTTGTCGACCTGTGCGGCTTTTCTAGCCTTCTTAGCTGCTCTAGCAATACTCCTTTTGGACCGAACTGTCTCCGTGGGCTGGACTGTGTCCGACATCTCGAAGTTCGCTAGCGTATTCGACGAGTCTTCAATGTGGAAAGACGTATTAACTGGTGAAGTAAAGCGCACTGTACTGCTATGGTGAGTAACATATAGTGCGAAATCGACCTTTACTTAAGCGTCCTAGAAGCTGCGATTTGCTTGCTTCCGCACCTGTCTACAGTCACCCGCCCCAGTAGCTTTCACGGTCTGACCGTACTCACATGGTGTTTGAAACACAATACAAGTTCCTCGCGGAGCGGTTGAATGACAGAAGGGTGGTTGTCTACCGAGGGAAAGTCTCACGTGTTCGAACACGCTTCTTTTGTCACAGTCATCTTAGCAGGAACATGCTCTGTAGAAGACTATGTTGTACATTGCCATGACTTTGACAGGCTGTTGGCGCATCAGCCGTCCCCACGCGTCAAAGCAAGCAGCGGTGTTAGAACATGTCTGTCTTCGGTGATAGATTAGGTTTTTATCCGCCTAGTATAGATGAAGAGTTAATATGTGATTCGTTGTGAGGTAGAAGGTATGACTGTCGAGCATCAAAGGAAGCAACAAAATACCTAGACAGCGTGTTAGATAGTACGCACGGGTCCAATTCCAAGCACTCACTGGTGAATTACATTGATAAGCTAGCCGGGTATCCCACGGTAAAATATACAGTCACCAACCTGCTCCGGAAAATAGATAGTCCCCCCTCTCGGCCGGGGTTCGCCCATCGAACATGCTCTCTAATCCTCCACAACTTGATCCTACCTGCTCTTCAAAGTTGCTCAGCAAGCCACGCCCACCAAGCCCCGACATCGCCCACGTCCTTGCCGCTAACCACATTCCCACCGACAACATCCACCGTCGTGCCAATCTCGCGCATCTGGCTAAACTCAAACGCGCCCTCTCCCCCCTCACCAAGCCACTCCTTTTCTTCATCCACCTCGTCTTCGTTCCCAGCCAGCGCCGCCCCAGCATCCCTCAGCGCCTTTGCCCTGCGACTCCTAACCTCAGTAATGGCCTTTTCCAGCTGGATCTTGACCAAGTTGGCGGGCAGCGCGGTGAACAGATCCATCTTGTTGGCAGCGACGAGAACGGGGATGTCCTTGGGGCCCTTGCTGCTCTTCGCCCGCGTATACCGGTGCTGCAAGGACAGGAGGACGTCATGGAGATACTCGGCTGCCTCGTTCAATCCTGCTTCCTCTGCGATGCCAGCAGCGTCCACGACGAATAGTATGGCTCGCACATCCTTTGGGTCTGCGAGCTGCGACGTCGCGAAGTGGCGCAGCTTGCCGTGCCCTGGCGTGTCGAGGAGGAGGAAGCGGCGTGAGCGCTCGAATTGCGGGTCGCCAGGGGCGCGGAAGTGCGACGACGCGGGGATGTGTGGACTCGGGAGGAGGGCAGAGACGGTGAGCGGGGCGGTAGAGGTGTGGGTTTGCGTCGTGGTGTTTCGCTCTGCCTGTGTGATATCAATACCTGCGCGTGACGTGTTTCAAGTCAAGGGGAGTGAGTGATAGCAGCGTACCAAGGTTGTAAACGCCGTCTTGCCACCCCCACTCGGCCCAACGAGCAGGAAAGTGGGAACGTTGGTTGAAGCAGCTGCCTTTCTGTACAAGAAGCTATGCAGCAGTATCGGCAGGCCCAGTGCAACAATAAACGTGATCAGGATAGTCGAGAGGTTGGGCGAGAAGGCTGCCGTGAGCCAGCTATCCGGATGGTGCCATGCCGCCATCTTTGCTCCTGGTATGCCTCAAGACAGGACGACCACCCGATAGCTCAGGGGATTGAAAAGATTATGGAGAGACAGGGGGGGCGGGCAGCTAGCGATGACGTGACAACGGTGGTGGCCCGGCGGGAGGACTTGCAGTTCCGTCAAAGTTTTGGGACGTGGGGCCCTGAGCGGCGCCAGGCCGGCGGGGAAGACGGAACGATCGCGCGCTAGTCACTGGCGGGCGCCTTTTCTCGGACTTCACTCGACGCTCCCTGTCACTTTTCTTTTTCTTTTCTTTTTCCCTGGCGGCTCTACATGTCCCTTGTGGTGACGTGGCGTGTTTTAGGATCCAGTGGATGGCTCCATCGCCCGCGTGATGGAAACATCCAAGGCCCACCACGTTTGCTAATCAAAGCGCGAACTGGTACAATCAAGCCATGACTCGCGGAACATGACAGCGTCTTGACACGGCAACTTGGTGAACCACGGTAAAAGAGAAGGGCCGCCTGCATTTATTCAACTATCACAAGCTTTTAGGGAACTATATAATCATACAATGGACAAGGGCCACCATCATTAGCCTTCCAGGCGCTGCCAACACCCATCTGCTCCACACCACCTTATGTCCCTAAACTGCACTTCCCAGCCCGATATTGTAGTGCCGTTGCGTCTTGATCCCCATACACATACCATAAGAGATTTCTGTGGCCGTGACCTGTTACTCATACAACCATCATGTACCGTCGCTACCAGGCTCGGGATGACAGGTGATTGCCAAGGCGAGCCAAGCAGAAACAGCATAAAAGAGAGTATGACCATTGATACCTTTTTTCCATCCATGTGCACCATGCACCATGCATATGCCCCATGAGTCGTCATAGTTTGTCCAAACCCCAACACCGTTTTCGCATCCCATTGACGTGTATAAAAAAAAAGGGAAATCCCATCATAATAAAACGACACAAGACAAAACGCCAGCAAGAGATACAAAAGGAGAGAAATGAAATAGTCGTAGAGGCAGATCATACACGTCATGGCATGATGAGCTGTTGGGTGCAGGATTAGAATATGCCGTGTAATGACAAAGGAAATTTCAAAGAAAAGGAAAACCAAGAACCATCATGCGCCGCAATGGCCGATCGTAATGGACAAGGTGAGAGTAGGGTACACTCGGGTCGGGTCCCACGAGAGCGGCATGTTGAGGAGACGCATGCCAAATGCAGTAATACGCTAAGCGTTTCACCGCGGCCGACGTGCCTTGAACCCCGCGTTATTGCCTTTGTTATGCGTCTGGTAATACCACGCTTGGCCTGATTCTTGTGCCATTGCATTGCATTTTTGTGGTTCTGCGAGAAAGGCCAGTCCGTGCGTAGTTTGCTCAAGCCAAGGGGGGGTGGTGCGGGGTTTTCGTGCGTGTTGGGAAAGGTTGTAAGATACCAAAAAAATAATAACAAAGCCGCCGCGGAACCGGGGAGTATGTGTTAAGCATGTTCGAAGATATTGGTCATCTGGCAGAGGGGTGTCCTTTCGTCCTCGGATAATGGGAGCGTGAAACCCGTGTTGAACCGGTCAACAGATCTCGGTGCGACAAATGACGAAAGGCGTGTCGGCGTAACTCAATATCCTACGTGAGTGTGGACGTCTGGGTAATACCCACGACTGGTCTCTATGCCCTGGAACCTGCCGCAGCCTCCGACCTGCCAACCGGCAGCAATAGCTGCGGGGCCAGGATACTCTTCTTTAATTCTACGTTCAGGTAGAGGGAGAGTCGTGTCGAGCTTGGGGGGTATGCCCTCGTAGATGGGCGTCGGGTAGTACGAGTAGTCATGAGGCGCTTCCATCATCTTCACATCGTCGTCGTCGACCATGTGCTGGTCTCCAACGAGACCCTCGACAGGTCCTCCGCTCAGTGAGCTTGCAGAGCTTACAGAATGGCTTCCGACAGGACTTGGGTCGAGTGAATACGTGTTGCCTCGATACATGCTCCCACCCATGCCGGTTGAACCGCCGCCCGACATACCATTGCTATAGCTTGAATATGACGTCCGACCGTTTGAGCCCAGCCCGTGATGACTAGGTCCACCAAGACCAGAGCCTGGAGCACCTCGCGAGGTACTTGCGTTGTGTGGGCCCTCGTTCTGGTAGTGACTGGGCGACCTTCCTCGGACCACGACAGGATGTGAAGACCGGCACGCGATCTTGACCCAGCGAGGCTCCGAGTCGCGTGGATTCTGGATGTTGGCCCAGAGCTCAACGATGAGATGATAATACTGCTGTTGGGCTCGACGCTTGCCGTTGTTGGCAGTGGCCGACTTGAACTGGATGCGTTCGAATGAATGTTGGTAATTGCTGTTTGCGTGGCTCGTGGGGGAATACTGCTGCGAAGAGTCGTTTTCATTCTGCAGGGGGAGTTGAGGTCCTGGTACAGTCGAGGTCTGGTGAAAGCTACTCAAACCATACCCATGCTCATGGCTCTTTCCTGGCGGGGTTGGTGCGAGCAACTCCTTCTTCATAGCAAGTTGTGGACCCTTGTCGCGTTTCGGAGTATGCTGGATTAGCTCAATGGTTTTTCCCGTTGTGCCATCGACAGCGGCAGAGAGTGAAACGGCCATGGACTGAATCTGCTCTTGCTGCTTACCGCCTCCCTGATCCAAGTATAGCCGCGCGTTTGAGATCCATGGCGAGAGTCCGAATGACACATTGACAGCGAAGTAGTTTCTCCGATAGCACGTCCATACGCTGTCAGAGGAAAAGAAGAAGCCCTTCTCGATCTTTGCATCAATACTAGGCGTAACGGCTGTACCTTCACAGGTAATAGTACCGTACGTCTCTAGCGAATTGAAAGGTGGCGTTTCAGCCGCGTTGGCATGTCCTGGGTAGGTGCTAGATGGGTAGGCACCGTAGGGAGTCATGGGCATCGTGGTGGGAAGCACACTCCTAGGCGTTTCTGGCAGGGCGTTGTAGCGAGGAATGTCGGAACGAGGGGACAAGGTGTGAGGGTGCCTATGCAGGCCAGGCGTTGCTGTTGTATAATTATCCCTGGCCGACGTACCCATGGACGGTGACACAGAGTTGCCCAGGCCTGGTGATCTCGACGGAGGTAACATTGCCGACGATGAATTATCATGTCTATCGTGTAGCTGTCAGCTGCCATGCACACTCGTTTCGGTTCTACACGCACGAATGCACGACAATGGGCTACTTACAGTGAGGACATGCGTCGAGTTGACATGTTGCCGTATCCGCAAGCGAAGCTGGAGTAATTGTTTGCTAGGGGGTATTGATTAGAGTAAGTGGTGGCCACGGTCGGGGGGAATGATGAGTAGGAGTAGGCTAATGCCGACGAGCCGTTTGAGCTAGGCGAGGTGGATATGGATCCAGATGAGTCGGAGTGAGCCGCACCAGGCTGGTAGCTATGAATGCAAGTTAGTCAAGCTAGCAAAACAGTGCTATTCGGCCAGGAAGATGGCATCGAACAATGATGTGTAACCAGAGAGTAGGGTGGCACGGTATATGTTGTCAACCTGGCCAGGGTCGGTACGGCATTGCCGCTAGGCTTGTCGTGTGATCACTGTGACAGGCCGGCCTGTTGGGAGATCCAAGTGCGCCATGCATCCGAAACGTGTACGACGACAAGTATGAAGAAGGACATTGACGACGTGTTTGTTTCGGTGTAGGGCGGTCAGAGCTTGGGCAGCACCAGGCCAAGAGGCGTCGAGGGATGCAGGCTGGGGCCGCAGAGCCAGGCAGCACTACGGAGCCAGCCATGCCAGGCCGGGAAGAGAAGAGCCAATGAGAGGGAGTACTTACGCAGTGTCGGGACGAGGTGCGCCGTAACGGCTCGTCAAGGGAATACCGGTCGAGTGTGCTAGGGCCCCGTCGCGCCTTAGCTGATCGGGTACGCCAGCTGCAAAGGAGCTATGATGTGCATGCGCACCAATATGATCGATGCATTGTTGCTCGGAAGAGAAAGGGTTGTCCGATGCCAATGGCAAAGGAGGTTGAAGTACTGCTTATCCTGCACGTCAGCCAATCAACCTGAGCCAGACAGTGTGCTGTTGAACACGACGTGTGACAAAAACGGACAACGTGCACCAGGACGCGAGATAGGAGAGGAGAAAAGGCGCGCGTGGAACTTGGTCGTACAAGTGGCTCTGCGACTGGGTGGCCAAGCAAGCGTGCAAGAAGGCACTACAGGAGCAGCAAAACAGTGGACCCACAGTGTGTAGCCGTAAACAGAGGATGGGAGGGTGGGAAACAAGGCCAAGTAGGCTTGGTCGTGTTGTGATGCAATATAAAAGCAAAAGTAGGAGGAATGTTGGGTTTTTTTGGTGGGAGAATGCGGAGAAGGGCGCCAGTTTATGGCTAGAGGAGGTGTGGAGCGCTTAGAGCGAACAGTCGAGGGTTTGACATGGGTTTACAAAGGCTCAAGGCTGACTTACCGGAATTCATTACTGCAGCAGCAATCGCTGCACCGCCGGTTTCTGTCGTTTGTAGCCGCGCCTGCAGACACTACGACCAATTTGAGAGGCCGAAATCTTACGCTGCGCTCAGGCTTTGCGCTGCGAATCCGACGCTCTGGGTAAGAGACACCTCAACGGACTGCCAGGGTGATTGTTTGAGCTCACAGAAAAATGTCGCTGCGAGACGGAAATGCTGTCTCCTTTGCCTGGAAAAGCCGGGTGGTGGAGCGAGTCAGTGCCTTGTATGTGCGGCTGCGATGGTAGGGTTCGGGGGTGCCGGTCCAAGCGCAAAATGGTCGCTGGAGCGGGACGAGGGTGGCCGTCGAGGCTCGTCTAATGCCGTTGTTGGCTCGCTTCAGGGCAATCTGGTGGGTTTAACCGGCACAAGGGCGGGATCCTCGATTAGCTGCCGCTGCGAGTCGCTGGTGGCTGCCAATCCGTCAATGCTGATGCTCGGCGGCCTGGGAGGGGTGTGTGTGTGTGCGGCTGTTGCGAGCAGGCACTGGTAATGCGTACTTTATCCAGCAGATTGGTTCGTGATGCGCGCTCGCTCTCTGTCACTCACTCACGCACTCACTCTTTCTTTCCACGCGGATTCGAGTTCAACACCCAACACTTGCGAGCCTGTTACAATGCTGGGTCAATGGGCGTGTCCTGGCTAGCGGTGATGGAAGGTGGGCAAAACTGACTGACAGGTCTGACGGTTTTGATAACCCAGCAATGGTGCAGCATGCGTTGATGTCACCTGTTGCGGCTACGCGACAGCTTAAGCCTAGAGGATAAAACGGCTCGTCAAGACGGAGCACCAGGCCGACAGGTGCGCTTTGCTTCTTCCCGCCGTCTCCACAGATCTCAAATCGCTGAGCACAGACAGGTACGGGGCAATGCCCTGGCTTCTCGATCCCTGTGATGGTGGTTGCGACGTAGGCGTTATGGGCGGAGACTATCTACTCTATCGCCGCTACGCTGTGACCTGTCAGTCCTTTGCATTGAACAAGGGGATCGTATGTCGCAATTTCGGTTGAGCTTACTTACAGGGTTCTTCTGCAGTCTGCTGAAAAGAAACGATTGTGGCGTCGGCTGATTTTCGATCGTGGCTGCTTCGGCGAAAGATGGTGACCTGTCGCGGACCTTGAGCGATCTGGGTTCTGGCGACACGGATGACGAATCGCAGACAGGGTGAATGGGTTGCGACGGGGCTTGGGTGCTGACTCGAGAAGGGTCGAGTTCAAAAGCGTCAAGGGCCGAAGCATATATGCACGGTGCCCTCTGTTCAAATTGGACTTGTTGCTCTCAGGCTGTCGCACAAGCCTACTAGGGTTGGACAATCCCGTGATCTTTGGCAGTCCAAAAGCTGCCGGGTAGGGTACCGGGATTGGGAACGTCAAGACAACGGAGGAGACAAGGGAAGGGGGGGGGCTGGTTGGGGATGATGTCGAGGGACCCAGCGGGGGGCGAATTGGGGCCAAGGCCAACAAGGTAGGTAGATAGAATGCGAGAGAGTTGGGAAAGATTGTCAGGAAGAACTACGAGATGGCGGGCAAATGAGAGTGAGTGAGGGTACAACAAGAGGGTGGGCAGTAGAAGTACAGTCGGACGGACAGGAACGGCTATGGCTCAATACAGGGTAGGGTGAGTAGGGATATGTGGGTTGTTTGGCTTGAAGAAGAAGAGACGACCAAGGCAAGCATAGCTTCGCGGCATCATTCGCATTGATGGATCAAGATTTCAGCCCCAGAGCAAATACTGCGTATTGCCCTGCTCAGACCATGACGGTTTTCTAGCACCACGGTAGCATTGGAAAGCTGCAGCAGCGAGCCTTTCCCAAAGCAGAGGCTCTATATCTCCGAGAAGTCAGGGAGGCATGATTTGCGCCAGTGCCCAGGCTCGCATCTTTCTCGAATGGTTGCTGGTCCACGCCGAGCCTTTTGCATTCCTTACACCGGAACAAGAGGGTTGCCTGTCCCGGGGCATGGTCCACTGGTTTGCGGGCCGTGGATTGGCTCGTCAGCCAGAGGCATCACCGCCCCGTGCAGCGATGCAGGAACATTGACCACGACACGACGCTCGAAATGGGGGTTCGAGTCGACACGGCAGGACGTGGCCCAGACGGGCGGGACGACGATGTTTCATCTCCATCAGCCGCCCCATTGAAGCGAACCGATGATCAGAGTAGTTTGCTCCTCTCTCTCTCTCTCCTGCCACGGCCGCTCTGCGGCGTCCAGTCAGTCAGTCAGCAGTGCATGGCGAACTGGGGAGGGCGGGGCCAAGGAGAAAGAAAGGCTGGGAAAGGCAAAAGCAGCGCGCCACGGGCCGGCAGCCGCTGGGAGACGACAGGTCGCAGCGTGCGAGTGAAGGGTGGTGAATGGGCCATATGACATGGACTAGAGGGATAGTGGCAGCTTAGGGTCCTCGACGGCCGTTAGCTGTCACGGGCGACGACGACACGACACGGCCTCTCTTGACGGGGGGGGGGGGGGGGGGGGGCATCCATCCATCATCGAATCCACGCACAGGCGCCACGGGATTCCCAGTCCCAGCAAAGTGATGCGCAGAGGTTGCATCGCTTGGGGGAGGGGAGGGGAGGGGAGGGGGAGAATTGGGTTGGTTTGGTTCGAGGAGCAAGTCGCTGGTCTTGCACTGCACTGTACTGTACTGCGCCTGCGCCATGATCCAAGCATGCCTCACCAATCTCTCTCTCTCTCTCTCACACTCTCTCACCTCTCACTCTCCACTTCTCCCCTCTCTCGCTCTCACCAAGACCCTCACTCTCCCTCCTCCCTCCAAGAAAGCACACACACACACTGCGACCCGGCCGAGTGGGAGGCTGCGCAATGCTCCGAAAGCAGGCAGAGCCACTCGTGACCAGGCGGCCTTCTGCAGCAGGTCGCATTCACGTCCAGCGCGACGACGACATCGGCGCGGCGGGCGGCATATCCCCTCCAGCCTATGGGCGACGAGCGGGGCGTAAACGGTGAGGATGGCGAGAATCGATGGGGGGAGGGGCGCGCCTACCCGCACGGCGGCTCCCTTGCCTTGCGTAGTCCGTCCCAGTACAGTAAGTCGCGATGGAGGGCGATACAGGATCGAAATTATGGGAAGGAGGGGAGGCCCGCGCAGGGGATTGGGAAGGAGCGGCCGGTGACGTGCAGCATCCGCGGTTAATCCTCTCCCGCTTGGGCGCCGCGCCTTTCCCGCTTGGGCACTAGCGGCCTTGGCTGCTTCCGCTGTGCAGTAGTCGCGCCCAACCCGTCCAAGCTCGTCACCACCAGTCGATGGCTCCGAGCACACGCAGCGCAAAAAGTGTTCAACTCCGTGAAATTGGTGATGATGATGATGCTGATGATGCTGATGATAAGGGCTACTCCCTTGCTGGGCCCCCCCCCCTCTGCGAGAACCCACGCGGGTAAGGTGACATCTCAGTCCCAGACCTCACCAGCGCCTCATGTGTCTCGCACGTTGCGCCCGCCCACCCTCCCACCGTCTGGGGGCTGACTGACCAGCGACGAGCTCTCCTAATCTTCGCATTGCATTCCTTACCTCCAGCTTGCGCACCTCATCAGCCCGCCCGGCCAATCGCTGCCTCGCGATGGCCTCTCCGTCCGTGAGGAGAGCACGCCGCCGGGCTGGCCGCAGGAGCCAACATGAGACTGACCCGAGCGCGCACTTCTTCTGCTTTCCCTACCTGGCCAGTCATCTGACGCACCCCCCGATAGAGAATGCAGAGGCAGAAAGCAGGGCTGCCGCTCAAGTTTTCCGAGGGGGGACTCTCTGTGCGCCGCCCCCCAGTCAGTTCAGTACAGTGCAGTACAGTGCAGTGCCAAAGCATTCTACTACACCCAGGCACAGCAGCCCGTTAATGTGTAGATGAAGATGGTGGCTGAGCGGGTACTCTGGACAGCACCTCCTGAACAGGACGCTGCAGGCCATCACGAGGTCACAACACACCCGCCAGCCCTGCAGCAGCACATCCGCTGTCGAGGCACACTGACCTGCAGCCTCCCGCCAGCCCCGTGACGGTGAAGGTCGGGGCGTCAGCAACAATCGATAGTATCATGGCCACCTGCAGCAGCCTTGGACGTAGCCCTCGGGAAGAATAGGCTCCATGTGAGCCCCTCCATCCAATGTCTCATCAGCCCACTCGAGCCAGACGTGAGGCGGCCCATCCTCGCCTGCCCGTCGCAGCAACCACATCCCGATCGTTGCGTACGGCTGGTTACACCAGTACTGCTTATTCCGGCCCTCCTGATCAAACCGATCGACAGGAAACGCTGACGTGATGCCGTGTCCCGGCAACAAGGAGAGGAGAAGAAACGTCTTGCCAACACCCATGCGGGCCGTCAGCGACCAAAGATGGGCTAACTTGGTAGATACAATTCCCCACAGCACGTCTCGACACGTACTCCGATAGATAGCTTTGGGGGGGGAGTGTCCATTGATTTGGCAAAGTGCATGTACCGCTAATAATAGAGTGTCTAACCCAGGCAACATGACAACGTACGATTCTGCGTGTTTTGTTTATTGACAGGTCAATTTCAACACTAGTGCTCGATTTCAATTCCCCGGCCATGGCATCGAGTGGACCGTCTTGACACTGGCCCGAGATCCGGCTGCGCTTCATGACGTATCTAGGCTAAGTATTCTCCGACGATAATCCCTTTCCCATGGTCCTCTATCAGATGAGGTCTAGCACTGAAACCCAAACTCTTCGTTGCCCCCCAATCAATATCCTGAACCCACCCTATAGAGCCCGCTATCCTAACAAAGGTATGGTATGCTGGCGCGGGCTGATCTCTCTCTCTCTATCTCTCTGCTGGGCGCTTTTCTCCTATCATCTCTTGCCAGTGGACAATGGCACGGTATAGGTGGCAAGGAATATAGCCGCCAAGGTGCGTGAAATGACCTGTTGTTTGCGACTAAAGGACTCGCACAGCTGATCTCGTGGAACTGTTGAACCGTCCGATTTCCACGCTAAGGAAATTGATGGTTCCTTGAGGCGCTAGGAGACACATCTGTCACTTCAACTTGGGGATCCCTGTCTCTTGGGATTTCGCCTGTACGTCTACTGGCAGACGGCTGGCCGACGTCTTATGAGGCTGCCCTCTAGCTGACGATAGGCTGGCCAGCCTAGTCCCTCGCACCATGAATCGCATCCACGCCGCTTCCTGGGCATCATCACACTATCCGATCAGCATCTGCGGTTTGTTTCAGTCAGGATCTGGAGCTTCTGTAACGGAATGCTTACCTCGGGCGGCTTTTGGCACGATTTGGTAGCGAGCCTTTGACACTGGCGCTGGCGTTGTACGGCGCGGCCGATGGGACCCAGGGAAAAACAACAGCAACAAGTGAATTTTGGTTCGCCAATCGGTGAGGGTACAAAGATTGGTACATTTCCAACCTCAATCAATTTTTTTCCTTTCAAGGAAAACCCGCTTGCTTCATCAATTCATGGCTCATCGTGATCGATCGACACTCTTGTCAGGCATGCGTCAATCAAACGTCGTACGCACCCAAGCGCAGCTAGTCCTTTTGTCAGTTGTGCACGATCCTTTCGGTGCTTCCAACCTAGAGCTCCCACGTCAGATCCTTTCCACCTCTTCTTTCGGTCCATGAATCCATTGTGGGAGCCCCGACAGCCAGATTTGTCTTGCATGCAGGTGCAGATGCCTTTGAGCAACATTCTCGGCCAGTTCCCGAGCGACTCGTACAACAAAGCCCGCTGTAGAACCGCCAACCCCTCAGATCAACTCACGAACCATTGGCCCGTGCGGACGCCGTGGAAGCAAACTACATGGGCTGGTGAGATTCCACGGCTTCCTAGTTGCCGGTTCAGGAAAGCGCCGGTGAGGGCCGTTTGGTTCACTTTCGCAGCGGACTGGCTCGAGGGCAGTTTGTGACTCCATGTCTAAGCCCAAGGCGTCGTGCTCGCGGGGTCACAGCACGAGCATCGTCACAAGGTACGCTTTTTTTCTTTCGCCCCTCTGAAGCTGGTCACAAAACTGCAAACCACAATCCGGGGATCAGGCAATCAACAGCGCCACAGTGCCGCAACATGGTAATTGCCGTATTGATTCCAGAGCGCGCCGAAAGCCCCCGCCTCGAATGATTTCTTTGCCTTTGCCTGGGATAGCGGGAAGCTCCTTACGGCTGGGCGTCGTCCGTCCTATACCCTTTCACTGCGGTTAATCTATACGCAAGGCCAATGCGCTGGCTTATCACGACCATGTCGCTCCATTCCTCGATGCGGCCACTCATCTCTCCCAACGACTTTCGAGAGACCGACTAGAGGCACGACTACCCCTGGATGCTGCAGATGATTGTGACTATCAGCTGAACACAGCATCTCGTCGTCGTAATCATCTCGCACTTCATGCTGGCTAAGCCCTTGGCACTGCGCTGGGAGATAACCCAGAGAGTGCACTGACTGATTAGACGTAGCTGGTTGCAAGTCTGATGGGGGCCCTTGAGGCTGTCGAGGCAGCCAGCCTTTTGCACATCACAGCCATGATACCAGCTCTTCAAGTCAGAAACTCCCCGGGGCTTTGCCATGATCGATTCGTGTCCAACCCATTCGCTGAAACCAAACTTCCCCCGTAATCCCTCATCGCCTGATCTTCAACTTCAGCCCCTTCAGCCCGCTCACGCAAACCACCCAACTAACACTACTGTCATCTACACCCCGTATGATCTAGCAGTCTCGCTCCCGTAAATGCATCAGTTGCACATAGATCCGCCGTAGCTCAGAGGCTCACTCACTAGCATCTGAGCCACCATGACATCCGCAGAATCTCGTCATACGAATTGTATATATATATATATAACTCCCCTTGTCGTATTCCAATCAACTAACAGCTTCACCCAACGAATGCCCAGAGACTAAAAGTCCAAGGCGTTCACCCACGTCTCAGCCTGACAGGATAAAACTCCTCAGCTATACAGCCAGTCCAATGGAGGGGTGGCGAAAATAAGTCGAAACCCAGGAACTAACTCCTAGCTAGGGCAATGCAGCCCAGTCACAGCACCTTCTCAGGATGACCGCATAACTAGTTTTCTCGTACCCTCGAAGCTTCCTCGAGAGTCGCGGGCGTTCTTTTCTGGGGATCGGGGGGGCGATGATGATTATGGGGTGTGCCCCTTTTTATTTACACAGACAGTACAGTTACTAAATTTGAATGCCCGATGTTGTGAGATTACATGGCGTTGCTCCAGTAGATGCAGGGTCTGAAGGACTATACGAAGGCTAACGTTCGAGGGTCTTAGCCCCTGGCCTGCGTGATCGGGCACTTTTGTTAGCAGCTGTGCTGCATGTATAGTGTCGTTGAATCACCGATCATCCGAACGGCCGCTGCAGCCCAAGTCGTTTTCCATCGAGGGGCCGAGAGAGCGTCACGCTCGGGGGTCCGACTTGTCCCTGCGCTCTGCTCATATTCAATTGTAGAAATGGAGTTTACCTTCTCCAAGGAAAATGATCAAGGTAGGCAGGCTGTGTTGTGACTGACAATGCTGGCGGGCGAATGACTGCCTGGGGCGTGACATCCAGGCACCACCAAACGTGCTTCGGGAGATATGACCGGCCCCAATGTTAAGCATCACGTTGATGAACATGCTTCATTAACGACTCCCATGCAATGTTAGACATACTCTGCATTCTCTGCATTCGTGCTTTACATTCTCAGCTCAGTGGCCGATGATACGATCAACTGGGCTTCTCGCAATGACCATGTATGCAGTCAGCATTTGTCATAGGTACTGTAATTGAATCCCCAACCCTTTGCTTCTCTGTCACGAGTACATGGATCGTAATCTCCCCCTGGGCCCGAGTAACTGCAGATTGCAGAAAATACCGCACGCCAGGATCAGGTAGGTATATGCTACAGCTCGCTTGCTGAGACGACTTTGATCAGAAACAGGTATTGAGTATGTCGCCTAGCGTTCTCTGATCCACTTATTAGTATGATAACTCTTTCACTAGCCATTAATTTCCCTTGAAGTGGATACTACATCTTAAAAGATACAGAGCGATCTGCACATAGTAAGATTCATGTTCATGTTAAACACTATCAGGATGAAACTTCAAACTCATATTGATATTGGTGTTTCTAGTTTCTTAATGTTCGTTCATGATTGATCGCCTCCAACCCTCTTCAGGTAACTATAATCGAGAGACCTGGACACGAACAGCAGGCTTCGCATCGGCACAGCAATCTCAAAATGGGTATGAGCCTCCATCGCGAGAGAGTGCAAGTAAAGAGGACAAAGGACAGATATCATAAGTTGGTAGTTTGTGCCCATAAGGCTTTTACATCGAACTGTCTAGCCTTTACCCAGAGCAATCGCCCCGTGCTGCAAACTTCCTGAACTACAAGGGTATTCTATGCCGAAATGTGTATGAGAATAATCTACACCGAGAACCGGACGAGAATAAACTGCACCGAGAATCGCATCGCTAATCTATATCGAACACGGTGATTAATCCACATGAAGAGTAAACTACGACGACGAGATGATCTATTTCGAGCATAGTATATCCTGGCAAGATTGAAACATGTCGAAAGTTAAGGGGAAATTGAGCAAGATCATAATCGTGTATGAGGACTAAGATGGGATGAAGGGTGGCATAATTCCTCCACGGCAGCACTGAGCTGGAAGCACATTTCTTACAAGAAGGTTCATGTCTTACGCGCAGCAACCCAATTTTGTACTCCTTCGCCCGCAGCGACTAGTCCTAGAGCAATCTGTAGTCCCCTCAAGGACTACCAGTCTCCATTACTACCACTGCTTTAAACCTAAAGAATGAATGCTTTTAAGTGTTCATAAGTAATCGCATCCTCGTAACCTCTAATTCGCAGGTATTTTTGGTCTTCGTACCTCCATCTTGCCCGAACCAAGTCCAAAAATGCTTCCTGAAGATGATCAGGATAGTCCGCGGATATCTCACAAATGTGACACCCTGTCTCTCGGGCTAATGCTATTCCCTCTTGCGTAGAGACCTCTCTTCTTTGGCCTTGTTCCGCATGATTTCTGACTATAAGCATTGGATAAGCGCTTTTGTCTTTCCATTGAAGGATCTGGTTAGGGTACCGTGTGACACGCGTGAATGAGGCCCGCGAAGTGATACTGTAGACTAGCATGTACATGTCTCCCCTTCGCAATTGGCCATGCATGCCAACAAATCCTGGTAGGTAGTCGCCTGGTATGTCGCTCACAGCTTGCAGGTTTATCCGAAACTCTCTGTTGTCGACTACGCATCGTCTCTTATAGGAGTTTACTAGGTTTGCCGGGTCTGCTGCTTGACTACGCGCGAACTATCAAACGTTAGTTCATGTCTATCGTGGACAATATATACCTTAGTAGGTTCCACGTACTTTTGCGGCCAAGGTGTCTGTATCAGCCTCCAATGCTCCTTTGACGATAAAAACTGAGCTTGCATGATAATTGCGTTAGAAGGGTATGTTCCAGCGCCTCATGCAGCGTTATGGGTAATGAGGCCGTAGGGGTAGAAGGTGTTGGGTCCTGTAACGGAGAATTGCGGCTTTTGGCGACTGTTTTATCCCTCAGATGCCGTTCGTCAACTACAGAACCAGTATCTTCCAACACTACATCCCGAAACGTGTAGTGGCCCAAGTCCCCTACGTCGTCCAGCGTTATAGGTAGAGCAACCACAGAAACAACGGAAATATCCGACAGACTAATATCCGACATGGAGGACCAGGCGTGTGATAAGGCGATCGAGCTCCGAAATGAATAATCTGCCGTGTGTCTCTTTGCCTTGCGGTATACCCTTGAAGACTTGAGATCGCTCTCGAATTGGAAGTTTTGTGCGGCTCCAAGGGACCCCAAAGACAGTCGTGTGTTCGTCTCTTGCAGCCTTTCGATAGCAGCATTTTGAGGAAGTCCTCCAGTTTGCGTAAAGCCAACTGGTCGGTATACACGCATGGATTTGCTGGTGTCGAAGCATTCTTCAAGGTAGGCTATACGTCTTGATAGCTCGAGATTGCTCTTCAAGATGTCTGAAGTAATTGACGAAAGCAGTTCACGGCTACGATGCGCTTCTAGGTCCGATTCGCTACCTTCAGTTAGCCTCAAAACAGGGGGTACGGGAAGTTACGTACCATTGAAGTATGTTCAGCATCACACTTATCGAGCTCTTGAAGCACTGCATTCTAGCAACGAGTGATGCCAGTTTCTTGTCGTTTCGTGCCCACTGTATTCTTTTAGGCCATATGTTATCGGCGTCTAGGCGGATAACGAGGCCCTCCAGATGCGAGAAGAGTAGAACTCCATCGGTAAGCGCGGTGATGAGCTGGGCAACCTGTATGAGTTCCCTTCGCCCTCTTGGAGCAGTGTCCAAGTCGTCTAAATATTTCTGCAGCGCGACCAGAATGATTCTTGAGTTGTTGACCTCGGAGAGGACGGCATTGGCGTTCTTGCTGGCGTCTTTCAAGGTTGAGACCACAGGACCCAGAATTTCGGCAACTTTTCCGGCTGCTGCAAGAATGCCAATAATGGCAGCCGCTATTTCGAGAGCCATCGCAGTGAGAACGAGTCTGAACAAATGACGAGATGCGTGTTACTCATATTTCAAACTCTTCTCCCAAGGCTGAACCCTTGTGGGCAGCCACCGCCACAAACGACAAGGCTGACTTGTAGTGGTTTGCGCGCTTCTGATAGGCCGTACTTTTGCTTTTTGATCCCCGTGCGTTGCGTTCAGTCCACTAGCAGTTCAAAGCATATGGAGGACGTTCGTATCAGAGCCCCTTTAATGACGAAGTACTATCTTTTTGAAAGAGGCCAACAACTTCCTTCCGTGGATTCAAAGCGGGATAGGATGTTTTGAAAAGCGCCTATGACACAGCACTACCTATTGAGCTATCGCCAATCTATGGAGGTACCTAGAGTGGAGAGATGTTCGTGATTACGATGAATCCTCTCAAAGCCAAGTGACTGCAGTATAGACCAGTAGCGTGCAATGCAAGGTCCCCTCATGCCAAGCCACACCCCTGTCGTCTTTACTTGAACAAGACTGCGTGAGTGATTTAAGCCTTGCGGGGGAACTACTATGAAGTGAGACCCATGTGCCGTTAGTGAACTGTGATGTTTTCCCATTGTGGAAAAGACCAGGTATGCAGATGTGGAGAAAGGGAAGTGGAATCGCTTTTAGTTACAGTTTGCCCTGAAGTAGGCAAACTCCCCATCCCGCCACCAGGCTGTGTTGTGCCTATGCCGAAGTCGGAGTAACGATATGCAAGTAGAGAATGGACGGCATTACTGCTGCTTCGCAACGCTGCGCTCGAATAGATCAGACACTGGAAACACATTAGCTTTTTATCGTCCACACAGCCGTCTGTTCATGAACTTACACGTCAGCCCACCAAGCAAGAACCCATTCAGATTCTGCAACACCCGCTCATACCTCCCCAAATCCCCCTCGTCCAGCACAACATTCGCCTTCGCCCGGATCCGCGAAAAGTGCGCCTGGAATTTGAGCCAGTTCCGCGTCAATCGATCGACAAGAACGACCTCTAGATCACCACCCGTCAACGGTCCGTTGTCAAGACGCATCTCATACGTCGGCCGGTTCGCCACAATAGCCTTCTGGAAGCGCTCGGACTGCTGGTACAGGAAGGACACGTCGGCAGCAATGTCTTCCCAGAACCCAATGAGGGAGAGTAAGGCAGTGCGGCATGTAGCAGCCTTCTTGATATTGTCGGATTGGTGACCAGGGAGGCTGCAGATACGACAGCCGGCGTTTAAGTGGCGAGCAAGCAGGTTGAAGCGATGTGGGTTTGTAGGCACAGGCTTTGCGCCGGTGGGTGTCATCTCGCGGACAGCGGCGGAGAGAACTGTCAGAGCCTGGCGGACACGGTCAGCGTCGTCGTTCTTCGGTGAAGACATTGTAGATGTAGGAAGTCTGTTCCGTTAGCACGGTGTGTGGAAACGGCAGAAGCTAATGACAGTTTGCTGTGCCAGTTGAGTAAGTCAAGTTTGAGAAGTCAAGCGCAGGGAGGCGCCCTTTATATAGAAAGGGAGAACTGCATGTAAAACAGTGCTGGTGAGTGAAAGAGTCAATGGAAGTCGGTGGGCGTTCAAAGACGGCCTGCGGGTGAGAGAAGGCATCATCAGCTCATTTATAGAAGGCGTGAGACAACACTCACCTGCAGCTGCTCAATATCATCCGCCAAGACTGTCACACCAAGCAGCACGGGGTTCCCGGGTCAGTAATCCACATCTTAGTCATGTGGGATTGAAAGTCCATGCACTTGTGCAAGGCAAAGGCCCGCATATGTTTCATTCGCAAATCGTATTAGGGCGTCGTCGATGAAGCCAGCTCCTTCACAGCTACCATTACCTCCACGCAAGCATAGATACGGTAACATACGGTAACGATTTCCCTTAATATTAAAAACTTGATGGCATTCAGCGGCCTACATCTGGCCTGCCATAGCTGGACTCCCATGGCGTTGATCCAGATGATCGTAGTTGAGCTCAAATTCTCTCTGTCATTCGTTAGCAATGTACTTTAATTTGGAGGCAAGGATACGTACCCTCTCTCGTCTCCAGTTTGTAACATCGAAGAACAGATACCATCCACGCTCCTCTTTCGGCGACAACCTTATTGGGGCCGGAAGATCAGGGTCCTTCATCATCCACTGCTGGAGCTTGATATGCCACCGCCAATCCCGGTTGTACAGCTCCTGTGCCGCGATTTCTTGCAGGATATCCCTCGGAAATTGGTAAAAGATAGCTAGAAGCGTCTCGGCGGAGAAGCTTGTCATCTTGGAGTGTAGTGGTGGAACATTTGTCACGGTGTAGCCTGCTGGTAGAGTGAAGTCAGGTGGGATTACAGGCTTGACGTTGGACTCCACAAATGGCGAGCCAAATGTTGGATGAAGCGGCGAGTTACTAAGCTGTTAGCCTTGATTCGTATGGTTTACAGGCAGTGTTCTTACTCTGGCCGACTCAGGTCTAGCCCTAATACAGTGAGATCTTGGCCCATTGCGAGTGATGAGTAGTCGTGACTCTCTAGAGGTATCATAGAGAGCAGTCCCGGCAGGCCATATCGTTCCGAATCTGTCATGTCTGCAAGTTTCTTATGCAGCAAGGTTTGTGTACTCGGTGAGGTGACATTTTCGGAACCGAAAGGCTGCTCGAATTGGTTCGGCTGAGACCGTTGACCCCCTGGTGCAAGGTCACCACCGGTCCGAATGCCTATTTGAGGACCAATGAACGACAGGTTGCCGGGCGTCTGTCCTATTCGCTGGTTGCCCTAAACAATTTAGCCAAATCCCAGATCAATGCCGGAGGAAACGTACCTCTTGCAGATTCGTTGATGTTGCTCGCATATTGTCAAAAGGCGTCCGCGACACTGGCTCAATGAGTAACTGTTCTCCCTCGATTTTCTTCGACTTCTCACCTGCACTTGGTAGACCTCTTCCACCCACGGTAGGGTTTATCGCCCGGTCTTGTTGGCTGTCTGTGGGGCTTGGGAGGCCGTTGCGCGTCTGCCCTAAACCAGGGAAAGCGCTTGCATTTGGACTACTCCCGAATGCTGCGGCATTTTGTATCAGCCCTGCTCTTCGATCCGGCCCAATTTCTCCCGCAGCGCCACCTAATGGAGGAAACTCCTCGATGTTGCCTGTCTGCGGCTGAGCCCCACCTAGCTGTCCAACACCCCCTTGTCCACCGAACCGATAGTCGTCTCCGGCCCCTGAGAATTGACTTTGCGATGAGTCGTCATGCGATTGATTTTGTAGTTGCTGATTCGGCGTCTGGCCAGTTTGTCCTTGCTGCTGCCCCTGCCCTTGCGGTCGTTGGATGGTCTGTTGCTGGGTGGTTCGTAGGGTCGGATTCGCCCACATTTGCTGCGCGGTCGTATTTTGCTGTGCTTGAGGGGCGCCGGACAATGAAGGAAACTCCCTGCGATCACCAATGTTCAGCTTCAAGTCCTTAACGTCCTCATACTCCCAAGACTTTCGCAGCTCCTTGCATTTTCTAGGTCTTCGCCTCCTGCCTTTCATGGTATAATCACTTACTCGAGATTGAGCGGTGTATGAGGTTGCGAGCCGCCCATTGCCTGTGCAAAGCTCGACATGGCTGCGCCGTTTGTTCGTGTTTGTGCGTTTGAAAGACCCGGTGCACCGCCCATCGGAGCCCCGAAACCTCCCCACTGAGACGCACCTCCTGCGACACATACCTGTTAGTGATATGTTACACCTGCCAATACGAGAGCTCTCTCACCCAGTTTGCCATTCTGTAAACGGTTCGAGCCCAGCGGGGCACCGCGCGTCGTGTTTTGTTGGGTTTGAAACATGTTCGAGGGGATAGTCCGAAGCGTTTGCGCGCCTTGTCCTATGACAAAAGGTAAAGTCAGCTTAGCTCTGTGGTGGACAATCGATTCGATATGTGCAATTGGTGGACGACCAGACGAGGCTGGAGATGTAGCGATAAAGAAGGTGGCAAGTGAAGCTGTCCCTGCCAAATATCGAGAAGGCTTGAAGCGAACTAGGAATGTGTAGCTTGAAAGTGCAATGTGGACAGCTTCGTTGCGTGTGCGGCGTAGGAAGACGGAGATTCGAGCTGGCGATTGTGCGGTGCTGGAGAAGGAACAGCCCTGGACGATTCATGATGTAAACTGGGGTACGAACCTATGAGTAATGTCTTTATTCGGGGTTTGGTAGCAACAACAACGATGTTCGCGGAGTCGCAGTCGCACCTCTCTCGCGTGCACAATGCTGGAGGTTCGCGATGCGAACTGCAGCCAAGGCGCTTGTTCTAATAGGGCTAGTCCTGAGGCAAGATCTGCGGGGAACAGGTGGATCAGCTACCAAGAGGTTACCATCACCAACGTGTATCTCAATAGTGCGATTGGAAACATGCCCCTTTCTCTGGGCTGTCAGGGTGTCAACCAAGATCTTCCTGGTAGCAACTTGCTATTAAGCTCTCGACTACCTTGTTGCCATGAAACGTCGAGCAATTAAGCCATGAGCACACGAAACTTGTTCTCCAGCCATGCCAACGACAGAGACTGTCAATAACAGCAAATACGTCGAATTACGTGGTGTCGTACAACTAACAGCCATTTAAGGAAGGGAAAAAAATGAAATGGCCGAACTTTTGTTCCCAGCCTTCACGGCATAATCAAACGACCAGATACCACTGTGATGATATGTTACCCATATCCGATACTCGCAGCCGTTTTGGGGGGTGATCATGCTCCGCACAAGTCACAATTCGCACTTAGAACGCCAATACCATGCTTCCACCTCGCAAATGACGCTAAAAAATCGCAAAATAAGTCGTACATGCTTGAGGACCGACGATGGTCGAGCGTAGAAACCGAACCCAAGAGACGACTATGTCGGGCCATGCTGGAAGAGATGTGTCATGTCGGTCTCGCCGTTGATACCAAAGAAGTTGAACCTGTGGGCACGTTGTTAGTGACATAATCCGGCAAGAAGAGACAGCGTCTCGTGAGCATCAAAGCACGGAACAAGTAACTCACCAGTCGTCCACGTTCAAACTCATCGGCACGATAGGGTTATGCCTACTACCTGAGCTATTACTCCAGGTGTCGTCCTGGGCACCGTGCTGTTGCTGGTTCTGCGACATCATCTCCATCTGCTGCGCCCATGCTTGCGGATTGTTGTGGTCGACACCAGGAGGGATACCCAGAGTGGTTTGCGGAGTCTGCATCTGTTGTTGACCTCTGGGTATTTGCTGTGGTGCCTGCTGGTGCATTGGAATATTTGGTGGTTGGCTTAACGCTGGGTCCACAAGACTATGGCTCTGCATCGGCGATATCTGCGGGAAGTTGACTTGCGTGTCAGCGGGAAATAATAGGTCGGGTTGGAAGTTTTGCCAGACTTCTTGACTGATGTTGGGCGTGTCACGAGTGACCAAGAACAGATCTGGCGGTGTCCCAGGATATGAATAGGACGGATTGAAGGGTGTCGTTGGGCGCGTCCCTGATCTTGAAGGACCCATGAAGGCATCGTGGTTCTGCCGGCTCATCTGTGGTGATCCGGTCGTCATCTGAGGCATCTGCTGCTGGGGCGGTAATTCACGTGAAGGCGTAACTGCTGGGGTTTGTGGCCTAGATCGCTCGTAAGATACCTGGGGCGCGGGTGGACCATTTGTGGTAGTGGCAGGGAAAGCCAGATCCATGTCATCGAATTTACGCTTTGTGGCTTCTTGGGTTGGTCTGGGTGGAGGCGGTGGACCTGTAGCTACTTTATTCTTCTTGTGATTCCTGCCCGCCGCTTTTTGCAGGCGCTCCTCGAGATGCTTATTCCCAAGGATGGACTCGAACAGCGTATGGACCATCTTTGCGACAAGCCAAACTTTGGATACCTCTTTCAGTGCGTCCAGGCAGATTTGTAATCGCTGCTCTGTTGCTGACACGACTGATTTGTTGGTAGATTTCATCTGGTAGACGTGCATAATGAGGGCGGAAAACAAGCTGTACACGATGAACGCCGGGGTGTACCGGATCTCGTCATGCGCTCTTAGGTTTTCGATGATGGAGGTTATCATGGCGGCGGCCTGGTACGCAATGTTCCTTGATGGGTAGGCGTGCTCTTCTCCGAAACCATCGAGGTTGGTGGCTTTTGGCGACCCTGCCGGGGGCATATGCGCACGATGCAAGAGACATAGCGTGGTGCTGAAATGGTCAGTAAATGGTTGTTTTGCACCGAAGTAGGACCTACTAATAGTTTGCATGCAACAAAGCCGCCCAGAAGTGATGGTGTGTTCGATCCCACTGCACCTCTGGCGGACAATGTTGCAGCCAATCTGCAAGCGCCATATCGCTATGGGTAAGGTCTATAGCATTGCCTCTGCGATGTTTCGAGGCCACAGAGTACTGCTGCGATAATACTAACCCCATGATTTCGCTCAATTTGACATAGTTGATGAAGAACTGTACATGTACTGGATCCGGTGGGTGTTCCGCTGCGAGGTCGGACTCATCATCGATGAAGTCATCTTCGGAGACCATCTCAACATCAGAGTCCTCGGGGTCGATAGCGACGGGTCTGCCAAGCGCAACTGCTACTGAACGGTCTCGACTGTATAGGGTCCACCAGATTCGCTTCCATAAGCGCTTATCTGATCGGCTCAGCTGTGATCCCTCGACACTAAACTCGTCAGTAGAAACCCTATAATGATTATTACGACAAAGTCTTACCTCCGGTGCATGCCGGATCCTTGTGCTACAACAATGGCAACTCTTGTCCAGTAGAATACGTTCTTAGTGACATCTGCGTTCAGTTAGCAAAGGTCACGTAGCTTCCGCTGTAAGTTGTACCTTCTGGTCCTTCCCAGTACCATCCCATTAAGATGAGAGCCTGGACGATGGTCACGCGATCGTCTTCGAAGTTTGCATCGTACAAAGCTTTTGCGCGCTTGTAAAAGGTCATAGCAGCGGGTGTTGTTGATCCACTGGAATCCATCAACTGGGCGTTGGTGCACACTCGTGAACCGGCCAGGAGCACAGCCTGTAAGAGAAGGAGCGATGGAGGGTTCTTTGGGTCCCGGTACTGGCGCATGAAGCGGCTGCGATTGATTACGGGAACGACCGGGGCCACCCATTTGAAGAATGCCTCTACCAACTCGTCACACAATGCTCGAGGGGGGAGCAGGAAGGCGCCGCGTTGGTGCAATATCTCGATCTCCATGTTGTCCATCTCATTCACCCTGGCCTTGGCGCCTCGTACGTTTTCAGGCAGCGGGTAGTGAACTACGTCGGTCGTCCCGTAGTGGTCGTGAACGAGGAGTGACAAGTTGGAAGACTCTCCGAGGTAAGCAACGCGTCCAGCTTCCTTGATAGGGGCCCTGGCAAACTTGGGCTTCATAAACTGCACATAGGTGCTGTTATGAGTAGCCTGATGGGCGGCATAGGCACTGGACAGGGTGGTCGAGGGCGTGCCATCCTCCGAGTTATACACCGTCGTCCTGTCGCGCGGTTCGGCGGATGTGCTCGCTGGGGAACGGTCATCGCTGTCTCCTCGGTCGCTACTATGTGTGTCAGCGCCGAACTCTTTCCTAGCCCAATATCCGTGGACCCTACCTATCCTCGGTTTTAGTCCTAGTTGTCTGCGTCTTCTTGCGCTTGGGCTGCGGGATGCGGCACTCGATGGAGAAGGCAGTACAATTGGTGCATGGTATGCCTAGCGATGCGGCGTCGCAGCGGACCTACGTAACTGTTATGCGCTGGTTCGCGGAGAGGGTCGGTCGTTGGCTGATCACTTACTTTCCTCGCATGACATGCTGCGAATCGTGGTGGTTAGCATCATCTTCAAAGTCGACCGAGGTGCCGAGGCTCAGCAGTCCAGGTCGATATAAGACCGCGACAGCTCTTCGCTTGTCTGCCGGCGATGACGCGCAAAGGAAGAAAGATGGACTCACTTTCGCATGCTCTGCTGGCGCGCTGACGTCTAAACGAGGGGTGTCCAGGGGGAACTGACTGCGAGGTCGCGGACGGCCTGGCTGGTTGTGAGCATGTACTGTGCTTCGCAGCGCGCGACAGCACCTACGAGGTTGCACTGCTAGGTTGCGCAGCCAGCGGTTGCGGTGCTGCAGGCACTGAATTGGCCATGAAGGAGTGCTCGCCAGACATGCTATCGCTGGCCTGCTCCGCGTGGTCGTCGAGGGTTGGGGTTGCGATACTCCACACGCGGTCGAGTGCTTGTGGCACACAGTATGGCGCCCGGATCGCATTTACGCTAGCGGGGCTCACGGTCTGATCCGGCGAAGGCATCGATCACTACCACAGCAGACGTGAAACAAGTGCTTTCTCGTTTGTCAGACAGGTCCACTTGCGCTACTGTTACTTCGGAGCAGGTACATAGGTGTGCTCCACAGAAGTCTACACGGTCGGGTCCTCCTCATTTCACTGCTGCCGACCATGTCATTCCAACCTATTCGTCTGCCTGGTCTGCCTGGTCTATTGACAACTTTGGAAACACATTCATCCACCCCAGATCATCCCGTCTCCATCCAAATAGGGGATCTCCTATTGGCGGTACCAGCAGCTTCTCGGAGTTTCACATGTGCTGCACATCATCTCGTGACCATCACGGTCCGTCTCTATTGCTCCGCCGATGCTCCGTCATCCGCTTCAGTCTCTAGTACGTCGTGGCATCTGCAAGGATAAGGAGGATCCCCTCAAAGAGGCTCTATACCAGCGCGATCTGCAGTCAGGTCTACAAAGCATGCCAAGCCCCTGTTGGCGGCATTCTGTTATGCTCGTCTTTTCCAAGGAAGACACAACTATACCTTGTCCTAGATGCTGCTCAACAGAGTTTACCAATCGATGGTATATCCCTGTCGACCCCTCGTGTTTGCCAAGGGGATCCTTCCCCATATATTCTCCCAAATGACCGTACACTCGGCAAAGTAGGGAGGCAGAAATAACGCTTGGAGTGTAGTTAACTGTTTGCCTCGAACACCAACTAGACGTGTGTGACTCTTGTATAGCCTTTGGGCCTACTTTGTTATAACTTCATGATCTCTCCCTGTACCCAGGATCACAAGGCCTCTCGCTGAAGCCTGAAAGCCTCCAGTTTTACCCCTTTGTTTGGTGGGCTGATGTACGCCAGCTTCACGTCTCCCACAAGATCATTGACGATCTCCTCTTCAGAGGCAAAGAGAAACTTCTGATGCTCTACTGGGTCCAAGACCACATTGTCACTGTCCCGGACTTCCATCTCGAAAATCAGCTTCAACCATGTCTTCGTCGGGTGCCCTGGCCTCCCATCGGTAAAGGTAAACTGCGTGACTTTCCTCAGCACCCGGGTTGCTTCGAGACCGGCCTCCTCTTTCAATTCTCGTGCAGCCGCATGTAAAATGCTCTCGTCGGTGTCATCCACTTTCCCTCCTGGGATCTCCTACACAATATCAGTACTGCTAGATTCTCTTGACCCCATGCGCATGTACCTGCTGCACCTCAAAGCCTCATAGCTTTGAGTGAATGCAGGTCCAGCTCAAATACAACGTAGCTTTATATTCATTCATGCCATAATCTGATCCTCTACCCCAAACGTCACTTACCCAGAAATTAGGAAATGCCATCTCGTTTGCCGCACGCTGTACTAAGAGCAGCTTCCCTTCTGCGTTGAAGACTATTATGCCTGTACAAAGAATGTCGTATTCGGGATGATGGCGGAGGAAATCTTGCCCGGGCACTACATATTCTTGCAGGGACGAGGGGTAGTCGAGAGAGTGCGTTGGATCACTCATGTTGCTTAAATATTGTATAGAAGCATAAGTTGAGGTGTAAGTCGTAGGCTGCAAGCTCTGTCTTTGTAGTAATGTGGCTGCCTTGGGCGAGCGGGTATACTTCTCATCTCTGCTCAATGGCGGCTTAGCCTGAATGCTAATGCAAGCCCAAACCTCACCCACAATGGGAGATTTTGCGAAAAGGGCCGTTTTTGTAATGGCGGTAGAAACGTACTACTAAGGTATCACGTGGGCCAAGCGTCTGGCGCATGGCGCCAGTGAATTGGTCGCGTCACAACATCAACGCGCATCATCCCATGCAACCCGCCTGAAGCCGCCCACCCCTTTGGTCCACCCATGAAGACGTTTGTTCGTCGGCCTCACACCTATCGAATTTACCACTCCCAGTGACTATTGCGACAATGCCTCGCCCACCGAGAACAAAAGTCGCGTTGTCGAACGCACGCGTCGCGAAACCAAAACCCGTCCCACGCAAGCAACCAGCGAAAGCTGCTGCTACGCAGACCACGAAAGCCAGCGAGGCAGTAAACAGTTTTAGTGAAGATAGCGATGGCTTGGTCACAAAATCAAGATCGACGCGCCCGAGGCGGAGGATGCCATGGGAAAAGACGCCGGAGTTTATCAACGAAGCAGACCTCACCATGACTGGCGCACTCCCAGCTCGAGAAGAAGTGCCAGAACCATCGATTCAAAATCGCACACCTGCCGTAAAGTCGCCGAAGAGAGCACGGACAACAAGAAGCAGCGCTGGGTCCTCCGCAAGAAGAACGACGCCATCTGTGGTTATACCGGCACAGATATGCTCCCCTACTGCAGACGCACCAGAACAGGCTTCTCAGCTAGAAGAGGATAGCGGATTTGGCGACCTGACCTTCTCCTCTCTGGGCTCAGAGTCACCAGCCCACGGCACACGCCCACCATCCGCAATCAAAGTCGGCGCAACGCCTGCACACGAGAAGTCCATCCTCGCCTTGACAAACTTCAAAAGAAGAGCCCGACAGCCAAGCTTACTACGCATGGTGCAGCAGACTACCGACCTCGAAGATAACGATGCAGACAGCCTGGACAACACAGATGACTTCGATTTCGATGATTTCCTCCCGCATGCTGAATCAACGCCACTCAATTTGAAGAGGAACGCACCAGAAGAAGAATCGCGGGCCGACAGTGGCACCCAAGTCTCCAGCTCCGGCTCGCGTGGTACCAAGCGCAAGCTTTCGCCTGTTGTTCAAGTACCGCGTTCTTCGCCACCGTTGAGCTCGCCATCTAGGGCCGACGTGGAATCTGAACGATCTCCTTCGCCCTCCCTACCGGAAATTCTACCATCACGTGAAGTAGCCATCGAACAGACACAAGACGATCCAGAACTTCTAAGTGAGACCTTGGCAAGTCCCAAATCAAGCAGTCCTGTCCGGGAAGTGTCAACTCCTCCTCAATCACCGGTTCGGACACGTCCACATCCACGTCGGAGAGGAAGGCCTGCGAGGACGCCAATTAGAGATGATGACTCCGAAGTTGAAGAAATAGAAACACCCGCAAAGACGAAGCGAGGCCCTAGAAAGAAGGCGCAGCAGAGTATTTCTACTGCCCAGCTAAAAGGTCTTTTACCCCGTCGACGGAATCGTCTACGAGATCGCGACGAATTTGACTTTGATTCTTCGGAGGAGGTAACGCAGATGGACTCGGACCAAGACGAGCTGCAAATGCCAGTGCGGCGAAATCGCCAACAGCCGGGAGCTGGGAAGCTTACGTCACCAAAGGCTACGAAGAAAGCCTCACGGGGGAAAAAGGCGCCACCAGCAAAGGCAGCGCAAAAGGCCAGCAAGACATACAGTCGCAGGAAATCTTCGGACAAAGAGAATGATGCAACGGGACAGAAGGACGAAGACGCCATTGAAGTTTCTGCGATCGAACACTCAGAGAAGCTGGCTGCTATTAGGAAGAAGTTTGAAGAAGTGGATGCATTCGAGTTGGAGTTCGAGACTGTCGACGTGACGACCAGTTCGAGTCCATTTCGGTGATGCCAAGCACTTCAATGGAGGGTGGAGAATATAAAATACTGTGGACATACGTGCTATACTATTCACAAGCATGAAAGAGTTATGCTGATATCCGTGGGTACTGGTAAGAAACAGCATGGCGTTGGTTTGGCAACCCACGATGACAAGAGACCACGTAATATGTTAGAAGATTCGCTGTGAAATATGCCACGACACTACTTACTACCAAACACTCCGTCTGACTCGTTACTTTGCTTATACATGGTGATGCTTGGTTTAATGGGGGCTATGCATTAAACACTACGTGAAGCTAGTCGTTATCTGTCGTTATCTTCACCTGCGTAGAGTTATGAAGGTAGAGGGCACACGAGAACAATGGAGCGTGCTCGTAAACCTGACCAATTCTTGACTGAATAAGGTGAGGCTCTTCTAGGCGCAAGGTTGGCGTTACGTTACTGGTTGGACGCCTTCCTCCCTGCGGCAGTCGGCGCACGGCCTTGTTGATTGAAGGAGTCGTGATCGCGTTACGTAGCTTCCCAGCTTGGACACCTACCACATCTCTCGAACACACCCCCTTCGCGCCTCCACTGTTGCTCTACCCTCTCACTACCAACAATGTCCCAGTGACTCCATGCCATGCGTCTTCCCGACCACTCGAACCATTTGGCCCATGCAGCTCCCCCTTCACCCACGCCGCCCGGTGTCCGCATGCCATGAACCCCTCCAATGGCTCCTCGCTGTCGACGTCTAAGAGTAATTCGACATTGCGTCCGAGGACGCGGAGACTGATCTCGCTGGAAAATGACATCTATGCGACGGACGGGAGCGAGAGTGGGCTGAGCAGGAGTGTATCGAACACAAATTCGAGGAATGGATCACCTACACCAAAAGCATACCCCGGAGTCGCTCCCTCATCGCGCCTCAACGCCACCTCGACCCCGTCATCCTCCTTTGTGAGATCTACAAGTGCACAAAACCCAATATCCCCTCGTAACGCAGCGAATAACTTGTCTGGAATATGGGGGAACCCATGGTCGGCTATTCAAGGCATCGCAGCAAACGTCATGGGTAATGAAGACACATCCACAGAGGCAGGTAGTGCTCGAAGACGAAAACAGCTGAAAGGGCGACGCACGTCTACCAGTGTACCACCGCCGAAGCAATGGGGTCCAGCAGGCGTAGCCGCACACGTTGGTAATGGGACACATGAGGAGAGGGAAGCCATGGTTCGAGCAATGAAGCGCAAGGACCTCTTAACCGCCAACGAGCAACTAGTGCCAGACTCAGTCGGCCGCATAAAGCGCAGGACGTCAGATGAGCGTCTCAGTGCTTCCGCACCTCCCGGTGAGAATGACGACCGTGATGCCCTCGTGTACATTCACCAGGTTCGGCCGCAAGACACGTTGGCTGGACTCAGCATCAAATACAATTGCGAGCAGGCCGTGCTACGCAAGTCGAATCGCATGTGGCCGAATGATAGCGTGCAGACAAAGGAGACAATCCTGCTCCCAGTAGACGCTTGTGGAGTGAAGGGACGCCATGTGCCTGGACCGGATACTCTTCCAGAAGAGGATCTACTGCTAGGAGAATACGGCGACAGCACAAATTGCAAGACACCGACCATGGGGACGAATGGACTTCCTGATGGTTGGAGCACCCCGAAACAAAGAGACACGGAAACTACTTCTGTGTCCTCATCGAACGCAGACGCAGAGCCACCATGGAAACATGATTCGTGGGTACTTCTACCCAACGACAAGCGACCTACACAGATCGGTCGCATGCCCCGTAGAGCACTCGGCTTCTTTCCGCCCGCCCGTCGGAAGTCTCTAGCGTACTCAGATGCATCAACGCCCCGAGCGTCCATCGATCTCCCTCGCTCCTCTACATCTACGAACCCAATCCCGAGTTCCTCACAATCTCCGCGGCCGCGTGCTACCAGTAACCTATCTACAATGTCAAGTCATAGTCACCAACAAAGTACATCAGGAAATTCATGGGGCTTACATGGTCCAGGGGGTGTGGGGACGTTGGGCAGAAACGTGCGCAGCCCCGGCCCTGCTCAGGATGGCCTGAATAAGAACTTTGCTCAGTATCTACCGAACATGGCGCCACCGGCTGGGCAGGAGTATTTTACGCCGTGGGCCCCAAGCTTGCTAGACGCAGGTGCTGGAACATCGAGTCAGTATGGAGGATCCGGAGCAATAACACCTAGCAATGGGACAGGAATGGATTTCCAAGACATCGGAGGCGCCATCGAGGGCTGGGTACGAAAGGTTGGCACGCAAGCACAAAAGTTGTTGACTGAACCCGGTACGCCAGGTCAAGGGAAACGGAGCGCTGTTCCTGTACTTGGCGCCGTTGGTGGCGACTTGGGCGACCTCATTGAATTGCGAGACGATGCTTTTGAGATCGGTGACGATGAGCGAGATCGCGGGAGATCGAGAACAGAGGAAGTCCTGGCGTCAACCAGTGAGCGGTCGGCTTCGAGAATAATGCAGCAGTATCAAAGCGCTAGACCAGACATAAACCTCGTTCTTAGAGACAGAGGGCGAAAGGGAGATAGTAGCAAGAAGGACTGAATAGCATCAGATGCAGCTTTGGGGTTGATATTGGCGTTTCGGTAAGCATTTTGTGCTGCTTTCGAAGCGTTTCGGCGTAGTTTACACCAGAAAAGAAATTTGATATATACCTGTAACGAAAACAGATGCAAGGGAAATATTCCTGTCGTTACTGTGTTGTCAGCCTGAATCTCCGAGCATCTAGTCCATTACTGTCACCTAAACTACCATGTATGCACCTGATAATGTTCGTGTTGTGGTCTAGCTTGTCTGACGTCCAATGTTCATTGAGACCGCCGCACGGCCTCCGTGCAGAACACGGACTTTACATCGACCGTATGCATGGTACCATTTCCATCACATCTCACCATACTGGATACTAGTGTCATGCGAGTGCTTGTAGACGTCCAGCCGCAAGTTATTGCATCAGTAAGATGCGGATTAGGCAGGTCGTTCGCACCGCGTATAGGATCGGCAGTTAAACAGCAACAACTCCGACCGCAAATTGTAAGGTGCTCGACCACGAGATCACCTGCTTTTTCTCTCTCGTCAGCGTCTACAGCAGCTCCAACATCCAGCCCATTGCTACCGGTGAACCAACGCACAAGGATCAAGTTAAGAGCACCGTTTTCTCCAAGAGCAAGGCTTGCTCAGTTCTCCGCCATGCATCGCGCCCCCGCAGCCATGGTCACCAAACCAATGGCCGACCCCAACATCACTATTAACACACCGCGGGACCCAAACACGCTATCGAACTATCACAATCTCGTGACTCGACATACCAGCGTTGACTTCGACATCGATTTTGAGAAGAAGCGGCTGTATGGATCTGTAATACTATCACTCGAGAGTTTGACTGACGAGAAGGTGACGGATGTGGTCTTGGATAGCAGGTACGTAAAGTCCTGAATGAGCACGCAAGAGTGTGAAAGATTATACAATTGGGCTTAGGTCTCTCAGCGAGACATGCATCGTTTAACTCAACTGACAGTAGGCAGCTTTCTAGATATCTCAGTCGTAGAGGTTGACGGGCAGAGCGCCAAATTCAAGGTTGATGACCGTGTAGAGCCATACGGCAGCCCGCTCACCATCACACTTCCGTCCACTGTGCCGAAGGGGAAAACTGTCGACATTGAAATCAAGGTTGCGACAACGGACAAATGTACGGCACTGCAATGGATGACGCCCGCTCAAACCGCGAACAAAAAGCATCCGTACATGTTCAGTCAATGTCAAGCAATCCATGCCCGCTCCGTTTTTCCCTGTCAGGATACTCCGGATGTCAAGTCGACCTTCAGCTTTGCTTTGCGGTCGCCATTGCCGGTCCTTGCCTCAGGTCTGCCGACAGGTGCGAGCGAGTACCAGCCGCCCAAGAAAGATGGCGAGAATGGCACGCTGAAGTATACCTTTGAGCAAAAGGTCCCCATCACGTCCTACCTCTTTGCTGTTGCAAGTGGTGATCTAGCGTGTGCCAGTATCGGCCCGCGTAGTACGGTTTGGTCCGGCCCAGAGGAGCTTCTCGACTGCCAGCGCGAACTCGATGGCGAGATTGAACCCTTCATGAAAGCTGTCGAGTCCATTGTCTCGCCCAACTACCAATGGACACAGTACAACATCCTCATTCTCCCTCCATCTTTCCCCTACGGCGGCATGGAGAACCCCGTCTGGACATATGCGACACCCTCCGTCATTTCCGGCGACAAGCAGAACATTGATGTCATCGCGCACGAACTCTCTCACTCATGGTCTGGTAACCTGGTTAGTGCAGCAAGCTGGGAGCACTTCTGGCTGAACGAGGGATGGACGACGTATTTGGAGCGCAGGATTGCAGCAGCAATTCACGGGGAAGCACATCGCCATTTCAGTGCTATCATCGGCTGGAAAGCTCTTGAGGAGAGCATTGAGCGCTTCGGTGAATATCACCCATACACGCAACTCGTCACCGACCTCAAAGGCCAGGATCCAGACGATGCCTTTTCTTCCATACCTTACGAAAAGGGATTCCATGCGCTGTACCAGTTTGAGCTTCTGATTGGAAAAGAGAAATGGGACTCTTTCATCCCGCATTACTTCGAGACGTTCAAGAACAAAAGTTTGGACAGCTACGATTTCAAGTCGTGCTTGATTGATTTCTTCGCAAAGGACTCTAAAGTCAACAAGAAATTAGAAGACTTTGACTGGGATAAACTATTCTATGCGCCTGGTTACCCGCGGAAGCCGGATTTCGACCAGACCATGGTAAAAGGCTGCTATGAGCTTGCTGACAAATGGCACTCCCTTGTCACCCAGACTACCAGTGGTGAGTTCAAGCCCAAAGAGAGTGATATCAAAGGCTGGATCGCCAATCAATCGGTTGTATTCCTCGAGAAACTGCAGTCATTCGCAGAGAACCTCTCGCCGGAGAGCGTGCATCAACTTGGCGCGACGTATGGGTATACAAATACCCAGAACATCGAGGTTCTCTCGCGATACTTGACTATTGGCTTGATGGCGAAAGTTCCCGAGACATACCAACCCTCGGCTGACTTGCTTGGACGCATTGGCCGAATGAAGTTTGTTCGGCCCATCTTTAGACTGTTGAATGCAGCAGACCGAGATCTAGCGGTGAAGACGTTTGAGAAGAACAAGGACTTCTACCACCCTATTTGCAGACAAATGGTTGAGAAGGATTTGTTTGGTGACGAGACGAAATAGTGGGTCTGAGGTAGAATCGAGAACCAAGTGGCATGATCCCCTCATGTTCTGCAAGCAATGTGTCACAGTGATCCCATCTCACTCACCAAATTTAAGTGACAAATTCTGCTAGCTTGGATAATTTGCAGAGAGTAGAGACGCCATTTACTCCAAAGCTGTTAATTTCAACGAGCGAGTTCGGCATAACAACCGGCCAACACGGTCTAACCCCGTGTCGATGCCAGCTCACCCCACCGGGATACCAAACCAGGGTCTTTCCGTCTCGCATGGGTGGCGCGCCCCTCACCTCATCCGACAAGCCTGACATCATTTAACCTTTCGAGTGTCCTATCCCTCAAAATGACTCCGAAGCGCGCGCTCTTCTCGTTAAACCTTGATTCCGACGCTGACCACGTATACCAACGCGTCGACGAGCACAGCAAAGAAGGCGCCGACAAAGTCAAAGTCCTCGAGACCAAAGGACCAACACACGGACATACAGATCTCTCGTACGTGACGAAACCGTTTGAGAAGCTTGTGAACCGGACTGTCGACGGCGTGATTGAAGGCTCAGGCAAGAAAGTGCATAGCGCCGAGGGACAAGTTCGTTACTCGACGGAAAGAAGTGAGAAGAAAGAGGGAAATAGTAGGATCAACGTAGTGAGCAAGAAGAAGAGAAGGCATATCGAAGACAAGTACGATACAAGCGAACTCTAAGCCGCCCCCCAAAAAAAGGACCCCAAACCACACAAACACAAACACAATGTCGAAGGATCTTACTCCCCTCCGCATAGCTATCGGCTGCGACGACGCGGGCGTTTCGTACAAGAATGCCATCATCAAAGACCTCAAGGCCGACGAGAGAGTCGCGTCCATAACAGACGTCGGCGTCCCCGAGCACGCGGACAAAACGGCATACCCGCACATCGCCGTCGACGCGGCCAAGCTCGTGGCAGAAGGCAAGGCAGACCGCGCGGTGCTGATCTGCGGCACGGGGCTCGGCGTCGCCATCTCGGCCAACAAAGTCCCCGGCATCAGGGCCGTCACAGCACACGATAGTTTCTCCGTGGAGCGCGCTGTTCTGTCCAACGATGCGCAGGTCTTGTGCATGGGCGAGCGGGTCGTGGGGATTGAGCTGGCGAGGCGGCTGGTCAAGGAGTGGTTGGGGTACCGGTTTGACAAGCAGAGTGCCAGTGCGAAGAAGGTGGATGCTATCATGGAGCATGAGAGGAATAATTATGCGGACCTCGCTAAAGACTTGCCAAATGCCATGGGGTGCTAGGTTTGGGGGAGTTGCACTCTTTAGCATGTTTCAATCGTTTTTTTATATATCTTATTTCAGCTGTTCATGTGGTATATCTATCCCCTACTAGAAACAAAGTTGATGCCCATTTGTCCTTCAAAGATAGACATTATATACACAAACCCCCAAAACACGTTCAATATCCAAACTCCCAAAGATCCTTCTTCCACCCTTCCGTCAACTGCTCATCCGCACCATACTTTTCCTGCCACTCGGTAAACCCACCTTTAAGCACATACACCTTCTGCACCTTCTCTTCTTCTTTCTCTCCCTCCTCATCACTTTTACTCTTCGATTCAACCTTCCGCCCCGCATCCAACCGTTCCTTCTCCCGAATATATCGTAGCGCAGCACTAGGTCCGCGCTGCTGGCTCAGCGCACAGTGAAACACGACGACTTGCTTGTCACGAAGCGTGCGGATCAGCTCGGGGACTTTGTAGTCTAGCTGCGAGCTGGGTATCCATGTCGAGCCGCGGATGTGGCCGCCTATGTGGTCGGAGTCGCGGACGTCGATTATCGCTGTGTTTGATGGGAGAGAGGTATTGGAGTCGGTGCTGGTAGAAGAGGATTTTATGGAGTCTGCGAGGGATTCGCGCGATATGTATTGTAGGTCTGAGAGGGAGATTGTGGACATGTTTGCGGTCCTTGTGGTGGGGTAGGAAGTGTGGTTGTAGGCGCGCCGTTGGTATGTGTAGAGGCGGTTCAAGTCCATGCACTGCCGGGGCTTCGGTGTATGTAGAGACTTTAGAGGTGTAGTATAGAAGGGTAGAGCTGCGATTGAGGCGTTTGGGTAGCGAAAGAGCATAAGCTGGGACGTGTTCAAGTTTCACGTAGGACGAAGTCAGGGAAGTGGGGCACGCGTGGGGAGCACTGGCGCGATAGCACGTGAAGATAACGCTGATGGAGTGCAAAAGATCCGAGGGCCTCGAATCTTCAGGGCTCGAATACATTGCAAGAGCCGAGACTTGATGGCGAGGGAAATCAATTGAGCATTAACACTCCCTTATCTAGTACAGAATGTTAATCTAACAACCAATCCGTTACGCCACCCAAAGCCCACGCGGAAAATGCTACACAGGTATACTACACGTAACAAACACCGTTCAAAAGATCTCATGACTGCGTCCCTTGAACTCAATCATGTTTAGCACCCCCATTCCCATTGCCCATCCCTCCCAACAGCCCGTCCTTCTCTCCCAGCTGGAAGTAGGCGCCCGTGTTTCCAAACGATCTCCTGCTCCTCGACTTGCCGAACAGCACTGCCGCGGTAAAGAAGCCCACGACCATCCCCAACGCAATGAACGGGTGATTGTTACAAAAGTGGCGTATAGACAGATAGGTACCCATGAACCGGCCGGATGTGGACTTTGGGGCAATCTTTGGGGGGTTGGAAGTCACCTTTCCGAGTGTTTCGAGAATTGAGGTGCGAGAGGGGCGAATAGGTTCGCCGGAGGCTGTTGTATCCCAGTAGCGGTGGTGCTGTAGAAGTCAGTGGTGTGTGGGATTGTCAGGGGCTGAAAACCTTACACTTTCATCATTGATAACTACCCTCTCCCCCTCTTTTACGTCAATACCGTACGTAGACCTGAGCCAGCGTTCCCAGAACACGCCATCGACCCAGGCAAAGCCGACTTGTGTACGCTCAATCTCGTCTAGGTTGATGCGGATGGACTTGGCATTTCTCAACGCTCTTTGGTCGTCTTTGTCTTCTGCCTCTTCGATCCGAAGCTGCTTGGCGTCGCGAAGCTCTTGTCGTTCTAGTTTGAACGCAGCTTCCTGCTTGTCTATCCACTCCAAAGCCGCACTTTTCATCTCGCGCCTAGAGCTGAGAAACTCATTGGAGCGCTCTCGGCTCAATATGCCTAGCACGACGAGCTTGCCGTCCATAATTTCACGCGCGTTCGAGGATGTCAGCTCGGGAACCATTGGCAACCAGACAGACTTCATCCACGAGATAATCTTCGTCGTGTCGCGCATATCCCTGGGTGTTATAGGTGGGTAGTATGTAGGCTTCCCAGCTCGCGAGACAACTAAGCGCGGCCAAGTGGAGATCTTGTAGCGGTCGGACAGCGCAAGGTCATTCGTCTTGACCAGCTTAGCATGTCCGACCAAGCTAAGAGGAAGTCGCTCCAGCGCTAGGAAATCCTCAGAGGTGGTCGCGTGGTCGTAGAAGTAGACGAAGATGACCTCTTCGGTTTCCTCCAGCTTCTTAAAGCTAGCGGCATCAACATCAGGGACACCATCGCCAACTAGCGTTGTCTTCTCGGCGTAGTCCAACAGGTCACCTAGTCCTCGTAGGCCTTCGTACTCGATGCGCTCACCCCCGCGGAAAGTGATCATAGTTGGGTAGCCTTGGACCTTTGCGTCCTTGCACAATTTCTTCTCAACATCGCAGTCGACCTCTCCGACATTGAGCTTTCCTTGCATTTGGCGTGCCATATTCGACCAGTTCGGTGCCAGCGCCTGGCAGTGATGGCACCAGGGCGCGTAGAACTTGATGAACCAGGGATCAAACGTGCTGGAGACCAGTTTCTGGAACTTCTCTGCAGTCAGCGGCTCAACGAGGCCTGATGGATTCGGAGTCGAGGTAGGCTTCGCCTTCGCCTTGGCCGGTGTAGGCCTAGCTACTTTTGTAGGCGTGCTTTGTCGGGTGGAGCTGAGGGCCTTCTCTTCCTTGACGACTTCCTCAGTATCTGGGCCGGTCTCGACGGACGTCGCTCCTGGCTTGGGTAGCTTAGGCCCACCCTCTTTGCGCGAGCCAGGCCGGAGCTTTTCCAGAAGCTCTTCTACCCACACGCTCAGAGCCTTCATGTCCTTTGCGCCCCTCTCTCTTTGGACTTCTTTCCCATCTATGAAGTATACCATGGAGGGATAGCTTTGGACATCATGCTCGTTGCAGACGTCTGCAAATGCCAGGCAGTCCACCTTTGCAAACTTGAAGTCGTAATACCGGGTGAAGGAGTTGAGAGAGTCGCCTTCGCTGTCATCTTTGGATGCGATGGGTTTCGAGGTGTAGTAGAATTCGTATGCGGTCTGGTAGGTGGGTTTGAAGTGCATGCAGTGTGGACACTGGGGCGAGAAGAACTCTACTATCCTGATCAAACAGTTAGCAATAGATGCGGCACACAATTGCGCACATGTGCATACCAGTTTCCCTTGCTGATCTCTTCCTTTATGTTCTTCTGTGATAGCTCTATCATTGGCGGCACTTTCTGGCCATTGAATATGGTGTCGGGTTGCTTCTTGTCCCAGTCCTCGTCGACATCGGCTTTCTTTGCGCTCGGTATGTCAACGGCAAGTGTGGATGCAATCGTCGCCAGCGACAGGAGGGAATAGAATATTGAGCGCATTGCGGCGGACGCAGTGAACTGCCGATAGGGGCAGTGGTCCTCGAAATCTACGTGTTACGCAAGGCGTGGTGGCTATCAGAGGGGTTGTCGCTGTGACAGGAGCCACATCTCGCAAGGCGCGTTGATGTCCCTGAGCCCAAGTAGGTGACAGGGATGTGGTCTCCGGCTCCAGAGCGCTTGGCAAGCGCAACCTCGACATCGATGCATGCTATGCCATCACCACTTCGCCCATCCATTGCGCCGCACCCCCACACCCAACACCCCCGCAACTATGAGGGCAGCTGCACGCCTCTTCGCCAGCGTTAAGCCCGGCCAATTCCTTGAGCCCGGCGCGCCAACTGGTCTCACAGGCCTCCTCACACACCCCTCGCCGCGGTCAACACTGCTCTACCACTACAGCTCGACCCTCGACAAGCTCCAGCAGATACCCGAGTCATCCGTCTATCGCCAGTCCGTCGAAGCCCTCACCAAGCACCGTCTGCAGATCGTCGAGCAGTCGACGCCAAAAGGATGGGATCAGTGGCAGGAAAAGATCAAGCTGCAGGTTGGCGACGATATCGGGGCGTATGATATCATCGAAACGTCTAGAGGCCAGACGGTCGTGTTGCCCAGTCAGCAGGAAGTCGACGCCAGGTCCAAGGCGGCTGAGTGGGACGGAGAGACTCCCCAGTCGTTTCCGGAGGGCATCCGATCCTCCAAGGAGCGATCACCCCATGTGCAAAAGATGAAGGGCGACGCCAAGTACACCCCAGAGAGGGCCTTTTCCTCGATCAAGTTCGACCCAGAGCCGCAGTACACTGCTGAAGCGTAAGTCACTAGGAAAACTACGAGTTCGCGTTGTGTCAGGATTAATGAACATAGGATATCGGATCTGGAGAGCAGACTCGGGGCTGGCCTTGTTGAAGAGGTGATTGCAGTCGCTGAGGGCGAGCACGCGCTCGTGGACACTATGGTCAAAAGCAAGGTGTAAGCAATGTGAACTGCAAAGTAAACTAGATGCAAGTACTAATTGTGCGCAGGTGGGAGCCGCTTGAGGAGCCCGCGCCGGAGGGTCAGTGGTCGTATTTCGAGCGAGGCACACAACAGGGCTCTCAGAAGCCTTAGAGACATGTCAATGAGCATCCTTGTATATAGACGGAGAGCAATCCTTGTACCAAGTACGACATTTTGATTCCCACTTGACAATAGTTCACTTCTAAGTATTACTTATTGGTTCTTGTGTCGTGAGGCAAAGGAAGAAGGAGCATAAGATACCGCCTCTTGGCAGGCGCCCCCAAGATATTTTAGTAGGTTTCTAGTATGCTAGCCAAACGCTTGCTACCTGAAGTCACTCCTTCGACATGTACGAGCGGGATGCCGCATGGACGGCATATGGAACTATCCACTGTTTAGACTAATACGATGCATGTTGATGACTAGGATTCAGAGAAGAAGCGAGCGGAGGTATCTGCAAATCCTCTAGCCGTTTCCTCTGTGTATGAAACCCCGCATGGCCAAGTCGATTAACCCAAAGGGTGTAGAGAGGCTACGACCTTGCACATTGTGTGCAGTAGGCTACAACATTTTGCATACTATAGCTCCTCTCGGTGAAATAGATTAGTGATGAGTTCTTGCTCAACGATGATTTATATGTGATACATAACTAGAAACTAATATGCTCGGAAAATGACAATTCTCTTTCAACATCAATTCGTACTTGGTCTCACCTCCCTCATACCGCCATGATCCTCACCAAGACGCCTACTTACTCCTCTGACTCTCCTCCCCCTCTTGACTCTTCAACCCCTCCATCCGTAGCTGATTTCTCTTCCCCAAGATCCTAAGCGTATTCTGGCGCTCAATCTCGGCCATGGCGCCCCAATTAGAAATCCTCGACAGCGTGCCGTCCTTGTTGACGACGAGTGGGCCCAGATGGTCCAGTTTGACGCCCTCGCCGTTGACGCTGATTTTTGTGGCGTCTGAGCTGGGCTCTGGGAGGGGGAGGGGTTGTTTGGTGTCTTCTGCTGGTGATGTGGAGGTTTGAGTGGGTTCGCTGGATGGGGGTGTGGATGTTGACATGTTGTGCTTCCAGTTGGTGGTGGTGTTGGTGTAGATGGGAGTGGTGAAGCGGCTGGTATGCGTGCTTAGACGGTATAGAGTGTAATGCTTGCAAGAGGCTTTGAAGAACGATGTTATGGGTCTCATGAGGATATTGCGAGTTGAGAGTCTGGATGGATTTTGGTTTAGGTGAATACTTTGTTATTGCTATGGACAGGTATATGAGGTCGGAGAAGCTTCTGTTAGTTTGGCAGTTCTAGAAAGCTCGACGGCGTCAAAGCGCCACTGCACTCAGAATTGCATACGATGCAGGTATACTATGTACATTCATGTGCCTGGTATGTGTATTCTAGAGCTTATAATGGGCGTTGCAGCTCTCACAGCGACTTCCAAGATCATGATTTGCAATGAACACACCAGGCCTCGTAAAGCGCACGTGACCATATGCCAAGTCGCACCCGATCTCCGAGGGGCAAATCAGAGCCTCGATAACAGACCATTCAGGGTCTCTTATTGGACGAAACGACAGGGATGCGCTAACGCCTTTGAACCTGGATACCCAGTCCAGTACCAAACATTGCACCTTATACACCATATGCCGGCCATCAGGCTCACCATTATTTTAAATGTGAAACAATTGTGAGGTAGGCTGTGACGACTTACGTCACGAAGGATTCCGTTTTCAGCTTCACTTCCGCCCTGAGTTCCGGTAAGTGACGAGTCAGATCATTCTCGAGGGCGACAAGGGCCGACCGCTTATAGTCGGCGCAAAAACAGGAACGAACGTTCCGAAAAGATGGGCGTTTTCGATAAGCGGGTTCGCTCTGAGACCCATGCTTTTGCCTCGAGGGCTTCCAGCGCCTCACCGTTTGTTGCTCCGCGGGGGAGTGACCTGGCAAGGCTTGACCGGCGTTTGGAACGCGCGCAGAGGGCGTGATGTGTGATGCCCGAGCAAGCCAGCGTGTGCGCGCAGATGGACCAGGGAACCAGGGAGGCAGCCTGCACGACACCCGGTGGACCTTCCTCGTTGGGGCGTCGAGCGGACAGCCCACTTTGATGCCCACTGCCGGCTCTCAATTCAGACCCAGATTCGGGAGCGCAAGCGCAGGTGGGACTTGAGCTTATTCTGACTTCCTCAAAGGCCTTCTGCGCCAGTATCGTAGAGAGGGAGATGTCTCCGCGTGGGTATGCAGGGCCAGGAGGGGGACGAGTGCCGAGAGCGTCTAGTAGCCTTGTCGATGCCTTGTTAGAAACACTTCCAAAGGCATGGCGCGAGTGAAAAGGGTTGACACCAAGACTCTAAGAGCTTGCCCGCGTCCCGCGGGCTGCGAGATGGGAGCAACACGTGGGGTCTTCTGGATCGATCGGCACTGCGCAAGCCACGGGCGGCGCCCACTTGCTCGCAACAACATGAATTATATCAATTGCATAATAGTCATGCTCTCTACTCTGACCCAGGCGCGAGGTTGGGGAAATTTCTGTTGCAGCCCTCTCGCAGTATTCTCGGAGAAGCATTTGGCTGCCTCGGCTACCAGGTCGCACTATGCCAAGAGCGAAGATGGTTGGATGCCACGTAGAAATCGGACACCTCATAAGCAAGCAAGGACTTTTGGGTGAGGTACAGCCAGAGCAACTATTCCCAGGCCCTTGATATACGTCAAGTGCGCCAAGCGGTGGAGAGGCAGAAGGACAGCAAAAAGCGAGCGGCGGCGTTGGCTGCCATTAGCATTTGACTGTCGACGACTGCATGCAGCGCGTGAGGTGAGGTTCGAGTCAGCAGCAGCGGCGTCCGGGTTGCCGTTTTGGGCGCCTCCAGCAGCAGCCGGCCATGGTGAAAAACGTACGCTAGCCATGTCACGCCGATGCATAAGCTTACTGGAGGAGAGACATTCAACAGCAGGTCGTTGCCAAGGGCGATCGTCGTCAGCCAGCACGGTATGCATTCGGCTTCCACGCTGACCTGCAGCACGCGCGGTTTCGATTAAACAGCACAGCGCCTCCCGTTTCTTCTGTGCCTCATTCTCGAAGGGCTGTTTCAAGGACCTGGGTTTCATTCGAGGGATGGATATGGATGCATGCCGCAGAAGAAAGATATGAACGAACCGAAGATTAGCAAAGACGCCGGTGCTAGCAGTCAACCAAGGGTCCCATGGCCCAAATAAGACGGCCTGGACAGGGGCCTACGTCACAGCCTACCAAAGTTTTTCCATTGCCAGTCGCAGCGTCCAGGGCGACTAAGACGGAACCGGCGCAAGAAATGTCTCGAGCCCAGCGCCGCGACAAGCTTCCCCCATCCATAGCGACAGCTGTCTACTACTGCAGACGAGGCCAGTCGAGTACGCCGTGGGTGTGTGGGCATGGGATGAATCCTTCCTGCTGGACGAGGGGCCTGTCCTGTCGTGCATGGGCGGAAATAAGACCCTGGCAAGCCACAGCCGCCAACGCGCCATTGAAGCATCGAAGCTCGGCATCAGTCGGGACGATGTTCGGAAAAGTTTCTTTCTCGCGCGCTCGCTGTTTGTCGGTCGAATGCCATCCATGACAATGACTGGCTGCTTCAGGTAAGAGGACGCCGAGGGCATGGGAAGCAGGCGGCCTCGGGCGGAATCGTGCGATGCATGTTGGAGTGCGAGGGAAGGGCTTCAAGACGACGTCGAGGGGCGCGTCCCACGCTCACGAGGCCTTCTGCCCTTATCGATTGCCGCCGTGGTGCAAGTGAAGGTGTGTGTATATATGCATGTATGTGGGTTGTGCCAGAGGCATCAATTGACGGCTGGGCGTGTCCTGAGGCTCCTCCTCCTCCTCCTCCCACGACTCAAGGGCGCAAGGAGCGCAACAACGCAGCGGTAGGGCATGTCTGCATGCAATTGGGCGGCTACCCTGCTCTAGTCCGCGAACGGCCGTCGCCATTGGTAATACCTTCTTGATGGCGGCGCATACACGCTCCAAGCGCTCCAGCGTGTGCGTAGACAAAGTGAATAGCACATGGGTGAAAAGTCATCACCAACCCCCGTCACGTGTCGCTGCTCATCATTTCTTGTCTCTCTGCCCTCTAGGTTCCCGTGCTTCCCCTCCTGCCCTCACCCTAAACTTTGTCCTGTACCCGTCCGTCGTCCAGGCCTACATACGCACACCCCCCCACGACGCGTTTGCCGCGACCAAAGATACCTACTACTGTCGCCCCCAACCCAAAAACTCGTGCGGGTCCCTCCAAGCTCGCTCAATTGGTACCTTCCAGCGACCTCTGCAATCTCGACCCTCCCGGCTGCCTCCGGCACTACTCTCTCTCACTCTCACACACACTCACACACTCAAGGGCGGAAAACAGGTATTGTGTGGTGCGCGCGGAATTCGGACGCGAGTGTAGAAACATTCGCTCGATTTTTTTTATTTCGCCGACGAGGTACCTACCTGCAGCCCCCCCCCAAAAGTACCCTCCACCACCCCTCCAACCAGCCCGCTACCCCAAACCGTCGTCAGCTCTTGTCGTGGGTCTTCTTGCACTGTACCTGGCTGCCTCGTGCTTCCTGCCTCCACTTGGTCTATCCGCACTCTATCGGCTGAGGCTGAAGCGTGTGTGGGCCTCCGATCTGCAAGCAGCTCCCCTGGTCTCTCGCGTCAAGTGCCGCGAGCCAGACAAAGCACCGCAGTAGTGCAGGGAAAGAATCTCATCATCACTACTATCCATCTCTCAGCAACCCACCCAAGTTGCTGCGCTGCACCCTCCCTCTCCCATTCTTCCTTCGCTGTACCGTCCAACTGTGGGAACCTCAAATTCCACTCGTGGAGTAGCCGCCCTCGCTCATCATCGCCTATCGACTTGTCCTTTTCACTCGTCCCCCACACGGCTCCACAAAGCTTCTCTCGTGGGCCATCGTTCTTAATCCGAACGTGTCTTGTGTTGCCCACTCCAGTCTGTGAGCACCTGCCTGTCACAAGCGTCCCTGGAGCTAGACTTCCGTCGATTGATGCCCTCGCTCGTCGTCATCGCCAATACCCACAATTAGTCGCGTCTTCGACACAACAGCACCACCTCACCCACACCACCCATCAAACCCACCCAACACGCCTCAAATCATGGACGGCGACCGCTTCCGCCAGCCCGGACTGTCACAGTACCCGTCACTAAGCCAGCAACAATACAATGGCATGCAGCACCAGCTGCCCACGCTGCCGCCTCTCCACAGCGGCTCCCAGTATCCCTCGTTGTACGGCCACAGTAGCAACCCTCAGACGCCCCAGCCGGGCACGCCTGTAACCTCTGCGTCCAATGCGAGTACCACCATGCCGCCCCTACAGCACCCGCCGCTCAGGCCTATCCAACCGTCGCCCTCCGCATACTTGCCCATGTCGTCGGCCTACTCGCAAGCGCCTATGCTTTCCACCGCATCCGCATACTCGAACGCACAGCAGCAAGCACCCACACAGGGCATGGGCATGTCACACCCGTCGCTCTACCCTCACCCCCCTGTCCTCCCCAACCAGGAGCCTGAGCCCGTCCACGTTGTCGGCCAACAGGGAAGGCGCGGCGTCCTGCCCACACACCCAGGCCGCCCTGTGCCCGCGGCGGGCAAGGCGCCTACCACTGCTTCGAAGAATGCCGAGGGCAAGTACGAGTGTCCCCACTGCAACAAGACGTATCTGCACTTGAAACATCTGAAGCGCCATCTTCTGCGACGTAAGTACCTCTCTGCTCGCCAATCAAACACGCAGCCACTGACGTTTTTACAGACACGGGCGAGCGACCCTATCAGTGCCATCTCTGCAAGGATACCTTCAGCCGAAGCGACATTTTGAAGCGTCACTTCCAAAAGTGCTCAATACGAAGGGGAAACCCCACTGGCGCAAACCACTTGCAGCATGCGCAACAGCATCTACAGAAGAACAGGCAGCCTGGTGGCGCAGAGCAGAACTCGTACCTCAACCACATTGGCGCCACCTCGATGCCTTATGCCGAATCAGGTTACACAATGGGTATGCCACAGATGCCTACTGTAGGAGCTAACGGGTTTGCCGATAATCTGCCCTCTATTGCCAATCATCAATCAATGTCCGCGCGGACATCGCGATCGAACAGCCTGATACGACCCGGCAGTGGCGTTGAAGAGAACCGCAGGAGCATGTCCGCTTTGGAGTTTGCAAACCCCAGGATGAACTTCAACGATTTCCGACCGGATGGCGTCCCCAATGGGTATGCGCAGCAGCAGCAACAACAGGCTCAACACGGCTCCAACGTACAAGATGGTGGCAACCACTACAACTACGACCATGCAGCTGGTAACAATGCCATGGCGCAGAACGGTATGCCTGTCAAGACCGAAGGTGCGGAATCTGCTTCCTACGGAGTCGCACCGTTGCCAAACGTAGATGGCATCTCCAACGGCCAGGACGGCACAATATGGCGGAATGGATCGTTCAACGGCGAGTCGCACCTTTTGAATTCCAGCACGGCAGGTGGTCCATATCAACCCAAATCGGCTGGTGTTCTGACCGGTACCTTTTAGACCTCTGAAGATGATGCACCAAATGATACCATGTTCGGGCGGTACTCGTATGCTCCCGGTTTTGTCGACTCTTCTCCGCTTCTTGATAACTGGTTTCTCGGCCAATCTACTTCTGATCCATTGCAACACCTCTCCCAAGCGCTCCTCACTTTTTGCCTCCCGCATGCGCCCACTCCCCCGAATCAACGCTCGGGTGAGGCTTACGCCCATGAAAGACTCCAAGGCATCTTGACCGCAGACAACGTAAAGGCATTCTTACACGAATATAGACATTTCCACTCGCACTGGCCCCTCATACACCCACCAACATTCGATCCCTTTACCGCAGACCAGGGGCTCGTTCTAGCCATGTGTTGCATTGGCGCTGTCTATTCTGATAGGCTGAGTCCTAAGGACGTCCGCTGGATGATGGAGTTTGTCCGCGCGTGCGTCTTGAGATCGAGTCAGGTGTACAGGCTAGCCCAGAATCCGCAACAAGCTATCGACTTGAATCATAGTTCATCAGCTACTACCGACGAGCTGCAGGCTCTGGTCCTCTTTCACTCTTTACTCCTGTGGCATGGTTCTCAGCAACAGCGCCATCAAGCACGAGAAGAATTTTGGGCGCTTGCCACTGTCGCCCGTCGTGCCGGACTATTGGCACCTCTTTCTCGAAACAATCCAAGTGTTAGCACGCTTCATCGACCTGGACCGGTGATTGGGAATGAGGTCAACTCGTGGAACTGGGCCACATGGATCGAGAATGAGAAACGCACGAGGTTGATGGCATACATTTTCTTGATTGATGCCTCCTCGTGCATGTTCTTCAACATTCAACCGCAATTCGATGTGTTCGAGATTACAACTCCACTGCCCGCAGACGATGCAGCTTGGGAAGCCAAATCACCGGAAGAGTGCGCAAGCGCGCTTGGCCTGAGAGGAGAAACAGCGCAAACGAATAATGAATCTGGCAGTAGACGAGCGAAGCAGCTGGGTATGTCGGAAGCGTTGCGCGTATTGTACGGAGTTGGCCTTGGCCCCTTTCCCGAACGAGCTACCAACGTGTTCGGAAAGTTCGGTAAGTTGAACCTCCACTACTCCCTACACATCTTGAACTTACGCCTCTTTTTAGTCCTCATACATGCGATTCATATGCAAATCTACAAAATTCAGCGGCAGCTCCTCCAGCGAGCCCCCTCAAGCGGCTTGAGCACGCCTCGATCGCAGAGTGGGAGCCCTGTAAATGTCCCCGGTGGTGTCAGCGAACAAACTCAGCAGTTGCTTCGTTCAACAGTCAGTGCCCTCGAGCTGTGGAAAACCTGCTGGGACTCGGATCTTGCAATCCAATTCACCCAAAACCAACACCGGCGTGGCTTCTGCAGGGATGGAGTCCACTACTACTTTTTAGCCCAACTTTTCCTACGAAAATCTCGATCCGAGGAATGGACTGCACCTGCAGATTTCCGTTGCCAACACGTGTTCAATGTTCTGAGACAGATACGGGCCCATGTCGCTTCAGACTCCGCGCAAAAGGGCATCGAAATCGGATCAATCACTACGATCGCCGACGATTACGGCATTGGCGATCTCACTCTGAATATGAGGCGCCTCTTCACACCTCTTGGGGAGGAATGAGCTGGCCGTGCTGGATCTCGGCTCCCAGGCCTACCTACCACAAACTATCAACATTATCCGTTAGCTGCCAACCGCGAGCTTAACCACGACATGGATAATATCTCTTACATTGGCATCATCGGTGTATCATCATCATCATCATCATCATCATCATCAAAGTCTAATATCGCATCAGCATCCGTGCTGACTTCTTACTGGCCCAGCAAAAGTCGCGTGCTGGGTCTTGCATTTCTGGGGTTTGGCGTCACACGAACACGTCGCCCAGGCGGCGTGCACAACAGCATCACGAAAATATCCGGTGGATTTACAAACGAGTTTCATTCATTCACATCATCGAAGAAAAAGCATTAGACACTTCACCTCACGGCGTGCATGTGCCTGGCGCACCCCATCGAAAGGCAATATTCGTCGCCAATGGACGGCGGCGATAGAGCAAACTAATCCATCGACTGCTTACCTCCGCATGTCAGAGGAAGCAATGCAGATTAGATTGTGTTGGAGAGGAACTGGATTTGGCTTCGGTGTATATTTTTTGGTCTTTTGGTTTTTTCCTTATTATCATTGCATGGACGGCGCTCCTTCATTGAAGATAGAGTTTAGAGGTTCGGCATGTAGGTACAATGGGTGTGAGCCAAAGGCCGCCCCTACGAAAAAGTAGTCAATGATATACGTTTGCTTCACCACAACAGATCGTGTTCGTGTAGGTTGTGAAAAAGTGCTATATGGTGAGGTTTGCTCTCTCACCAAGCGACTGAACAGCACTATGGCTACAGGACTTCTCCTATGTTGTGTAGTGTGATATAACGTAGTGCTTCTACGTTCGAGCAAGGATCTCTCGTTATATCCAATGGCGGTAGAAGAAGCCTTGTCTTCATGGATGCAGTTTCCCGCTGAGACTTTTTCTATACTAAGGCTCGCGCTAAAATATTTCCTTACTACATAAGCGCTCTTCTGTACCGAAACTCGTCTGTATCGAAGTTTGGGCTTGATTATCAAGAGGTCTTTCTATACCGAGACTTGCTGTCAACGAGATTCTTTGTCGAGGAGTTTTCTGTACTGAATCTCGCCCTTAACTGGATACCTTACCGCGACTCGCCCCCAACGAAAGCTCTTTCTGTATCGAGACTCCTCTTGTGTACAGCTATTTACTACCGAGCAATTACCACATCTCTGCCGCTACCTCCAAGAGAAATATACCCTTACCGAGCAGTATCAACGAGCCTCTTTTTTCCGTTGGCATCTTCCATTCAGAGACGTGAGGAAGTAGAAATTGCACACGTCTCCTATCTCTCAGCACAACGGTGTGTACGCTCTTTTTCGATACTCATCATATGTGATTAGCTTCATTACTACTGAATCTGATTATCTTACATAACCAGTGTATCATGACATCAATCCCCTTCATTTACGCAGCTTCATCCTCGATTTCCAAATTGCCAACCTTGAACTTTTTCCCTTTCATGTCCGCGTAATCATTGTGATTGTGATAGTTCTTCACCCTCTCGCGCACATACTCCAGCCCCCTCACAGGCTTCGCATCTTCCTGGTTCTCAGCCACGCGCCCCAGCCTCTTCAACAGCGGTGACGGCGCAGGCTTGATGTCGACATCATTGCCGGGCCTAACAAAGTAGAACAGTCCCAAGCGATGGATGTGGGCCTGGTCTTCCGGCGGCCGTTGGACTCGGTGTATGGTCGACTTGAGGTAGCCTGCAGACCAGAAGTCGAGTGTGTCGCCGACGTTGCAGATGATTCCATTGTCGACTGGTGGTACATGTTTCCATTCTCCGGCTGGTGTTTTGAGTTGCAGACCTGCTACATTCTGACTCCAGAGCAGGGTTAGACTTCCGAAATCGGTGTGTGCGCGGGACCATGTATCTTGGACCTTTGCGTCGTCCTCAGCCGAGCGCGGTCGGTAGATCATGTATCGCAAATGGTCTTCCGATTGGTCTTCGTACGCATGCTGTTTTGAGAAGTAATCCTCCGGCAGCTCAAGGATGATGGAGAATAAAGTAAAGATCTTGGATGCTAGCTCGAGGGAACGCCTTGAGAAGTCTTCAATTTCTGCGTGAAACTGGCGGAGGAAGGGATGGAAAGGCTCTTTCTCATTCGTTGGTATGAACTTCGGAATATTGACTGATTCCACATTGTCCAAAATATCTGTGCCCATGATCTTCTTCTCATTTGCCTATATTGCAAGTTTTAGCATGAGCTGCATAGCAAGATTGCCGAAATGGTTCGTCACTTACAGCACGGTACCCAAAGTAATTCCCCTGTGCAAAGTCACATCGATATTTGGCATCACCCTTCTCTTCTAGTGGAAGATCGAAATAAGCCTGGCCGATATCATACTGGCGATCTACTTCTTCCTGCGTAAACCCAGTACCGGTTACGCTGAAGAAGCCAGTGAGATGTACCTATGTTCAATATTAGCCATGATCCTAACCAAATGAAGTGGGAATTTACCGCATCTCGTAGCTCTTCTGCTAACTTCTGCTTACCACCAGGTTCATCAAAAGTCGACAGATCAATAACTTTGATATCCGCCCAGTCGAGCTTATCTGCCGTCTTCCCTGGCCGCTTCCATTTCGGGATAGCTGGGGGATCTAAATATGTTGCTGATGGCATGTTCAAGGTTCTTGTATAAGACCAATATGCCCAAAACCAAGTTCAGCGTCGGTTCGTCGGATGTATATACCTTTTTCATTCCCGGTACCGTTAATGATGCACGCGTGCCTTGTCGCGATTCAGAGGTGGAGGTGTTGAGCACGCAATTCCCCGCCAAGATACGTGCTCGCATAACCGACCACCTCAACATCCTTCGTCGCAACGCTGATGGCATGTCGGCAAATCAAATCCGAGACGATTTCCCTTCTCGTAAGAATGATATCAAGTATGGAGCGAGGTCGGAGAATTAGCATGGGATTGCAAAACGCCATTCGATAGTTTAGGCGTCCAGTGTCGAGAATGGCGACATGGCGTGCTTTCGAATTTTGTTGAAGGATAGGTAAATTCGCTAGGTAGTCGAGGGTATAAGCGCAAGTAGTGAGCTGTATTGCGCGGTACTCCGCGATAATCCTGATCTTCAACGGTTTCCGTGTTCACTTCAAAAGAGCCAGCCCCCCGGTATCTATTTGGAGTCCCGACTACTTTTCTGGATTTTGTATGACTACGATCTTATCGGACAGTCCAAAGCAGGATGGTATCTCCCAAACAACCCGACGACATCCCAACGAAGGAGGTGCGCGATGTGCCGGACTCAGAGGTCAGCTCGTACGCGCCTTCAGAAGCGACACTCAAAGCCGCTCATCGAAAGATTGATAAGCGCCTACTTTGTTGGTATGCGTTCGTCTACCTAATCATGCGTATTCACGTCAGCAATATCTCCAACACGGCGATTATGAACCTGGAGCAAGGAACCGGCATCAAGAAGCAACTTGGCCATCTCTCATCCTCACAGTGGGCATGGGCATTGAGCATCTTCTACTACCCGTACATGTTCTTTGAACCTCTTGCTACGCTCATGCTGAAGCACTTTACCCCGAGTGTATGGATGACTCGGATTATGCTCACCTGGGGCATCATCTCAATGTGCCAGGGTGCTACACAAAACTACGCGGGCATACTGGTATGCCGGTTCTTCCTTGGTGCTGCTGAGGCTGGCTTCTATCCTGGTGTTCTGTACCATCTGAGCTTCTGGTATCCGACTGATCGACTACCGCTACGCATTGCCTTCTTCTATGCCTGTGGTATGTTTTCCGGGACGATAAGCGGATTATTAGCCTACGCCATCTCGTACATGAACGGTGTCGCAGGTCTTGCTGGGTGGCGCTGGGTACGTATCGTCAGTGCCTAATTGGACTTGTTCTCTTACTAACTGAATATAGCTCTTCATTCTTGAAGGAATACCCGCCATACTGTGCTCGGTGTACACCTACTTCTACTTGCCAAATTATCCTGAAACGGTCGAATTTCTCACCGAGGATGAACGCAAAGCTATACTCGACGACTTGCCGAAGCAAGCACCCACCATGCGCGCAAAAACGTTCGATCTTGAGGAGATCAAGAGCTTATTCAAGAGTCCGACATTCTTCCCGTTCCTTATGATCTGGATTACGCACGGAATAGGTGGTTGGGGTATTTCGTTCGTGTTGCCGACCGTCATTTATGAGCTGGGTATCTCGAACACGGCGATCTCGCAAGTCATGACCATGGTAAGAATCCCAAAGGATCCTCTCGAAAAAAAAGATACTAACCTACGCAGCCACCGTTCACACTTGTCTTCGTCATTCTATGCGGTCTCGCGTACTTCATACACACCAAGCGCCTGTCACCCTGGGTCGCTGGTCTCGGCGTCGAGATTACGCAAATCATTTGCTACATACTCCTCATTACCGTCAAGAAACCGGTCGCAAAGTACATCTTTGTCATGATCGCAACAGCAGCCTCGCAATCTTTCTTCGCAATCATTTGGCCGGAGCGCATTCGAGCGGCGAGAGGAACGACGACTGCCGGACTTGCTATTGGCTTAACGAATGCCAGTTGCCAGCTTATGGGCATTGTTGGCCCGCAAATTTATCAGCCGAAGTTCGGTCCGACGTATCGTGTTAGCTACATTTGCTCCATTGCATTACTCACATCATGCTTGGGCGCTGTGTTGACGAGCTGGTTCTTCGTGGTGAGGGATGATAAGAAACGGGCTGTGGAGGAGACGCAGGTACGAGAGATAGTTGCTTGAGTCAGTGTAGTGTTCCAGTCAGCTAAACTGGTACGGACTGCAGGCGGATTAAAAGCTGAGATAGCGCGCTATTGATAAGAGTAAAAAATTTCATGTATAAACATTCCAAAGGATAAATGCCCAACGTTGGTGTGTTGCTGACGCGAGCTTGCGAAACGTGGGAATCGTGTCTTAGTCATCACGTAAGCTCAGCTTTCCCGAGAAGCTGCCGGTCTCTCTACCATCAATTCCCATCAACCTTCTAACGTTAGTATGTATTCAGATGCGTGTTGTCTCCTATGCTTCATCTATTCAGATATGCCGTCCGCTACTAGGTCATCTAACACGGCTATCCGCGAAGCTGCCCACCGGTCCTCAAGTATGCACTGACTTAATTTGAAACAGAACTAGACCGTCACCCGAGAATGAATGACGTCAAGTAGGCATTACATTATGCTAAACTAAGATAGATACTCTATGCGGCACTCGCCGAGCTGACGGGCAGACTGACTGGCATGGGTGTCGCTGAAGGAGTAGCCGAGGGCGAAGCACCTCCGCCGCTACCTTTCTTCTTCTGAACGACTGCTGAGACAACTTGGCCTGGAGATTTGTCAGTCAATATCCAGGGGAAAGAAGACGGAAACACATACCGGCTGTGTTGGTCACAATGTCAACAAGCGCGTTCAATGGCTCGTATGAGAAGGTCTTCTGCGTGAGGCCTTGACCGATTTGCTTCGTGCTTCCAACGATTTCCGTCATGTTCAGCTGTAACCGCGGTCAGTCTTTGCGTTGTACTGTCAGCGTCGCGAGACATACCTTGAAGTTACCAACGATCTGCGAAAGGGCGCCGCCGGCACCGCCAAGCACCTCTTGGACGATGTTGCCCAAGTTATCGACCAGGAAGTTCAGCGTCTTGCCGTTCTGCGTAATGGACCCAAGCTACACGTCGTTAGCTCAAATCCCCCGTCTATTTTTGTCTGGAGTACTCACAAGTCCATCTACTGCGCCAATGACCTCGCCGACCAAGTTGGTCACGTTACCAATCAAGCCTATCAACAGAGGGTTCAAGTCCAAAGAATCGAACACGCGCTCGACAATCTCGACTAGGTTGCCCAGTCGCACGATCAGCTCGAGATTGACATCCACGTCGGAAATCGTAATGTTGACCTTCTGGATAGAAACCTGGACTCCGGCATTGACTTGGACAAGACCTGCGACTTTGGCGTTGAGATTGAGATCCGCTCGCAGCTTTTCGACTCCGAGTTCGATTCGCCCGACGTGCAGTTCCGGGACGGAAAGATAGACATCAGGTGCTGTCGATCCAGTGGGCCTTACTTCTGGCGGTGATGTCGGGCTCGTTCCGTTTCCGCGCGGTGGTCTACTGCTTGTAATCGGAGGGGTAGACGGCTGGGTAGGTGCACCCGAAGACGCAGTCTGCGCCAGGACGTGAGTCGCAAAGGTGAAGAAAATGCTGATGAGCAGTAGGCGGATAGAGAACGACATGTTTGGCAGACCGCGACGACAGCAAACAGAACGACAGTAGACAGTAATGAGCGAGAAAGCCGTACAAAGTAACAGCGAACACAGCCCAAGAAACGTTTAAAGCGAAAAGAATGCCGTTGCAAATCAGCGGCTAGATTACCATGCTAAACCTGGGATTCCCATAATGCCAATCTCGGATAAAACCCCCTATGCAGCCACCGACCGGGGTTTCTACAGGGCTGCAACACGCTATTTGGACGTGCCTGGGGTAGCCAACATCTAGAATCTTGATTTGCATGCAAAATCTGGGTCATTTGAGCACTTGCGCCGAATGGCGAGTGCCCGTTCAAGCTCCTTAATTTGTTTCTGTTGGCCTGGTGGCGTTGGGTCGATCATGCACCATCTCTAAACCCGGTAAGTAGCTCACTGCGACTCTTGATCGTATTGTTAACCGTCGCTTGCCCGTTCGCAGACTGAACAGCTCTCATCCAGCTGCCGCTGTCCTTCTTTTCGTCTCGTAGCAGCTGTCTTGACCTGCGTCCACTCTCTACATTACCGCGTAGCACCCAATTTCTCAGCAGTCAAGATGCGGTCAATACTCTCCACCGTCACGCTTCTTTCGTTGCCATTTCTCGCTGTCTGCCAATCCGACTCTGATGGTTACTCTGGTTACAAGCTTGACATTCGACAAGATGGCGACCCAACCGCTGTGCTCTACGAAACAGCAAACACTGCCGCAAATGTGTCCGCATTTGTGCCAGAGCCTGATGTCCTGCTAAACGCGTCGGTCCACGTTGGCGAAATCTTCATTGGAGTCGACAACCTAACGGCGAAGATCAACCTCGATGCCCAGGTCCTCCAGTTGCTGCAGTTCAACGCGGGAGTAGACCTTTCCATCGACAAAGTCTCTCTCCTGATCCAGAACGTCACAGCAAAAGTGTACCTCGAAGCCCGCCTAGGCAACCTAGTCAAGATGATTGGCGACGTTCTCGACAGCGTGGATCTCAACCCCATCATCGCCGAGTTGGGCAATGGCCTGGGAACTATCATCAACAGCACCACCGGCCTCATCGGCGACGTCGCAGGCGGGCTGAACGGCAACAAGTCTACCCAAGCCAATGCAAAGCGCGACCTGGACCTCCACCAATGGGACCTGCACAACAACATCCTGTACTCGATCAACAACTTCGAAGGCAATGCGAACAAGCGCCGCATTCTCGCGCAAAACGGCGACATCGTCGAGCAAACCCTCAACAACAACGGCCTCATCTCCGGCTCCACCGTCGTAGGCGACTACGTCAAGAGCATGCGCTTCAACGGCTTCAACGAGAGCGTCACGTTCAAGGGCCAAGAGGTTTGGGAGGAAGAGTACATTTACGAGCCCTTTGCAGGCTTGTACTCCATCTCCGGTGTCTTCAAGAGTAAGAGCACCGGCGCAGTGGTGGGAACCCAGCTTCTAGCCGAAGCAAGAGGAGGCGGTAGCGCGAGCATCGGGAACGAGAAGGCATGATGTTTTTTCTCTCATCTAGTTAGAACGGCATCTTCCTTGGACTAAACTAGTAGCTGCTACGGCGATTTATAAAAGCCGAAATTCGTTTAGATATCCTTTTTACGAAATAGGAGTAATGTTTTGTTCATCGTTGTGTCTCCATTCAGTAACGAACAGTAACTTGACTCCTCATTCGTACTTGCTTACTGCTCTGCTGAGGTGTTCCTTTCGCTTGCGACGCGATGCGACGTACGTGTGTGTGTTCGTTCGTTCATCATCGTTCCCGGCTAAAGGCCCATGCGAACTCTAGCCCCAACGCCATGTTCCACATCATCATCTGTGCGTTCGCGCACGCGAGATGAGCGGACCGGGGGATGTGCTCAAACGGTGCGGTCGAGAACGTGTGATCGACCCACACGCAAATGCACGGTTTTGTTCGAAGCGAGGGGTTGTGACGTCAGGACGGTAGGTAGGGCAGAGACTTGGAAGAAGAGTTTCGAGGGGAAAACAGTATAGAGGGTCAAGGGGCTGTTACTGTTAGTGGGAGAGAAAAGGGGGCGGGGCATGTGGATAGCGACAGAGATCTGTTAGGACATGGGAGCCGTGAGATGATACGAGGTAGCCATCGTCCTGTAACGTCCACGGAAGTTCAAGCCGATTTCTGACAGCGGGCGCTAAAATAGCTGGAAGAAAAGAAGCGGAATGTTACGAAGTAGGCATCACCCACCAGCAGCAAGAAGAAAGTTTTTTTGAAATATACTTTGGTATCATTCTTTGTGAGCTCAGAGAAACTCACTATGCGACCCGGGTCCCAAAACGCCCGGAGCGCCATTACTACTTGGGTATTGCGTCCAACATTGGACCGTTCCCTACTGACCCTCCATCTCCAGTGACATCCCCCAACAATGCAGATAAAGAAATTCGTGACAATAAAGGTATTAAGTACAGTCGTAATCTGCCGTTTCCCGATCCCTTTACCCCTTCAACCCCAGATAACAAGAACAAGAATGGGGTATGCACGTATGCTGAAAGAAGACGTGCAAGAATGGATGCAGATACAAGTGTAAGGGTGTTTGCTGGTGGAAATATAATCGTCGTAAGAAGAAGCGAAGAAGATCGAGTGAGTTTGAAAGTGCTGAGCAACCAGTTAAACGAAGGTCGGTTCCAATTCCGGGTATCTGCGGCGGGTCCACGAGAGGGAGGATCTGTTGACATAAATGGCCGAATGCATATCGCGCTTTTGCTCCAATTTGCATTAAGGCAACCAGACTAAGTCTCGTCACCCTGATGGCCAACACCAGCAGGCTGGTTAAAGCTCCATTCCCTGACGTTCCAAGGATGCCGAGGAGTAGGCTGATGCAGGGGAGGAGCAAATGGACCAAAAATCGAAACAGGCGCTGGGACAGAACGAAGTGGGTGGCCAGTTGAGATTTCGGTAGAAGAACGAGGGCTCGACGCGCCGAAATTCGCAGATGGAAGACGTGTTGTTTCTGTAGACGAACGTTGGCGTTGTATGCTGTTCGCCATGGCACGAAGACGGATTGCCGTCATAGTTTCCGCAGAAGGCCGATGGCTTGTTTGGGGAGTCTCGGCAGGCGGAAGATGACTTTTTTGACCGGCTTCCACTAGGGTGACAGACCCAGCATCCGTCGTTTGTCCAGTGGTAGAACTGTGTACCTGCCGTGACCCGGACACACGTCTCGTGGCTGAGATCACTCTACTGACCAAAGATGGGCGTCGAAGTGGCGCGGCAGAAGGATGACTCGAACTCGACCGTTTTCTCACAGTGACGTCATTCAACTCGTTCCCCTCTATTGAACTAGTACAGACTGTTAGCCCACTGCCAGCTCAAGCACGCTCAAGATAGCTAATGGTACCGCGGGGGAGTTCCCTGCCCATTAGGCACACCGTTTGGCTGTTGGAACTCCATCTCCCGCTTCATCATCTCGAGCGTCTGTGGGAAGTAGGGCTCGACGCCATATGTCTTGAGGTAGCTGGCAGTCTTTTCAATGCGCTTGATTTCGCGCTGGACATTCCAGTCCTCGCTCTCGCCGAACCGGCGCTGGACGACATCGACCATGGCTTCGTCCAGTCTGGTATAGAAGTCACGGCGCGCTGCAATATCGCTGGCATCGGCGCTATCGATGCCGCCGTGAGAGTTGAGGTTGCCGCCAAGCTTGAGGATGAGGTCAAAGGCATAGCGGGGACCCGATGGAAGGAGCGTCAACCGCTGGATGTCAGGTAGGAATTTCAGCATGGCGGAGGCGAAGTGTGATGATGAAATGGAGTCGTTGAGGTCGTCTTGAAGACGATGTAGATCGAAGTTAACAATGGTAATCTTGCGATCCAGCTGTGCGTTGAGCGTGGGCGCGGCATCCGATGTGGTGGTGTCCATGATCTTGGCGATGGAGGCAGGGACATCTGGAGAAGGTTAGTCGCTGAATTTGATAGATGAGCACGAGTAATAAGGGAACATACCAGGTCGCAGTCCGCGCTTGTCAATCCAGTTGTGTACTTCAGCGCGCTGCTGCTCCAGCTGGTCGACCCAGGCCTGCATGTCGGCGAGCTGGCTCTCGAGCTGCTCGATCTTCTCGGTGTAGGGCCGGACAGCCTGGTTGAAAGCGGCTGTAAGCAGATCGGGCATGGGCTCTGGCTGTTTGATGCCCATGTTGGGAATCTGCTGACTGCGAATGGGCATTGCGTTGTGGCTGCCGTTGGGGACACCCTGCGGGTAGGCCGTCTCCTGGGGCTGCTGCGGGCGTGGATACATTTCAGCGTCCGTGGTGGGATCCTGCTGGTGGGATTCCTTGCGGCTCGACTCGGGGCGCTTCTCGGCGTACTCGTCGAAGGATTGAGAGCGGGGAGGGGCGTCGTGCTCAACGTAGCTGTTTGCGCGGGATCGGCGTTTAAAGAACATTATGGGAAAAGAGAAGAGGTAGCGAGTGCGAGTGAGGGGCGGTGATTATATGGCGCGGAGGGGCTGAAGCGAGATTGCGCGCCCAGAAGACAAGTGAGTGGTTGGGAGCGGATGGGCTGAGATGGGTGGGTGTGAATTGAAATGGCTGAAGACGACCACGGTCGAGGGGGTTGGGGGGCGCCTCGACAAGATAGCGATAATAATCACGTTACACGCGAGCCACGCCGTCGCACAAATAGACCCGTCTCCACGCGACAGAAGTAAACAATGTAGCGTCTTTGTCGTGCAGCGTAGTAGTGTATTGATTGATGCGACGCGACGGATGCGTAGAGGTGTGTTGCTGCGCGACGGCCCCAAGGGACCATCCAACATGGTTTTGTGTAGTTTGGGTCCAAGCTCCACATGGGTCCTTCCTTCCTTCCCCAGCCGACTTTTTTTGGAAGGAACCAGCTACCAGCCTCCTCCCACTCCCGCCCGTGCCCGCACTTCCGTGATGTGTCACTCGTCCACCGCTACTACCACTACATCTTCGACACGGAATTGGCCATCCACATCCATGGTATAAGCTTCATGCTTTGACTGTTTACTATTTACGATTCACTATTTACTATTTGCTGTTTATTATTTGCACATGCCCACGAACCAAAGCTACTTGCTCTGCCCGTTCACTTTGCCCTTGGTGCTCCTGCCGTTGCTCTGGGTCCCAGCTTTCCTCCCGTCACTAAACTCCACCCCCTTGATCGTCCACTCACTGTACATCTCAAGCCCCGCAACGAAGACCCCAAGCAGACTCGCAATCACAAAATGACTAATCGTTGTCCCAATGTCCAGCCAGCTGCCCTCATCCTTGACCATGAAGAAGAAATTCAGCGTCATGACATCGCTAACCGCCATGACCACCATGAACAGCGCTGAAGGCGCAACCCCTAGCCTGCGGTTCAACAGCCCAAAGTTGGCTGACAGCGCCGCAAAGGGCACCATGAGTTTGAGCATGAGTAGGGCGCCTTGCGAGAAGGGGTCGAAGACGGGAATGAGGCGCGCCACCGCGTCGAGGGAGAAGGACGACACAGATGCAATGTTGGACGCGCTGAAGAAGGCCGATTGAATGAAGAAGAAGAAGAAGAGAGCGATCCGAGCATCGGCCAGCGTGAGCGAGCGGTAGTCGCCCTTTCGAATTGCCCCAAGTCGGTCTGCTGCGGCTTCGATGGCTGGCTTTAGGGGGTTGGTCGACGCGGCAGCCGTTTTTTGCGTCTGGGTCGTGTGGAGCGAGACTTGATGCTCTAGCCGCATCCAGCTGAAGAGGCAAAGGAAGAAGGCAAAGTAGAACAGACCCTCGTACGAGATGGTCAGGATGATGAAGGTGGGCGCGAATTGTAGGAAGATGACAACGAGCCGGTGCACGTAGTGGCTGTTTGGATACAAGCCATGGAGCTGAGGTACGACCAGCGAAGCTACAAGGGTTGCCCATCCCACCACCAGGACCCCGAGCGGCAGCCCTTGTCGAGCCTGGGTGTAGCCAATGCTGCTCTTGGTGACAATCATGGACAGTAGCACTAGACCGAGCTGAACGCTGAGGATAATGCGAGACTTGTCATCTAGCCTGGGTTCAGCGAGCTCGTCATCCGACTTTGCATCCGCAAGAAGGTGCTTCTCAAAGAAAAGGTACAGTGCGCCAACGGCGAACATCAGCCCTCCGCCAAGCAAGATGAGCCGAGTATCCTCTGCTTTGTTTGCAGGAAGCATGGTAAAGGCACTCATGATGATGCAGGACAGTACCCAGGTGGCGACAGTCCCCAGATTCTTTTTCATAAATACCTGACCGTAGACTGCCGGCCAGCACGTGGCAAGCAGATAGCAGACGGTATAAATTTCCCTGACGAAGTAGCTTTGAACCAGAGCTTCCAAAAGACCGAAAAAGCCGAGCGTGGAGAGTACAAGCTTGGCGATGTCACCGTTCGAGGAAACGTGGCCAAAAAGGATCTTGCCTCCCTTAGTGAGGGACCCACGGCGAGCGTACACTTCCTCCCAGAAGAGGACTGGGAAGAAAGCATACACGTAATAGACCCAAGGTGATCGCTGCTTGAGAATAACAGCGAAAAGTGCAACTAGCACCCCAGAGAACATGGCTATGCTTTGAGTTGTCCTGAGAGCCGGCACATGTTCCGTGAGCACATGGAGGTCGATGACAGTGGTAATGGCAAACACAATCCAGCCGACATACCCAGCCGTGACTAGTGTCCGTAGGAACAACCAATCGTATCTTTGCAGGTATCTCATACCTTCGAGGCCGAGGTCAATGAGCTCATAAGTTTGAAGAATTGCCTCGTCAACTTTGTCGTCATCAATGGCTTGTTGTATCTGAGAGACTCGGTGCTCCACCGAATGTGCCTCGTCTCCTAGCCCAGGGAAGGGCTGGTAACGAAGCTCCGAGGACTTCTTCAGCTCTTCCTTAACGTGATACATCTCTAGTATCTCTTTTGCGTTGACTAGGAGTGCTTCTGCCTTTGTCTTGGTATCCGTACTGAGATACGAAAGTGGTAGTACTCCAACTGAGTTTGTTGGAAAGTCAAGACCGACAAGATAGGCCATCAATGCTGCGACGTCGGCCTGGTCTACATCATGTCGTTCGATCTCGTCCAGGCCCCAGTCGGATGAAAACTCATCATGGCCTTGAGCCACGCCAGAGGTGTTCTTAACCGGTGTTGCGACACCAGCGCCCCACGCGATCAACGGTGTGCGCGTATTGTCCGGATGCCCGTCTCCGTGACTGCCCCAGTCGCTCATGCCATGGTCTGCCGTAAACACAAAGGCCGTCTTATCGTCATCATAAAACTCCTCGATGAGCCGCGTAATTTCCTGCACGCCCTGATCCACGAACTGGATGTTGTGCAAGTACTGCCACGAATATGGTCGATGCCCATGACCGGCAATATCCAGCCCAAGCAAATGAAGAAAGAAGACGTTCTTCTCCTGCCTCAGCTCAGCGTCCAGCGTGGCATTGGTCTTCGCATCCGTAAACAGCTTCTTGACCCTCTCAAAGACCCATTCATCTAGCCCCCAGCCATCCTTTGAGAAGTCCTCAATTTCCGCTTCGTAGCAGTATGAGTCTACTCTTCCTGGCACAGCTCCATGTTCAAACATAGGCAGGATGTCTGGGCTGCCCCAGCTCCATGTATGTCTACTCCTATTGAACACACTGTCAAAGTTCACCGGGTTCAGCTTCCACCCCGTTGTGACCGCCGAAACATCTTCGTATAACCCCGCGATGAGCGCAACGTGTCCTGGTCGAGATTCGGTAGGGACGCGCGTATGAGAGACGCCAAATGTGCCGCTTTCCAAGACTCGGGAGCGAAGGTAGGGAGCGAGGGGTCGCGGTATGGCAGGGTCATCCGCGAGCGGCGTAGGCGCATTGGGATCAGGGTTGGGAAAGGACTGAAATGCCTTGTCCGCGCGAAGGCCGTCACCTGTAATGTCGTCAGTATTTCAACCTAGCAAAGCCGTGTAGAAACTTACCGACGAAAAGAACTAGACGGTTTGCAGGTGCTTCTTGGGTCTCCACCCGATGCTCGCGCATGCCATGGACAATTGGGCTTACGAAATATATCGAGAAAATGCTGTAAATGTAGACCAAATGAAAGACCACGGCCACAAGAAGGAACCGGTAGCGCCCGAATTGCGCCATTGTAGGTGTACAAAAGAATGAATGTCTCAGGGAGACTTCTTGACGCGACGTGGCACCCCAATGGCTTTGTCGTTTAGGAGGCCATAAAGGTGCCTCTGCCAAGATTTACGGGGCTAGGACTATCAGAGTACCTCAATCTCGACTCGTAATGGGTTTTAGTAGGTTGTTCCCATTATTCACGGTTCAGGTATCACTGAATAGCGCTTCGCAAGAGAAAATCCGAGATTGACCTTGACGCCTGCGGTGAGTGTCGAGGTCGCAGCCTCCCTCACCCGAATAGGCAATGGCCGCGTGTGCCCTCTGCAAGCCACCCGTCAGCCTCAACGTATTCACCATTTTTCATCTGCACGGAAATAATAGCCTTGTCCCGTGAAGACATTCACACTACCTTAAAAATGCGTAATCCTTTACTAATTTGGTATACGTATGTCAAAGTTCAAGAGTTAGTGCCATTGATTTGAGGTGGAAGTATGCACTTGTTAATGAAAAAAACTCCTTTAGTGATCAGAAGATAAAGCAAACAATCGCTTGCTATTCGTATTACTTGTCAGTCTATTAGTGCCTGCCTACTCCTCCACATTGAAGTTCTGTCCATCTCTCAGACCCTCAACAACTAGGTCGTGACCCTCAACACGTCGGTAAATGTCCTTGATATCATCTGCTAGTGTTAGCAACATAGCCCTTTATCTAAGAAGAAAGTACCTACCTGTCGCAGTCTCGAAGTGGCTCGTCGCATCGTAGCTCTTGGAGAGAAAGATGTTGTCGTTAGCACCACTCTCAAGAGGTTCGTAGAGCGGGATGGCCTGGCCCATGAATTGCTCCTCAATTTTGCCGAGACGGTCGAGACCGGGCTGGAGCTCGAGGTGGTGGTTGGTATCGTTCTCGGCAATGGTAGACACGATGGCAATGTAATAGCCCTTGGGGCAGACGTTGTGGGCGGAAGACACAACGGCGATGTAGATGTCTGATAGTTATTATTAGTATGAAACTAGTGAGTATTAGTATCTTGACTCACCGTGCTTGCGTCCAACTTGAGACTGGGGAATGATAAGCTGTAGGGAGTCGGAGTCGGCAGTGTTGGGGATAGGATGGTTGAGAATGCAGATGGCCTTGAGCAAGTGTCCGGTAACGCGCACCTTGCCAGGGAAGTATGAGGGGTCTGCGAGGATCTTCTTCGCTTTAGTCTCAAACTTCATGCCTGGGCCAGCATCATCCTTCTCCTTCATGGTGGCCTTGATGCCCACGACCTTGTCGCCATCGTAGAGGAACTCGTCAACATCGGTGTTGAGCATATATGTACCACCGTAGATGGCGGACAGACGTGCGAAACCCTGAGGAAGCTCTCCGAGACCGTAGAGCGGGTAGATGTAAGGGGACTTTCCGTATCGTGCCATGGAGTTAACATAAAGCCTGATTCGCTGGATAGCCTCATTTGCCTGTCCCTGTGTGGTAATGTAGTCATCCGTCGGGTATAGAGCCATGGAGTGTCCGATGAAGTCGCGGGTAGTAGCCTCCAAGCCGAACTTATCGTAGACGTCCTTCATATTGCAGGTCTTCACATCAAGACCTATGACAAACGGTTAGCAACTATAGCCATGCCTTGTCCTTGTCTGTTGTAGCACCCACCCTTGTGTGTCGCCGGATCGTCCTCCTTGTATGCACCAACCCACTCCAAGAAGTTCCTAGCCCTGCGCTTCTCGAACAGGCCCATCAACGGCGAGCGGAGTGCCTCGCCAGCATCTGAAGGGACCTTCGCGACGGTTGCCTTGGCACCCTGACCCTGTTGTACATAGCTGCCAGCAATCTGCTTGAACTCGAGGTATTTCGTGACGTCGGTCGAGACGAGAATGTTTGTAAGTTCGCCGTTCGACATGAGCAGCTTCGGGACAAGGTCGATGTTCCAGTCGTTTACGCGGCCGTACTTCTTCCATGGCTCCCCAGTGGTCTGGCCGTACCTCTTGAAGAGCTGTAACATAGTATGAGCATCTGGCTATGCAAAGCAGGTTCATACACAACGTACCGCTTCAATGTTGAGTGACGCTGCCTCGCTGCACCTTGTAAGCTGTCTTGTCCAGAAGATAGCCATCGGGGCTACTTACCCGCCATAGTGATCGTTGCGGTCAATGTGGAGCACCTTCTTGCCCTTGACACTGAGCACACTGGACGCATGTTAGTGTGCACCTTGGAAATCGACGACATGTGTTACCCTGAGAGCACACATTCTGTGAGACCTGGGGATCATTAGCATATGGCGGTTCCCGCGGCGGGGTAGCCACCCACCTGTTCCGAGAACTAGAACGTCGTACTCGGGCGCGATCTCGTCCATAATTGTGGAAAGTGAAGAGTCGGGTATAGGAGGGGCGTTGTGAAGGTTCGTAAGAGCTGTTCACTGGAATGCGGGAGGATAGTGGCGAGCTCGGAGATGTTGCGGTGAGCGAAGATGTGGGGGTGCTGTAGCTTCCTTTACCTCGCCAATTGTGCAGTGGCGTATGAGACTCGTCCGACCTTTGTGCATTATTTCATAACATATAGCGTTTCGAGCACACCTAGGGTGCAAGGATTTCATCCTAATTTTTGACCCCATCAAGATTCAAAGGCTGTTAAGTTATCCGACTTGTGAAGCCCTACAAACGATTCGCTACATCAAACAAATGCTGCCAGCTCTAGTTTTCCGCTTGCCATCTGATATGCGACATAATGTACAAATCTACACGCTACGATCATACAATGATGCTCCTGCACTACCCGGTGCGTCGCAGGCTACCGTCCATTTGAATGTGTCCCTATCTACGCTTCTATGCGTTCACCTTCTCCTCCGGCTTCTGTTCAGTTATGCAAGTGTTTTGGCTTTCGCGGGTTCCTCGACTGCGGGCTCCGGCTGTGCATCGTATGGCGCTTCTTCTGACTCTAGTGGATCCTAGAGACGAAATTAGTAGAATTCCCTGCCACGAGCGCGGATTGTACGTACATATGGCTCCTGTGTGTATTGCGGTCCGTCTGTCCGACTGAGATCAATGCTCGGATCGCGCTTTGCAAGCTCAAGTGCTTCCTGATAGGCGATTTGCCTTTCCGCCAGTGTGTCCAGAATTGCCTTCATGGTCTCCTGCACTGTCCTGTCGCGGTGGGTACTTTCGAGGTCACCATAGCCGGCTTCTAGTCGTTTGCGCTCGATCTTTTCGGTCGCTAGGCGGTTTCGCTCCTTTACGCAGACCCACCACAACTGGTGCAGTGAGTCCCAATCTCGGCTGCGCAGCTCGCCGACCGTCCACGCCCTCCCTATGTCCATGTTAGCCATTGGCATGCCGGCCTGGGAATCATTGCTATCTACCGTGTCGCTGTTCCTCGACTGGTGTCTGTAGCAGCTGTTGATCCTTGAAAAAGTCCCACAGGCCATGGTCTGGTGTGCCCGTCACCTTGTTCTCGATCTTGACGGGCTTCGGTAATTGCTGATTCTCGAAATCTTTGTTCTTCACAGACAGTGTTTGTCTCGGTCGAAGGCCTGTGTTTCTTACGGCTGAAAGGCCTCGGGTCTTGTTGTTATCTTTCTTGCATAGTGCTGGTGATGTCGAGAATCGTGCTACGGGCGCATTGCGCATGCATTGGATGGACGGGACCAAGAATGAGAGCAGGGCATCCGGGTTCTTGGAGGATAGACCGGGTCGCAGTATTCGTGAGGACGGTATGGCAGCCATTGTCGGGCTGTGTTGCAGATGGAAAGGGCGGAGTCGCTGATTAGATGCAGCTCGGAAACTCTGCGACTGGGGGTCCGAGCGGCTTAGCGGTCATCCTGGCACCCTGGCCCCACCGCCCTTCGACTTCGTGCTCGCCAGCCGCGCCCGGTAGTATAAAGAGAGGACGCCCCGCAGTCCTTTTTCAAACCCCATCCACCGACCGCGCTCTCACCCCGTGACGGGCGCCCTTCGATAGTTCCAATTTCCCTTGAAGAATTCCTAGATTTCACCAGCGGGTATCAGGACCCGTGCTTTACAATCCCGACATGCAGTTCTCCAACTCCAACATGCACTTCCAGCCATCTCAACGCACAGCACGAACACGACGACTGTGGACAGCCGCCAATTAACTGGGACTACGCCCTCTCCTTTTCTACTGCCGATATCAACAACTCTCTTCTAGTTCCTACGACTCTTCCCTTGTCTTCTTCTACTACCTCCTTGGACGCCTTGACAGGTAGTCTTGTTGCACCTGACTCTTCCTTCCACAATACCACGAATTGGAACGATTTCTCATTACCCTCATCTGACTCACAAAACTTCCTTGGCAATGGCCAGATTTCTGGTGGCCCCTCGCTGTTTACTACCGCTGGAGACGACATGAATATTCTAGCCATTCCATCTGGCATGGGAAACTTGCATAATACAAGCTTTTCTACACCCATGACAAAAGGTAAGACGACGAGCCCTGTTCTTGCACTCGCGATCTAAACAATACATACAGACTGCTCTCAGCCCGGTTCCATTTCAAGCTCTAACGACCGGACCTCGTCTTCACCCGAGCAATCTTCTACATACTCCAAATTGTCAACCACCAAAAACAGCCCCTTGGCACCTGAGGTGTCCCGTGTTGAGAAGCGAAAAGCCAACACTCTTGCGGCTCGCCGATATCGACAGAAACGCGTTGATCAAATGAGCGGCCTGGAGACTGAACTCAAGGAAGTCAAGACCGAGCGCGATGATCTCAAGGTCCGCTGCGCCCGGCTCGAAGGCGAGGTCGAGACGCTTCGTGCCCTGCTCCACGCGCAGAAGTAGTCCTGTTCTCAACTGTTAGCACACTTGGTGTTTTCAACCTGTCCTTTCAATGACGGGATTCGGCCTCCTTTCAGACGATGTCGGAATTCGGTTCGATCATGGTATGCCTTTTTGGCAGGATCAGATCGGCAAATGTTTCTTAATCTTTGAGGATCTGGGAGATACGGCGTTCTCGGGTACTCACATGGTCACTCTTATGTAGCTTTTAACAACTATATTCTTCAATACTCCCGATATATTCTCATGCAAGTTATATATGCACTCGTTATGCCTCGTCAAACATTACTTTGGCTCACTCTCACACAACATGAGTCGAAATGATCTGGGAAAGCACAACACATGCTTCTCGGCCCGTGATTCGAGTACTCTTACGATTGAACATGGACATTGATCCATATCAAGAATCTAAACTACACTTGTAATTGAGGATACCGCTACCTCTTGCCATTACAATCGTTATCATTTCTTCATCTCCTCCCTCTTCACCATAGTTTAGGGGTGTGGCCACATAGGCGGCCAGCCAATGAGCGCCGACTGTAGCCGCAACCAATCACATTGAGCAGTGATGAGTCACTTTTGCTCACTTTCGCTCAGAATGAGAGCTCCACCAAACCGCTAGCTCCACAGCTTAGTGCATGGTAGTGCTTGCTCTTTCCCGTGCCGTTGATCAACGAGTTGCCTATCGAGAACTCCTATCTTGCGTACATGTGTGCGGAGCGTGGTGTTTCACGGCATGGGCACGTTCATCAAGAACGACGAAAGCAAAATTGCTAGACGTGAGCTCTTTGACGTCACGTCAGGTAGTGAATGCCGATATGCACCAATCTAGATCGTTTTTGATGACTTTGGCCGGCACATTCAGGCATCGACCTTGGCCGCCCTCGACGGCTGTTCCCCCCAAAATCGATAAGACAGGTCCTCTTGAAGAAGAGGCAACGCCGTATTACGACCCTCGATATTTCTATCCAGCTCGTTTGGGGGAAGTTGTCAATCAAAGGTATCAGTTAGCGACCAAACTTGGCTTCGGCACCAGCTCGACCGTCTGGTTGGCACGAGACCTTTTCCAGTTACGTCCATGCCAAGCGCATTTCATCGACTGCGCTAACGAGCATTAGGTGGAGATGGAATGCTGAGAGATATGTTGCATTGAAAATCCATTCATCCCATCCTGAGAAGCGAAGTGCTGAGAATGAGCTAGCCATCGCGCAAATTATCTCTCAGAAATCGTCGAATCACGAAGGAAAGCAATTTTTCCGTGGTCTGCTAGATGTATTTCAGCTTCAAAGGCCAAATAGCACAGAGAGCAGCAATCTTGGATTGGTCTATGAGCCAGTTCGAGAGCCGCTTTGGCTCGTGAAAACAAGATTTCGGGATGGCACAATTCCGGTGCATATATTGAAGATTTTGCTGCAGGAGATCCTACATGGCTTGGATTTCCTGCATAGCGACTGCAAAGTCGTTCATGCCGGTATGTTTGACCTCTTCTGATCGATTATCAGGCTTACTCTGCTAGATATCAAAATCGATAACATCATGGCGAGCTTGGAAGAGCCCGCAATTGTAGAAAAGAGCGCAAGAGACGAGTATGAAAATCCGCTCCCGCAAGCCATTCGCGATGATAGAACCATCTACCTCTCTCGAAACCAGTTCGGACCGATTTCAAACCTCCCAAAGGCCCTTGGCCGAATTGCCATCACGGACTACGGCTTCTCTGTCCAAGGTGACGGCCCGCACTACGGAGCAATTCAAGCGGAGTCATTGCGTGCCCCTGAAGTAATCTTGGATGCCGGTTGGACATACAGTGCTGACATTTGGAGCTTAGGAGTCATGGTATGTCACTACGGTTCGACACGAGATATATTGCTGATTGCTCTGTAGCTCTGGGATCTCTTTGGAAAGCGATCCTTGTTTCGAGAGCTTTACATAGAAGCAAACTATGATGACAGACTTCATCTTGCTTGCATAACGGCGCTACTAGGGCCACCGCCCTCAACTCTACTCCAACGAGGCAAGCGAACGTCCCTGTTTTACGATTTGAATGGTATGGCGATCGACTGTGTTTTCCAGGTCTCGAATTATCTCGACTAACAAGATCTTAGATCAGCTGCAGTACAAGGGCGACACACCATCACTCGATTTCACATCATCGATTGAACCGATTCCTGACGATGACAAGGAAATGTTCATCAAGTTTGCGAAAAGGTTGCTTACCTGGGATCCAAAGGAACGGTCTACGGCGAAAGAATTACTGGGTGATCCATTCTTGCAGCACTGAATTCATCAATGGAGGTTTTATACTTATACCCTGCCCATTTATTAAGGAGAACTTACGTTCAGGTCAGATCAGTACAGCCCGGTGGCCATCCCTTCGACTGTTTTGTCAAGAACGCTTGCCATGCGTTTACTATGTCCAACAGCCACAGAATGATCAAGTCCCAGTCGCCGCTTCGCTCGCTCCTTTGCGCCAAGCTTAGCGTGACGCCGTGTCCGGCAGAAGGAGATGGATAACAGCTACTGTACGAAGCTACGGGTCTTGTGCGCGGGATTTCACTTCAAAATCTTGGACCTCTAAACAGGGACTGAACTCTAACGGGTACTGCCATGCCAGAACAGTGCTGAAGAAAAACACCAAAGTAAATGCATAGCCACAAATCCGTCCTACTAAATGGATCGCCCAATGTCGTATCTCGGTCCCAAGGTGGGCCTTGCGATAAACTACCAGGTTCACTGCTCCTTGAGCAGATAGGAGGAAAAGCCAAAGTGACCAGAGAACTTTTTGAGTGTAGCACGACATCTGAGTGCGTCGCCACGATAGTCGAAAATCGAAGGCGTGTATACAGTAAATGGAGCAACATGCAAACGATGCTAGAAGACCCTCCAAAAGCGCGCAAAGAATAGGCTTGCGAAACCGAGCTGAAAAGGGGCGGCCAGTCGGATTTGATTTGTCGCTCCATCCAAGAACGGGTATGAACACGAGAGCGCCGAAATCATGCAAAGCGGTCAGAAGGAAACAAGTGGCCCAGATCCATTGTGTAGAGCAAGAAGTGTGGTGTGGTAGGGGCAGAATTGGGACTGGACTTAGGACAATGATCCCCAAGGGAGTCGAGTATAAGCAGCCTAAGGCACTTTAAATTTGATTATAAGCAAGCCTGGGCAACTATTCTTTAAGCTAAGCAAGAATAACCCGAGGTCAGGCTAAGTAAGATGTTGCTAATCTGATGGGCTAAAATCGACTAAGCCAGTCGTGTGTATGCCAAGAGTAGATTCTACTTGAAAATAGCGTGTATATCACTCACCGCAGGAATGCTCGTATGTCAGTCTTTGAGATTCCATGACCTGAGCAACTGGTCATATGACGGGAGTGTGTAGGCTTTGGAATACAATATGCCTCTCCTTCACTAGACATCGCTTCCTCTTCTCATTGCGGCGCCTCCTAACTTCTCACTCCATTTCCATCCTATGTCCATATTCGCTACTTCCTTCTCGTCTTCATTTTCCATTCGTCATGTAACGTCCGTCGTTCTGCCAAATTATTCTTGCCTTGCGGCAATGTGAGCATTGGGATCCAGCTCAGTATTGCATGAGGCTGCGTGACCACCATCACCTGTTCTGGTTTGCATGAGCCGGTCACACCTCAATACTTGTACTTTCAGTAAGTTAGATTGCGAACGGGTCGGCTTAGCAACGCCGCAGACAGCGAGTGTTGAGCAACTCAAGGGGGGTTTCAGCCTGAGAACCTCAGACACTCACCACACAACCTCACACCCCGGCTAAAAGTGGGCGCACTGGGTATGTTGAAGCCGAGCTCATCACATTATGCGAACCAACATATGACCGGAAAGATCGCCAAGCGACAGTTCGCTTTAAACCCTTTGTAGTCTAATAGTCGTTTTCAAGCTGAACACGCATTGCTGGTCTGACCCAGTCGAGAGATAGCCGTTGTTCTCCGACCGCACGACATATGGTGAAACTACGGACCAGGCCCTTTTCAATTGCACACGCCATGCCAACGTGGTTCCTTTCCAGGTCCTAAGTCGATCAAACGCTTCGCGAAGTTGTCAACGATTTCTCATCCTAGCATGCGATACCCGTCATGGTCCTTGCTGAACGATAATAGCAAATCGGTTAATGGAATCGCTTCAATATCCTCCACAATCCGTTGGGCTATGCGTATTGACTCGCATGATTGCCACCTGCAAAGTCGGTCTTGCTTCCTGCACGTACCAGGGAAACGACACGGTCTACGGTACACTCTGTCTCGCAGGGCTCAAAATCTGGGGAAGCCTAAATGGAAGAATGATGCTTATAACTGAGCGCTCAGACACAAATTCTCCTGGTCCATTGTTGCTTCTTCGGCTTGCTCCTCTCTACTGTTACCCGGGCGTAAGCTCTACCGATCTTTTCACAACTATTTGCGAGCTCGGAATCTGTACTCAGTCTGACACTCCGTACCTGCGTGAGCAGCTATAACCGGCGACTTAATACACCATGTACCTACGGCCGGGCTTTGTCGTGGTGATAGTTGGAGCGACGTTGACTTCATTATCGACTGTCATCGTAGCCCTGCGGTACGTTCGCTACGCGAGCCAGTTTGGCGCCATTACTGATGTTGGTGAGCAGATATTACTGTCGTCACTTCTTAACTGGGTCGGTGGGCGTAAGCGATCATCTCATGCTTGCTGCTCTGGTAAGTTTTCCGGACGCTATTCTCGCCACTGTGCTCATTCAACTAGATGTTCACGTGGGCAAACTTGGTTATCAACTACTACCAAGACATCACTAGCAGCAAATTCAAACCTAGCTACTTTCGAATACCGGTACGCGTAGTATGCCCACCCTCGCTGACGATGCTAACGCACATCTAGGAAAAGCGACCGGAAATAGCAGCAACAGTGCGCGGTACCCTAATAACATGGTGGGTGTACCGAATGAGCTACATTCTAGCACTCTGCTTCGTCAAACTTAGCCTCCTCTTCTTCTATCGGGTAATAGCAACCCACCGCACCTTTCGACGCCTCGTGTACGCTACGATCGGCTTCGTGAGCATATACACATTCGCCTCATGCATTGCTGCCGCCTTCCAGTGCCTGCATCCACCAGATGCTTGGGACACTTCCGGATTTTTCGCTCAGTTCGACAGAGATCCGAACACGAAGAAGCCGAATCTCAGGTGTTACGATCCGGTGAGGTTGTGGGTGTTCTGTGCAGCAGCCAACCTGTTGAGCGACGTCATCATACTGCTGCTACCTATTCCCACATTGCTCAGCCTCCGAGTCCCAATGAGCAAACGTCTGGCTCTTATCGGTATCTTCTCCATTGGCATCATGGCCATTGTCGCCTCCTCAGTGCGCATGTGGGTGATGATGCTGTGGGCAGAAAGTCCATCGGCGAGCGCTCGTTTTGGAGCAGATCTCCTCCTTTGGGGCCAGGTTGAGACCAACAGTGGTATCATATCCGCTTCAGTCCCCTTCCTTCGCCTGCTTTTTCGACGGAGAGAAAAAGAAGAGCGAGGCGTGACGCAAAGAAAAATAGACATGAGCCCACCGAAACCCATGGGAGGGGGTGGCACCAGTCAAAATAAGCCACTCGAGATTGAATATGAAAAGAACGGTGGAGAAGGAAGCCCGAGTTGGGGGCCTTTCATCACGGTTCCGGAGAGCTTGGGCTCGGCAAGCAGGAACAGCACGTTGGTGGAGCCTACGCATCCCCATATGACGGTGTAGGAGCGGAGGTTGTGACTTGGTGGCTACATTGCTTCTGGGTTCTTGGCGTTATGAGCGGCGAGTGAAAGGGAGGCGAGGACCGTGTCAGCGTGGTAGCTGGCTCTACTGCGCCGCTGTTCAAACTCACTATGTTCATGGTCATGGTAAGTCCTCGTATTCATCTCTCTATCTTTCTTGGGCGCACGCTAACGGCTTGATAGAATTTGCTGATGGTTTGCACAGCGGCGTTGGAATACGTTAAGAAGCGTCCTCATGACGCCAGATGCTGCGCTGGCAAGCCATGCAACATCAGCCAGGATTCTGTGAGCACATAATAAGGCAAGAGAGCGGTGAACCATTCGCCAGGTACTGGGTAGAGAAGGTCAGCTGGAGAGATGCGTCGGACTTGGTCTGACATGAGTCTCGCGCAGTTTAAGCGAGCAGGCGTGAAGCATGCTGTATACACATTGGAGAGCACAATACCATAGACGAGGACTCATAATCGTTGTAGCGTAGCAAGAGCGCAAAGCGATTGCCATGCCAAACATGTCGTGTTCCAACGGTTGACGTTCCAAAACAGCCTCAGAAGACGACGCCGCGTTACCCTTTCCAGAAATGTCCGAGGCGGAGTCCATGTGGGCCGCCATCATCAGCGCTGCACAGCAAGAGGTCACGTCGACCTGCACTCTTACCCACAGCAGCATCATCACTGTGCTCGAAGCTACAGGCGCTGTTTGACGTAGCACACGGCCCAATCCAATCGCCCCGGCACTGTCCATGTCGATATAAGTAGCAAGAGTACCCGACTATCACCACCGTGGCTACCTCACGCCTCACGAAGCTCTTCCTCGCAGCCGTCGCCCTCTTCATCTCACTCTCCGCCATTCTGGCTACCCTTCGACTCGGCGTGCGCTCTCCCTCCCTACTGCAGTACATAAAGCCGAGACCATTGGGCAGCCCACTCTACTCTCAGCCATACCGACCGCTGACCAACTCGACCATGGCGCCTAAGCAATATAAGACGCCGCCTCAGCTGCCGCCCAGGTTCACGGCGACGAAGCAGAGCTTGATTGAGGATACGAAGAGACTGGTACGTGACAGGGTTATAATCCTGCTATTAGGGCATTCCATTGCTGCTGCTATGGAACCCCGCAGTGAAGAGAGATGGGACGCGGAGCTGACATGGCCCAGATTGACAGATCACGAAGCGTACAGGATGCTGTTGCTCGCGACGTCCAGCTCGACAGCGCGACTTTCGCAAACGCCGTCCTCCCAATTGCCCGCGATGACAACAAGATGGCCATCGAGTCGCACATCATCGGCTTCTACAATGCCGTCTCCACTAGCAAGGAGCTACGCGACGCGTCTAGCGAGGCAGAGCAGCTGCTCGATGACTTTGGCATTGAGTCGTCGATGCGCGAGGATGTTTTCAAGCTCGTCGATGCAGCACTAAAGAAGAAGGAGCAGCTGGACCCGGAGTCGCAGCGGCTGCTGGAGAAGGATCACAAGTCCTTCATCCGGAATGGACTGAGCTTGCCTGTGGGCCCCAAGAGGGACAGATTCAAGGAGATCAAGCAACGCCTCAGTCAGATCAGCATAGCTTTCCAGAAGAACTTGAATGAGGAGAATGGAGGACTGTGGTTCACACCGGAAGAGTTGGACGGCGTGCCGGACGATACCATCTCAACTTTGAAGAAGGGCCAGGGTGACAACGAGGGCAAGTTGTGGCTCACCTTCAAATACCCGGACCTGTTCCCAACTTTGAAGTACGCGACGAACGCCGAGACACGGAAGAAGGTGTTCATCGAGAACGAGAATAAGTGCAACGACAACGTAGCCTTGTTCCGCGAAGCTATTCTACTACGTGACGAAGCAGCTCGCATCCTCGGCTATAAAAACCATGCCCAGTTCAGGATTGAAGACAAGATGGCGAAGACAACGGAGACGGTTGACGACTTTTTGGCTGATCTGCGAGAGCGCCTTGCGCCCGGTGGCAAGAAGGAGATTGAAAAGTTGATGGAGTTCAAGAAGCAAGATACGAAAGAGCGTGGCTTGACTGGTCCGCTGGCCGAGAAGTACTACCTCTGGGATCATAGATACTATGATCGCTTGATGCTAGAGAAGGATTACCAGCTAGACCACCAGGTCATTGCTGAGTACTTCCCTTTGCAGACTACCATCCAGGGCATGCTGAAGATTTTCGAGGAGCTCTTCGGTCTGGTCTTCGTCGAGATTGTGGGCGAGGAAGAGAGGGCAGCTCTTGCAGAAGGCGGCAAGGGGTCAGACATTGTATGGCACCAGGATGTTCAGATCTTCAGCGTGTGGGACGACGAGGGCGAAGGCGCCGGTTTCGTGGGATATTTGTATCTCGACCTCTTCCCACGAGACGGCAAGTATGGTCACGCCGCCAACTTCAACCTACAGCCCGGCTACATCGATGAGAACGGCAAGCGACGATACCCAGCCACGGCGCTCGTCTGTAACTTCTCTAAGCCGACCCCGAAGAAGCCTTCGTTGCTAAAGCATGATGAGGTTGTTACCCTATTCCACGAACTCGGCCACGGCATCCATGATCTGGTCTCAAGAACAACGTACTCGCGCTTCCATGGTACGAATACCGTCCGCGACTTCGTCGAAGCACCCTCCCAAATGTTGGAAAACTGGTGCTGGACGCCCTCGCAAATCCGCGCTCTATCACACCACTACTCCTACCTCTCCTCCGACTACGAAGCTGCCTATCTTGAGTCATCTGGCAGTGCCAAGAAGCCCTCCGAGCAAATCCCCAACTCTCTCGTCGCCAACTTGATCAACACGAAGCACGTGAACGATGCACTGTTCAATTTGAGACAACTGCACTTCGGCACGTTCGATATGACGGTGCATGAGCCTAGTAGTCATGAGGCAGCTGAGAAGTTGGATATCACGGAGAAGTACAACGCTCTTAGGCAAGAGATTAGTCAGCTTGATGGGCCGGAGGCGTTGGAAGGAGAGAAGAAGGGTGATTGGCACTGGGGGAATGGTCAGGCTACTTTTGGTCACCTGATCGGTGGATACGATGCTGGGTGAGTCATTGTCAATATTCTCCAAGTTGGAAAGGATGTGCTAACTCGTGACAGTTACTACGGCTACCTCTCCTCGCAGGTCTACTCCACAGATATGTTCTACACAGTCTTCAAGGCAAATCCCATGAACGGCAAGGAGGGCCGTAGGTATCGACACACCGTCCTCGAACGTGGTGGATCGAAGGAGGAGATGGATATTCTAGAAGAGTTTCTAGGTCGCAAGCCGGAGACCGAGGCGTTCTATAAGGAGCTTGGCATCAGTCAGTAAAAGACCTGGTGCCCGCGAAGAGCGCACGCATTGGTAGACTCACACAGATTAAGGAGATGTTCAGAGTATCCGTATCAAGAGTGCATTATAGAACATAGCGTTATCAATTACAGCGATTGTATGCCAGCATATCTACGGCCAACACTTCCTACAACAGCAATCATGTCACTGTTGTACATTTACAACAATCTGCGTTTATCTCTGTCTTTTCCCGTTCTCCTTCCCCCTCTATGTTTCTCGATTTCTTCCTCAACTTCTTCTCTACAAAAACGCTTTAAATTTTCCTGCATTTCCAAGCCCATACCACACACAATTAACAGACTTTCACGCCGCCCCGAATGCCGCGCTCGCGCCCAAGCTCCGCACTATCCTTCTCGTCGCTCACATCCTCACTCTCCTCGTGCTGTAGCTTGCAAACTCCTTGTGCAGTAGAACGCTGCGCGTCGCTAGTGAAATATGATCCAAAAGGGAAGTGTAGGGGGGGTCTGCTGTGTAAGAAACATGCTGAGGAATTGAGATGGGTTGTTAAGAAGGTGGTTGAGGATTGGTATTATAAGCAGGTCGGATGGGGTGGGCAGTATGAGATAAGAGGGACATAAGACGGGCATACGCACCTAGACTACCTATTAAAGTATCATCCGTTTTTAGGTGGGCTTTAAGGACAAGCGAACTACGCCCAGGGGTTGTGTGATATGCACGGAACGGCGGAGGAGGAGGATGAAGAGGAAGGATTCGATGCTGTATCTCAGTACGAATATAATGCATAAGTTTGGTGACTCTACATAGAACCATACATAGTGGTCTGCTAACCCTAACCACGTGTCGCCAAACCGATTGTTAACATAGAGTTCAGCCTACTAAGTCAGTGTGTACTACAAGTAGTTCGTACGCGGGTTCTCTGACCACATATAGAGGCTATCCTAAGGAGTTGCTGGCCAACATATAATCTATCCCAACCACATCTTTCATGCATGGTCTGAGGAAACAAGTCACAATCTTAAATGACTATAGAAAGGCAGTGGCTGCATTGACTAGATCGGGTGATTGAGAGCTCCCAACTCCAAGATCATTCATAGAGCTCCATATCTGGGGCGCTCAAAAGTCACATATCCCTACGACAAGGATTTGGAAGAGGGTCGTACCACGAACTGGTGTCTTCACTGGATGGGAAGACATAGGAGTGCGTCACCAAGTCTTTTATTGCCGATTTTGCCACTCTCTCCATTCAACTTTTAAACGCTGTACCTGTCATCTTGCCAGTAATTTAATAGTAGAAGATATAGTATAAGGTGGAAGGCACTTGAAGAATTCGAAATTTGGATTTGAGGTAGAAGCCTAGAACCCAAATTGCGCGGAGATTTTTCCATAATCGCATGGGAATAATGTTAGAAGATGAGCGTTCAGAAGTAGGTTTCTGACTTTACCGCTCTGTGAGCACTTAACGTTTAGAAATGCTGACCTTTACTGAGTAGCCCTACCGTTACCTGTCGAGCGAGCTTTGACCTTGATTGTACGACTATTAAAGGATTACCAAGAACATTGAGAAGAGAGCCTTGAATACCCAGGAGATACCGAGTGTTGGGACGATGGAATATCTTTTGCTTACAAGAAGTAGCATAGTGGGACGGCAGGCTTATTGGACGGGTAATCTCACCATAATGTGCGAATCCCTCTAGAGTTTTAGCCATTCCCTACGCGGGACGCTAAAAACGCGGCAGCTGATATAAGATATGTAAGGCCTACCGTAGACTGTAAGACAGACCTTGGATATCTTACATAGGCTAACGCACTGCGCTCTAGATCCCGCGTTGGTGGCGGCGAATGTCTAATACATCCAGGATATACCACAATGTATATAGATAACGCCTGGGTCGCATAAAGATGTTCCTAACTATTATAGTAGCATTGGATTTGATTTACCTACTCAATATGACAGTCTCAATTGCTTCACAGTTCGCACAGGTGCTCGAGCTGCATGGTGGCGCTTCCTCACCACTTGTCTTCGAGTCGTTTGACCTTCCATCCTCAAATCAAAGGCTACTCGGCGCACCTCACTCACAGGGGACAGTAACACCGCTTGCATTGCGGCCTTCTACCGACGATAATACAGCACCGGACCTAGATGCTGCCATCTCATCTATCAAGTCTCTCCAGGCTCATGACAGTCTTCTCTCTAAGAAACTTAGCACGCATGGCACACTCCTCTTTCGCGGATTGCCCATCAACTCAGCGGATGATTTCAGTAAGTTTGCCCATGCGTTCGGCTACTCGCCACACGAGGTCATCGGCATCATAATCGACCGACCACTTCTCGCTCCAAATGTTGCACCGGCGAACGAGGCTCCCAAAGAAGTGCTCATCTACAATCATAACGAGTCGTTCATGGTGCCTCACGCCCCGGAGTACATTTTCCTTCACTGTCGCCGTGCTCCCAAAGAAGGCGGCGAGACCCCAATCTCATCGTCTTTAGAGTTGTTCCAACGGGCGAAAGACGAAATCCCCGAGTTCATTGATGAGTTGGCGGAGAAGGGTATGTTAAGTAAAGTTACCTATAAAGTCGACATCCAATTCGCGGGCGGCTCAACGCTGAAGCAGGCTTTTGGGAAAGAGATTGAAGAAGAAGACGACGAGGCGACGAAGAGGGCGAAGATCGAGAAGCAGATCAAGCGCTACGGTAGAGGCGAGCATACAACGTGGGAATGGACCGACGATGGACAGACGCTGGTCTTGGCACATCGAATTCCAGTGATACGGACCCAGCCAGGTACCGGCCTACCTACCCTTTTCACGGCCCTTGCAGCCCATTATAAGACTAATCAGCGTCTTGCCGCACTTGATCCTCCTCAAAAAATTGGGACACTGCAGCTCTTCGGTGATGGCACGCCTATTCCTGAGCACTACTGCAAGAAGCTGGCGGAGATTACGGACGAGATACGTGTGCTGCACAAGTGGCAGCAAGGTGATGTGCTGGTGTATGACAATATCATTGCGCAGCATGGCAGACAGCCATGGAAGGGCAAACAGGAAGACAGAGAGGTGATGGTGAGCACATGGGACGGCATAGTGCCGGGAAAGTTCGAGCAGAGCAAAGGAGATTGGGCGCAGGTGGTGCAGGCCAGTGAAGGGTAGCGAAATTGTTCTCATTTAGTATTTGCTAGAATTGAAGTTGAACATAATCAGTTGGTGTCTTTAGTCGACACGACAGAGCTTCCCATTCTCGTTTGGCAACCCATCGACACTCTCCACTCTCCATCTCTCACTACCAACGCCAGTGGCTGCATAGAACAAATCTTGCGGGTCTAGCTTCTTCTTCAACTCCAGAAGCCTCGGGTACTTGTCGCCCCAGAAAGCGTTTCCAAAATCTGGCTCCAGACGATCTGCCTCGGCAAGATAAGATCCAGCTCCAGGACTGATATCCCTCCAGGATTGCATATCCCCAGCCTGGAAATCCTTTCGTATCTTTAGGATCTCGGCAGCGGTACTATTGATTGGCCATCGAACTGACTGCATGCTGAAAGAGACCAATGGCCGCCAATGAGAGTTGACTGCATTATCGTTGTTTGATGGATCTTTAGCCTGTATGTTGAAGTGCACTTGAACTCGATTGTTCTCGGATGATGCGCGAATGCGATCAAAGTACTCCTGACGCTTCTCCTTGGTCTCAAAGTTCGCGCGGGGAAACAATCGTGATGCAGTAGCGACATTGGGCTTCTGGACTGCTTCGAGCGGGAAAGAGGATCGCCAGGCATCGTAGAAATGGTCGAAGTGTGTGACGTTGGGATCGAACTTGATACCCAGGTCCTTGAGGCTGGTGAAGAATGGGTCGAGCAGTGCGGTAGCTTCCTTCTTCGACTTCCCTGGTGCGAAATATGGAGAGAAGCTGAAGGTGAAAGTTCCATTAGTGGGGATTAGGGTCGCATACGTGTATGTGCCAGCATCGGCATTAGGGATGAAAGAATCAACATAGGCGCGAATCGCGGCCCAGAAGGTTTCTTTACCTGTGACCGCAGACGAGATAGTGAAGCGTGAGGCAGTGACTTGCAGATCTGGATACGCTTTGACTGTTACAGAGATTGCAACAGCAAATGTACTTCCACCTCCACCGCGAAGCGCCCAGAACAGATCGGTATTCGAGGTGGAGTTCGCCACGACGAATTTGCCATCAGCTGTGACGGCTTCGAAAGAGAGGACGTTGTCAGCGCCAGTGCCGTAAAGGCCAGTTAGGGGTGAGTGTCCGCCACCTTGGATGTACCCGCCCATGATACCAACCGTTTCTCCCTCGCCACCGACAACGACTTTGCCCTTCTCGTGAGCTGCTCTGTAGATTTCGAAGGCTTGCACACCAACACCAGCCTTGAATGCAGGACCGGAGTAGCCGAGTTTTTCATCCACGTACTTCTCGATGTAGTCAATACTCTTCATCCAGTGCGTCCAAACACTCAGTGCGTCTTTGCCACCACTCTTGCCCAAGAAATCGTGACCAGTGTTCTTGATGACAAGCCTTACGCCCGTGTTGCGTGCAAAGTTGACAGCGAGCTGTACATGCTTCGGTTCGGTAGCATTGACTACGTACTTGGGAAAGCCGCCACGAGTACATCCCTTTGAATCGTAGAGGCTCGGAATTGAGCAGGTCAAGCCCTGTGCAACCGGGGACATCATCTCGATGGGATCATCCATGTGCACGTAAGAGCGCTGCCATACTGGTGTAGTGTAACCGGCGCATTTTGCAGCATCGTAGTCCTTTCCAGGGTAACATACTGCTGCCAGCGGAGTGGGTCCAGTAATCAAGCGTTTGCCGGTGAGCACGTCGAGCTGCGACCAAGCTTTGTCAGATGGCCATTCCGGGTCTCCGGGATAGATTTTGCATCTAGAGGTCGTGTTCCCTGGAGCGTTGGAGTTGGGCGAGCCCGGGAGAAAGAGGGATTTGATGGACGAGTCGACGTGCTGGAGGTCAACGTCTAGGTTGAGAAGGCCAGTTTCGACCTTTGCAGATAGGAGGGGCGTCCCAGTCGTTATACTGGCGAGGACGGCCGTGATCCACAAGGTGAACGATGACATGTCGCAAATATCGATCGACGGTTCCGACGGTCCGTTGACAAGTACTTGATCGATTCGAACTGATCGTCGCAGATCTGAAGGGCGGTTAGAACGTAACTTGCGTGAGTTATCCTTTCCGTCCAGAGTACGTTCTGAAGTCCAAACTGACCGTTTCCTGGACCCTGTGGCGTCTCCCCTCCTCCTTACGCGGTGTGACGGATACAAAAGGAACACGACATTGCCTATCGTATCGAAATTAAAAGACCAGGATAGGATGCATCCTTTGAACTGCCGCTGTAAGCGGACTGCAGGCTAACGCTAAACACTGACTCTGATTGACGATCTTTGACTGATGGACAGGGTACGTTAGAGTCCAGATTGAACAACAAGAAAATGGAGAATCACTAACTCTGGTAGTGACAATCACTACCATTCTGATCATCCCGCAACGATCCAGATCGCATGTATAAATAGTGTAGATACCTTAACTACGTAACTTAGCTTTGGGCTTTCAGTAGTACCCCAAGTGACGACTTCTGAAGTATTTCCCACGTGAAATTGGGTCATGCCCAGGGGATGAACCTAGCCATGCGGCACAGCACAATACCAGCATTGTGCGTCAGCGCAGTGTTTGTTTGACTCGCAAAGCATAATGATTTATGCGTCGACAACGAATAGAAGTGGGACCTGTGAAAGAAAGGCTTCGAGAGGAAAACTTGAATTTCCTGATCATCAAGAATATAGAAAACGACCCTCCTCGATACTCTTCCACAGCTTTTGGTCCTGCCCGATTGCACGCCGTGGGTGCCTGACACTGATGGCGCTTGAATCATTGTTCTTCGCTAATCAGGGCACGCTAACCATATAAGGAAAATTGCCCAACCAAATAGGCCGGAGGCCTTTTCCGGCGGCCCCTTAACGGGCCCCTAAAGTCATCAATGTGAGATCGACGTCTTGTCTTTCCATAAACTCTGCAAGCTCCGAAAAACTGAATCGCGAATGCCCTAAAAAGGTCCGAAAGGCGAGGCCTACACTGGCCTACGCTGTGTTGCTAATGGCTGTTACCCCGATTTCTCCGTCAGCAAGACAAGCGTGCATACTGAAGGTCCGATACATTGGACAACCTTTCTGTCAAAACTTACCCTTTTGAGAGGAAATCAATCTATTCTTGACGCTATGAGACGGCTCAGACCTCGTTGCGGCAGTGTAGACCTGAGCCCTAGTCCTCCCGAAGCCGCGGTCAATAGTGTTGTATGATCGCCATGTTTATTCCGAAAAGCACCCAGATCAACCGCGGCATTGGTACCTGACGCTAGGAACCACCATCGAGAGGTTGTGGAGCAGTTCGTTGCACGCGAACGTTTTCGCAAATCCCTCTTTCTCTAGCTTTCATCGCTCAAACCTGTCAACTGTCGATCGATCTAGGTGTATCTGGACCTATATTCCCGGTCACCAACATACTGCTGTTAGAGAAGAGACTTGAAGTGTTTCGTACGCCCTGCCACCGCACAGACTTGCAAAGCAACAGACAAGAGAATAGAATTGCAGACTGAGGCGCGCAAGGGCCCTGACGCTGGAAATCCTGCTTTGTGCCTTGTTCATTCACGGAGAGTATATTTACCGTCACACGACGCACGACTCACGACCCAAGACGACCCAAGACGACCTCCACCTCGCCCGCCTTATCAGACTTTTTCGTTGGTGTGGCTGTCCCCTCCTGGGTACCACGGCCTCCCTTCCAGTTTCTAATTTACGGCTGTTGTTACGCCGATTCTTTGCAGTACCAATCTTGCGGAGCGCTCCAGTACGGGAGCTGACTTTGGATACCCGGTGATTGTGCGATGCTTTCTAGTTGATGGTCAACTTCATCGTTACACATCTTTCGCAGCTACCCACGGCACCATGGTAGAAAATCGACAAGATCATGTCCTCGCGATCATTTGCGTTTTCACGGTCTTCGCATTTATCTTCGTCCTAACAAGGGCATACTCTCGATACCTCGGACGGAACTTCGATTGGGATGACTACCTCATAATAATCGCCATGGCTCTTCTGCTTGTCGACACTACCGCAACCTGGAAGTATATCATCCTTAGCGGCACCGGATTTCATATATGGGATCTCCCAAAGAAGTCAGTCGAGGAAAAGCTCGTTGCGCTCAGATGGAATTTCGCAGTCCAAATGTTCTACCATCCACGTACGTAACATTTATATACATCTTTATATTACATATACTGACCTGGGTACCTCTGCCTTTAGTGATGGGATTGATAAGAGCCTCGATCATTATGTTTCTCTTCCGAATGAAAGACACTCGTCGACGTATACGCTACTCGCTGCATGTTGTCTTCTGGCTCAACATCTTCTACACCGTCGGAACAACTCTTGTCAACATCTTCCAGTGCAATCCCGTGCGTTACACCTGGACGAAGCCTGCCATGGATCGCGTTGGCGCAGACGGCAAGACCATTCAGGGCGGGACGTGTGTTGATGCTCGCACATTCATCCTGACAAGCTGCGCACTTAGTATATTCATGGACCTTATAATAATCCCAATCCCCAGCCTCATGGTCTGGAACCTTCAAATGTCCAAACGCACGAAATTCCTCGTTGTCATTGTTATGAGCCTGGGATGGGTATCGACAGGTGTGTCAGTAGGCCGCTTCATAGTCTACTACTACCGCTTCGCCCCCTCAAACACCGACCGCACATGGAATACCGGTATCGGAATCTCCATAGCTGAGCCAGCGGTGCACATAATGACCGCCTGTGCCCCGGCAACCAAATGTCTCTTCCGAATACTGTTCCCATCATTTGGCTCGACGGGGACGGCTGGTTATTACGAAGATCGCACGCACACGACGGGTAGGGCGAGCAAAATGGGATCTAAGTCCTCAAGAACGCTAGGAAACTTTCGTTTTGGGCTGTCGAACAATGGGCATGAGGATATTACGGTCGAATTGGGGAGTGGGGTGGGGAAGAGCAGGAGGGACTTCAAAAGCGAGAGCACCTACAACTTGAAGCCCCGCGGGAGTGTCGATTTGAGAGAGAAGATGGATAGGGAAGGAGATGATCGACAAAGTTTGGAGGTGCTAGAAACTGGGAGAATAAGTTGCTCCAAGACGGGATATACTGAAAGGAGTGAGCCTGTTGAGGCTGAGCCACAACATTGTTTAGGGCAAGCTAGATGATATGCTTGCTCTGTTGCGATGCTGAAAGCGATCCCATGACGCTTAAACTCATAGTCAGCATACGCGCATTTTCTTTTAGTATATAGTAGTAATTTACGACGTGAACGGCTGCTGAATGTACACGTATTGTCCAACTACTTCATATGCGCGCGTGAGAGAAGAAGGTTGAGGCCGAGATTAGGTGCTGTGATTTACGAATAGAGGCAAAGGGAAATGGGACGAGGTTTGAAGAAGAAAGAGAGGAGACGCGGGGTCGATTCACGCTCTCACGTGGAGAGTGAGGCTAGCGCGACTCGTGGCAGTGACAACCGAGCGTCTTGTTGATGCGATCAAGGGTCTACCGCGTCCAACCCACCACAACAACAGTAGTACATGCCGCCACTATGAGGATTATAGAACTTGTCATAGATGTGGGTACCTTTTTTGAGGTCGTGCGACACTATTTAACACATACATAGGGCTACAAGTCGTATGCTGTTCGCACAGTCATCTCCGGCTGGTTTGTTTACTCCTAATTTGCGAATTGAGTCACGGCTTACAACATGCAGGGACGAGAGCTTCAACTCGATTACGGGACTGAATGGATCTGGGAAATCCAACATCCTCGACGCAATATGCTTTGTGTTGGGTATCAACAATCTGAGTGTGGTTCGAGCGCAAAACCTGCAGGTGGGTGAACTGGCAATGTCAGACATCGCAGACACTGATAGTCACTTTAGGACCTTATATACAAGCGCGGACAGGCAGGCGTCACCAAAGCCAGCGTTACCATCGTATTCGATAATCGCGATAAACCGAAAAGCCCCGTCGGCTTCGAAGAACATGCGCAGATCTCCGTAACTAGACAAATCGTGCTCGGCGGAGCGAGCAAATATCTTATAAATGGGCACCGCGCACAGCAACAAAGCATTCAGAATCTGTTCCAGTCTGTGCAGCTCAACATCAACAATCCCAACTTCATGATCGCACAAGGAAAGGTGATGCAGGTACTGAACTCGAAGCCCAAGGAGATCCTGGCACTGCTGGAGGAAGCGGCCGGGACGCGCATGTTTGAGGACAGGCGCGACAAGGCTTATAAGACCATGGCAAAGAAGGAAATGAAGGTACAGGAGATACAAGAGCTGCTCCGCGACGAAATTGACCCCAAACTCGACAAGCTACGGCAGGAAAAGCGGGCGTTTCTGGAGTTTCAGCAGACACAGAGCGAGCTGGAGCGCCTGACTAAGCTCGTTGTCGCGCACGACTACACGCGCTACAACGAGCGGGTACGTCAATCAGCAGATGACCTCGAGGCGAAGAAGCAGAGAGCCAAAGACCTTGAAGAATCAGCGGTGCACATGAAGCAACAAATCGAGCACTTGCAGGATGACATCAAGAAGGTCAAGGCTACGCGCGAAAAGGAGCTCCGCAAAGGTGGCAAGTTTCAGGCTCTCGAAGAGGACGTTAAGACACATTCGCACGAGATCGTTCGCTTAACAACGGTTCTTGACCTGAAGAACACGAGCATGGCCGAAGAAGTCGAACGAAGGACGGACATTGAGAAGAGCGTCAAGGAGCTGGAGAAGCAACTGTATGAAAAGAAAAAGGCCTACGGACAACTGCAGGAGAAGTATCAAACTGCTCACGATGAATTGGCGAAACAAACAGAAGAAGTCGAGAAAAAGGAAGAGCTCCTTCAGACTCTACAAACGGGTGTAGCATCCAAAGAAGGTCAAGAAAGTGGTTACCAGGGCCAACTACAGGACGCCAGGAATCGAGCAAGCGCCGCAGCCACTGAGCAAGAGCAAAATAAGCTCAAGATTTCGCATCTTGAGAAACAAATCAAAGAAGACGAACCGAAAGCGAAGAAGGCAAAAGAGCAGAATTCTGGCTTGCTAAAGGACTTGGAGACGCTGAAGACCCAGGCGAAGAGGCTCGAAGCTGACTTGGTCAGATTGGGCTTCGACGAGGGAAAGGAGTCGGAAATGTATCAGCAAGAGTCGCATCTCCAGGCACGAATCCGAGAGTTGAAGCAACAAGCGGACGGCCTTAGGCGCCAGGTTGCCAACATCGACTTCAACTACAGCGACCCGTCTCCGAACTTTGATCGATCTCGCGTCAAGGGGCTTGTCGCCCAGCTTTTCACGTTAAATAAAGAGCATACGCGCGCAGGTACCGCCTTGGAGATCTGCGCTGGAGGTCGACTTTATAATGTCGTGGTGGACTCCGCTGCGACTGGCAAGCAGCTGCTCGAGAATGGCCGATTGAAGAAGCGAGTCACCATCATTCCTCTCAATAAGATTGCTGCCTTCAAGGCCTCAGCAGAAAAAATCGGCGCTGCGCAGAAGATTGCTCCTGGTAAGGTGGATTTGGCATTGTCCTTAGTTGGGTATAACGATGAAGTCACGGCAGCCATGGAGTACGTCTTCGGTTCGACTCTTGTATGCGAGGACGCCGAGACTGCTAAGCGCGTAACGTTCGATCCCGCAGTGCGGATGAAAAGTGTCACTCTTCAGGGCGATACCTATGATCCTGCAGGTGTCCTATCCGGTGGTAGTGCGCCCCAGTCTAGTGGAGTTCTCATCACCCTACAGAAGCTCAGCGAGATCACCACAGAGTTAGGGTCGCAGGAGACCCAGCTTCATGCCCTTCAAACGACCATGGCTCACGAGAAGAAAAGGCTAGATGGTGCACGCAAATCGAAGCAGGAGCTTGACCTCAAGAAGCATGAGATCAAGCTCACCGAGGAGCAGATTAGTGGCAATTCATCTTCATCAGTAAGTGATTCCCCTTTCAAGTGGAATATATTTAACAACTTCGTAGATAATACATGCCGTCGAGGAGATGAAGCAAACCATCGCCCAGCTTAAGGAAGATATCAAGGCTGCGAAAGCACGACAAGACGAGGCGAATAAGGAAAGCAAGCGCATCGAGCGTGATATGAGCGAGTTTAACAACAACAAAGACAGCAAGTTGGCGGAGCTACAATCATCGCTAGAGAAGCTGAAGAAAGCTTTAAGCAGGAATAATGCATCCATAAAGCCTCTGCAGTCGGAAATGCGGGAAGCCATGGTCGAATCCGAGCAATGCGGCAGTGACCTGGCGGCTGCACAAGAACAGCTTGAGGAGGTGCAAGTTACTCTAAAGTCACAACAGGAAGAGGTTCATGCGCTTTTGACTGAGCAAGCCCGCGTGAAGGTAGGACTCTGAGAACCGACCCTCTCATCTAAGCTGACTTTAAAAGGATGCACACGATCTAGCCCAATCCCACCTGAGCGACGAGCAAGCAAAACTGACTGGTTTCGACGACGAGCTTCGGTCACTCGAAGACACGATAAGATCGAAGAGCTCTTCCATAACAGAAGGCGGCCTGGAACAACAGAAACTCGGGCATGAGATTGATAGATTTCACAAAGAACAAGAGGGCGCAGCAAGTCATGTAAAGTCGCTTGAGAAAGAATACGACTTCATTGCCGCAGACTCTGAGCTCTTTGGACGGGCTGGTACAGTTTACGACTTCAAAAGTGTGAACATGGCAGACTGCAAGACCAAGCGTAAAGCCTTGGAAGAGCATTTCCAACGTAAGAAGAACAAGATCAATCCCAAGGTCATGGCCATGATCGACAATGTGGAAAAGAAGGAAGCTAGCCTAAAGAGGAACATGTCGACTGTAATCAAAGACAAGACGAAGATTGAGGAGACCATCGTCAAGCTTGACGAGTATAAAAAGGAGGCTTTGCACAAGACATGGACTACGGTCAATCGCGACTTCGGATCGATCTTCAACGAGCTTCTGCCGGGCAGCTTTGCGAAGCTTGATCCACCGCAAGGCAAGTTGATCTCTGACGGGCTGGAGGTCAAGGTCCAGCTGGGCAAGGTATGGAAGCAGTCATTGAGTGAGCTAAGTGGTGGCCAACGGTACGCAATCTACCTGTCTTCTGGTCACTTGACATGTGCTAATGTGCTGCAGGTCTCTCATTGCCCTTTCGCTCATCATGGCATTGCTACAATTCAAGCCTGCACCAATGTATATTCTGGACGAAGTCGACTCTGCGCTCGATCTGTCGCATACACAGAACATTGGCCGCCTGTTCAAAACTAGGTTCAAGGGCTCGCAGTTTATTGTTGTGAGCTTGAAAGATGGCATGTTCCAAAACGCGAATCGCATTTTCCGCACACGGTTCGTTGACGGGACGAGTGTGGTTACAGCAACGGCTGGATCAGAGAAGTAGCGATAGTGTGTAATGTATTATGAGACATAGGTCAGGTATCTGGTGTATACGGGACGGGTTGGGTACAGGTTCGGATAACATCCGCAAGCGTTGCATAGTATGGCGTTGGTGCGGTCTTGGTAGCGGAATTGAGGTCTGGTTTGGAAGTTGGGTGTGCCTATCTGCGGCGCGACTGGTCGCTTCCCCGTCTAGATCTCTTGTCCTCTATCCCTCCTGCCTGATTGGGAGATCGAAGGCGCAAGCTTCCATCTAGACATCTTCAACCACAACAATGCACGTTTTCTTCTATGTCCTATGATTTCTACCTTTGTCGCCGGGTTACTATCCTCCATACCTACATATTGATATTCCTCTCAAGAAATCTGTTCTCTCACTTGCGGTCAACACCACCGCTTGCACATGTCGTCGGCGGTCTCATCCTCCACGAACCCTATCAACTCGGCCGCGCGACGCTATGAAATCCCTCTGGATGAATCAGATCCTTTTGATCACATTAACGAAAATAACCTTTTCCATTCAGAAGCAGGAAGAACCCTTACTCGGCACTGCACGTCGCTCCAAGAACACGCCGATCTAGAGCATACTCCTTTGACGCCTCGGCACGAAAGCAGGCGAATGGAATTTAGCTGGGGCTCTGACTTGCCATTTGAAGAACAGAGGAGGAACAGTCGAAATCCGCTGCCACCAGAGCAACTTGGACGGAAGACTCCGCCCTCTCTTGAAGAGATTATGCGCAAACCGACAAACAATGATATCGATAGCGTTCATAATATAGGGCTTCAACATACCGATAGCGCCGAGTCCCAGCCTTCTTCTGCACACCTTTCTCGGTCCTCTTCTAGCCTGAGTGATGCATTGACTCGTACCGAAACCCGAAGATCCTCAATTGCCGCCTTTGCGAAGGGTCTCGCAAGACACATCCCCGATATGAGGATGTTTGCTCCACCAACTGAGAAAGCCGCCGACAGCCTCGAAGGCCAAAAACGGCGAGACTCACAGGACGCAGTATCCATTAAAGGCAAAAGGGATAGGAAGCCATCCTTCATTTTGCTTTCGGCAATGAAATCCAAAGGTTCGTATGAAAATGCGCCAAACCCGCGTCCTGTCATCGGAGAAACATCGAGACAACCTAATACGAGGCCATCTACCACGCAAGCCCATGCGAAAGGCTCACTTAGGGACCGAAGGAAGGTGAAGCTTGACCTGTCGTTGCCTACCGAGATCCCTGATCTTCCTGGTCGGACTCGCCCACCCGCTGGTGCATTGAGCAGCCTCACTCCGGCTCGTCCTCGAAGCCCCCAAACGCCATGGACCCGTAAGGAGCCACCCGTATGGGAGCTTAGCAAGTTCCCAAGGTCCGCTCCTATCGTAGAAGAAGTCTATATCCGAGACGGCATCATGGGCGGAGAGAACCACGGCGGTCTGGGCCTTCTGCCTGGTCATGATCCTATATTCTCCCAATCTCCTGTATTCGAACGCTCGCCTCCCAAGGTCCACGATCAGTGCTATATCTCTTGTTCCCGCGTGAAACGCGGCCGAAGTGATCGAAGCGGTACAAGTGAGTCTACAGTTACTCGGACATCGGATGGTAGTAGGACACCAAGCGATGCGAAGATGTTGCAAGAACAGCAAGCCCACATAAACGAAGAGCTCCATAAGCTAAGCCAGACCACCAAAGCCTCGCGCTCACGACGGTGGCCATGGAGAGCATCTAGTGATGATACCCCTCCATCTCCGGAACATACTAACAACTGGTACTCCCTGCATGCATTCAAGCGCTCTGCTGGCAGCCCAAAGGAAGCAAACGATACAAATGTCAAAAAGCAGGCCACAACCTCATCGCGTCCTTGGCGCAGCAAACCAACTCAACTTTCACAACCCAACCTCTCCTCCTCTCTAGCTCATATGACTCTTCCCCCAACTTTCGTCCCTCCGGGCGTGAACCGCGTCCCCACGCCCCCAATATTCGATGCGCATGGAGAAGTCAAAGGAAAGCTAGCAAGCTTCTTCTTCGATGTGCATAGTGGCCCAACAGGCGCTCCGCGCCGCAAACCGAACAGCTCCTCCGGCGGATACTGGGACTCGGACGCGCTGTTGATGAGTTTGAATACTGGTATCGATGCGAATGACGAGGACTCGGAAGAGGGTCCCGAGGGCCAACCGTCGTATCCACACACACCGGTGGATTTCGAGACGAGTAGTACGCCGCGACTTATGGCGACACCTGGTGGGTACCGTGGTGCAGAGGTGCCGAGTCCAGGGATGGGAATGCCGAGCCCAGTTCTTGAGCAGGACGCTCGGTTGGGCGTACAGCATGGCGAGACGACTGATGAGCGTGCCTTCAATCTTCTAGCGCGGAAAGAGGAAGAGGACCGGCGCAAATTTGAGTGGCTTGTCCCTGAGCATTTGCCGAACAGTCCACTCTGCCCACTACATCCGATATACAGAGGGCCATGTGAGGGTTTCTGTTACTGGCATGGGCAGAAGAAGTCCGGAGAAAGAAGTTTGAGTAGGGAGGAGGAGGGTTCGGGTAACGAGTGGACTGAGGATAGACAGCGGAGTGAGGATTACTTTGAGAAAATGGCGAAGCAGAGAGTGGACAAGGCGAACAGGGATTGGCAGACTGGGATGTTTGATACGGCGGTGCAGGGAGTGAAAAAGAGGCGATTGGACAGTCTGTCTAGCCCGTGAGTTGCCTGACGTCTTGATGTAGGGGGCCTTGGGGGAGATATACCGTGAATGATGGGATGATGATGATGATAGTGGCATGACTGATGAACCTGATGAATTATACATGGCAAGACATGAAAGGGATGAATAAATGAACCGTGAATCATGATACCCGCGAAGATATACAGAAGTCTAGCACTCACTGACATGTCTACTCTAGCAGAAGGACAATTATGACGTTGCCTTTGGCTCCGTATCCGCTCTCCAGCTCGGCGTCTTGCCTGCTTGCTTCCACATTTCTTGCCGTTCACGGAAAACTTGCTCTGCCCAAGTCTTTACTTCGTCACTCTGGATCTTCTGCGCAACCCATGTAAACTCGCCCAAGTCGCGCTCGCACTTGCTGGATCGCTCGTACTCGACCATCTGGACCAGCAATTCGATCTTGTCAATGTCGTGTACGAACAGCGATTCTGGTGTCTCGCTGTCCTCATACTCCTGCCAGATCTGCCTGATTTCCTTCCCATTCAGGCCCCCGTTGAACTTCCCCAGAAGATTGGTGCATATGTAATCCATCGTCTCTGATTCGCGGCGGCTCTTCTCTTCCTTGGACACCGGGTCCACAGGCGTGATGTCCCCGACCAGGCTCTCTGCCATGTCATGAATAAGCGCCATGCGACAACATCTCAGTATATCGAGCTTGGAGCCAATCGACGAGGGTGCCATCATGGTGAGGATGCTCATGCGGTACATGTGGTCTGAGATTGATTCGCAGTCGAGGATGCCGAAGCGCCGCCAGCCAGCGCGCTTGGTCGTCTTGAGGCGCTCGAGGAGGTGGAAGAAGGGAACGGGTGAATCTGTGTTTTCGGCGTAGCGGGGCGTTATCTCAGAGAGGACTGTTGGCTGTGGTCAGTTGGTGGTGACAGAAAGTCTAGAGGGACAGGAGGTGAGGAAGTAGGAGAGGTGTCGCATACGGACGACGCACGCTGTGGCTTCATGACATACCGCTCTCGACTGTCCAGGCACTCTTTTCTGCTTGGTTTGCGCCCGACTTCCCCACCGAGTTGTCTGGGACGCCGTTGGTCTGTGATGCTTGGGCGGCTGCCATGGTGGGTGGGTATTCGCTATAGATAGAGAGAGCGAGCGTAGGTTTATATAGGGAACAAGCACGATTGCGCGAGGAGGGTGAGTGATTGTTGGTGACAGAAAGTTGGAAAACAGTGACATAGGTTAGTCAAACTAGGGTGACAGGGTCAGGAAAGCGCGACTGTCACTATCGATAGCACCCGGCTTGGCAAACAAAGCATGGACTCGTTTCACCGCAACCACGCATGCATACTAGATGTCAACTGCAGCTAGGTCAGCGCAATTACCGCATCGAACTACACACATGTCCGCCCCCAGACCAGGACATGTCTAGATCAACCTCAACAGTTTCGACGGCCACGACAACAACCGGCAATGTCATCTCCCGCAGTTTGTCGGTCAAAACAAACACCAAGCCACAGACGCTGAACCCAATCCCTGCGTCAGACGTTAGACTCTTCGTGACGAATCTGCGACTACTTGACCTGGATTTGCGAGATGACTGGCCGGGTATCACAGTGCAGACGTTTTCAGCTAGGAATGCCGACCAGAAACAGAGAATAGGTGGCACGGAGTGGGCCCTCTTTCGACTTTTCGAGATCTGGGACGCAAATGAGACTGCACAGGTATTTCTGAACCTCCTTCAAGATGGATTTCTCTAACGCCAACGGTAGAAACTGCAGCCCTTTTTCCCGCCCCTTGAACCTCTCCAGTCACTCAACCTCCGCGCCGCGTTATACCGATGCCTAAACGAACTCAAGAAGAACGGCGTACTAGGTCGAGAATCAGTGCTACGCAAGACCATGCTAGACGAGTGCAAGGGTGACAAGTTTTACGAGATCTTGGCTCTCTTCTCTACTGTGGTGCTTAAGAAGGTCCTCGCAGGGCGACAAGGGATCGACAGCAATGCGGCAGTTGCACGGGAATTGGCAACTGCAACGACGTTGTCGACTGACCAACAGCAGTCCCTACTACCGCTGGCTATTGCCCATAAAGCAGCGCTGGTCAATGTACTCAAGAGGAAAGAGGAGAAAAGGAGGAGATTCATGGAGTTCGAACGCATATTGGATTCCAAAGCCGGAGACATCAACCGCCGAATTGGCAAATGTAAAGACACACCGCGAGCGAAGAGGCCGGCAGTATCCCAGAAAGAAGCGGAGGCAGTCAAGAAACAGTTGAAGGACAATTGGATCGGCAATCAGAAGTGGCTCGATGTTATGCTACACGGCGATCGTGTTGAAACTGAGGATGCCTTCTTGAACAGCCGGTTCGATGAGGTCTGGCATACTGTAGAGAAGGGGAGGAAGCTGGATGATGTCTCGACTGAAACCGGGCTATTGGAGAACCTGCAGTCGAGGGTCCAGGAGCAACAGGCACGGTTGCTGAAGTGGAAGGTGTTCCACGAGGAGCTAAATAATGAGGATGTAGGCTCAAAGGAGAAGATACAAAAAGCCCATGCGGTCATGAAGGAGTACAAATTCGATGAGCATTTGAAGCATCAGCTGCCATCGTCCAAGCAAAAGACCGAGCTTGCGGCAATCCAGCGACCTTCTATGCGATCGAGCTATCAGAACATTTTGGTCGATATGGACACTGAATTATCGCGCGTGTCCAAAGTCACACCAAAGCAAACATCCCGATTCTTATCGAGAAGACGAACATCCTCAAGCGGCCCCCGCTCGCCGACTCGCAGCAGGAAGAATACGCGATCCGAGTCCGTCTCAAAGGTGCCCACTAGCCCAGATAGACCTACGAAGCCGCAGTTTCAAACAAGAAAATCGTCTTTGGAACATATTCCCATCCTTCCACGGCCCAGACAGGCTCCAGCATTCGCAACGCCGGCGGACTCTGAGGCTACGCTGGTCGGCCATCCGTCTACACTCGAGGTTCAGATCGAAGCTCGGCACGATTGTATACCGGAACCAGAATCAACGCCGCCCACTTCTGACCCTATCATCCAAGTCTCATCCCCACCACGTCGCGTCAATATCCCGCCTCCTCTGACACAGTGCTCACCCACTCCCTCGCCTTCTCCAGAAGCTGGCATTGAATTTTCTTCTGAACCACCTGTTTCTTTGTTTGAACACCCAGAGCTTAACCCCGAGGAAGAGCTGGCCGAACATATCATCACCTCAATCGGAAATGCAACTCCATCTCCGGTCAAAAAGCCACAACCTCGAATGTCATTGTCGCTCATCGAGCGAACACGTATGACCTTGTCGCGTACGACCTCTTTTGAACCAGTCCCCGAATCACCAGACTTACCCCTACCCCACATGCCGCCGCCACCAATTGTCGAGCCAGAAATGGACCAGCATGCAACCCTCATCGAGCGCACACGCCTCAGTATGGTCGCCATGCAAAAGAAACCTCGAAAGTCCCTAGCCGCAAGGGAGAAGAAAGAGAAACGCGAGAGCAGACAGAGCTTGTTTCCTGTAAATGTATTCGACACTCCTCGTACGAGGAAATCCATGGAAGTGATCGAAGAGACGAGGAGCCTTGAACGTACGCCGAAGGAGGAGCTGTTTTCAGACGAAATAGACTATGATAGGGTGTTTAAGAGTCGGCCTAGAATTGCTACGAGCCCCATCTTCAGTCCGGCGCTTGAGGCGGGTCGAGAGCTTGACGTTGAGGATGAGAGTGCGGATGAGGAGGAGTACGAGGATGGCGACGGTGAGGTTACGGGTATTGATCTTGGGGATGTGGATCAAGATGAGGATGAGGATGGGTTTACGAAGGCGTGGGCGGAGAGTCCGAGTCGAAGGGCTGGTGCGGCGGTGAGGTACTGAGGAGAGGCCGGGATGCAGTCATTCAGGTTCTAATAGTATAATAAGCACTGCACGGCCCTACGCTCCCCTTAGCTTTCAACTCAGATTGCAACTTCGGTTTCTTCATTTTGTGCACAAGCGGTAGTCGCGAAGAGCATCGTAGTCTGGCTGTTGATTGTAGAGCTTGCTACTACAGTCTATTTCGAGATTGAGGTTGCCAGCCCCTCTAGTTTATTTGCTTAAGAAGCTACCCACCCAATAGTTTCTTGTCCTAGACCATTATGACAGGTTCCATGGTCCATATGTATGCTCAACAGTTGAGCTAGATCATCACCCCCAAACGCCAATGTTGCGTAAATCATTTCACCACTTCCTATCTGAGAAGAACCCGATCAATAAAGTAGATGGCCATGTAGAGTGAGCCTAATTACATAAACATAGGTATCTTACTGATGCCTAATTGACTACATTCAGGTATAATCCACCGCAAAGACAATCCTACACCCCGTCAGCTTATCTAGCCCCAGACTCTCCAAATACCCCTCCGGAACATTATTCTCGGGTTGAAGCGTCGGCCTCATCCACTGCGGCGCATACTTCTCCTTGACCACGATCCTCACATTACTGGATGAACCCGAGAAGATCAACCTCATCTGCGTAATAACATTGTCCCGAATACCCCAGCACCACTTGGGATTGCTATTATTGACAATCGCCGCGATGAACGCGACCGTTTCTTCAGGCACATTGGTATACGCAGCGGCAACAGGTGTGATGGTGTACTGCGGGAACCGGGCTTTATACTTGAGAAGTCCGAGGATATCCGTATCAGTGACGTCTTCGTTGCGGATCCATAGGCGTAGTTTGCCTGCGGGATCGAAGTAGGAGTCGAAGCGCTTGCGATGTGTGTCTGGACTTGGGCCTGGGCCAGACGCTGGTGGTGGTGTAGGGAAGAAGGCTTTGAAGTAGCCGTCCAGTGCGAAGAGTGGGAAGCGATGGCTGGATAGCCATAGGCCTCTGAACTCTGTTCGTATCAGGGAGCATGTTTGCGTTAGGCCGATGTAGGGAAGGGGTCTGGGAGGGAGATGTCGGGATTCCTCGGCTGAAGATGAGCTTGCTGAGGATGACTTGGAGCGTCCTCTGCGTTTTGGCGGCTTGTCCCTTATGTGCGTGTGGGGAAAACACCGATAACTCCACTCTGCTGCGATCTCGTAGACGCGGTTTCGCAGCTCTATGATATGATTAGACAGACCGCTTGAAAGCCTGGAGCGATCAGGAGTGAATACGTACCTCCAGGTAAATCAAGGAATCGAAACACTTGACGGCGAGGACACTGGCGTCGGTAACCTCCTTCTTCCTCCTTCTGCGGTTTATTGGAGATGTCTGAGCCGTCGTTGATCTTCTGCCGTTTGCGAGAAGACTTTACTTCCGCGTCTCCAGCGGCGCGCTTCCGGCCTGAGCTCTTATTCTCGATAGTCTCAATAGCTTTGATACTACCTTTCCGCGCCCTACAATCTGCGTATTAGCAACTGAAACCCCCGTACTCTTTATCTTGAGGCTTCAGAGTTACTCACATGTTTGAAGCAGAGGGCAAAATCCGTGATTGTAGGTTGGGAGATGCAGGAGAGATGGTGGAGGAGTGAGGCTCGATGTTGCGGGGGGCGTTAACGTGGGCTGGTGAACCCTCTTGTTGATTGGCGGGGGAAGTGGTGCATGAGGCTGGTGCCTAGTTGCATAGCTTTTGGCGGTGTGGATTACTGTAATAGTCTTTCTAGTAAGGTGGCCGGACATAAACACGTGCTAAGGGCGTTTATACTATTTGTGTAAGTAAACGTCTGCTAGTTTAGTATTTAATGCAAATGACTTATAGTATGTAAGTATACGGTGATCATATCTAGAGTTGATATATGGGGTTTTGGTAGTCAATTGACGTCAGTCGCAAAAATAGTAAATGGCATCGGGTGCATTATATCATTATAGTGAGTTATCAGCAGGCTGATCACACAGATGGGAATAACACGGAACAAGAGGTATGGAGGCCAAAGTTGGGTCACGAGGGGCTCGCTACCGAAATGCCCTAGAGCATGTGAAGCTCACCAGAGGACCAGGTCCCGTGAGATATGAGTGTTGATGTATTGAATTATCAAACAACGATAGTGACATCAGGTACGTTGACGAGCCAGTTCTCCCAAAATCTGAACCCATCGATGCCATGTTCTCGACAAAGTGCGCCTGCTTCTTCAGCCATCTCAAGCTCTTCGTTCGCGACGCCAACACTCCAGCCAAATCTTTCCGCAGTCTCTTGCGCTGTGACACCTCTACCATATGCTTGCCAATCCCATGTTACATCGGCGAGTGGTTTTTGATTGTGTAGGCTCTTCAGCCAAGCTAGGAGGCTGGCAATGGTCTTTTCGTCGGTACGGTCGCGACCTTGAACGACAAGAAGGCCGCTCTTGAACTGACGAAGACGCACAGGGAGTTTCAGTGTGTCCCACAATCGTGCTGCCTTCTCGAAATCAGCAGGGCTGACGAGCTCTACGCCGCCTCTCGAGCGATTGAATACAGCCCAAAGATCTACAAGCGTCACGATGCCCCCCTCTTTCCGCAGTATGCCTCTTGTGTCGTCCGTCAACCATTCTGCAAGATTCCTGGATAATTCGGACACGTAGAGCGATTCCGATCCGGACCCTGTGCCTAGCATATCCTTTGTGGTTATGAGTCCGAGTGCAGAAGCGGATTGAGACGCAAGTGCACTGGCTTCTGAGCTGTCGTTGGTTCCTAGATTGGCATGTGACGCAAATTGCTCTGCCAAGGCAATGATCTCTTTTGCGGAAGTCATGAGGGCTTCGAGATCCTCAAAAGCAGAACCGATCACAGCCTCGTTGTTCTGTCTTTGCTCTATTCCGCGCCGTTCCAAGCCTGCTATGCCGACGACTCTTGGGCGCTCCATCTCCGCTGACGGCGTATTGGATTGTGTAGAATAGTTGTCGTCAAAAGCTCCCGAAGATGGTCGTGGCTTTGGGATGGGCGGCGCGCTTTGGAGCAGCCACTTGCGTTGTACCAAGGCGTTCTTCAGGCGTTCGTAGAATATCTTCTCTCCACCGCTACGGAAAGAAATCTTGATGCATTCGGGTACCTCTGACTGCGAGGGAGATAATACACTCGGCCCAGGAGACTCTGATCTCACAGGGTCTATGGGAAGATCAAGTCGCCTGTCTCTGGCTGTCATCAATGACGCGCCGCATATCTCGCAGTTGGACAGAGACGGGTGGTTCTGGAAGGTACACCTAGGACACGACAGCATTGAGCTTTCAGAAGATGTGGAGGCAGGGACTCCATTCTTGGTGTCCTTGGGTGGTGGACCAGGCGCCGGTCTGTTCGACATGGCTGCTATCGCTGCCTTGATCACGAGCACCGTTGGCGGCTTGATGCCACAGGCCAGACATGGCGGTATCGGTGTGCGAGAAGCGAGCGCCGGGTCAAAGTTTGAGGGGACTGGGTTCGAAAAGGAACAGATGGGGCATACCCAGGTTGCGCTGGCTGGAGGTGCTGGCACGGGGCTGCTGTGTCGCGGCGGAGTAGCGGACGATGGACTATGCGAGTTGGGAGGCACTGAAGCGCCTCGCGATAGCTGCTTCAGGGGCTTGGGATAGAGGGTGATCTTGGGATTAGACTTGAGGAAGCCAGCCTGGAGTCTGGTTAGCTATTGCGTGCTCGTGTGCGCCATGGGGTCGGCGCCTACATAGAACTCGGGCTTCTCAACATCCTTGAGGAAGATGGCCACGGAGCTTTTGCGCGGTTCACTATGGTCGACATAGCATGCACGGTGCGAGGTCAGGTAGGCCTGGCCATTCTGGTACTGGGCTATCTTGAATTTGCTATGCACGAGTGGTCAGCAGCATGTAGCAAACCCTCGAGCATCCATCTGCATACCCCTCGTAGAGCCCCACGGCATCTTGCACAAACAGCAGCGTCTCCTCCGGCAGGAGCGACGGGCGCAGTGCGGTGGTGAGGTCAAGATGGTGTAGGAACATTCAGGCCCTCTGCAGATGGTCATGTACAGGCCATTGCACTCTGATAGCGGGCGCAAAGATAGCCAGTCCACCCGACATTCACCAAGCCAGACCATCGTCATTCGCCAAAGCGGCTAGCGCGTATCCGGTTAGCTCGTGTCAAGGCAAGAGCAGTCCTACTGATTTGCCCCAGCCGTCGCTTCACACTCACCCTTCCACACCGCGACTTTGCATCTCCAACCCATCCCCAGAGAATTCTTTCCCCCTTCACCTTGTACAATACTCACCACACAGCCACTGTACCTCGTTGACGCTTGATTGCTGCACCTACCATGTCCTTCCCTTCGACCACCGTCGCGTGGACCCGGCCACTGCAGCAGCCGCCAGCCTACAATGCAGTCAACCCACGAACCACTCTACAAGCCGCGCCTGCTCCTGTGAGTCTTTGCGCTCGATCCAGAGACCCGTCTCTCGCTCACACACGACTGCAGCCAGACATGGGCGCTACCGGGTCGAAGCCCAAGAAGGTAGAGTGGCCGCCCGCGGTCCGCGAGTACGTTCGGCGTGCCTTCGACCCTGCAAACGCAATACCCGGCATCTCGAGCATAGAGATGCAGACGAAACTGAAGGAGACCATCAGCTACTATGCCGAGCGAAATGCCCAGGACGAGGTCTCATGGCCTACGTATCCCCTGCCCCAAGAGCTGCTGCAGGAAGAGCGAAGAAAAGCCGCGCTGGTCATGTCAGCCGCCGCACCCTCTAATGGCGCTACGAACGGCTTCCACCATGCATACGTGAATGACCCCAACAATCACACTAACTCTACTTCCCCACAATCGAAAAAGCGGAAATCGCAAGATGCGGAAGAACTGCAAGCCCAACCAGCTGAGGCCTCCGTTCCGCCCTGGCGTAAAACTAACCTAGCATCGCGCATGACTTTTACCGACGGTCACAACGAGAAGCGCCATAAGAAGAACACCGCCTCGGACGCTGCAAGTAAGTTTGAGCAGGCCGAGCTGGAGAAGCGACGCCATCGCTTCCAGCTCGGCAACAACGGCAGCAAGACGACACCACCTTGGGGCTCGCCACGCAAAGACGAGGACGAAATGCCCACCGGTCCCGTTGTCGGAACCAATCAGAGTCTCGAGAAGAGCTATTTCCGTCTGACAGCACCCCCCAAGGCAGAGACAGTCCGCCCTTTGCATATTCTCGAAAAATCTCTATATATGCTTACGAAGAAGTGGAAGGCGGAGAAGAACTACAACTACATCTGCAATCAGTTCAAGTCGCTCCGCCAGGATCTTACCGTCCAGCACATCAAGAATGCCTTTACCGTCAAGGTGTACGAGATCCATGCGCGTATATCGTTAGAAAAGGGGGACTTGGGTGAGTATAACCAGTGCCAAACGCAACTGAAGGCGTTGTACGCGCAGAACCTAGGAGGCAACCCGGCCGAGTTCAAGGCGTACCGCATTCTCTATTTCGTATACACGTGCAACAAGACCGACATGAACGACATGTTGGCAGAATTAACCCTCGCAGACAAAACCCATGAATGGATCAAGCATGCACTTGACGTTCGATCATCGCTGGCTCTTGGCAATTACCATAAGTTTTTCAGGCTCTACCTCGAAGCGCAGAACATGGGCGGCTACCTCATGGACATGTTCATTGAGCGCGAGCGCCTCAACGCTCTCGCTAACATCTCCAGAGGGTAAGTACCAAGCCTTCTCCCCCGTGTGTTGCACAAGACTGACCCAACACAGTTACTCCAATGTCACACTCCGTTTTCTCACTGACGAACTTGGCTTCGATAACGATGAGACGTGTCGTGAATTCCTCGAGTCGCATGGTGCGCAGAGCATCATTGAAGAAAAAGACGGCAATCAATTCCGAGTGAAGATTCGAGAAGCCGCGTCCCATTTCGAAAGCCTACGTGCCGCTGCTTTCAGCAAAGTAGACATCAAGGGCCAAATATGAAACCACACACAAGCGGCACGTTTCCATCTCCTACCTAATTTTTACCTCGTCGGCTCTATTCGTTCGTAACGTAGATTTTCTTCACGATAGCCTGCGCCACATGCATACGTCACACAGCGTTCTGTCCGCCACGGGGCAGTGTCTCGAACAGCGATTTCCCGGTTTCAGTTTGTTCGTTTTCCCGCTGCCAATCATTCGGAACATGGGGTGTCCGCTCTATGCCTTGGAGGCAGAGAATCTTCTAGCTCACTTTTCACACATGGATCGTCTCAGAAACGCGTCCATGGGGCATTTGGAATGCACACTTGGCCCATCTAGTACGTCATTGGTACGACGAAACTGGGGGTTTAGAAAACACGATGGGGTTACCAGAGGGTTGGGGCGAGTCAAAAGTGGGAAGACATTTGAGAAGGCCATTGCGCGGCTCGGCCAGGGTGGTCCCTGTGTCTCAGAGTTGTTCGGCTCTGGAGCGTCCGCTATCACACGTGGGATAAGGAAAGTCGGCATGATGACGGCACGTTGGGGCTGTCTGCGAAGGTCGAAGGACTTGAGATGGCGCTTTCTTGTTGGAGATTTGTTGCGTCGATGCTTGGTGCTCTTTGGACCCTTCCTTTGATGGATTGCTCGTCAAGAGGCGCTGAGAGCAGACCAATGAGACGGGCAAGAAGGGGTTCAGGGCTGTGATTGGCGTAGCGGGCTAGGTTGCAGGGCGCCTTGGTGCGGGTCGAGCCCACGCTGGGGCTACCGGGGGATTTGGGGATATGTAGTAATGCATTGGTTCATGAGTATTGGTGTCGAAAGGCGTGAGCGCGTGGGAAGCGCGTTTGTGATGGCTACAGCTTTGCTTGTTTCTGATGTGGCGTGGTGACCAGCATATGGGCCCTAGTACATGAAATGTTGAATGGCAAGTGGGGCTCCGAGCACCACACATCGGTCCCTAGACAGCAACTGGATAAATGTATGGGCAGCGTGAGGGTGAGTTTTGGGCGTTGCATAGTTCGCCGTGTGCGTGTGATTGGCTGCAAAAGGCATAAAGCACGCGAGATGGTGGACGCTATGCTGCGCCGCCGACAGAGGGGGAAGTGGACCTGCAGAAGAGCAGGTAGTTGGGTACGTTCACGGCTGGGATCATGGTGCTGTGTGGGCCCGTCTGTGTATGCTCCACCATGTCGACATTGGACAGTAGAGTAGAGTACAGTACTTGCAGACTTGCAGACTTGCCTCTACATTCCGCAAGGGCTTCTCACAGCCATCTCGGACAAAGCCCTGGGTTGCTCCAAGACTACATCCATCCATCACGGCACCGCCGCCCTGTCATCACAACCCAACCCTAGTGACAACGGCCGGCACACCTCTCGCCGTGCCTGATTTCTGCTGTTCCTCCCTACGACTGCTCCCTTGCAGGAAACTGACGACGACGACGACGACGACGACGACGACGACACGGGCACCTCGGTCGCCCGTCCAGTGTTTTACAAACCTCATCCCCACTGCGCAACCACGCTGCTTCACGAGCCGCTCCGACTCCCTCCACAACAGCAACAGGCCACAGCCGTCCTGTGGTCCCCGCACACGCCCATCTTCGATCCCAAATCCTGCCCATCACTGACGGCACTCCCGTCCCGGTCCTTCACCTCTTCCTCCTCCACCACCTCCTCCTCCTCCTCGCCTACAAGTGGCGCGCCCAAGAGAGCCGTCGTCGCATTCACCACCCTCGCCCAGCATGAAGGTGAGTCGGCTCCCTTTGCCACTCGCGCCCCCCCCGCGCTCGCGATTTGCGCTCGAGTCAGGCCCGCGCATGTGCTAACACGGTTCCCAGTTCCGCCGGTCGATGAAGGGGGACAAGGACAGCAGGCCACACCACATGTCGATTCCCCCCAAAGATGCTATAGCCATTGTGCCGCCCAAGAAGGTGCGTGCTCTTTGCACTCTGCGACCCAACTACCACCACTACCACTACCACTACCTCTCCCACTACCCCACCCCACACCACTTGCCGCATCTGGCACAACGCGCGCGACTAACGGCGATCCAATCTCACAGGTCATAAAAGCCCTTTACGACTACAAGGCCACCGACCCCAATCCCAACTCGGGCTACCTCAGCTTCTCCCAAGGCGACTTCCTCCACGTCGTCGGCCGCGAAAACGACAGCGACTGGTACGAGGCCTGCAACCCGCTGCACGGCACCCGCGGCCTGGTCCCTGTCTCGTACTTTGAGGGCGTAGGCAAGACGGTGCGCGACAGCGCTGCTGGCTCAGCGACGCGCTCATCCACGCCCCAGCAGCCCCACGACTCGGGCTACCAAGAACGCATCACCAGCCCCGTCAACCCAAACCCAAACCCAAACCCGAATCCCATCCCCAACTCCACCCCACAGGACATGATGAGCCAAGCAGGCTTCCGCCTGTCGCGATCAGGAAAGACGGGCGCCATGGTCTACGGCATCGTCATGTACGACTTCAAAGCGGAGCGGCCAGACGAGCTCGAGGCCAAGGAGGGCGAGGCCATCATTGTCATTGCCCAGTCCAATCCCGAATGGTTCGTCGCAAAACCCATCACACGACTGGGCGGCCCGGGCCTGATCCCCGTATCTTTCATCGAAATTCGCGACATGACGACAGGCCAGGCCGTTACCGACGCGCAATCAGCTGTGACAGCCGCGGGCGTACCAAAAGTCGAGGAGTGGAAAAAGATGGCTGCCGACTACAAAAACGGCAGCATACCCCTCGGCAAGCTAGAAACAAACTCTAGCCAGTCGCTGCAACAGGGCATGGAGCGCATGAGCGTACGGAGCCAAAATGGCGGCCATGGCCAGTCCGGATCGGTGAGTTTGGCCCATTGGAAACTTTGCGCCCCCCTACCTAACATGCATGCAGGTTTCGCACTCACGAAACGCCTCGCTCGCCCAGGGCCAGCCGCGAGGCCAATATCGCACATCAGACAACCTTCTCGCGCCTGTCAAGGCGCTTGTGCCGCGCTACTGTTTCGCCGACGACATCTTCTGGTTCATCATCGAATGCCAAATGGAGGACGGCCGATACTGGGAGCTGCAACGATTGTATCAGGACTTTTACGACCTGCAGATTCAGCTGATTGCGACTTACCCTGTAGAGGCCGGCACCAGCGGCTCAGGGGAGCGCACACTGCCCTTTATGCCTGGCCCTGTAACATACGTTACCGACAACATATCGAACGGACGCCGCGCAAATCTCGACGAATACATAAAAAACCTGCTGAAACTGGGATCACACATCACAAACGGACCGCTCGTCAAGGGTTTCTTCGCACCAAGACAAGGCGACTACGAGATGGATGCAGATGTCGTGGCCGCCGAGGAGTACCGCCTGTCACAACAATCCGCCCAGTCATCAGACCCATCGCAAGGAACCAGCAGACAATCTTCTGCTGATCAGCTACAGGCTACTACGCCAGTGACGCCTTACTCAACAGCGTCAAGCTACCCGAACCATCAGCGCGGACAGTCTTCAGCCTCACAAGCATACTCGTCCTCGCTCAATCCCCCGCCGATGAACCACCAACACTCGTCCACCTCTACCGCCACGAGCACCAACACGGGCACCTCTGCGCTCAAAATCAAAGTCTGGTTTGAAGAAGACAACTGCGTCGTCATTCGCATGCCGGCTTCGCTCAAATACGTCGATCTCTATAATAAGCTTAAGGAGAGACGGAAGATGGAGAGGCCTGGGGAGCCGGAGGAGGATCTGAATGTCGAATACAGGGACGAGCAAGAGGGGTACTTTTACCCGATTGAGAATGATGAGGACCTGGTGATTGCGGTGGATCGGAATCCCAAGTTGACGCTTAGTGTTACCACGAGGCGATAGTAGTAGTAAGAGGGGGGAGGGTAGACAAAGGATAGATGCCGGATTTTCACTTCTCGTACGACTTTTCGCCTCCGAACTCTGGGCTCGGAGGGGCAGTTCTTCTTCGTTGCAACGGCTTCTTCACTTTTGGCGTTTGAAAAGGGTTTCCACTGTTCAGTCAAGAGCGAGCGGGCGTAACCGGCGTATCATCTAGGTGCATGATGGTAAAGGGATTCCTTCTGTCGCTAGGTATTCGGGACTGTCGTAAGATCATTCCTATTGTGGGTTTTCTGTTGGATAGTCTCATGTGTCCTCGAGAGATCTGAAGGTGGGAAAAGGACAACTACGGGCGGGGATGGGGACTGGGGGACTGGGGGAACGGGTTGAATGAATGATATGATTGGGGGGTAATGAAACTCGATTTCTTCTTATGCTTCTTGACTATACTCTTCGGGACTGTGCACCTAGCAGTGAGATGGATGGTCACACGTTTATTTCTATAAGCCAGCGAACGCGACTTGCTGTGCGCAAAATTACATTTTCATCTTCATTCACGTCATATCACCTCATGATTCTCCACGGGCGAGGGGATGCAGTTGGCTTTCCGATAAATTAAACATTACTGTAGTAGGTAGGGTTGATGTCGTTATATCCCTCAGCCGAAGCTACCCATCTCCAAGAACGACTTGTAGTGACCAAACTACGCCAGTGGAATTAGTTCAGCCGAAGTTAGCCTCCTGTAACCTATATCGGGTCGGAATGGCGCTGCTCACTTTCGTCGGATCGGATCCGATGAGTTGGGGAGTGATAGACAGACACCCCTGGCTGATGATCTAGGCTCCGCTCGGTAGCGCCCTACACTCCGACGTCGGTGTTTGAATGGTCGGGGAACTTTCTGTCGGTCGGGGCGCTAGCTTATCGAATCGCGACATCAACTCCAATTACCTACCATGCATCCTTTCGAGACTAACAGACCGTTGCTTTTGCACTCGCCTTTCTCCCGCCGTCCTCTTGATTTTCCGCACCTACTGAGCGGGGACACGAGCTGCAAAAAGTGCGCGAGAGCAAGTCTCAATTAGCGAATTGTCGACCTGAGGAAGATTTAGCTACGGGAATACATGCAGCACAGAAAGAGAGAGTTTATCAATCGTAGGAGGAGGTTGCAGTGGGGGAAGAGCGAACTTGGGCCTTGAGCACACCATCCGCGAAGAACACTCATCACACTTCTACTATCCAGAGCTAATCTATCGTCTCTTACGCCCTCGATACCATCCTCAGCTCCAGAGTCAACCTTCCTATACCGTCGAGTATGAAGACTACTACTACACCCACCGACCTTCACCCCAAGCGCGAATGGAATACTTCGAAGCTGGGCCTGCGAGTCGGCGTGGATGCGCTCTCGGCAGGCGCTGCAGGCATACTTGTTGCGCCTATCATAACAATGATCGATAAGGGCATCATCGAGAATGCAAGTGGAAGGAACACATTGGGCGACAGCTTAAAGAAGAGCGCATTGGAGCTTTTGGCGCGGCCACACCGCTTCATGGCGAGCAAGCCGTTTGTGCTGATCTTCGTACGTACCCGCAACCCACCAACCAATTTCTCCACAACTGCACAGACAAGATATAGAATACTAACACCAAAGCTCTAGAGTCTCTACTTCGGAACCTACTTCACAGCCAACACCATCGACACAGCCTCGGCAACCCTCCACCCCACCACCTCGACCCCCTCGACAATCACAGCCGGAACCCCAAAGTTCCTCGCTACTTCGACGGCGAACCTCGCGCTGTGCCTCTACAAAGATAACCAATTTACCCGCCTCTTTGCCGCACCGGGGTCAACACCGCGTCCCGTCCCCCTGCCCACGTTCGCCCTCTTCACCATCCGCGACTGCCTGACCATCTTCGCAAGCTTCAACCTCCCACCCCTACTCGCGCCCACACTCGAGCAGCAAATGAGCTATGAAGTGCAGAAGTGGGTCGGCGCAGCTAGCGTAGCGCAGTTCGTTACGCCCGCTGCGGTACAGTTGGTTAGCACCCCGTTGCATTTGCTCGGCCTGGATCTTTACAATCGGCCGGGCGTGGCCATGATGGGGCAGGAGGGACGCGTGGGCAAGGTGGTGCGCGACTGGGCGAAGAGTGCGGCTGCGCGCATTTGCAGGATTGTTCCTGCTTTTGGGGTGGGTGGCGTGGTTAACATGAAGGTTCGGAGGGGTTTCATGGGGAGGCTGGAGGAGAGTTGAACATGTAGACAATTTTGGGGTAGGATGGTGGGAAAAGCGGAGTGGGCGTTGTTACCGCATATACACTACGCTTGTTATGATTTCTTTTTGATGAGCATGGCGTTGTTGGGGAACGCAAACGCAGCAGTGTAATATACATGCATGGCATCTGTAGCGAATTTAGCATACTCTGCTCTTCTATCGGGACCTACACATGCATGTCCAATCTTTCAGCTCAACAGTTTTGCAGCCCGTATAGTCAACACTCCCCGTTCATTCAGTAGAGCAGGTTCTCAGACCCACTGACTCTCACCGTGAACACGATATGCGCAATGCTCGGTGGAATAAAGATGGTCTTTTGTATGTCTGTCGACACTGCTAGGAAGAAGAGTGGGCTAACATAAAACCAGTACAAAAGCAGAGCAATTCACTGTATCTTGCAAAACAAATTTGGGTATCTCATCATCCTCGCCAGTCCCGAACGCCCCAAGCCATAAGTAATCAAGCAAGAACAGAATCCAAAACACCCTCGATCCAACCCTCCCAATTCCCCCGCTTAATACCCAAAATCCCTTCTCTTTTACCGACCTCTTTCTCCAGGCCTTTCTTGGCCCCGTCCCCTTGCCGTTCCCACCATTCTGCCTCAGCCCGTTCTTTTGCTCGTTTGACCACCCTATCCTCATCTTCTACGCGATACAAATCACACTTGTTACACTCGCCACAGCTCTGCCCCGGCCTCTCTCGAAAGTGGCCGCAGAAATGCTGATACCCTTCGCCCGCAAGCCCCTGCCTACATATATAGCACATGGAGTAGCCACACAGACACACCAGCTTATTACAACCTTCCGACTTGACGAAGCCTAAATTACACTGCGGGCAGGTCCTCTTGACTGCGTCGGTGGTCGCGCGCTCGAGAGTGAGGCGTAACGAGGTGAGCTGCGAGGAAAAGCAGGTATGCGGGTCGTGCCAGGGGAGGTTGCAGGATAGACAGGAAGCTCGCGCGCAAGCTGGGGAGAGGCACTGGAACCGAAGACCGCGGCGCTTGAGATGGATTCTGCGCAGGGCGTTTTGGAAAGGCGGGACGAGAGGCAGCCGGAGCAAGAGTGCGCTGAAAGTGTATGAGAGGATGAGGAAGAAGACGGTGGCTTGTATGGCTTTGTGGCAGAGGAGCTCGAGAATCGGGATGGACGCTATGGAGGCGAGAATGATTGGGCGGGGCTTCAGTCGTAAGTTGGCGAAAAGGTTCCTATCTGGGAGGGCGAGGTCGTCGAGCTCGGCGTAGGAGCAGAAGGGACAGCAGGCTAGCGGAAGTTGTGATTTGATGAGTGCTTCGCTGGCAAAGCGTTCGTTCAGCTTGCCGAAGTTGTCTTCGCCGTCTTGTCCCTCAAAAAGTGCACGCTTGACGAAGGCGAGTGGGATGCATCCTCGGCAGTCCTCGACGCCATCCGTCATTGGAGCTATACATTTTAGAGTGCACAGCTGGGTATCGATATTGCGCGCCCAGCCCTGGTCATAGAGAGCCGCATTGATAGCATGCCGTATGCATCGGAAACAAATGTAGTGGCCATCGATGTCACACGTCGACATCTGCTGCAGCGTGTTCGGTATGAAGCAGCACTCGCAGTCGTACATCTCGCCCTCCGATTCAGCCTCCTCTTCGTTCCACTTCAGCGCCAGCTCGAAATCTTGCTGCAGCTGCTCTTTTCGCTGCTTGTCCAACTCAGGCACAATGAGGTTCTCGTACAGCTCTCGGTTTAGTTCATCGCTTTTAGTCTTGACCAGCAGCGGCGTCCGTGGGTGATTCGTCTTCGCATCAGCTGCTAGCCATAGAACCAGCGGGTGGTCCTTAGCACTGGGCGCTTTCCGTCGCATCAAGAAGTTGGTGATGCTTGACCTCCAACTATTAGTCGAAAGACCTAGTAGCGTTGGTCTTGCTTGTGTGTAGCTCCAGTTGTACTCTGCGAGCACTGCCCGGATGGTCGAATGGCTCAGCCCTTTGAACTCCTGATACAGCACCTCCTTCGCGGCCTCCTTGTAGCGTGTCGAGCGGAAAGTGTCTTCCAGTGCGAGTGGTATGCCCCGTGTGTCTTTCGGCGCGTCCTCCTTTCGGTACTTGTACTTCTGCGCCGTCTCTCGCTGCTCTTCCTGCTCGGCGGGCATCCTGTTCCGCCCCCGCACGTATTTGTGGCCATGTTTCAGCAGCGTCTCGGTGATGACCTGAAGTCTACTGTCCTCGCTAAAAGACAGCAGCATCTCTCGGAACACCTCGGGCTGGATGTCAGGAAAGATATCGGTGAGCGCCTGGAGGGAGACATTGAGGTCGCGAAGGTCCGGTTCCTCAAGGCCATGCTTGCTGAGAGGCGGCAAGGGGCTCGCGGTTTCACGGCTGCTTGACGAAGCACGCCGGGCTTTGGATGGTCGTATAAGGGAGGAAAAGACGGTAGCCATGGGACCGAGGGGCCTTCACGGGTGGCGAGTAGGGCATGCGGTGCATGCGGGGGCGCTGAGAGCGTGCACAAGAAGAAAAGTTCGGGTCAAAGGTAAGTAGACATTAATGAAGAAAAAGGTACAAGGCGGAATAAGGCGAGCAGCGTCGTGAGATTGACGTGCATAGCGCATAAAGCCGAAGTCCAAAGTTCGAGATCGCCTGACGCGTCATGGCCTCTTGAACCCTGCCAATCATCACATGTTCACGTGAAGCCTACATAAATGTCAACTGTACAATACCACTCAAGATATTCTTGCACCACATGGGCTAACCGTTATCGATTGCAAGAGGAATGCCAATGCAGACATTCTCAGTCGTCGTACAGGCTGTGTAGTGCCCCGCTATGGATCCGAGGCCCCAGTACCTCCACTTCATCTCACTTCAAACGGCAGCCTCACAATAGCTGGTTGCGTATCCGGTCTTTCTTACGTCCTTGAGCGGCGTGTTCAGCCCTTGTTACCATCACAAAGTTTCTGATACCGACTTCTCTCATTCAAAATGGATCTTTCCCAGCCTGCCAATTTGCCCAAGTCGAAGATGCCCGGAGGTCGTAAGCCACGGTAACTAGCTATAGTTGGCTTTTTGCCTGTATTGAGCTGACATTTAGCGAAGTTCGCGCAAGTCGAATAAATCAACAGCAACAGCTGTGTCAAAGACAGCATGGATGACGAAAGATACTGGCCAACTTGTGCACACCATACTGCCAACGTCACTTGAGCCAGATAGCATCACAGTATCCTCAGACCTTGGGTTTCAAACGCTGTGTAGCTATAACTGGCAGAAAGATGGCAAAGCAATTCTTGTTCCAGGTATGTTTCGTGCTCATGCATACTAGCTATCAACCTGATCTGATAAACAGGTGGGCCTCCAAAATGGACGCCCCCTCCTTTACCAGTCGCTCTCCCTCAGGACGCCGGCCTCCAATTCATAGATCAGAATACCTCCCGCGTTCCAAAATATCCATTTGAGCCTGTCTTTCAGGCCTTGTCCATCATGAACCCAAGCATGCAGCTAGACGACGTCGACCTTATCCTCAATCGCAATAGTCTGCGCAAACTACTTGATTTTGCCGCTGGGAAACGGCAAGATCCATTTTGCATGGGGTTGCATATCGTGAAGGATACGCTTTTCATCAGCCGCAAGGAGAAGCATGCTCGAATGATGATCCACGGAGCTGCCAACTCTGGGTACGGTCACAACTTTGAAGAGGCTTTCACTACACCCGAGAACGGACTGGACAGATCGAGCAGCCACCATAGAGTCATTAGATATCGCCTTGGCCACCTAGACTGTGTTGTCCGATTTGAGGTCGATGCGTACTACGAAAACACGGATGAGTCAAGCGCAGTCAGTTCTACTCAGCACTCTATAGACAACATCACCGCTACGTTGGCGCAAATGGGTGTCAATAAGCCACAACCAACAGCAAAATCACGAGAGGGCACAAATGCCATCTCGAAGGGAACCTACATCGACTCATCTAAGCTCGCCGAGACCAAGGCCCGTAAAGCCGAAAGGCTAAATGACGCTATGCCACAACTCTGGTTCGGTCGCACACCCTATCTGCTCGTTGGTAAGCATATCAAGGGCGTTGTTAATTCTACCACCTGTACCCATGCCGAGACGCAGTTTGCGCAGTGGGAAGGTGCTAATCAGGAAAAGTTGCGCAAGTTGGTCAGCTTGCTTGCGGAATTGAAGCAAACCGTGCGGGAGACAGAAAGGAGATCTGCGGTACTAGTCTGCGAAGACAGAGACGGGCCTTTACAAGTGTTCACGGCAAAGAACGAGGTGAACGTACTACCGAAGAATATAGTCATCAAACACTGGAGTGTCGAGTGAGAACAGGGTAGAAGGTGGCAAAGCCATGACTTGGCATGATGACGCGATTCTGAAGCCTTTTAATAGATATCTCAAAGATCACGCTGGAAGATGTAATGGTATGTTGCTGATATTTGGCTTGGGAAACCTTACTGCAAGGTAGTATACAAGAAGAGGATTTCACAACCAGACAGGGTAGTGTAGTTAAACAAACTACCTATGATCAATTGAATTTACCAGTAATGCTTACTGCTATGGGTCAAAAGTAAAGAAGATGGGAAAGTACCTAGACACATATAAAAGGGAGGACGACTCAAAGGAATACCAAGCCTACACACCCTCACTTCGTTTTCGTCTCCCCATCCTCCACCCACCTCCAACTAACCGCCGCCCTCCCAACATCTGGATTCGTGCAAAACGGAAAAACATCCGTTAAGACATCCAAGTCCTGGGGACGACATCCCGCACACCTATCCCTGACCCAAACATTTACCTCATTCTTCGTCCCATCCTTCCTCTGACACCACGCTAAGATCTTCCTCCCACATAGCGCCGAGGTTCCATTGATTGTACCAGCACGGCCGAAATCAAACAGCTTCCACCCGATTGCGGCTAATGCTTCGTTATGCTGTAGTTTACCAGTATCTGGACATGCGGGATCGGCAGAGAAGGCTTCTAGATCAGAGTAGTGCGATATGTCGCCGGTTTGGACGGTTGCAGGGACGACGACGTGGGAAGGGGCGAGGGAGGTATAACCGCAGGGGAGTTCGGCTGTAGGCGATATGCCATGGGCGCTGGCACCGACCCAATCAAATGCACCGACCCAAGGAGAGATGCTGGTTATGATGGGTGTGCTCCAAGCCGCGGGGCCCGAGAAAGTGAGTTGAGAGACGGGCGTTGTACAAGTGGCTGCTCCAGCGATCAATGGCCGTTGATCCGATGACGGTGTTACGGGTGGACTAGAAGGAGCTATTACGCTCGATAACAGCGAGAATGACGTAATTTCTTGCGACGGGACATGGGGCGAAGGGGATGGCAGCAGTACACTGGATGGCGTTGTGATACTTTGTGTACGCGCGGTGCTTGTGGCGGCGCTACTTGATGTCCCGTTCCCGGCTCCTTCACACTCGTTAACATTGCCCTCCAGAACACCCTTTATGGAACAGAGCAAGTCCACACTCTGTATCACAACCTTCCCACTCTTCTCTGCCTTACACAACTCTTCAACAGCCTTCTTCAAATTCTCCCATTCACTCTTCGTCTCACAGGCCTTTCCTTGATTAACCAAAGCAAATTCCGTATCCATCCTAGTGCATAACTTCTCATTCACTATCTTAGCCATACTATCGTCATCTGTATTTTTAACGAAGGATGGAGTAAGTCCGGCGTCAAGATATACTTTTGTAGCGTAGCAAAGCTGTGCGGCTTGTAGCTGCAGTTGAGAATAGGCTTCCCAGTAGATCAGCTTCCTTCCAGGGGCTTGACGTCGGTTGATGGAAGATGTTCGTGTAGCGGAAGTTTGTGTACGTGAGGCCATCCCTGGTAACGTCTTAGTTGGCCATTGAAAGGGGACATACCAGCGCCGAACTGCAGCATTTGACTGTGTCGAATGAGTGATGGTGGAAGTTTGCGTTGGCTGAATGTCGGTCTGGCGAAGAGTGTCACTGATCGCAGTCGTTGTGGTAAGTGGCATTGAATCGCATTCGGTATTTGGATGGACGAGTTCCTCCTCCCTCTGAACTAGACGACTATCATGATTGATGTCACCATTCACAGTAAGTGAGTGAGATGTCGTTCTTGATGTAGTCTTAGACGATTTGGTAGAACTTGTGGTCTGTGCAGCCGTCTGAACGGGGCTGAGGTATGATGTGACAGGCATGATGCTCGTTGCATCATCATCTGATTTAGTCATCGACAAGGTTCGCCACAGAGTTAGAGTCACACTTTGCACATCGCTCGTGGTCGTTTGGAGTTGTGGTTTTTCTAGATGCAGCCCCTTGGCAAGGGCTGCGATGCTAACGATAAGCGCTGCAACTGCCACGACGCTGATTATGGCCATTATGTAGTAAGGTGTGAGATTCAGTTTAGTGGAGGATGGTGGGTCACACGTATCGGTGTCTTGTCGAGGATAAGTACGTGACTTCGGCGAATAAGAGGAGTACTCAGACGACGAATACCGCTCCTGCTCCTTGCTCCTCGTTCGATCGAAAAGTGAGCTAATCCGCCCTTTTGTGACTCCCCAAATGTCGCGTTCGTACACTTCGTGATTAAGTGCCTCGGGTACGCAGCGCTCTTCCTTGAGTTGCCGAGACTTCTGAATGTTCAATGGTGGCAGCGGTGGCGGTTCTTCTGGTATTGTTAACGATGGCCTTAGTGGGTGGTCTCAGGGGTGCGGTTCTACGAAGCTTGATGGCTTTGGGGAGTGATGTAGCGCAGGTAACCCTTACTTACTGAAGAGACTTGTTCTATCAAATTCTGCGGCCGTTCCGAATGAATGTCCGTGCAGAGGAGATATTGCAGCTGTTCCCTCAGCGTCACAGGGGACGGGGTTGGATATCTCGAAGCGCCGTGCACTTGTTGTGGTCTTGGAAGTGTCGTGGCGAGACAGAGGGTTCCTAGGCATGGAGCTTTACATGCGAAAAAGTGTTATAGAGTAGTACTACCTAGAGAAGGGCCGCCAAGAAGACGGATTGCAAGTGAGCAAAGTTGGACGATGAAGTTGATGTAGGGGTTAGGGAGGAACAGTGGAAGACGAAGATAAAGTCAAGAGAAGGGAAAGGATCATATTGCGTGTGTCAGTGAGAGGCAGTGAGAGTCGAGTGTAATGTCTTCAGGGTCATGTGTCGCATTACTCATAACCAAGCCCACGTCACCTTCACCCTACCTTTTCCCTCATCAGCTAACCTCTTAAACATAGCAGGACTGACATCGAGATCAGTAGGCTGACATCCCTCACCTAATGATTCGTTAGTATTGAAGCTCGCAAACCTCATTACAAGTATCATTTTGTTCCAGTGCCCATCAGCAAGAACGACGTCAGGGGACTTACATCTGTCAACAACAGTAACATCAATACTGACACTCTGTCCGGTGTTCTCATGAACCCTCTTCGCCCTGATTTTTCGCCCACACAGCGGGTTTGCATTTGGGTTACCTCCAACCTGGGCTGCATCGAATGTGAAGTGTGACACTGCAACAATTGCGTCTTTGTCTGAAGACTCGATACCGCAGGCGCCAAGGGCCGGGGCATAGTATGTCAAGTCTCCAGTGTAGGTTTCAGAACCATTTGGTAAAGGGAGATTTTGGGTCCTGTGTTGAATTTGTAAGATAAAGTTTGTGGAGGTGGAAAACGGATTATGTACTTGTTCGATCCTTTACTTAGGCCGACTGCAAGCCCAATTATCAAGGCCAGAAGGCAGACTAGTATGACAAGAACGATGATAAGGAACGTGCGGCGACTTCGACCAATATAGCGTCTGTGTGGCGGGAGCATGCGATCAAAGCGATCGGAAAGCGCCCATCCTGTTGCGCTCGAACCAACGCCTAGATGTGCATGCCTCCGCTTACGTTGCCCTTCTTGCGGTATGTCCCAGCCTGAGTCTAACGTATTATTCGTGGAGTCTGCCTCCTTTATATATGCCCGCGACGGCTCTCCTATATCTTTTCGGGGTATTTCTGGCGCGCCCATGGCTGTATGCCCTACGGCGCGTAGCTGCGCGTAAATAATAACGTCTGGACGGGTATCTCAAAAGAATGAACGAACGGCAGCATTACGAGTGGCGATTTCAAAGAGTGTCGGCCTGAGCAGTCCAATGCCTGGCATTATCGTCGAAAGGAAAGTGAGGACCTGGATGGAGCGTGTGGCGTGGAGGTAGTGGAGAAACAAGGGACTTGTGGGTCGCAACGTGAAGCCAGAAAAGGGGTCCAAGCGGCATCAACAAGGTTATCGGAAGTTCGCCGACGGCCGGTACGTCAACGTCACCCTTCTCCGGTAGTTGAACTTCTTCACCACGACAACCTCATCTATACTCACTCTGGCTAGAGAGCGAGGTGGATCCTTGAAATAATCGCAAAACGCAGCACCCCTACGTCTGTCTCACCGCCTCACCGTCCACTACTGCTACAACTCCACGCCGCAGTTCGGAAACCGCTTCCGAGCTCATCATTCACGATCTGCCACCTTAGCCCCCAAGCACACCACGCCACCATGGCAGAACAATCCATAAACATTCCTCAAGTCCTCGTCTTCATTGTTGTCACCTTCCTCGCCGTACGATGGTACTTGAGCAAGCCCTCCACAGAAGGCACGCGAGCAGCAACCGCAAACCGCTCTGGCTCTGCCCCACGCATAAACCCCGCCCAGATACACCAAGTAGCAGACATGTTCCCGCACCTAAGTAGACGGGATATTGGATGGGATTTGCAGAGGAATGGCGGAAACCTTACGGCCACCACGGAGAGGGTGTTAAGCGGGCGGGGTCTGGATAGCGTAAGATACTCATTGGGTCAAGATCTGGGATATCGGCTAATAGTAAGAACAGGCACCAGCGTCATTCGTATTACCAGAAGATCGTCGAACTGCCCAGCCCGCGCGAACAGCAACACCGGTCGCCAAACCAGTACACCCCGATTTGATAACGAAATACAACCTATCAACGAAGCTGTCACAAACCGCGCAGCCGACCGACATCGAGCAACCAAAAGTAAAGTCATGGAGCCAAGACCGTAATGAGAGGCAGGCAAACCTCCAAAGACGGAGAGAGGAGATGATCCTTGCAGCGAGGAGAAAGCTGGAAGAGAAAGAGAAGGCAAAGGCTTCTGGAGCGACGGCTTAGGTGGGTTGAGGAAGACAGGAAATCAATATAGGTTCTAGAGCTGCATGGTGGCAAGTACATATGCGTTGGTGATATACCCAGGATCTCGCCGGTCAATTCTTACTTACCTTACTACTGCACATCCCCCCTGAGCTATAATTGAAGGATGACTTTCTAATGCTGTCTTTATCATATGAGCTGCAGATTGAGGTTGCTTAGCTTCAAGGGCTTTGCTCTACGCTCGCATACACAGATCACACAGATCACTTGTGACTTCCACACTACTGCATCGATGGCTCTCTACACTACGAGAGTGAAAGCGGAACAAATATGGCCGGACGCACTTCGGCAATTCGCATTACTGGCGCGTAGGTCAGAATCTGACTCCACGAAGCTGGAGAGGCCGAAAAAGCTGGAAACGCTGATCAGTGAGGAAGCGAGGAATCCTTGATCTGACGAAATTTGGATATAGTCGCTTCTACTACTAATTCGTCGTGCTACTTACCTACTGAAGTGAGAATAGGTCTCATCCCAAAGCCCTACAAACGCTTAGCCTCTCTAGCCTCGAGGATACCTACTTCTATGCGAACGCGCTATTCAAACACTCTCTAGTGTTAGGCATCCCCAACGTCAGTCACCGCCCCGACCACTGCTAGGAGTCTTCTTTAAGTACACTAAGCAGCAAATCAGATTAGTTTGCAATTCCTTATTTGTTGTATTTCAAGCTGAATCACGAAAATAGGAACGGGTTTGGTCTCGTTCAGAAGCCTTGCCAAGCACTAACATGCATTTTAAAGTGTCAGTTGTTGCAGTGGACCAGACATCTGAGCTTTGTTCTAGCGTGTCTGACCATTTAATACGGGCAATCTAGAACATGACTTGCATTAGCAATGCTGGAGGTGGCGACATTTGAGCTTGATGTGCCAAGAGATGCCAAGTAAAGCCAAGTGAAACCTCTCACGGAGATTAGGGGACAAGCCTCCACACCAAACCCACAGCAAGATAACTTCCGAGATAGTTACAGCTAGACGCACCACTACTTTGCCAGTTCGACAGGGGCGTATCCGAAGACGCCTTCCACATCGTGCAGCCATAGCGCCAGAGTGGTGTTGACAATCCCTGCCAGGAAATGAACCATAATGAAAACCCACGAATAACGTGGTACAAGAGCTGAGCACGAGTTACCATGCGGCGACGTGGAAGTCGACTTCTATACCTCAGTTGCATCGCACCAAAGATACAAAGGTGCCCTTCCAGAAGAGATAAAAGGGCAATAGTAGCCTAGTTTGAAACTAGTTTCTCGCTGGCGCCTTGAAAGATTCCAGCCCTCGGGGTCCAGGAGCATCACGGTCTCTCAAGCTGGGCCATCTACAGCCTAGTCATGGCTCCTCATACTCTCCGTTATGTCTACTCTAGTACCGGACGTGACATTGGAAACACCGCTTCTATTGGTGGAAGTGGGGCTTTCTTTCCTAGTAATTAAACATATCTTGGCATGAGGAAAATGCTCCGTCTATAAGTCCAAGGTTATTCTTACCTAGAACCAGGATATCCACGAAACATTCTTCGCTCATTTTATAAGATTTTTTTAGCTTCTTCTCTTCTCTGGTAGAAGTCAGTTCACTATGCGATCCTTCAGTGTTGTTGCGCTGCTTGCGCCTTTGGTGTCCGCCAAGGAAATCTTCGTTTCACCTACCGGTAGCGGTACTGGATCTGCTACTGCGCCATTTGGCTCCATTCAAGCAGCAGTGAATGCCGCAGTCGCTGGCGATGTCATCCTTCTCCGCGCTGGCACATATGCACCCACCACGAACATCCAAATCACCAAGAGCGGAACCAGAATTCAGCCAATTACCATGCGCTCCTTCGGGACTGACAAGGTTATCATAGATGGAGAAAAGCTGCCTGGGTGAGTCTTCGAGATGTTAAACATGGAAGCTTTTGAAACTAACTATTCCGCAGAACACCCGCTGGGTTGGACCAGCCTCTCCCGAGCAAGGAAAGGGGTATTCTGCACATCGAGAAAGGCAACTACTGGAAGTTCTACAACTTAGAGTAGGTTCAGGCACTTGTAAGGATCGCATGTGATTTGTGCTAATCGTCTTTGTCAGACTCATCAATGGCCCATATGGAGTCTACGCAGTCGATTCATCCCACAACAACTATGAGTTGCTTAGGACGCACGACAACTACGAAACTGGTTTCCAGCTCCAGGGAGCATCTTCAAACAACACCGTGGAGTTCCTAGATTCGTACCGTAACCGCGATCCCCGTAAGAATGGAGAGAGCGCCGACGGTTTCGCGTGCAAGCAGGGCTCTGGCGAGGGCAACGTCCTCCGCAACGCCCGCCTTTGGGACAACGTCGACGACGGACTCGATCTCTTCATGTTCGGCTCCCCTGTTACCCTAGAGGAGGTTTACGCATGGGGCAATGGCGTCAACCGCTGGGGCTTCTCCAACTTCAATGGCGACGGTAACGGCTTCAAGTTGGGCATCACAAACAACCCACCCGCCAACCATATCGTCCGAAACAGCATCGCGTTCAACAATGCCAAGAAGGGCTTCATTGATAACGGAAACCCGGGTTCCTTGAGGTTTGAGCGCAACACTGCCTGGAGCAACGGCGATGTCGGCTTCCATCTGCGAAGCTCGTCTTCCACTATGACAGCTAATATCGCTGTTGCCAATCGTGGCCCTGCTGCGCAGGTCAGCCTCGTCTCTTCGGTCAAGGCTTCCGGCAACTCGTGGAACTCTGGCAGCTGGTCCAATGCCTCCTTCAAGAGTATCGACCCTGCTACTTTGAAAGGACCCAGGGGAGCTGATGGTCGAGTCAAGGCAAGCGATTTCTTGATCCCGACCACAAATGCACCAATTGGCGCAACTACCAAGGCGGACGTTTAAGGCAGAAGCATGCGCTCTGGGACTCAGGTCAACTTAATTCGCGTCCAACCTTTCCTTCATTAGCTACTTTATCTTCTTGTATCTACTTAGCACTTACCTGAGGCGGACATGTTGTTCTAATAGCCAGTATCAATTGGTACAGAAATCAATACACCTCAGAACGTCGATTAGTCGTTCTTATCAACCTTTGTGTTTGCTGCGCCCTTCTCTATAACTCCACATCAGATTGACACTATGCCTAAGAGATCTCCTATAGTCACTCAAGGGCTTACGGAGTCCATCTTCGGGGGGAACCTTGTCTCATCATTTTGACGCCCTAGCGTATAAGTAGGCAGAGTTATAAGTGGATAGAGGGCTATGACAAAAGTTGTCCTATATTTGTAGTTCGAATGCCTGCTTGGTTCTTAACAGCTGTAATGGTTCATACGATAAGTGAGTCTCTATTATTTCTAGTCGTAGCTAGTTTAATTGACGTCGTGAGAAGTTTCTGGCGCATAGCGAGCGCGTGCGGGACGGAGGTCGGTTGCAAGGATCTACGCTCAACACGTTCTACGGATTAGCCGGCAATGCCGGGGACGCAGTAGCGCCTCCCAGTGTTACCCAATGCTTAGCTTCCAAGGTCATTTGGCTTGCGTTGGGGGTCCAGGTACTAAAGAGGAATAGGGCAGCCAGCGATTACCTAGGTAGAGATATCTGCTCAGGTGGTAGGGCATTGGTAGCCCCCACGCGTATCAGGTAATTCAGCGTTATATTTGACCTTTGCTCAATCGCTTACAGGTTCCTACGGACACACTGGAAGGCGTCAACGTCGACATTGGTTATATGGATATAGACCTTGCATGTTCGTTTCTTGTCTAGACGAACCTGTTAGGCACACTCTCCAACGCCTGTAACGTGCGTGCACCCATGGACCCGTTTTAGGTCTCGAAGAAACCCATACTAGACTTAGATAACTTGAATTATACATGGCCCAGACTGTGAGCCTGGATGTACACTTTGCCTCTGTATGTTTCTAAGAAGGTGGATCACTGCGTAATGCTGCTATCGGTGTATGACGACGATTGAGTGCTATCACGACTAGCGTCTCGAAGCTACGGTCGCAAGTTCCGGGCTGCATGCCGGGTCGGACTCCGACAGTGCTCTGAGAACGCGACAATCGCCAGATGGGATAGTGAAAAATTAGCGGGCGACTCCCCAATTCGTTCATAATACAGAACTTTGAGACATTCGTCGTAGATTACACATGCAGCGTTGAGTCGTGAAGGTTTTAGCACCATTGTAGGCTAAGAGAGGTAACAGGTTCTGCTTACCTAACTTTCGTAATCGGGACGACTTACCTAATTCAGGCAATTATTGCACACATGTAATGCCGCATCGGGAACGGTACCGAGCGAGAAAGAGTACCTATATCAATCACAATGTACTCAATGTGGCTTTGTACTCTTCCTATCAACTTCCTTCTTTTCAAGCAATAAAAAAACAGTAAGCCACGCCTTCGATTTCCTTACTCATCGTCGTTACCTCTCAGGACCGCTAACCCTCGTTGTTCTTAGTGTCTGGAAACCTAGTCCCTCTCACCGTCATTAAGGGCGCGGGCCACGAGTTCATTCCCCTCCCACAGGGCGAGAATGCGACCGTTGCCGACTTCCACTCGTAAGTTGTCTCCACTCGCCTTCAATCTCTCTTCAACCATCTAATCGTCCGGTAGAATTCGGACCAAAACCACAGACTCACCGTCTTATTTCACATCGGGGTTCTACAAGATCGAGGCTGGGCCCGCTCGCCCCGCGCACTACACGTTCGAAGAGACCAAGTATGTGCTGAACGGCCAAATTGATATCCTGGACGAGGCCACTGGAATCACACATCATATGGTCCCCGGAGACTTTGCATTCTTCCACGTCGGATCCAAGGTCAAGTTCTCAACCAAGTCAAACGGTCTCGCCTTCTACGCCGTTACGAGGCCTGTTAAGACGCCCCACCCTAACCTCCAGGGCCGGGAGGAGGATGCGAAGGCCAAGTCCAAGTTGTAAAAGTTTAATGAAGGCATGATTTTAGACGATAGAATATGACTCAAAGAATATAAGGATAACAAGTACCAACTTGCAAGAGCCCTGGTTACTTCATAGGAACACTACTTTGGAATAGAATACAATCAGTTACAAATGTATGCGCCGCTCAAAGCTCCGTAGGCTAAGAACTTCCGAACCCGAGCAACTCCATTTTAGGCCTAATAGTTCACTATACTTGTTGCTTTGATAGTCGATATCCTCAGATGGGTAAACGGCCCACTAGCGTTGAAAGAACGGTGGTCGAACTTCAGTAAGCGATCGAAGGTGCGCGTGTGTCTGATCAGAAAACATAACATTGAGATCGGATTACAACAAGCAAATTGCTTGCAAGATCCACTACAGCAGATTCGCATACTAGGGTCGTGTCTCCTGCTAACTAACATGATAGGTGGAAATCCATAACGGTCATGCCTCGGTCAAAAGTTACCGAGCCGACTGACGCGAACCTGGTGGGCGGATACCTCAGAGCAACTCTTCTCACTGCTTGCCTGAGATGATGCATGGTACCTGGACAATTGCGACATCGCCATATCAGTAGACTAACCCGTGTTGGCGCAATATTCGTCGTTCCTGACATGTTCGCGAAGGATGAAGCCTGGTTAATGGACGGCTCGGAGCCACTAGGTGACGACGATAAAATCACCGAAGGATGGCGACATAATAGACGTTAGGATAACGGTGAAGTACACCGCTCTATATAAGGAAAGGGAGCCGTCTGCGTCCTTTGAGCTGTTGACTTGACTTGGATCACCAACGAACATCGGGATAGCCATCCATCATCCACCATGCGTTGGTCAATTCTATCCGTCCTCTCGGTCATGGCGTCGGCGGTCGCAGGAGAGAAGCTTCTCTATCGCAATACCTTCAACAGCAGCGCCTCCATCTCGAGCTGGATCGCCGAAGGCCCTCTCAATGCGACTGTCTCCAACAACACCCTCGAGCTGCGAGGCGCAGGCAAGCTAGACGACTACTTCGTGTACTGGCTTCCAGAAGTCTTTCCTGACCGCATCCGCATCAGCTGGGAATTCCAACCCATCCAGGAGCCTGGGCTTGCTATGTTCTTTTTTGGCGCCACATCAGTCGCAGGTGGCAGTATCTTCGACAAGGGCCTCAAACCACGCAATGGGGCGTATCCTCAATACCATTCTAGCGACATTCGCTTGCTGCACGCATCGTATTTCCGTCGTCGCTGGCCGGAGGAGCGTGTTTTCCATCTGGCGAACCTGCGCAAGTCCCCCGGCTTCAATCTCGTTGCCCAAGGTGCTGACCCGCTGCCGGCTGTGGAGGATGTGAAGGGTGCCTACTACAAAGTTGAAGTGATCAAGGACAAGCGCAACGTTAGCTTCAAGGTTAACGGGTTGCTGCTATTTTCCTTCGACGACACCAATACCAATACAGGCCCGGTAGTGCGCGACGGTCGCATCGCCTTCCGACAAATGCAACCGCTCATCGCGAGGTATCGCAATGTAGAGGTCTGGAAGCTATAGGAGGTCGAAATGTACACCTAGGTACCGTGATATGCGCGAGCTCAAGACCCCGCACGCGGCGGAGGAGGATTTCTCCGCCTCCATATTACACCCGCCTATTCTAATGTCAAACTACACCACAATGACATGGTAAAGCACAGAAATATTCTCGGTTCTGCTTAGGCGTGGTTGTGGAGGATGAACGGATCGACGGGAAGGACTTGACTTGTCGCGTAGTAGCGCACCTCACACGGAACAGTAATATACATGTACCATCTGCTACTCTACTTCTGCTGTACCTGGATATTTTTTCTCTTTACCGTTTCCAGTGTTCTTTAGAGTTCGCGATGAGGTTCGTTCGTGCTCTTGCTGGGCTTGCGCTAGCATCGCTTCACATTCACCACATCACAGCACACGTGCTGGGCGGAAGACCAAGTGACTTTATCATCGCTGAGAAGCGCGCTCCACTCCAAGATATAGTCAGCATACTCTAGTAACCTCGCACCAACATATCTGATACTCAACACAGGTCACTTGGGACGAGCACTCCCTTTTCGTTCACGGTAAGCGCATCATCTTCTGGGGCGGCGAGTTTCACCCATTCCGGTACGTACGGCGAAAAAGGGCGCGGCGTATGGCACTCACGGCTTCTTAGTCTCCCAGTTCCTGGTCTATGGCTTGATGTATTCCAAAAGATCAAAGCACTTGGGTATAATGGGGTGTCCTTCTACGCTGCTTGGTTTCTGCATGAGGGGAAGCGCGGATCTTTCAGCGCGGAGGGGGTTTTCGACTGGGAACCGTTCTTTGATGCGGCAAAGAAAGCCGGCATATATCTAATTGCTGTAAGGACTTCCCCCCACTTGTCACGATGCTCGCTAATCCATCAGCGACCTGGCCCGTACATCAACGCTGAAGTGTCAGGAGGAGGATTCCCTGGGTGGCTGCAGCGCATCTCCGGAAACCTGCGTACACCAGATCAAGATTACCAACAAGCCTCGAAACACTACATCGAATCCATCACCGCAATCATCGCCAAAGCCCAGATCACCAACGGTGGACCCGTCATCCTCTTCCAACCAGAAAACGAGTACTCCGCGGGCACTAACAATGTCACGTTCCCTGATGCCTTGTACATGAATGGCCTCATGCGACAATTCCGCGCCCTTGGCATTGTTGTACCGTTCATCAACAACGTGGCATGGCCCAACGGAGTCAACGCGCCCGGAACCGACGCCCCTGTGGATATTTACGGCCATGATTCGTATCCAGTTGGATTCAATTGCATGGATCCTACGAACTGGACCGATAATGCGCTACCCACGAACTGGAGAGAGACTCATCTGAAGCAGAGCCCGAACACGCCGTATATGCTGGTTGAGTTCCAAGGCGGGGGATATCAGCCGTGGGGTGGTGTTGGCTTTGAGAAGTGTGCTGAACTAACCAACTATGAATTTGAGCGGGTGTTTTACAAAAATAACATTGCGGCGGGTGCTACGATCTTCAGTGCCTACATGGTGCGTTCTTTCCGCTCCTGTGGAAGTCAGTATACTAATCCTAGTTAGGTATTTGGTGGCACAAATTGGGGCAATCTAGGCCACGCTTCGGGATACACGTCCTACGATTACGGCGCTGCCATCACTGAAGAGCGCCAGGTTCACCTCGAAAAGTACAGTGAGGCAAAGCTCATTGCAAATTTTGTACATGCATCGCCCGCATTGGCCTCTGCAGTGGCTGGATATAACACTACAGGCCTTTATACGGATACGGATGCTATTACAGTGACACCATTGTTTGGCAACAAAACTAGCTTCTACGTCACGCGTCAAACTAAGTACAACTCCTTTGGCTCATCCTCTTACAGACTCAGGGTGCAGACAAGTGTAGGCAATATCACCGTACCGCAACTCGGTGGACGTCTTTCTATCAACGGCCGCGACACCAAAATTCATGTCACGGACTATGATGTGGGGGGCTTCAACCTTCTTTACTCAACAGCCGACATCTTCACGTGGAAGAAATACGGAACGAGGTCGATTCTGGTCGTGTACGGAGGCCCCAACGAATTGCACGAGCTAGCAATTTCTAAGACGAGTGGCGCGACAGCCGTTGAAGGGTCTGGAGTCAAGTTTTCGAATCGTAATGGAGTTACCATCCTCAGTTGGAACACGGCCCCGAAACGTCGAGTCATACGTATCGGCTCCGACTTGTACATTGTCATCCTTGATCGAAACTCGGCATACAATTACTGGACTGTGAGTACCCTGCCAGAAGGCAGCTACTCTCACAATGCGAATCCATCATCTGACCTTATTGTCAACGCTGGGTATCTTGTTCGCAACGCCGCTATCGTAGACGGGAAGGTGAAGCTTGTTGGTGACATCAATGCAACTACTACACTCGAGATAATCGGAGGTGCGCACAAGGACATCACAGCGCTCACCTTCAACGGTGCCACTGTGGAATCAACCCTCGACCGCAATGGATTCCTCCGCGGCACAGTAGCGTTTTCCGCTCCCGACATCCGCCTTCCGGATCTGGGCTCGCTGCCTTGGAAATACATCGATACGCTTCCTGAGTTGAAGTCTACATACGACGATTCCACGTGGACCAATGCAGATCATACCAAAACTAACAATACGTACTGGCCCCTGACCACGCCTAAGGTTCTCTGGGGCGCAGAGTACGGCTATAATGGTGGGTCGCTCATAATGCGGGGCCATTTCACCGCCACAGGCAATGAAAGCGTTTTGCATTTGAACGTCTCGGGTGGAAATGCCTTTGCGTTCTCGGCATGGGTGAACGGGACGTGGATAGGGTCATGGCCTGGAACGGCCGAGGCTGCAATCGCGAATCTGACTTTGCCACTACCGAGCTTTAAGCGCGGAGAGAGGTATGTGCTGACAGTTCTCAGCGACCACATGGGCCATAATGGGAACTGGGTCATTGGATACAATGAGATGAAAACGCCGCGAGGTATTATTGGGTACGACTTTCCTGGTCATTCAACCACCTCGAATAATGCCTCCCGTGCCGACGATGGCATTACCTGGAAGATTTCAGGGAATATTGGGGGTGAAGATTACCATGACAGGACGCGTAGCCCGCTTAACGAAGGCGCGCTGTGGGCAGAGCGCAATGGTTTCCACCTCCCATCTGCGCCCACCGGATCCTGGGCAGACAGTGCAGGTCCGATAACCGGTCTGACAGAACCAGGAGTCGGTTTTTATACGACTTCGTTTGCCCTCAATATCTCCCAAAAATGGGACATCCCACTGTCGTTTATCTTCCGCGGCGACACGTTCGACGGTAAAGGAAAGGGTTGGCGCGCACAGCTCTGGGTGAACGGATATCACTTTGGCAAGTTTCCGAATGGCATCGGACCGCAGCGGAGATTCCCGGTACCAGAGGGGATTCTGAATTATCGAGGCGAAAATCACATCGCTGTTAGTATTTGGGCGCTGGAGCATGGTGGTGCGAAACCGAATGGCTTCGAGCTGGTTGCGGGTATGCCGGTGAAAAGTGGCTATGGTGAGGTGAAGATGGCGCCGATATCGAGTTGGGAGAAGAGGGAGGGTGCATATTGAGAACTGGAGGTGAATTCGCGCAAGGGAATGTTTGCTGCAGTATATTTTACCATGTTCACTACACTCGATCCGTATGAAAGGTAGTTGTCAGTCTTTTCTGCTACGTCACTTCTATCCACTAAACTTTAACTGTAGCACCACTTAAACAACCAAACAATCAACTATCATCAGAGAATCTACGTTTCGATTGATGCGATTCAATTTATATGATGTCACTGAGAACAGTGCGTAGCATTACTTCATCATTGTAGCATTTGCGGACTCCGATATGCATGGATGCTTCTAATACATGAAATACCATCTATAGTTTGAACTCCTAATATGCATTCTCACGAACAAGTAACTCAACAATGCTAAACACTGCCCATCAAAAGTCCCACAAAGTGCCGAAAGCATGCAGCCCAGCTGCGCGGCAACCTTGCATCATCTCGTCATTCCCCTGCATATTAGACGTTATGAAAATAACCTCTGCTCCGAACCTAGTCCATGTGTCTTTGAGAAGCTCCACAGTGTCAGGGCGTCCTCCTCGTTTCTTCGAATCCCAGAGGATCATTCTCTCCGGCTCGATGTGCTTTCTGATGAGGCCTGTAATGGTTGGTCCGAAAGTTTTCTCTTGGTCAGAGCCTATCCAGATGAGAAACCAGTTTGGGCTTTGGATGCACGTAGATAGCGCTGCTCCGATACCAGTGCCAGTGCAGATGCGGATTCCTCTCTTGAACATTGCAGAAGCGTGGCCAACACCAGCTATGGTATGTTAGTGGGTGGCGTTGATAGAGAAAATAGATGAGAAAGCGTACCAAATTTCAGTTCTCGAGTCCACAGTGTCTTAGGTGGGTTGGTAACAAGGTCTTTCGTAAAGTCGCCTTGAACACCGCAAATCATATAGTGATGCGTCGCCTTTGTGCCTTCACTGATGATGCCAAAGGCGTGATACTCCATGATGGAAGTGCGACTAATCCTTCCCAAGAGACCCTGCTGCATCCCACGCTCGAACCGGACAATGGCGACTTTGGGAGAGGGAAGCGAAACCTCGACAGGGACTTCTCGCAGGGTAACCCAAGGGATGAGCACACTGTGATTGGTGAGCAATAGTCAGCAGACAAGCAGATATTGACGTACAAAATCGTCATGAAGACGGCAAACCATAGTTCTTGGGCGTTTAGTAGGGTGTGGGAGTTGGTATTCCAATGCCCGCGTTTGATGTCATAAGAGTTTCCCAAGACCACGAAGATCCAGGTCGTCTAGAAAAGGTCAGCTACAGTGTCTAGACCTAACTAGAATAAAGCTACAAACCGCGAGGCCGAGCCATCCAATAAACCTGTGATGTTTCTCGAATACGTTATGATAAGTACTAGTCAAGTCATTAGCATTCTAAGATCAAAGCAGGAAGCAAGGCGACGAACTTGCGAACCCAAGGAAAGGCGCTCAAAACGGAAACGATGATGAAGACGTTTGTGATTATGCCGCTGGCAATCACAGCAGGGTGCTGAACGGCGCGATAACGTATGATATCCACGATCTTATACACAAGCCAACTAAATACTATGTCAGCTTCATAAGATACTGGATTGTAAGGTTGTATTACGCAGCACCAGAGAGAGCACATCCCGAGTGAATGCCTCCAACATGTTGTAGGACAGATGTTGCTGCCAACTTAACGCGCAATGGGGCCCACTAAAGAAGCATTTGTCAGTAGTCGTCTATGACAAGCAGAAAGAAGAACATACACTTCGTAAACCATGTATAGCAACAATATAAAGGATGCGCAACCACAGCTCATTCCGCATTAGGATTGCGCAGAGAAGGTTCCCCAGTACTACAGCGCCAAGGTGGTTCTCGGCGTAAGGGAATCGACCAAGTGCGGTAAGGATGATACCCGTCAAGTTCAGCAAGGTGATGAAGGTGAAGAATTTTCGGTACGTGTTGAACCATAAGTCAAGTTTAATCCATCGGCCGATTTTTGGTTTTGATGGTGCTGGTTTCTTGACGGTGGTCCCAAGGATATTGGCGTCCGTGGCCCGTCGCCCTGCTGGAAATTTTAACAACAGCTCCGGGACACTTGAAAACGGCGTAATGCCTTCGTGAACTGGTGAAAGGGGAGACAGCTGAGTGTTGATGTGTTTCGGCCATTTCTGACCACCCGTGTATACGAATGGTGGAGGTGCCATTATCTCCAGCGCCTGGTTATGCATGCCCTTTTCCGCATCGTCGTAGGAGTCATGACTATTGCCACCGGCAAATTGGTCTGGAGAAGAGTCTACCATGGTGATACTCGAGGCTTTGAGACACAGATGCTGAGAAAACAAGCGGCAGGGGTGATTGGAGATGTAGGAGTCACCCGCAGGGTGCCAGAGCACGAGTTTTAATCAGTGCTGGGGGGCCAAGCCCCACCACTTTCATGTACAGACGACCAGAGAGAGGCGAGTGAAGTACCATCGTCAGATCGATCTTGTGAAATGGGCTAGCCGGATTTGCCGGCGGTGGGTGGAACTCACTATTGAGGCAGCTGTAAGTACGAAGTGTCATGAGGGCAATTGCCGTCCGTGCTAGTTTTGGTCACGGAGAACCATACCCTATAGTCCGTCAGAGTAATATATGAAGCGATATTGTTATCGTCGGCACCGCCTGCGGACAATCTGCAGTGCTGTCGTAGACGGTGTGGGTTTTGAATAGGGCCCCACTGCCGGCTGAAGCTTGACGCATAAGACGGGGAAAGAAGCATTCGAGAGACTAACTACCGACATCGCATAACGCAAGGATCAGCGCAGAAAATACCGTAGTCTTAGCTGGGCGTGATATCACGTCCTAGACGCGTCGAGACATGTCCCATAGCCTGGTAATTGGGATGTACCACAGAATTTCACGGATTCTTTCACGGAACCTGGGGCTCTGCTTCCCCTGGCCCGATGTTATGTGTTGAATGCTTGGTTTTCCAAGTGTCGTTACGTCAAAGTGCAGCAACCAGAAGCCGGGTTAATATGGATAAACGGCGCGTGAAAGGAACTCTGGCTTATCAGCCCTGATTTGTTTCATGCACGTGTGAGAAACATCTTACAGACCCAAGGGCACAGTTGGGGAGCCGACATGCGACTAGCTTTGCACTGCCATCCGCGCATCTGCCAGGATGCTGGCGTAATGGGCTGTGAGCGTACATGGTGACCTGTCATCCTGTACCTGATCCGCACCTGGCCTGGTCTCGTCGGACAATACAATCAGATAGTTCGTGGGGTTCGGTACTTATGGGGTAACAGCCGCTTACGCAATCTATGTATATGAACGAGGGAATTCGAGCCTATGGAGTTTGCCTTGGTTCGACTCAAGTGTGCCTGAATATTCGCAGACACACCTTTCTGTAGTGCCCAACTGTATATTACTACGTGTGCACCTAGCCCTATGGCGGAAAGTTCCTCCATACATAACCATTCAAAACACGAAGCATGGGGGTTAACAATTTAAATATGCGAAAGGCGCAATACTAATGCTTTCCCTCACAAAGGCGTGTCCCTACTGTTTGGCCTTCTAGCGCGACGAAGAATGTGCGGGATCCATCATGGCTGATTGCGATATCGTACATGCGACTTCTAAGCTTGTCCTTCCTATCGTACATGCAAGCGCCCTAGAAATAAGACAGTAGCGCGTTGTTGCATATGATGTAATACTTACTCGCGCGGCTATCGTCAGATGGGGGAACCGTCTCGAAGCCTATCCTGGAAGAATCAATGTAATTACAAACATCTCCGCACTCAAAGTACTTTCACAGAACCATCGATAGCTTAGCTAGGGCGTAGGCGCTTTGGAAATCCTCTTCAGATGGGGGACTTGGGTCTTCTTTAGCTCTCATGGTGCTTGTGACTACGTGATGAGAAGAATTCGGTTTATAGAGAGCAGCTTATCAGGCTGAGAAAGCGTAGAAATTCTCCACTAGGGTAAGCTCAATGGTCAGTCGGGCATTGCAAATAAATCTGCGGAGAAAGGAACCATCAGTGCCTAAGACTACATAGCGCCAAGAAGATGTTCGCGATCTGAGCGTACAAATCCCGGAGTCCAGTAGTATTGACTCCCAGGCTCGTTATGCCACCTAAGATTTACAAACCAGGATTGGTAAGTCAGACAGCGCGGCAAAGTACGTTCATCATCGTAAGGGTCACTAGCCCACTGGAGGCTCGAAGCCTCGACCATCTTTGGGTGGACTTACCTTGGAAACAGTGTGAATAATGATGAGGCCACCGGGAAATTTAAAGAAATAGTCGCCCAATCGCCAAAGCACTCCAAAGTAAAGGGGCAGCAGGTCAACCTCGCTTCTGATCGTAGAGGATTCACCGGGGAAGTTCGTTCCGGGATTGCCGCAAGTGTAATTTGAACCCGCGCCTCGTGTAGCGGCCAGGTAAGTGCCTTGTTCCTGCCCCATTAGCTTATTCACAACAGTGACTTATCTTTCTAGCTTTTATAAACGGACTTGAAGAATCGCGAGCTCCTTTTCCTGCTAGCAGTACAGCAGTCTGGTCTAGACACCTTATTTATTAGGGTGCTTGACAATAAGCCTGAGGCTCGTATGTTTACCTTAGAGCCGAGAACGCTCTAGTACCGGTATTGGGTCCGAGACGGCATTGTAGGTAGTGAGGGTGGTATATCGCACAAAGTCTGCAAGACTTGAGAGGTTTCAATGGAAGTAAACAAAACTGTCAACAGGATGTCAATGATCATCGCCAGGGATTCTTGGTTATCTGCATGAGATTTGCCATTCTGCGAAGGCTCTTAAAAGATATGGACCTTGTTCAGGCTGTGCACGTTCATCTGGCCCAAATGTCTTTTATTGGCACTGTGTGACCGTTGTGTCGTTAGCTCGCGCGGTCAACCTGTGCCACTAAGAGGTGAAGGAGGCAAGGCCTCGATTCAGAGCAGCACTTCAAGCCAGATCAGGTAATCGGACTTGACTTGTCTGCTCCATGAGTCACCCCCGCGGATGTGAAGTGGAATGTATGTGTCCTGGAAATGCGGGGAGAATTGGAACTGAGTCCTTATTCGGAAACTGCATCGGAACGATCGGAACAGCACACCCGGATATTGAAGGAGGGCGGTATCGCTCCCGACTGTGCATAACATCCAACTACTCTTCCTCCGCGCAGAAATTTCACTTGTTCTATCTTCACCTGATTGAATTTGCCCTCAGACGCTATCAACGAAGTTGGGGCCGAACCGTGCGGCTCATCTCCAAAAGTTTTGTCGGTTCGCTATTACCCCGCCATTACCAAAGACCCACTTCACCCCAGAACAAGTCCTCAAAACATCTACACAACACAAATCGCAAAAATTATCAACATGGCCCCTCCTCCAGCACCCGGCGTATGGTGCCCCGCTGTAACTTTCTATGACTCAACCACCTTTCACCTAGACCTCGCCGCACAAGAGCAATACTTCACTTATCTCTCCAAATCCGGATTGACTGGTCTCGTGATCCTGGGGTCAAACGCTGAAGCCTTCCTCCTGAAACGTGATGAGAAGATTGCTCTGGTCAAAGCTGCTAGAGCGGCGGTTGGGCCCGATTACCCGTTAATGGTAGGCGTGAGTGGGTTCAGTGTGCCGCAGGTGTTGGAAAATATCCAGGATGCTGTGGCTGCGGGTGCAAATTATGGGTTGCTCCTGCCGGCGGCGTACTATGGAGCTGCTACAAGCAAGGAGGTTATAAAGGGGTTTTATGAAGAGGTTGCGAAGAAGAGCGAGTTGCCGATTGTCATCTACAATTTCCCAGCTATCTGCAACGGTGTAGACCTCGACTCGGTCACCATCGCGGAACTCGCAAAACAGAATGCAGGGAAGATTGTCGGTGTTAAGCTCACATGTGGGAGTGTAGCTAAAATCACTCGACTGTGCGCAGAGCTACCATCGGAGTCGTTCTCAGTGTATGCTGGGCAGGCTGACTGGTTGGTTGCTGGGCTAGCAGTTGGAAGTGCAGGCTGCGTTTCAGCATTCAGCAACGTATTTCCTAAAGTATGCTCCAAGATCTACGAGCTATACACTAGCGGCAAAACCAAAGAGGCGCTGGAGTTGCACCGCAAGGCCGCCTTAGCAGAAAACCCGATCAAAGCCGGTATCGCGCCTACGAAACATGCTGTTAGCCAGTACACTGCAAAAGCGGCGGGAATCGAAGGCGCAGAAGAAAAATTGAAGCCACGCCGACCGTACCTTCCGGTTGGTGAGGCCGTGAAGACGAGTGTGAAGAGTGCAATGGATGAGTTGGCCGGAATCGAGAACAGTCTTTAAACTGGGACATGGATATGAACCGAACAAATACCGTATTTTGAATCAAAGCGAAGATCCATTCAATACATGTATTGGGAGGATTGTTTCGTAAAGTGCTAAGCTATCAACCCTAACAACTAGCATGTTTGTAGTATGAAGTAAAGTTTCCAGGGGTCGTAGCAAAATATAGCTTTAGAACTGCAAGCGGCAGTCCGCATCGTACGTCTATCAACAGTTAGCTAGTTTTATTGCTCCCGTACAACAGTCGATTACTCTCCAATCTAATCTCCTTTTGACCTACGGTCTAAGCAGAATTGAGAAGAAATGTATGAAGCTTGGAATGGCTGGCGTAAGAGTGCTTTTGGGCGAGTGTTACCCACAAGTTGACTCGAGATGAGCATTCCGTTCAGCGGTACATTCTCCCCCTTCTGTTCCTACTCTGCTGACCGTCCTTCTCACCCTCCACACTCTTGATCACAATGTATCCTATTTCCAACGTGGGATTCACCTCACCTAACTGCACCTTTATCTTCCTTAGTAGCCGCGCACGCTCCGCACCATGAAGTCCCGACCCACCCGCCGGCGCTTTGATATAGGGGTTATCGCGGGTGAAGGATGAAGTGCAGTCCAGAATATCAGGCGCGGTGACGCTGGAGACAAAAAGAAGCTGCTTAGACCAACGATGAGCAGAATGCTAGAGCAGAGGGCCAAGGTAGCGACCCAAGGCGTGTTGGCTTGTAGATGAGGACCTGGCGTGTGATGACAGCTTCGGTCTTATTCATTCTAAGATTCTCAAACGGCTCGTTACTAGTTGTATTCTTCAACAATCTTGCATATGGGTCGTTCCGAGTTATAGCCAGAGGCCAACGTGAGGCATCCCAGCACGTATTCAGTAACTTGGTCAGTCGGTGCGACATCTCGATACATTTCTGGGGCACTCCAATATATTCTGTCCAGTTCTGTCTTGGTGCCATTCCTGTCGGATACCCCAAGCAGTAACGCCGTAAATGTAGGCATCGATGGGATTAGGCTTGAAAATAGATGCGTCTCCTCGGATGCCAGCAAGGTGAGTGATGAAGTACTTGAAGGTATACCGTTGTGTACGACGTTGTAAGGAAGATGTGTTTGGTTTCTTTCCCAACGAGGTGTCGCGAGTCGTCTTAGCCGTTTGGTTTCGCAGCTGTTTGAGGCGCACGCCACATTGGCCTCGACTAGGACGCTGTTCATGGAACACTCGAAGAGATACATACTGCCAGAGAAGAACTGGCTACCACATAGGAGCTTTTCAACTGAAGTCCCGTTGCTGATTCCGTATATGAAAAAGTCTTTCTTCATGACAGATCTTTGGGTGCCCCCAGATGTATCTGCTGTCATGAGGCTTAAGAGGCTTGTGGAGAGGACTGCATTGACGCGACTTACAGCATCCTCATTATACGATTCCTTCTGTGCTGGCATCGACGTTTACATAAAAGACTGAGCGAGCCTCAGATCAAGTCGTGTTTGTCTCGTGCACAAGCCGTCGAGCGCTCTGTCCCCCAAGCGGCGAAAGAGCCCATAGAACGAGTAGGCCGAGCGTAAGGAAGTTCAAAGAGCGGAGGGTTATCGCGTGTCCCACTGCGGCTACAAGACTCTGGCTGCTAATGGTGTGCTCGAGACCCTACGGAGGGGCCAGCGCGAAGTGAGTTCATGGGAGAGCCATAGTCCGCAATTGACTTCGACTGTTGTCCCTCTCTCCACTTTCCACAGCGCTATCTTCTTCATACTCCTCCCACACAAAGCCGCGAATGCAAGCGGAAAGAGAGTTAGGCTAAGCAATGTCAAGTTTTGAATGCTTTCTCCATAGGGCAAGGTGGGCTTCTCGTCTAGCCTGGACGCCGTGACTTGAAGTGTTCCAGCAAGCGAAATAACTGCTTGGTACGACTTGCGCGCCAGCCAAACGACGAAAGACACACCCCCAGAGCGTTCCGGGTTCGTGAATTCTCGTAGGATTAGCCTCAACCTTCCACTCGAGACTTGATGTGTCGGGTGCCAACGCGCGCGCCTAGGCAAGCCAAGCACACTTTTGGCCCCAAGCGCCAAACTACGAACAAATAATGGCGAATCTCAGGGCACATATGTTGTGCACGTCGTTTGGAGGGCCCCATTTGCAAAACATAGAAGCTCGTCCCACCGTATATGAAATATAAACACTTGCGCCAGAACCTGTCTTTGGGAATAAGTTGACATCTCCTACATATACTCCACCGCTCTCCAACATTGCCGCATAGACTCAATGGAAGTCTTGAAGTAAGTTTGGAATATTTGCATACAATGTACAATCCATTTGGAAAGACGCTTCTGACGTCGCATAGTTTTGCCAGCCCAATCCTTCAAGTTAAAGTCGGCCAAGGCGGCGACGAACAAACCTTTTGGGTCCACCAGAATATCCTGGCGTCGCGATCGGAATTTTTCAAGCGAGCCACCAATGGAAAATGGCTGGAATCCGACGAACGCCTCGTTACATTGCCAGAAGACAAACCAGATATCTTTAGTCTGTACCTTAATCATCTGTACACCAAGCGAATACCGACGAAGGATTTCAGAATACTATGTCAAACCTACGTCCTCGCCGAAGTACTACAAGATATTCAAGCGAAGAATTGCGTCATTGACGCACTGTATGCCCGTTTGGAAGAGAATAAACCAGAGAGGCCTCGATTAGGCGTAAAGTCGGTTACAGAGCTCTATAGCGGTACTCCAGCTGGGAGTAAGGCTCGGAAATTCATTGTGGACTACTTTGCCGACGAAGGTCACGAGAGCTGGCTGCAGAAGGACGAGTCAATGTATCCAACGGATTTCCTGGTAGACCTTGCGTCCAGCTTATTCAGGAAGTGTCCTCTGGCGGGGTGGAAGCACGTACCAACGCTGCTTCAACCAGCATCACACTATCATGAAGTCATTCCTTCAGTTCCAAGTACGACGGAAGCGACTCCCAAGACGACATAAGGCAGGAAGGATAATGCGTCATGGGAAATTTGATGCGCGACCACCATGCGGGATAAGTCGTGATAGGGAAATTGCTCTGCTCGGGCAACTCATACTCCGCGCTATTTGGAGTCGCCTGACTCTGTATATCCGTTTGTGATGGTCTTAGTCCGTTTTGAGGCACTTTTGTATAATGGACTGTATGCTATAGCAGTAGGGCTACTAAATACATGATCCCTACAATGTTTACCTCTAAGTGTGTTAGAAGGGCGACCGATCGCATCTGCAAAGAACGGCACGCTCACCCGGCAACTTTTACATTCGCGCGCCCTCAAGATCCTCAATCTTTGAGTGAGAACACTAATCAAGCGGGACACCGGTTTCACGAAAACGTCCGTCACTTTTTCTCACGCTGTTGTACGGAACGTTGTTGTTTCCGATCGTTGACCGCGCGTTATCGCACAGATGTTAGCGCCCACGTGCTGATAAGATAAGCTCACATTCACATCTCGAACTTTTTCCAACTAACTTTACCTTATCACAATGGCGGCCTACAAGACACCAAGTGGTGTCGATAAGAAACGCAAGTCGAAAAAGAGAAAGTCACGACTCGAAGGTGCGCTCTTCAACATAAAGTGAGATCATCAGTGACTAACCCTCTGGCGCAGTATCGTCTTCAAGCGAAAGTGACAGCGATGTCGAGACACAAAAGAAGAAAGAGCGAACTCCTAGTCCGGTAGAACAAGAGACCCAAGTAAGATTAGCCTGAATGATTGCATAGGACGTCTCAACTTACTGTAAAGAAGGAAACTCCAAAGGCAACCCTCAAGAAAGAAAAGAAGAAACCCAAACCCACACAAGAGCACGATGGCGACGAAATCATGATAGATGCTCTGGCTCAATCTAATATTCCTAAGGCCACCAGCTCAAAAATCCAAACGCCAGCGCAAACTCAAGAGGACTTTGATGCCATTTACCTGCGCAGAATTACCACGGAGCTCGCAGATGATCTCGACAAGGTGCGCGAGGCACAGGATTTCAAGGCGAGTAGTCTGCCTATGTTGATTCATGCGCTGAAGCAGGGTGGGAGTGTGTTTAGTGCGGAGGAGAAGAGGAGGATTGTAGTTGGTGGAGCTGCTGTGTAGTAGCGTTGCGGGCACGAGGAAGAGTACAGTATCAAGACGGGCAAAATAGCATAGCTGGTGTTGTGGAGTTAAGAATTTGAGATTGATTAATTGATTTCCAGGAGATATCTGCGCAGGACATCCAGTCGTGCAACTATAGAGCTGTGTAATGAAGCTTTTGATAACCAGTCCGTGTATGTATTAACCTAAAATTTCCTAAATGCCTTTTTGTATCCTAGACGCCATGCAATGCATATCGTTGTGAAATAGACCTCAATACGCCTCTACCTCCAGGCCTGACCTCCACTCTAGCTCGATCTGCCACGCGAGTAGGTACGGATGCTTGATGATCACCATATCATGAGCTAACTTCATCACCTTGTCCCTCTTCTCGGCTTTCTCGCCCGCCGGTAGGACGAGTAGGGTATCATATGCGCGCCCGAGCAGCTTCTCCTCGTATTGTCTTCGCAGCTCGTCGTCGTTGGTCCAATTGATGATCTCCTCGTATATGCCTTCCAGTGGACTCGTGGCGTAAATCTCGCTCTTGACCGAGTTTGTTGTGCTCTCGAGTGTCGCACCAAGACGAGTCTTACGTTCGTCTATGAGCTTCTTGATCTTCTGCGCTTCCTGCGTTTCGTGGATATCGGCGATGCGCGTGTAGGTCTTGGATGGGTCTGGTAGGCGACCTTCGAGATACGAGTAGATGGATGAGGATGGGAGTTGGGTAGCAAGCGCATGTGCGTACTGTGGCTTTGTGCCGTGACTGCGGGCGTGGTCTACGAGCTTGTCGATTGCGCACTGGCTTCGATAGATGTCGTCGCTGTGCTTGTTAGCCTTCGATCTCTTCTCCTGGGACACTTGCATGCGCATACAGATTCATGTAGATCTCAGCCAGCCTCAGGCCGACCTCGATGTTCTCTTCCACCTTTGATGGTCCTAGGCCCTCGTACATGCTCCTGAGCCCTAACCATGCCTGCGCATCGTCTGGCTTGATCTTGGCCGCGTCGTTATATGCCCTCGCTGCGTCGTCGAACCTGCTAAGACCGTCGTTGGCGCGCCCTAGGAATAGTTGCGCAAAGTAATTGTTAGGGTCTTTCTCGACTACTGTCTTCGCGTGCTCCTTTGCTTCGTCCCATTTCTTGGCGTCGATGGCGGATTTCGCGGCCTTGAGCGCAGTTTTGGTAGACATGATACTAATAGTAGCGGTTAGGTGAGAGGGCTACGAGCCGTCAATACGGCCTGAGTCGGGTTAAGAATGCGCCATTGCACAGTGAACAATGTTTGGCGGGGTTTTGGCGGGTACGTCGACGAGCAAGCCATGACGTTGCGCTAGGTAGCTCTCACTCAGCCCTACGGAAAGACACGAACACCAACATCAAACATTTCCGTCCCCTGCAGTTCGGGCCCCGCCACTTTTTACACGCTTCTTACGCGCTTCTTGCTCTGATTCCTGCCTCGAATAACCGCATTTGCCGCAATTCGTAGCCCAGGAAAGAACTGAGAAGGGTCTTCCGCAGTCATGGCGTCGCACGCCGACAGTGCACACGACTTGTTGGATCTTGACATTTTGACATTACGGCAATTTGTCGACCTTTTTCCGACCGAGGGTCTATCTAAAGTCATCACGGGCTATTTGAGCAGCGGCATATCCAAGTTTCCACTTGCAGAAGATGGAGACACAAGAGATGGGCCAGATCTGAGCGAGGGCGGGGTATCCCTAACTCAAGATGTGCCAGTTTCACAGGAGGACTGCCTGGTGTTGATGACTGCAAGTAGTCGCACATTCGAATATAGTAGATTGTAGTGACTAACAAATCAATAGGAAGGTATAACAGAGGCTGAAAAATCACCACTTGCACATTGCCTACTTGGAGACTACTACCTCTCATTGGAGGAATATGAAAGTGCTGTCGAAAGCACGCGGAGGGGATTAAGATATGCTATGGCTGAGGCCAAGAAAACAGATCTGTCTTTCCAACGGTCCGTCGTCACTTTACCAAATATCGAAACTCGATGCTGATATCCGTAGGACTCGTGATGCTCTAAGCAGCACCCTTGCTACTGCTCTCGTTTACTATCAGACGCCTAGGAACCATCCTGAAGCTAAAAACATCTTTCAGTCGATTCTTAAGCGCAAGCCCCAGTTCACCTCCGCCCTCATCGGTATCGGATTGGTCCTTGAGGAGGAGGAGGAGTATGAGCAAGCCTTTCAATTCCTTGAGCAAGCATTAAAGCAGGATCCTTCAAACGGCCGCATCGGTGCTGAGTCAGCCTGGTGTCAGGCACTCACTGGCGACTACAAAACTGGCTTGAAGAGACTTCAAGAGTACCTGGACTACCCACAACTGGACGCATCGAAGCAGCGCGGTCGAGAACTCCGGGCACAGACACTCTATAGAATAGGTGTCTGTATATGGGAGCTTGACTCCTCGAAGACTGCTCGGAGAGATCGCAATGGCGCGTATACAAAGTTACTCGCAGCAATCAAAGCAAACCCAAACTATGCACCCGCATATACGCTACTCGGCATATATTACGAGGACTATAACAAGGACCGCAGGCGAGCAAGGCAGTGCTTTCAGAAAGCATTCGAACTGTCGCCTTCTGAGATCGTTGCAGCTGAGCGTCTAGCTCGGCTGTTTGCTAATCAAGGCGAATGGGACATTGTCGAAGTTGTCTCGCAACGAGTCGTTGACTCAGGCAAAGCGCGACAGGTTCCTGGTTCAAAGAAGAAAGGTGTTAGCTGGCCATTTTCGGCGCTTGGTGTTGTTCAAATGAACAAGCAAGAGTATCAGAAGAGCGTTGTCTCGTTCTTGTCAGCACTGCGCATTAGCCCAGATGACTACTATTCATATGTTGGTCTCGGTGAAAGCTATCATAACTCCGGACGATACAACTCGGCATCGCGCGCGTTCAACTATGCTGAGAACCCTACGGATGGCGTTGTCCTGATGAGGACTGATGATGAAAGCTGGTTTACAAAATACATGCTGGCCAACGTCAATCGTGAGCTAAGTGAGTTTGATGAGGCTCTCAAGGGTTACGAGGCAGTTTTGCTGGATCGACCAAAGGAGTTTGGTGTCTCGATCGCGCTTCTTCAAACGCTTGTCGAGAAAGGATGGCACTGCGTCGAGACTGGTTTCTTCGGAGAGGCGATAGACAGCGCCGTGCGCGCAATCGAGGTCGCTGCGACTATTACCGAGTACAAGCCTGATGCTTTTAATCTATGGAAGGCTGTGGGTGATGCCTGCAGTCTATTCAGTTGGGTGCAGGACAAGGTCGACCAATTTCCAATCGACAGTATCGAGCAACTGCTTCGCAGCAAGTCGGAGGTAGGTGTTGACTTCGATACGGAAGAGGACCTTGATGGAATTGGAAACGGTGCTCTCGCTTCATTATCCAAAAAAGATGACTTCATCCTAACGAAAGTACTAAAAGCCTCAATCCTTGCCCAAAAGCGAGCGATATCTAGCTGCGCACACGACATTCATGCGCAAGCTGTCGCGTGGTACAACCTCGGCTGGACCGAATATCGCGCCCATGTTTGTCTTGAACAGGAAGGAGATGATGAGAAGAAACTGACCACGTTCCTTCGAGCAGCTATGAGGTGTTTCAAACGCGCAATTGAGCTCGAGGCGGGGAACGCTGAGTTTTGGAACTCACTCGGTGTCATCACTACCACTCTTAGTCCAAAGGTTGCTCAGCATGCTTTCGTCCGCTCCCTCCATCTTAACGAGAGGAGCGTTCATACGTGGACTAACCTCGGTGCGTTATATTTACTCCAGAACGACCTCGAGCTCGCACACACGGCATTCTCGCGCGCGCAATCCCAGGATCCTGACTACTCTCTCGCATGGGTCGGCGAAGGCATAGTTGCACTCGTTACTGGCGACTCTAAAGAAGCGCTGTCTCACTTTACCCATGCTTTTGAGCTGTCAGAGTCGTCTCTACTCCTGACGAAGCGACAGTACGCGGTTTCAGCATTCGACTTTCTCGGATCATCTCCATCGTCGTCGAGCAACATTACGAACCTTATTCAGCCTCTATTCGCTCTTCAGCAGCTTAACCTTCAAGCACCCTATGATCTTTCACACAAGCACCTCGCAGCACTCTACTTGGAGCGTGTTGGTAACTACGACGTGGCCGTGAGCGCGCTACAATCTGTGACCGACACCGTGGAACAGGAGTACGAAAAGTCCGAATCACTGTTGTCGCTTGCTCGTGTTGCGCAAGCTAAGACTGATCTCGCTCGCAATCTGCTTGCTATTGGCTCGAATGAGACAGCAGTAGAGGAAGCCGAAACAGCACTAGATCTACTCTCTGAACTAGATAGTGAAGAAAAGCAGTCCGCATTGTCCGCCGATCAGCTAGCTAACGTCAAGCTATCTGCACGGCTCACCGCAGGTCTAGCACACTATTTCAGCAGCTCCCTAGACGCGGCGATACCGTACTTCCGTACCTCGCTCGAAGCGACAGGCTCTAACCCCGACATCATCTGTCTTCTCGCTGAAGTCCTGTGGGCTAAGGGTGGAGAGAATGAGAAGCAGGTCGCTCGTGACCAACTTTTCACGGCTATCGAGAAGCACGAGGGCCATGTGGGTCTTTTGACTCTCATCGGTGCGATGACGGTCCTCGACGATGACCATGAGACAATGGAAGCTATTCAAGATGATTTGGAGCGTCTACGCACAAACAAGGATCTCAGCGATGAGCAGCTGGCTCGTGTGGAGAAGGTTATTGAAGCCATATCAATCAACTTGGGTGGTGAAGAACAGGAGCTGGATGAAGCGAGGCGCAGTGTCATGCTAGCGCCTTGGAAGCATACAGGATGGGCCGAACTTACGGACGTTACGGGTGGTAATGTGTTCGCTAGCACGCTTGCAAAGGAGACAGCAATGAGGAATGCTCCGCCGAATGGTGCACTAGATGCCGTCAGTCTTGCTGGTGCAATGGCGGCTACTAATTTTGTTGGCGACGCTCAAAGAGCAATTGTTCTGGCGCCTTGGTGTAAGGTTGGATGGAGTGCCCTAGTAGATTGCATCTAGGATTCTTGAGAATATGTCGTCTAAAGCTCGCCAGTCCTCTCCCAGAGGCGGTGTTACACCCTGCTAAGAGGACCGACTGAAGAGCGTAAAAGAGAACAGAGGGAAAAGCGATGCACATGTACTATAGGACTTTTATCACCAAGTATGCTTTACAAATAACACTAATATCCAACTATGTCTATGGAAAAGCTTGTCTCAACAGAAACTTACTCTAATCCCTCCACTCCTTCGGCATCTTTTTCGCTTCCCGGAGCAACTCGTAGATTTTATATGATGAAAATCACATTGTCTTTATTGCATAAAAGCTAAACAGCATGTAGTCCAGCTACCTTTGCGACCGCTTGCTCTACATCCTCCCCCACCAGTTGTGTTGCATGCTTATTTTAGTTTTATCATGCGGAATTGAATGAATATCATCCCAAACTACTCATACGTCTGTCTCAAATGTGTGTGCTCACCCTTGAGTCTTTGTTGTACCTTGTGGTGGTCACGTTCGTGATAAATTCTGTCGGTGCTTTTCAATCTATCACATACCCCGACTTATTTGATGCTTGATCATCATTCAAGACATGATTACTGATCTACCGTCGCAAATGATTGTCCGAATCGTACCCTTGGTATTGTTGGGATCAGACTCTTTGTGCAGAGTGTCATGGGATCGACCGGACTCAAAGACGGCGCAGCGTACTCGTACGCCAGTGGTGAAACTAACAAGCATTTAGAGCTAGTCAACAAGATTTATGTTTTAAAGATGTATAAAACCTTTGTGGGTAGTATGGCAGGTCATCGCTGTAGTATCTTGTGTTCGGGTCGCTTTTGGCTTCGTAGAGAAGCACGTTGTTTTGAGCAAAGAGAACGTAACGGAGTTTGGGATCAAGCATGGAGTTAAAAAGACCAAAAATGTCGAGAGGATATAGTCGAAACAACAAGAAGCAAACGCTAATGCGATGAAAAAGAAACAACGCGATATTAATAATCTTACACACTGGTCAACACCCGAGATTTCTCACAGAAAGTTTCAGACGATAAAGACGAATTGGCGAATATTTACGCTCACATTAATACCATTGCAAGCAGAAAGAGTAGTCCTACCGTGATCAACGCCGATCTTTGTACTGTCCCAGATGCCACTCCTGCCGTGTACTCTGGCCCTGAATAGCTCGTACACGTCGCGCTGCCGTTCCATATTCTTCCTGTTCCGTTGCTGAACGGATACCGGTAAGATTGTATGCTTCGAGACATAGTCGTGGTATGTATAGAAAGATTTGACGCACTTAACGTGAAACCTGGCCCTCTAGTCTTGTCGAAGATATTCGGATCGCCTGGAGATATGGACGGATCGCCTCGCACCGCTGTTTCTGATGGTCCCTCGGATTCTATCGTATCCGTGATACCAGCACCCCAAGATCTGTTTAAATCTGTGGTTCTGAGTGGATCAGACGACGTGGCTACCGTAAGAATCGTTATGGTCATGGTCATTGAAGACTCTGTAGTGACTAGGCTTGAGGTAATCGAAGTCGACGTTGCCGATATACTGGACGACGATCGCGATGTTACAATGCTGCTGACTTTACATGTTCCGTCGATATTATCAAGTAACGGCTTTGGGGGCATGCTGCTGCAAGAAGTGTCGGTGCAGGATTCTGAGAATGATCGAAATGTACGGCAAGTGCAGGCACCTAGACTTTGTGAGTTTTGCTGCCCCGTTGTTTGATACAAAAGTTGAAATACTTACACTTAAAGTCCAGGATCTTGCAGTTGCATGTTGCAAATGCAGATGTAAGACAGGCTTGCTAAACAATTCTATCAGTTAAGTTGTGCTAGAGGTGTGTCAAGCATGGGACTCACAGCACAGACTGGAAGCTTCCCTAACTGCTCTCTGGGATCCTGAGCTGCGACTTCCTCGGTCGCAAACGCTAGAAAGGCTATTATCGTTAACGTAGATTGTGCTCTCATGTCGATGGATATTGTGCAAAAAAAACCCGTTTAAGTCGAAGGATGGCTATTCTACATACCACAAGACGGCGAGGTTTTGAGCCGCACAGCTACTCTCGTTCCCTCCTGCACCGAGCCACATCCTGGCGCGTACCGTGGACTCCAGCAGGGCTCAGACTTAGAGCTGAATGCTCAACGAGCACCTCGCTTCTGTGCACGGGGGGCAGGAGAACGCCCGCTGCAGCATAAAAATAGGTCGCCGGAAATGGACGGCGATGCGCTTGTACACTGTATTGATAGGTTAGTAGTCTCCACGTTGCATTGTATCCTTGTAAAATCTGGCGTGATAGTCGCCGTTCAGCAAAAAGGAGGATTAGGTATCCGATTTTCAGCCTCGTGCTTTACAACTCAACTCAGCCTTGTCATGTACAGTACAATCCCAATTCCACTCCGTGTATCATATAAAATCGAATCAACATTGGCGTAGCTTCCCTTTAATAAAGACATGTCATGGGGGCTTTCGCTGAAACAAAAGTGTTGACAATGCCTCATATTGTCTTTTAGCACGATGAACTGTGGTTTTAGGGGCTACCCGATTTATTCCCGCTACCTTCGCTAAACCCTAGTAGCGTAACATTTACAATGGCTTGTAATGCTCGCTCCAGTAGTACTTTGAATAGAACCTCTCCACTCCTCAAGCTGCGATCACGATCAGCAGGCCTCTCTAGTCCTTCATTCTGACACAACCTAGCCGCTCATAGGTCTCATAGGTCACATGCGTGGTCGAATAGATTTGTCATTGCTTTTGCCTTCCCCATTCCTGATGGCGCTACGCTGGCAGTGGGGGCTGGGGCGAGTGCGACCTTTTGTTAATGAAGTATCTGCCAGCTGTGGGAATTCCTGACGAGAAGCTATCTTCGTGCATATGCTGCCCTAAAGAAGAAGCTCACCCATTCCCTCAGGTTCCTAACATACTCCAGCCGATCGATCGCTTTTTTTCACTTTCTTGTGGAATTATGGCAAGAATAATCACTCCACTTACAGTTGTTACTTTTTTGCTAGCCCCGGTTTTTTATTTGCCAGTCTCAGCTATCGCCCAATGTGGCTCGCTCATTACATACAGACAGCATGCCGACCTGCTCAACTCCGCACCACCATGTCTTCGTGAGGGTTGCTCCCAAGGACAGGGCAACATCACAATTTCGGCGCCATGTCCTTCCACGTCTTCATGTTCCGTGTACTGGAACATGTTTGTCGAGCAATTTGATCAAAAGAATTCTTGGTGCTCGAAATGTAACTCAGACACCGCATGTCGCATTCCCGGGTGGCCAGTGATGAACGCCACCAGCCTATGCCAAAGTACACCAAACCAACTCCTTTTCGGTGAGGAGGGTTGTTGCATCCACGGAACCGAACCATTTGAGCTGGCTGAGTGGACTGGGATATTCTGCAATGGATCTGAATGGCGGCAAGAGTTTGACATATGCGGCGGTATGGCATGTCGTGACTGGGAGGAATGGATAATGCCCTGGAATTGGACTGTACAGAACAACACACTTCCTCCAGATCAGCAGAAATGCACAACCCCTTCTAGATATCTCGCAATCTATGCTGGAGAACATTTCTTCTGGTTACTTGCCACATTTGGGATCGGATGGATCAGATTGAGAATCGCCCAAAGAGAGGAAGCAAAAAACCGAAGTATTTTGCGATATCTCCTCTTGTACGCCTGGCCAGGTCTTGTATTCAAGCAGAGTAAAGAAAAGGTGCTGAAAGAGAAACTACTACCGGAGGGTGAGCACTTAAGACCAGCTATTACGGATCGTTTACGATGGGGTTTCCCAGTTATAATGGGAGTCGTACTTGCTGGTATACAGCTAGGATTCAACTTCACAGCTGCACATTTCATCAAAAGCGCGCCTGGATACGAAGATGCTCCGCTTACTCTCTTGGCATTACTGTTCTGCTGTCGGCCTAGACTATCTTGGCTATCATGTCTCCTCGCTTTGATATCTAAGAAACGACTCATCAAGATCTTCGGATTTGAGCCTGACGGCGATGGCCTTTGGGCCGCAAAGCTGGTTCTCTCCTCCGTTGCCGTGACTTCCGCGGTCACTGAAGCTATTATGCAACTACTCGGCGCATACTTTCTTGGATCTGCGGCCCACGTCGGTGAACAAAGGGGCTTCTACGTTGTTCACCACCTTCGACCAAAGATGGGGGGCAGAGATGCACGTCATATGTATCTTGGGGCTCTATTTTGGGTCATGTTATGTATTCCTCTTGTGGTGGTGTGGTTCTTCGTTGCACTCTTCTTCAGTCAAGTGTACGACGCGGTTGCCGGCTGGCGTCGCGGAATTTTTCACTTCCTTAAGCCTAAATCGAGAAAAATTCCCGACCTGGCAAAGGCGCCGGTGACATGGCTCTTGGACTACATCAATCCAGATGAAACAAGCCGCAGCAGCTCTTCATCGTCACAATCGAATATGCATCACCACCATATTTTGAATGAGACAGAGCAGCCGTTTCTCGTTGCATCCAATGACCCGTTTAATCAACCCATTGCGTATCAAGGGCCAGGTTCCGGCGATTTGTTTGATGAGCAACCCATGGCCATAGCCGGAAGACAAAGCAGCAGGCGTAGTCGTTATTCTCATATGTCTCAATATGAACAGCAGCCTTTTGCCATTCCTGATATGGCGTCTGGGAGCCGTCGTCCTGCGTCCCTAGGCTACTCGCACGATGGGTCGGCCATTCAACGCCGTACTCCCGGTGGAGCTCAGTATAACGAGTTATCACAGAGTGATGAACTCGACGAGATTCAAATTGACGAACAACCTTTAGCAGTATCTAGCACATCACCTCCTCAACGTCAAGTGGCAATACCCAGTCGTCGTAATGCGAGTAACGCCTCGCTCCTTGCTCCCCCTACACAAGACGCACCGCCATTGTCAAGCAGCAATAGCTCTTCGAATAAACGCTCAGACTATACAACGGTTGTCAACTTGAAATGGCAGTCCTGGGAATCTAAAATCATATTCGCGGGTGCGTTCTTGGGTATGCTGGCATATGCTAGTCAGTGGGTCTTTTGGGATGGGTTTGTCAAGGCATCCGGGGACAGATTTTGCCCGCCCAGTGTCTGGAAAGTCAGTGGTATTTGGTGGGGTGGTTCGTTCGTGTGTAAGTTTCAGAGTTAATGTGAACGTTGCCTCACTAACATTTCTGTAGATGTCGGTGCTCCTTTTATGGCATATTGATTGATTCGCAAACATGAAGTTTAAGTAGGAAGGGCGTTAGGCGTTACACTATGCATCTCCAATAGCTAGGAAATGTACCAATATATATGGGTTCCAGTGGGATATCTCGCTTCTACGCTGCACAGTATCCCTGCCCTGCCGCTTGTTGAATGACTACCTAATCAACACGGCGCCTTGTGACCAGTAAACCCCCATACCTATGACTACTATCATTCTTGTTTCTATGTAGCCTGTTCTTGCGATGGTATGATATATGTTTGACTAACCCCGCCGTCTAGTGGCTAGATTCTCCCTAACCATAACCTTCGCCTTACTCAGCACATGTCGCGCAGAGTACCCCTCGCCATATTGATTACCTGCTCTAAAAAGAGCAGGCCGAATCATAAGCTCAACACATGGTTCCGCAAATCGTGTCTGACCATTTTTCACATGATCTAAGTCATTTGTCATTTCCATAGCATCGTTATCAAATGGGAAACCACTCAGCTGGTCAAACCCCCGCTGCTCGCAGAAGATCCAAGCTCTCTGTTGGGATAATTCTGAATCCAGCTCTATTGCAGTATGTAGAATAGTATGGAGTTGCTTTTGGATATCTTGATCAACAGCTGGACGCTGGTGGTCTTGGATGAGTGGTGATACAGTCTTCATTATATCCGTGATTATATCGGCTATGATGAAACTTATACTGCTCGTCCTTCGCTGCAAAGAATCTTTCTGTGATAGCATGATAGAGGTCGTGGCGCGCCACTTGTGGTAACTTTGTGTTTCGAGTTCCAGCCTCTTCAGATCCCTAGATTCCTCATGTGACTGGCCTCTGGACTCTAAAGGTCGAAGTTCGTTTTGCAGACTGTAGAGCGGCTCGCGTGTCTGGCCGGCCCACAGAAGACCCCCCTCGGAAGAACTCTTATGATTGAAAACAGAGTTCGTCAAGGTCCACCAAATGAATGCTTGGACGATAAGCGGCCGTTGGGTGTTTGAGCCAGTGTATTGTGCATGCTCCCGAGTAAGACGCTTGAGGTTCTCGCTTGCCTGGGAATCCGAATTCTCTGTTAGAGAACCCTTTGCACGGCTTATTATGGAGCCAAAAACTTTGGTTGGGCGGCCAACAAAGTACAAATGGGATAGGTTCTCGATTTTGGCGTGTAGGTCGTCCCATTGCGCAAGTAACCATTTGTCGTCCACCTTGTTCCTCACCTCTGACCTTGTCTGCAGCAGCTCCTGGTTGACCTTCTCGAACTGCTTTTGCCAACTCAATATTTCGGCTTTGAGTTTTGTATTTTCTTCATCTACGATGGTAACGTTGGCGGAAGCATTGTCATGAGCATGTCTCAAGTCACTTAGTTGGATTTCCAGATTTCTTATGCACATCTCTTTGACTTGCAGAGCCTGATCGCTGGCTTTCTGTAGGTTATCCAGTGAGACGTCAGGCATCCCGACCTCTGGCGGCTTTCTCTTGAAAACGTTAGTCGGTTGTTGCACTGGCTTCCTTTGTTGCTGCAAACTGACAGTCATAGCCTGAGAGGTTTCCTGCCACATCGAGTTTTGATCTTGCAATACTGGCTCCGGTATTCCTTGTGTCAAATACCGTACGTCATCTCTCATGTTGGCATTATGACCTTGGGGTCCAGATACATGATTGGAGTATGGAACTGCAGGTGGAACGACCGTGTGGCCAGGTATCGATGAGCTGGTGGTTGATGGAGGTATTCTGGCAGAAGAAGAGTATAATTTGGGGCTCGGGATGCCATTCCCTATTGGTCTTGTCGACTGCTTGCATTGAGCGGTCGCATCGTGTGGTGGAGGAATCGGAGGCACACCCTCACCATCAACGTCCGGTATCGAATCTATGCTCAACCCTCTCTCTAGCTCTCGTCTCTCATTTCGCACCCTTTCAAGTGCGAGCGCATCGTCGGCTTTTTTCTTGCTGTTGGGTGTAGGAGGTGTTTGCCGTTTACCGGATGTCGAATCTCTTCTATTTCCATGCGCTTTTGACGAGTAATGCTGTGCATGAGGACGTTCTACCTCTAAAGAATTCTCGTTTGGAATTTTTGGAACTGGTTTGGAATTGAGGGTCGAGCTCTGGGCCCATGGCTTCTTCTTCAGATAATTCTTTAATTTGTTTTCTTGCGCATGAACACCAGCCGTGTTCTCGATCATTTTTCTCGGCGACATTGCCCACTTAAAGCCGACGGAACTTGTAAAGATATTTGATGCTATTTGGGGGGTGGCAAAGGCTTTGTAGATCAGATTAGAGAATGCGGGAAAGTTTTGACATGACAAGAAAGTTGTGCTTCGTTGAGAGCTCCGCCCCAATTCGCTGGACCAGCTACTTAACTTGAGGCATCCACGTTCGCTATAAGATACAAAGCCGACGACCTGACCTAGGGAAAGACGCATTGAAATCCGTTTCTGACACGCAGTGGGGGCGAAGTCCACGTAGAGAAAGGTTCGAAATTGTACTGGGCCGCAATCTGGCCACGTACGTTCAGCTGTGTCAGTCCACCGGTCTCGAATTATGCAAGTTAGCCTGCTTTACGCGCCCTCTGGAGTTTGGTGGCCAGGCTGAGTCGGAAGTGTGCATCTATTGATGCAGGCCGTCTTGGCGTGTGGCTGCATTAGGCGCCCCATCAGTCTGAACTGGCATGCAATAGAGAGCATTTGAGGGTTCCAAAGTTACTTCGGGAATTATGGGATCGCAGATATCCAATGATACACGTATGACCCACATCTAGACCCATCCTTCAGCTTTTGGGGCGACTCTGATATATGTTCATGCAAAGTAAGCACGACTACGGTATACTCTACGTTGACTCTTACCATTTTGCGAAGCACTTTCTGGTGAAGTCAACCCTCGCTAGAATCTCAGTTGTCATGGCGAACAGTTACCTCTTTCCCGACAATGCACGAACCCAGGCGACCGTTAAAGGAGATTACCAGAACCAGCCGCTGGAGTTCTATGGAACACCCCCTCCCCCACCAATGCCAGTAGAATTACCACCGAGCCCACCATCTCCACACTTTGATATTCCCTCTCGGAGACCACCGCCATATGCACTTGGTGCACCTGCTCGTTCCTCTAATTCCCGGTACCCCTCAGTTGCCTTGCCGCAGTCTCCTCACTCTTCACATACATCTTACAGTGCGATAGATCTCGATCGGCGCCATATCAACATTGGCATCGATTTTGGTACAACGTATGTATCAGTCTAGCGTGTATGTTCAGGGGCTAACAGGCCGCCAGGTATTCTGGTGTTTCTTGGGCGATCTCGGGCACTCACTATAACGATGTTAACACGGTTGACAATTGGCCAAATGGCGACCACCATGTCAAAGTCCCTACAGAGATAACTTATGACAAAGGAGTGGTGCAATGGGGATACTCTATCCCGCCAGATGCCGAACGGCTGAGCTGGTTCAAGCTCCTGCTTGCGGAAAACAAACTTCCGCCAAAAGTCCGCGAATCCAAACAACTTCAGTCCACAAAGAAACTTTTGCAGAAGCTGAACAAAACTGAAGTGGACGTGACCTCGGACTACTTGCAAAGGCTATGGCTATGCGCACTTGAGGATATAAGGCGACAGATCCCGAATAGTATTGACGGTATGCCGTTCCGGATCATCTTAAGTGTGCCAGCAAAGTGGCCAAAAGAAGCGCGAGACAAAATGCATAGCGCAGCACAAAAGGCTGGACTTCTGAGTCGCCAAGGTGGAGGTCTAGAAACCAAGCTGGAGTTTGTGGGAGAGCCAGAAGCTGCCGCCATAGCCGCCTTTTTCGAGGGCAATGTCCGCCACAACATCAAGGTAGGCCTGCGCTCAATTCGAAAAAGTGTCAGGGCTGATTGAATGTAGGTTGGAGATATCGTCGTCATATGTGATGCAGGTGGCGGTACCGTTGTAAGTCTAATACACTAAATCCTCAGCTGATAACGACTCACCTAGCGTTAGGATATCGTTACGTACGAGGTAGATCAAGTAGAACCTTCTATCAATCTCGGCGAATGTATTGGCGGTGACAGTAAGTACTACTACCAATCTTGAATTAATATCAGCTCATGCTCTCTTATAGTGGACTTATGCGGCTCAATCTTTCTTGACGAAGGCTTCGTTAAACACATAGAAGGGCTGATTGGGAAAGAAAAAGTCTCGAAATTGCCCAAAGAGACTTACCGTCGCCTTGTGAAAGCCTGGGATCAGTCCATCAAATGCCAATTTGACAACGACACGCCCGAAATCGCCACCCCGATTCCCCACGAAGTAGCAAAAGCGATCAAGTCTCCGCTTTTAAGATTCAAAAAGGGTAATGGAAGTAAACATCTTACAGGGGATACAATGCGGTTCAGCTCGTTAGTCCAACCATCAATTAAACTTACGCAGATTATATGCTGATACATTCATCAAGGGACGTTATCAAAAGCATCTTTGATCCGGTGTTGGAGAGAATCCTCTTACTAGTAAACACGCAGAGGAACGGAACGATGAAAGATAAACAAAGAAAACCCAGGGCAATCCTTCTAGTGGGTGGTCTAGGCAGCAACAAGTTTCTGTATCAACGGCTGCAAGCGGAATTCCCAGCAGGAGACACCGATGTGATACAGCCACGAGGTGCAAAAACGTATGTCCAACACGTACCTTGTAGAACTATAGACCGAATTTGCTAACCACATCAGATGGGCATCGATCTGCCGCGGAGCCGCGATCAAGGGGATGACGTACGACGATTTCATTGACCAGCCATTCCCCGTCGTGACCTCGTACATATCAAAAGCTCACTATGGCATGATGATCAAAGAGCCATTCGACAGCTCTAAGCACGCACAGGAGGACAGGAGAATATGCCCGGTACGGCATATGGATGTGGTGCTCGACCAGATGCGGTGGTACGTCAAAAAGGTATAGCTCTTAATGACTTCTGTATTCATCCCCGGTACTAAACTCCGTCAGGGTGTTGATGTGTCGAGAATAGACCCAGTGTCGTTGTCGTGGGAATTGACCCAACCGGAGAACCTCCCACGGTCGTCTTTTACTATCAAAATATTCGAGTCTGAGGCTAACACTGCACCGACCCGGAAAACAAATGAGGTCCACGAGTGCGCTACTATCACATTCCCTGTGCGGTGGAACAGCTTAGAGGTCAGAGATGGCGGTGAAGGGCAGCGCTACAAGTACGTGCACTTCGATGTGAAAATGACCATTCTGGGCCTTGGGAAGCTTGACTTTGCGACTTATGTGGACGGAAGGCGGGTTGCGCAGAAAGATGTAAAGGTCAAGCTTGGGGGCGGATAATGGCTCGCTGGGATCTGATTGCCCGTCGTCGTGAACACGAAACAATTGATAGCCGATATGCCATACGTAACAGGCGAAATTGTATAATTATAGGTGTCAAGTATTATCGCAGTAAAGACGCGCAAAGTGACGCTGCGGGATCCTTATGAAGTGTGGAGATGGCAGAGCCGTCTCCACACTTCGTGAGAGCGTCACATCCCAGCCGGCCATGCCCCTCGCTGCGTTGATGACAAAGCAAGGTCTTTAACCCCCGAGTTTAACTCTCATCAAGTAGAATTGGACACAAACCATAAGTGCTGCATACATTCGACATCTATTACGAAGAGATGATCTGGATTTTGCATACCTCCACATCCCTGCTCACTCGCTAACTTGGAAGCCTCTATACTATGATATGTGAGGAAAAATAGGATTCAAGAATAGTTAAAGAATTTCTAAAGGAGAATGAGGAGTTAATTAGATAAGCAAACTATAGGAGGGACTGGCTACTATATATATAGAGGTGGCTAGTAGTCACATAATCTAGTTCTTAATAAAGAACAGTCCTGTAGTCTTTAAAAGTTCTGCAGGAAGCTTAGAAGGGGTTTGGGAGTTGATCAATATCTCCGTATCTAATATCTACTTAGAGATTAACACGTATGCCTTTTTAAGACAAAAACATAGCTCCTCCAACACTGTCAATGGTTTTTTTTTTTTTTTTTAGATAATTTCGAGTTAAGAAGATGGGAGTTTAGGGAGAATTATTGATTGCTAAAGGAAGGCATTCAGAGCACGAGGCCAAAGACATGATATCATATACAATCGAAACATGATTGAAAAAAACGCCTGCCGGGACAATGCGTCTACACCAAGCCTATAGTACGCCGCCCCAATAACACCAATAGCCACTAGTCGTAATGGGAAATGAGAAAAGGGATGAAAAGTATCTCAGAACTTAAAAGCCAGGGAAGCCTTGAAATCCGCCACCGCCCTGTTGGAATTTGAAGCTGCCACCGGGGAAGCCGCCTTGCTTGAACATGAACTGCTGACCACCACCACCGAACGGTGAGCCTTGGAACGGATTGCCTTGTTGTTCGTTGCTGTTTGGATCATCGCCTCTGTCGAATCTCTCCTTCAACTCTGGATCTGAGAGGACTTCATATGCTTCATTGACGGAGGCCATTTTCTTCTGAGCGTCCTCGGGCGTGATGTTTTGGGCAGAAGCTTTGTCCGGGTGGTATATTTTGCTCAGCTTGCGATATGCTTTCTTGATCTCACGCTCATTGGCGTCGCGATCCACGCCGAGGACTTTGTAATAGTCCTTTGTTTTTGAGCGTTTGAGGAGCGTGTGGGCTTTTTGGTGGAGTTCTTCGAGCTTTTGGTGCTGGTGGTGTTCCTTTGCGTGTTCGAGCGTTCGGACGCAGTCCTCAAATTCATCGGCATCGAGTTGTCGTTGCGCCTTGTGTAGGAGTCCGTGCAGTGAGTTTGGATTTAGATGGAGCGCTTCAGTGCAATATGGGGTTCCCTTCTTGAGGTTATTCATCTCTACGTAGGCTTCGCAGGTCATTTCGACCAGGTTCTGATATAAGCCTTGTGGCGAGTTCTTGTAGATGTATCCTGACTCGATGTAGTCTTGGAAGTCCTGCTTGACTTCCTTGAGGAGGCCCGGGTTTTCTTCGCCGCGATCGATGAGGAGTTTCGAGGCCGTGGCGAATTGGCGCCTTTCGAAGAAGGAGCGCACTTTCTTGAGGTCCTTTTCGAGGTTCTTCTCCCGTCGGCGGAGCTTCATGCAGGCTTTGGAGTCGGGGTCTGACTGCAGACATTGTGCGATGTGCTTCAGTCCCTTCTCGGTTTCGCCCAAGGAGTAAAAGGCCATGGCTGAACTCTGGAGGTGGGGTTCGATGTCGCCTGTGTTGATCTGGAGAAGGTGCTGGAGATCGCTGATGCCCTCGACCACCTCGCCCTTCTCAAAGCGACACCTGGCCCTGGTCTTGCGGATGTCGTATGCGGCACCAGCTACTACAATGGCGGTCCCTGCATGGCTAACGCATGACTCCCAGTCGCCCTTGTCTGCGGCCTCTTGGGCCAGAACAGCCGCACCTTGTGCCTCCTCTAGCTGCGCGATGTCATCAACCTTGCCCGCGGCCTCGTAGTCGCTGCGCGCTGCTGTCCAGTCGGCTTTTCTAGCTCTTATCTTCGCCCTCTGCACTAGCGCACCCTCGAATCCGGGCTTGAGCTCTAGCACCTTGTCGAAGTCGTGCTGCGCCTGCACCGTCTTTCCGAGCGAGAGGTAGGCGGCACCGCGTCGGAAAAAGGTGAGGTAGTTGCGCGGGTCGCGCGAGATGGCCACGTCGAAGTAGGTGAGGGCATCCAGCGCGTTGCCCGTTGCCAGCTTCACACTGGCATCCTTGATGAGCTGCGACACAGGCGTGTCCGCTGGTATGTCCGAGGGAGAGAGTGCGCTCACGAGGGGGCCTGTAGAGAGCAGCCCGAGGGCGATGGATGATAGCCGGAGGATCATGTTGTACTATTGTAGTGATGTATCTATAATGAGTGGCTGTAGGTTGGTTGTGCAAACGCCAAAGGGAGGGCGAGGCGGGCGAGAATTGTCAGGACATGGAAGGTGTGGGCGTCGAGTTTATATTTGGTCTTCTGAAGTTGATAAGTGAAAGTTGTCCTTTCAGCCACCCTTCTCCAACGATAGCGGCGCAGGGACCCTGGCGCGCGTATGCACCCCATCACGCTACATATGACGCTAGGCTGTCATGACATACCTCCACCCGGGCATCCATGAGCTACTAAACAGGCCATGCTCCCTGCTCTCTAGTCGGACTTTTTCTTTCCTTACTCTTCCACAGATATGTCGACTGTTAGATTGCGAATAGACGGAAACACCTTTCGAGACAAGGATTCCCGAGAGGTTATCCTTCACGGCATCAACTGTGCTGCCGACGCAAAGTTCCCTGCGACTCCCAACCAGCCCTCACAGATTGCCGAGAACTTCTTCGACGGCGACAACGTCTCGTTCGTAAATCGACCTTTCTCTGTACAAGATGCTGCGACACACTTCTCACGGCTACGGAGTTGGGGATACAACACCATACGATACGTCTTCACCTGGGAGGCGATAGAGCATGCGGGACCCGGCAAGTATGATGAAGAGTGGATCGACCACACAATTGCCGTACTACGAAAGGCGAAGGACTATGGCTTCTATATTTTCATGGATCCTCATCAGGACGTGGTAGGTATGCCCTCCAGTCCGGCGCATTACTTCCAATCTCATACATCTTGCAGTGGTCGCGATTCTCTGGAGGCTCAGGAGCGCCAATGTGGACTCTCTACGCCTGCGGACTGGATCCAGAGTACTTCGCCGTGACCGAAGCCGCCCTCGTACAAAACACATACCCCGATCCGGCCACCTTTCCTAAGATGATCTGGGCAACCAACTACACGCGATTGGTCTGCCAGGTCATGTTCACCCTCTTTTTCGGTGGCAACGACTTTGCGCCAAAGGCCATCATCGACGGCAAGAACATTCAAGACTATCTGCAGGACCACTATATCGGAGCATGCGAGCATCTTGCGAAACGCATAAACCAGGCCGGTGACCTATGGCACGACCCAATAGTCGGATGGGAGAGCATGAACGAACCCAACAGAGGCTTGATCAGCTTCCAGGACATTACTTCAATACCGAGCGAACAGAAGCTCCAGAAGGGCACCTCGCCGACGGCTTGGCAGGCAATTCTTACCGGATCGGGTAGAGCTTGCGAGATCCCAACTTGGGAATTTGGTGGCATGGGCCCGTACAAGAGTGGCACCGCACTCATTGATCCAGAAGGCAAGACGGCGTGGCTGTCTCCAGACTACGACGACACCAAATACGGCTGGAAGCGTGACCCTGGGTGGCAACTGGGCGAGTGTTTATGGGCGCAGCACGGGGTATGGGACCCAGCTACAGATACCTGCCTAAGGAAGGACTACTTTGGAAAAGACCCCAAGAATGGTGCGACAATCAGCTATGAGTACTTTACAAACCACTACTGGCTACCACATTATCGCCAGTACACCAAGATGGTCAAGTCCATCTTCCCAGACTCGTTGATGTTCTTTCAGCCTCCAGTCTTGGAGATACCTCCGACGATCAAGGGGACCGAGGATGATGATCCGAACATGATCTTCTCACCACATTATTACGACGGTATCACCCTTATGACCAAGAAATGGAACCGGGTATGGAACGTTGACGTCTTTGGTGTTCTACGAGGAAAGTACTTGACACCAGCATTTGCCATAAAAATCGGCGAGAACGCTATTAGAAACTGCTTTGCGCATCAGCTCAAGGCGATACGCGATGAAGGTACAGAGTTCACGGGGGTCCACCCCTGCGTCTTCACCGAGATTGGCATCCCCTACGACATGGACGACAAGTACGCATACAAGACGGGCAATTACAGTAGCCAGATTGCAGCGTTAGATGCCAACCATTTCGCGCTTGAGGAAAGTGCGGCTAATGGCTTTGCGTTGTGGACTTACGTCGCCACGGTGAGTCAAGACGTCGATTATTAAAGATGGGAACTAAAAGATTTTCAGAACACACATTACTGGGGCGACCAATGGAATGGTGAAGACCTGTCCATATTCTCGTTGGACGACAAAGCAGTACCAGCAGGCGCCTTCTCACCCGCCGACTCGCGTGCCTCGCTCGATGTAGACTCACCATCGTTTTCAAGGGCGCAATCGACGGACACGCTCAGCATCAGTCCTTCTAACTTGCAGAAAACAGTGACGGAAGAGGGAATGGTCTCAAACAGAAGAGATGATGAAGTTCGCGGTCTTCGTGCAGCCGAAGCCTTTATTCGACCCGCACCTGTCGCTGTCCATGGTGACATAACATCTTATGGCTTCGACTTGAAAAACTGCACGTTCAGGCTCGCGCTTTCGGCACCGAGCTCGACAGCAGAGGGTACGCCGACGATTTGCTATCTTCCAGAATTCCACTTTCCATCGGGGCAGACGAATGTCGAAGTCAGCGGCGGGAAATGGACCATCAGTTCGGATGAAAGCAATGGGGCATGGCAGCAGATACTGCGATGGTGGCACGCCGAGGGAGAGCAGACCATTACCGTGAAAGGTGTAGCACGCAAATCAGGCAGCGCCGTAGGCACAGAAGAGGACGAGGGGTACCTGCAGCAGTGTCAAAAGCAGGCTTGCGCTGTCATGTAAGGCGACGAGGTTTGACCATGTTGAGCGTGGTGTTGAGCGTGGTGTTGAGCGTGGTGTTGAGCGTGTGGACTTGATGTGGCTTATGCACAGGGATGCAATGTCAGCCGATGCTCAGCTCACGCAGTCAGCATTTTTGGCGGCGCTTCTTATTTGTTTCTAGAAGCCCGGCCACGTACCTGACCATGTCGTGAACTCGGGACGATGCGGCGGCGAGCATGTTGAGGAGCACAGTATGGAGTGTATATAGTAGCCATTTGCAGGCGTTTCTCAACGTAGGCCTGATCGTCATGGCCGGCAGCCGAGCAGCTGACACCGCGTCCCTGGAACGCGCTGCGACACTGCGCGAGGACGGCAGCGTACTAGAGCGCGTTTGTGGTACCTGAGGCGTAAATAACGAATATTCGGACATGTTCCCTAGTTGAAAGACACAAGTGCACCATATTTTGACAGCTGAGAGTCAGTGATCTTGCGCTTGCACGCTCCACCGCCGGTCTTTGGTGCAAGACAGACATCGGGCGCCAAACTTCTCGACCCATAACCTTGTCCCTCCACCCATTCCCGCTTGCGGTCATTCACGCCCAAAATTTCCACGAACTCACAGCAAGCAGGCACCCAACGGCTCAACGAATTGGCATCTCGACTTTCAGCGCGCGAATAGTTTCCCTAGTTTCAGGCTTCCAGGCCCAGGCTCCAGAAGCCGCCTCCATCATGGACGCTGGGCGAGACAAACCCCCGCAAACAGCCTTCACAAATGGCGGCGGCGACGTGCAGCATCAACAGCTGAACGGCAACACACACTCGGACCTTTCGCAAGTTTTGGAAGCACTACAAGCCATATACGCGACCCACTCGAGCAACGACACCCGCCGACAGGCGACGGAATATCTCGAGCAAGCAAAACGTCACCCCGAAGCTCCCTCGCATGGACACACGCTCGCCCTCGACCGCTCACAGCCCGCACAACTTCGCCACTATGGCCTCACAATGCTCGAGTACTCGATCAAATACAGCTGGGAAGACTTTACCCTCGAGCAAGGGACGGCGCTTCGAGGCTATGTGATTGAGCTGGCACAAAACACCTCAGAGAATGACCCGGTATATTTGAGGAACAAAGTCGCGCAGCTTTGGACAGAAATCGCGAAGCGAAGCTGGGCCGCCGAATGGCTAAACATGGATGAGCAGCTCGTCTCCCTCTGGACGAGCTCTTTACACCACCAAGCTATCGTTCTGTATGTCTTGGAAACGCTCTCTGAGGAAGTCTTCAACCGCGAGGATGCCACGGCGGGCCTGCGAGGCAGCGACCTAGGACGCGCATGTGTCGACATCTTCACACCCATGGTGGTACTACACGAGCAGCTTCCCACAAGAGATAAAAGCTTGGAGGTACGGTGTGGGGAACAAGGGTGGCTAACAAGACTATGCGATAATCTGGGCTGGTGTCTAGGACAGGACTACCAGAACCAGGAGGGGGTCAGGACATGTGCCGTCAAGACGATGAATGCGCTAAGGGCAGCTATGCCATGGATCATTCCAAAGGCCATTGCTGCAACACAGGTCATTGAGGCTGTCTGCAAAGCGCTGGCGTTGCCCGTCGTGGAGATGCAACTGGTAGCTATCGACCCAAGAAAGCTCATAGATTATGACTAACTAAAGTAGGCTGCTATCGAGGTCCTCCAAGCCATCTACAGCCGACATCACCTCCACGACGATGAGTTTGTCGAGCTAGTATGCCCCATGTTCACACCAGGAAGCGTATCGTTGCTACGAGAGGTGTACAACTGGACAATAGTGGACATGGACGTCAACGACATAGACGACCAAAAGTATATGTTATGCAAGAAGCTGTCAGAGGTACGATGACCCTTGCGAACCAACGTCTAACCCCTGGGATCTGACTAATAGCAAACAGTTGGCCAACAGCCTCGGCCTCTTCATCGAACAGAAACCTCAATCCATTCCCGAGGGCAGCGATTTAGCCGGCGTCTTCGGCTTCCTATATGACATCATGCGCAATCCAAGCCTCGTCGTCTCAATACCTGTCCTTCATTGCTGGACGAAGCTGCTGCGATCGCGCATCGTTCGAGACTCTGACGTGGTCAACTCTATGGTCGGCGGTCTCCTCGAGACATGTTGTGCACGCTTGATTCGGTATGAATCGCTACCCGAAGATACCAATGATGCCACTTTGCAGTTTTTGAACGACGACATCGATACCGTACCAGAAAGACATGCTTTCTTAGGTAACTACCGAAGATTTTGTGCAGATATTATCGAAGTTCTTGTTCGACGAACACCAGTCGAGGCTATAGAGCACATTCTCGGTCAAGCCACGAACATGCTACAGAATCTATACCGCAACCAAGCTCCATTTCGACCAGAAAGTTTCTCTAAGCATTCCCCTCCTGTTCTTCAGGTCGATGCGCAGGTCACTGTCATTGAGGCTGCAGTAAAGGGCTTTATGAAGTGGATACAGGCTCAGGGAGAGGATGCGCTGGATGACGAGCGAAAGCGAAACACTGTCGAGAATTCATTAGAGGAGTGGGGGCGACAGACTTTACAAGCACATTTCGAAGACCCAGAAGTCGCGAGGAAGGTCATCACGCTAATGTCGACACTCTCAACCAAGGCCCTCGGCGACCGACCTGGCTTCGCGCTTACCTTCCTTGAGTACCTACTCACCATCCGGCTAGCAGACAACACCGCCTTTCCACAATACTCGGATGCAGTCAAAGATCTCGAGAGAATATGTAGTCTGGAGATGCAGAAATTGGCAATGAAGTTCGCCGATGACTTTATGAATGTGTACGACCAATTAGAGAGCAAGGTCAACGAGATGATCAATGACTCAACTACTGATGAACGACAACGAATGGCATATTCCGCTTTCCTTTTTATCATCATCCATAGAAGTACGACACTGGAGCAGGCCACGCAAGAAGAGCGCATGAGACAGATGCTGAATCAAGTGAAAGACGGGTGGCGCAACGATGAGTTTACAGCGGCAATATCTTCCTTCCAGTCTTTCTGCGGTGTTCTTGGTATGGGTCAGTTACCAGATTTCCTTTTGGCGAACAACTTTAGAAACGTGCAAGACTGGTCTGAGCAGCAGCTTCCTAGTGATGGCCAGGCCTTGCAAGCTTCGATTCTTGAGCGGTCGCAGCACCTTCCACTACGACTCACAAAGACACTGCTTGCGGCCTCAACCGAAAAATTGCGGGACGGATCTCCGGCATATGAGACTGCTGCGATCCTCTGGGCTGAGGCGATACCCGTCCTCCTTCCCAACCTTCTGCAGCTTGTAAGCCACGCGCAAGCATTCAACGACATTGAGAGCAACTGGTCACATCTCCCAGTAGAACTACAACAGGTCATCCGGAGAGTGCTGACGGATCGCTTCTGGCAAGCTGGTATCTCGACGGAGAGTCGAGACGACTTCTTCGCAAGGGTCAGCGGGTCGAAGTCCACATACGAAGGTTTTGCGTCGACAGTACGAGGAACGGTACGACAGATCAGGGAGAGCTCGTATTACATCCTCTACTCTCTAACACGATTTCGCGACTTCTTCTACGGCATACAGGACCTACCAGGTCCCCTGAGCCAAGCGCTATTTGGCCACGCTGGCGCGTTGACCGCGCATCATCTATCTGTCTTACTAACCGTATCTACACATCTCATCGAAGGGTGTCCAGCCCAGCTTAGATTGCACTTCTTACCGCCCATGATCCAAGGGTTGTTTCGCGAGCTGGATCGCAAAATATCTGCCGAATGGAATGAGGTTGCCCGTCAAGTGGCAGAGTCGGGGAACAACGACAACCTGACAGACGAAATGAAGACGGAGAGCATTCTGAGGCAGCTCACCTATTCATCTGTCTCGCTTGTCGCTGTTCTACTCGACTCTAGGCAAGGTGAGTCACCATTATCAGTCTTTCTGTGAAGGCCACGTCCAGCTGTATCTATCTAGACATCCAAACTAATGTTACACAGAGTTGGCCCGACAAGACGAGCACACGCGACGGGACACCAACAGCCCACCCATGTGCGACTTCATCCTCTCCACACCCTCGGTCCTCGAACCCATCCTACTCTTCTGCACCTCCACCATCAGCGTCCGCGACACGCGATCTGTCGTAACCATTGTCCGCGTGCTGCGCACTCTCCTTCCGCGCTTCAAAGAGCCGTCCCCTATCCGCGACTACTTCTGCAACGACATCCTCAAATCCGCCATCACCTCCCTCCACGAACCCTACTTCGTAGACTGCCAAAAAGAACTCGCATCGCTCATTGCAGGCATCATCCACCTCGATGAAGAAATCCCTCGAAGCATCATCTTGAGCTTACCCGGTATGGGCGACCAGATTCGTGTTGACAAGCGCTTGTCCAAGTTGAAATATGTGAATCGGCAGGATGAGCGCATGCAGAGAAGTATGGTACTTGATCTACTGAGCAGCATCAAGGGCGTTAGTATTCATGAGCAGGGCAAGATCACCAGACCCACGCCCAAGAAGAAGAGTGCCATGATGGAACAGTATATGAGTGTAGATCAACAGCCGGAGATTGTGCGCGGGACTAGTCCGGCGCTCGCGGGCGTTGCGGATATGTTTGCGGAATCTTGAGTAGGCTTGTGCGCGCGTTGGAGATGGGTCTAAGGACGATGAAGAGAGTGAGGTAGTGAGGTCATGTGACTATGGGGTCAGTGAGTCCACGGTTTTGTGCAAGATAATGAGGTGTGCTTCTGTGCGCCTCTTCCTTTTTTTTGATATGCATAGATGGCATTGGGTGACTAGTTTCGTCTGCTTTTCTGGGCGGATAATCTTTTTCTATTTCGTTTATTGATTTCTATATTTAGACTTTACTCCTTTGGCCAACTGCATTTTCTGCTTTCTACCTCTCTTTAGACTGAGTAGGAACTTGAAGAAACTGCTAGGAGGGCTATTAGGTAGCTAGTTGGTTAATTATATTATTCTCATAAAGCTAAATAATTGTATAAGGAAGTCATGATGGATCAGCTGGTATTGCTGGCGGAAAAATCAAATAGCGACAGATAACCAGCTACCTTCAAGTTACCGATTAGTAAGTGGCAGTCCCACGTCAGCAGAGCTAGATCTAGTAGTGAGCGCTTGAGTGAATGTTGTACACCCCACCTTGCACTGATAAATAGCTCAGCTTATCGATAACCCCCTCACTTGCTCGTTCAGGGTCCAACGACATCACTACTGCTACCTAACACGTTGTCGTATTCTAAAAGCCAACCGTCAAACAATAAAGAAGCAATCCTCTTGCAGCAGTAAGCGTAGTGTTGAAGCAGACATTATAACTCCTATTACAAACCTTAGCACACTTCACTTTACACGGTAATACATACAATCTTACTCTATATTCCTGAGTCACAGCTACAGTCCAGTCGACTGCGTGAGAAAGTGCACAAGGTAATATGGAGCGCAGCATACCGATTGTAGATTTTGGCCTATTCCTCAACGGTGGAAAGGAAGAGCGAGAACAGATTGCACGGGAACTGGATGATGCGTTCCGGAGTGTAGGATTTGTGTATTTGAGGAATCATGGTGTGAGTAGGAAAATGGTGGGGAGATGCTTTGAGTGGGTACGTTACGTTATCTACTTTACATTACGGCCTTTGCAACTCTGCGAAAGAGCGAGCGTCTGGGGGAGACAGTGGATGAGTTTGAGGGTATGCAGATGTCTGGGCTAACTTGAGGTAGTCCAAAGCATTCTTTGACCTCCCGCTCAAGACAAAGATGCTCGCGCCTCATCCACCGGGTGGAAGTCATCATAGGGGGTACTCGGCGCCGGGGGTGGAGAAAGTAAGTCAGCATAAGTATGGAGTTGAAGAAATCAAGAAGGATCGCGAGGTACGTTATATTCCATCCTGTTCGCTGATTTCCAACTCATCAGCTGCGGTTGTTAACATTAAGATGGGAAAAGATACCCGATTACAAGGAATCGTTCGAATCCGGCAACGTAAACGATTCAGCACAACCCAACATATGGCTTCCCGAAGATGAACTCCCGGGATTCAAAGAGTTCATGGAAACATACTTCACCGAGTGTGCGGAGTTGATCCACCGCATCCTCGACGCACTGAGCATCGCGCTGAACGTACCAGAACCAGGCCTTAGCTCGACACATTCACACTCGCTATTCCAACTGCGCTTGCTGCACTATCCCGCCATCGACGCAGAGCAGCTAAGCCAAAACAAGCGCTCGAGGATAAACGCACATTCAGACTTCGGCACGCTAACGCTTCTATTCCAAGACAACGTAGGCGGCCTGGAGATAGAAGATCCGCATCAACCTGGCGCCTTCTGCCCCGCTGAGCCTATTCAAGACACCGTGCTCGTGAATATCGGAGACTTGATGGCGCGCTGGTCGAATGATCGGTGGCGGAGTACTGTACATCGCGTGGGTTTGCCGGGTGAAAACCGGCAGGTCGATGGAGATAGAGGGCTGGGAAGGGCTGTTGTGCCGGATAGGTACTCGATCCCTGTGTTTGCCACGGCGAATATGGATACGGTCATCGATGCTTTGCCGAGTTGTTGGGATGAGGAGGGTAATCTGAAGAAGTATGAGCCGGTTACGGCGTGGGGGTATGTGCAGATGCGGATGGCTGCGCTGTATGACTCGTGAGTAAATGACTAGAACGGGTGTCTTAATTGTCGGAGTCGTGATCACTCGTGATGAGGCACTGTTGATAGGTCGAAGTATTCTACTTTGCATTGGAGAGCAGTCCTGAATGTGTATTGTACCAGGTAATGGTTCCTCCTAAGATGCAATTCAAGCTACAGAAGTTATATACCCTGCCAGCCATGATGTACCTATTCACCTTATGTTGAACCATGATCTTGCTCGCCGGATCCTTCACTTTATGACGGGTTTCTGACTTTCTTTCTGTTCCAAGTGCGGACAGATTCATGGAGATCTCAGATCAAGTTGTTTCAGAACATCCATTCCGGTTAGGAGTAGCTTCGTTCATCCAAAACCGATATGCGCGAAGAATTGGCTCCAGTCCGGCTGTTCGTAAACTTTGTCCGGGAGGTAAGCGAGGCCTTTGAAGCTCTCTCCGATCAGATACACTCTTGCCACACAGTAAAAGATGAACCAGTACGCGAATACTATCTTAAAAAGAAGTTCAGGCAACTCTCTGACTAGTATCGTGATCAATTTTAACCGCGCATTCCGGGGGTTTACTTGCATGCTTGTTTGCCCAGCTTTCCGTATCATCCAACACTCCCGAAACCAAAATTGGGTCGTCCAACTTTCTTGCCACCGTCGTACCCGTCTTGACTTCGGGTACACCGCACGTAGTACGGTTGGAATGTAGGACGCCATTATGACCAGAAGATACGCGCCAGTAACGACGGGAAAGGTGCCAGCGAGAAACACTGAACAAACTCGCCAAAACATCTTCTCGCCTTCGCTGGCGAACGGACCGTTCCAAGCTAACAAATGACCACCGCCGTAGAGACCACAGGCGATGACCAGACCCAAATCAAAGGCATCGCTCGAGTTGCCTAACTTTCGAAAGAGCCATCTCGGTGCCCAATTAGACTTATTTTGACCCGCAGGCGCCCAGTTTTTTAATTCGTCGTCTGTTGTTCTCCTTCTGCTTCGGTACGATCTCGCTGAAGCAGATGTTACGAGCAGATTCTGATTCAAATCTGTGTAATTTTCAAGAGGACCGAAATGCCAGTCCGGTGCGAGGTGCTGTTGCTCTCGAAAGGCCCGAGCGAGTCGCAGACACTCAACGTTCGCTGGGGATAGTCGTGTATGTACATCGTAGGGGGGTCCTAATGGTTCACGCCCAAATATCAGTCGAAACCCTAGACACTTTTGACCAGCATATAGTTTTAGGTGTTCCATGTCTGGGCCCGCTAATGGTGGAACGCGGTCATCAGGGGCAACACAATCAACCCAGTGATTATGTCTGTGTTTAGCCAGTAGTTCAAGTACCTCTTTTACTTGGCTAGTCTGTTCATCTTCATTGTGTAGCACGTCTTCCTCGTATACCAGATGGCGAACCGCAACACCAAATGCAAAAATCGTGCTCCGTGGGTACAATTTCGGACGGTTGCCAATAGCGCTTTGCATTATCATCCATGCACAAATCTTCCGAGCGGGGTCTTCAGAAGCATCTATCAAGGAAGGGTGTTCAATGTCCAGAGGTTTGTTCCACCATGCGCAATATATTGCCAGGCAGCAAAGAGCATGGAGAAAGGTGTTCATCTCCAATAAGCTTATCGGATACTTCGCTGCAAGCCGGCCTATTACTTGGACGATGAACCAAAAAGCCTGAATACAGACTATACTCTTTGCAAACCCGTTTGCTTTGCCTTTCTCACGAATAGTCTCAGCTGAAATATCCGGGACCAGGTCGGGGTAGTCTAATGCGAGTTTGCGCAAGGCGACTGATGTTAGTGTCAGTCGAGTTCGACCTTCTGGCATGAATTGGATAGGCGCTTTGCTTGTGTCGAATGCAAAGCCTCCCATGAGGGCATAGTGGGCATGGAGCCGTGTCCAGGAGTGAAGTCTTATCAGGCCACGGGATCTATGGCTTCTCAGATAACCAAAGGCGCTCGAGTCTTTCGATGTCTGTAGAACTAAAGGGTCCAAAAGAGATCTCATGTGTATTTCGAGGTTCCTCGCGAAAAACCATTGTCTGGCAGCAATAAAGGCGACCTAGTGGGGCTATCAATCAGGGCCTCTTGCACACTCGACAGAACGTACAATCTCGGGAGCGAAAATTCCAGGAAGTAACCAAAACAATTTTCTCTTCAGTACGTGCGTCCAAGGCGTTTTACCATGCTCTGGAATATCCACGTGAAGACATGTATAGACACACAAGATAAGTGTGATTAGACATGTTGACAAAATATTGAGGGTGCCTCTTTCATTAGGTTCGGATCTCCACGAGGCGGTCGCGTTTGTAGACGTAGTGCCGAAAGGCTCCCACATCTAGATGAGCACGATGCAGTGACAGTGAAAGTCTCGGGTCGTTTGCGAATAGTCTCAGACTGGCTAGTTCAGGCCTGATAGATAGCCTAGACGTGCTCGAAGTATAGTGTTGTCGATATGCAGCCACTTACAGCGACGGGAAGACATCCAGTGCTTGGACTAGGCATTTTCAGTAAGCAGAATCGACGCGGGAGTTGGCCAGGTATATAACCCAATATCAATGTTAGTGGGAGCAACCAAATCCAAGATGAGCTTACGGCCGAGCCCGAGGCTAAGCATCTCCCAACAATAGGGAACTGAGAATGAGTTCCTCCACCGGTCAATTGACATGGACTACGGCTATTCTAGGAGTACACTGCATATCATCTGGCTTGGTCGGGGAATAAGCGCCGATAAACCACTTTAATTCCCGGTCAAGATATGAAGAGTCATTGGACGTTGACACACCCGCCCCTGTCTACCTAGGTAGGTAGTAATAAACTGGACATGGCTGAGCGAGGTATGTTCCCAGTAGTCTGGAACTATGCCGTTAGGCCTTTCGAGAAGGAAGAACTGGGTTTGCCACATGGATGCTGGATCGCGCGGAAGCACCAAAGCTAGCTAGTGGAATTTCTATTGAAGCCAATCGGCCGAGGATTTGGTTCTGGGTATAGAAAATAATTGCGCGAAGGGAAGAGTGAGAGACATACTAATCATCTAATTTGGTATCTTCTAAAGCCGTCTGTTGCCTGGGTATACGTCTTATCAATACAAAGACCAAATCACCCTAATAATCCACAAGCGCCATCTATGTACGGTATCAAGCAAGTTCTGGAGCCATGACAAACGATTGAAAAGGAGGCCCTAGCCGGCTTCACCGAAATCTGTGTGTCCCGACTCAGATGCGTGCTGCAATGCTCCCTGTTCACCTGCACCCTGCCAGCCACAGGTATTGCACTTGACATCGAATTTCTGCGTGTCGGTGAAGTAGTGCTGTTTCTTCAGTTCTCCACAGAGCTGTCTTGCTGCCTCAAGTATAACGTCGTCTGTCGAATCAAAAAGCTTGATGTCGTTCTCGGAGTCTAAAGGTGACACCCCGTGCGGAACAAAAGCAATGGTGTCGTAGTGAATGCCCGAGTAGACGAGAATGCAACGCCGCGGCTTTCCCTCATTGAACCGATCAACTCTCAGGTCCTGCACGTTAATGCTGGCGATCTCGATATCGAACTCTTGCGAAAGGATGCTCAGCTCGATACCACCGCCCCACGAATCGGAGTATGATATCCACTTGCAGTAATCGTCTGGTGATCGTTGTAGGATGGCCTCATTGTAGTACTCTGGATTTCGCTGAATAGCCTGCGCAACCATCGACCGCAGTTCCGTCATGGAGTCGAGCGTATCGGTGAGGATAGCGCTACCGACAGCTCGGAACATGCAGGAGTTGTCGTCTGGCATCACCCGCAGTACAATGGTGCCACCGCGATCGGGGACCGGGACCTCGGGGGTATCCTTGAGAGCCGAAGCCTGCTTTCGCTTGAGTGACAATGGGGCTGACTGAGACTGTGATTGTTGGGAGGCAGATTGAGACTCCTCTCCCTGCCTTTGCTCGCTGGGATCTCCAGTAGCTTGTGCGATGACCATTATTTGCGCGCCGTTGAGCTTAAGATCCGTGTCTTTGAGCAATGTGGACAGGCCGTAAAGCGAGGGATCGAGGGGTTGTGGCGGGAAGTTCCATTTCAGCTCGAACAAGGGGAGATCTGTGGAATTGCTGATAGAGGAGAGGAGGTCCGACACGGCAGCGTTGTCGTCGAGGGAGAGTGTGTGCTGGCCGTTGGGCGCTCGTAACCGAATTCGTATTGGCATGTTGCTGGTACCTTTGCGAGAGTAGAGATGGGGATGTATGAGTGTGAGTGAGTGTGAGCAGTGACGCGCTCAAGGGAGGGGCTACGGCGTAAGGTGGTGGGGCCTTCTAGAAGCTGCGATCAGTGAGTCTATGGGCGGGGAGGCACACTTCACGTATATGCACAGAAGGTGGGGATTGTTGGATTACAGCGATGGTTTCTCAGCTATGGAACAAGGTTCGAAGGCGATCAATGTGTGAACAAGTGGCATACAGCATGTGGCCTGTGGCCTGTCGCCAGTGAATGTTCGGGAGTAGGCCGACGGCGGACTCCCGGTGATCGGCGGCAGGGATCGGAGGAAAGTGCAGCCGGCGCAGGGGCCATGAGGCCAGTCGCGACTTCTACGGTTGCGACGCGACAGGCCCAGATACGATCCATTTGCGCATTCCAAACACAGTCAAACTAGCTATCCGGGAAGAATTCAAGCATGGCGTCCGGACGCGCGCCCAGCTCAACGCCCGTGCCGACGACAGAGACGGCGGAGTCCGCTGGCGCAACCTCGACCGTCACCGCGCAGGAATGGGAGTCCATGTCCAATTTCTTGAAGAATGTCTACGACTACAGAACCGAAGAGTAAGTGTTGCGCACATCATGTAGACAACCATGTGCACGGAGACTAATACAACATGACAGTGGCTACGACCCCACCAAACTCTTTCAACGCAAGGTCAACAAACGCGCGGTGCCCGACTACTACGATATCATCAAGGAGCCCATGGCCCTTAGCACCATTAAATTAAAAGTCGCACAGAAAGAGTACAAGAACTTCTCCGAGTTTGTGCGCGACCTCGCGCTTATACCCCACAATGCCCAAGTCTACAATCGCCAGGATTCGCAAGCCTATGTGGATGCGCTAGAAGTGAAGAAGGTCATCGAGCTCGAGCTGAAGAAGCTTGTGGATGAAAAAGTCATCACAGAGGCCGTCGCGACCCTGCCATATCTCGGGGAGATACCGGAGCAAGACCCGCTACTACCAGAGGAAGAAGAGGAAGAGGACGAGGATGATGACGAAGAGGAATTGGAGGTCGATGAAGAGGAAGACGATGATGAAGAGGATGAAAGCAAACGCAAGCGACGGCGCGGGCCGCGGTCTTTAGCAGCTATCACGAAGCGCGAGGGTGGCTCGAGAGCAGCGAAAGAAGACCCGAAGAACGACGATCCAGAGTCAAGGAAGAAGCGTGGCCGGCCGCCGCGGGTCGATACACCTATGGAAGCACGAATCAAGACCATCATGAAGGGCATCAGGAAGCCTCGAAATCAGGCCAACAAGCTAATGGTCAGCGCATTTGAGCGCGTTCCAGATAAAGCTGTCATGCCCGAGTACCACGCCGAGATCAAGAGCCCCATGGCCATGGATATTCTTAAGCGCAAACTAAAGCGGAAGAAGTACAACTCGGTAGACCACTTTATGGTAGACGTGGAGCTCATGTTCGAGAACGCAAAGCAATACAACGAGGAAGATAGTCAGATATACAAGGATGCCGTTCATCTGCAAAAGGAGTCGCGAAAAATTGCAAAGGCTGAAAAGGACAAGCCCGATGCTGACTATGTCATGGACGAGGGCCGCATTCCCATGCCAAATGGCATCCTCCACAATGGCGAGCTCTGGAAAGTTGGCGATTGGATACACATACAGAACGCAAACGACCTCACAAAACCCATCGTAGCCCAAATCTACCGTACATGGCAGGATGGCGAAGGCGGAAGATGGGTAAACGCATGTTGGTACTACCGCCCAGAGCAGACTGTACACCGTTTCGACCGTCATTTTCTCGAGAACGAGGTCGTCAAGACTGGGCAGTATCGCGACCACCGTATCGACGAAGTGGTGGACCGGTGCTTCGTCATGTTCGTGACGCGATACAATAAGGGCCGCCCTCGCGACTTCCCCCCAGACAAGGAGATCTATGTATGCGAAGCTCGCTACAACGAGGAAAACCACAAGTTGAACAAGATCAAAACGTGGGCTAGCTGTCTACCTGATGAAGTTCGAGACAAGGACTACGTGATGGATCTATTCGACGCACCAAGGAGGCTGAAGAAGTTGCCAAGTCCCATCGCTTACATGCTCAAAGATGAGCAGAAGGAGGATGATGATCTTCCAAAGCCAGAGTGGGGTGCTGAAAATGCTCCCCCCAAGATTGGCGCTGTTCATCGGCGCCCTCGCGACCCCAAAGTGGGTCTTCACTCTTCTTTCAATGTACAAGTGATATGATTGCTAACAAACTCGTAGGACTCGCCACCACCAGAGCCCACACCGCCTCCTCCACCTACGCCTCCGCCAGCACCCGTAATGCCTACACCACCCTTACCTGCAGCTACAACGCATAGCTACGAGTCATCGAGAAGCTACCCTCTCGCCCAAGCACCAAGTCTCACGCCCATGCCTGCTCCAACACCCCAACAACACCATGTTGCACCTGCCTACACACCCACACATGCGACGCACTATCATTCTCATTCACAGTCACCTGCCCCTCATATTCACCAACAAGCACCTGCCGCGCCAGCCTATCAGTCCATAACACCCCATGTGCCCTTCACCCCACAGCCAACTGCTCCTATGCAGTCCTTCCAGACTCCTCGTCCCGCACCGGGCTATCAGCAGCCTTACGTTCAGCAACCGCCCTCTGGGTACAAAGCTCCTCAGCCAGTGGAAGTTTATGTCCTAAACGATCACGCCAATAGCAGTATTCCGCAAGAGATCCGGGAGCAATTCCAGCGCGATGACAAAGGCCGCGTGCTTTTCTTCACCGCGCCACCGCTGAATGTTGACCAGCCTTTGACTAAGGAGGGTCGCGCCCTGGGCCACTCGGCACGCTATCTCGCCGCCAAAGCGAAGAAAGATGCACTGAAAGGTACGAAGCGGAAGGCTGGCGATGCTGGTGCTGAGGAGCGCGAGGAGACTACCAAGAAGGCGAAGCTTGACGAGGAGAAGCGGTTTAAGTTGGCAGTGTCGGCGCTTGGCACTAAGGCGCTACAAGCTCTTGAGGATCAGCTTGCCATTGCTACTAAGTCAGACTTGGAGGCTTTGTTCAATGGCCGATCTAAGGATGGGGTCTCCAAGGTTCTCGACCAGCTCACTGCCACGCAGAATGATGCTATTCAGGCAAACTTGGAGCGTGAACTTCATATCAGAGAGCGCACGGCCGCGGAGAAATTCCCAGTCTCGGGTATGACGGCGCGGCTGGAGGAGAAGGTTTGAGTTGTTTCGATGTAATGACGAAATATCCTCTTTATTGATTTCTCTACTAGCCTTTTCTTAAACGCTGAGAGCACGGCGTTGGGACTAGGGTAGCTGAGCAGGACATGCCTGCTGGGAATATTCGAATATGCCTTTATTTTAGCAACTCACTATACTTTACGTTTTGGATTTTTGCGTTGATACGCCTTTTCGTTTTCTGGTTGACTGGAACTGACGTTTTCGGCGTAGGACGTGTAGAGCGTTCTGCAAATAAGTGAGCAAGGTACCAACATATTTGTAACCCGACTCAATCAAGTAAAATCAGGCGTGACTTGAAAAAAAACACGGGAGATATATCCTCCCTTTGCTAAAGTGTAGAGGTGGAATGAGGGACACATTTTTCATGGAATACACCAACTAATAAGGGAAGCCTATCGGCATGGTTTTATTTTCGTCAATCTCCGTACATTCATTACCGCAATGCTTTTCTTATCTTCTACACTAATAGTAGCACGGATGTGAGAGGATTAAGATCCTACGTGTACTAACACGTTGCATAGTTTCTCAATCGTCTATCAGCTCTGAAAGAGATGGGATACTGTCAGTGAGATCAACTTGCATGGGAATTTTTACCACCAGCTCATAGCGTCTCCAAGTATCGGGATGCAGCGCGACATCAACACCAAAGTCCTTGGCCTGTTGTAGAATGAAGTATACGTCTGGCCAGCGCTTCTCTGCAGCGCGGAGTGGCGACCTCCAGTCCCCGTGGATATCAGGATCAGCGCCGTGTTTGAGCAGGAAGCGTACTCCAGGGTGGGGGGCGTCACTGCAGCCGATGTAGCCATCTCTTGCTGCGTGCCACAGCGCGGTCACGGGATTTCCTGTCCTTGGCACACCGTCTATGTGTGCTCCGTGTTGAATAAGCACACGGGCAAGGTCGTAGCGGTGGTGGTGTACGGCTAGTGCAAGCGGCGTTGTGGCGTCATAACAGGCTTGATCTAGATCGCTAAGGCTGTCGAAATGGTTTGCATCGATAAGACCGTCGCGAAGAAAGGCACGAAGCATGGAGCGGCTGCCCTTGGTGAACAGCTGATCCATCTCATAAACTCGGAGAGTAAGCTTCTGGTTGAAAGTACCATAGTCCCGGGGCTGTGGCAGTTTCAAAAGTACTCTTTGGTTGTCGATTAGTACCCTGCGCAGAAGGCCTGTATCAAGATATTGCAAGCACTCCATGGTCAGGCGGTGCGATAGCATTTCACGACCCCTTGCTTTGTAGAGCCGGTCAGATATCAAGACTCCGGTCTGCATTTGGCCTTTTCGGATCGCAAATTTGAGCGCATCCCCCAGGTCCATCGTTGTTGTTCGTATTGCAGTTGAAGGGTTGGCCTTGGTTTCTTGGAGGATGTGATCTGCAAGCATCTTAACAGTTTCCACTTGTCCACTCGCTGCCGCCGCCGATAGAGGGTCTGGGAGAGACGAGCCGCTTTTTGTCAGACAGTTTGCTCTAGTAGAGGCCAATTCCAAGAGCAGCTTTACGTTACCGGTCGCGGCGAGAGCAGCAGGTAAATCATCTTCAATCGAAGGATCTGCAATCTCGGAAGAGGTGCGTAGGGAAATTCGCCAGCGTAGTTGTTTCTGGTACACTCCGGAGATCGCATTGGATATATCAAACGTGTACGTCCTGCGTAGCTTGCGTGACTCGGAGTCCTTGAGACGAAGAACAGTCTCTGTAAGGACCTTCAGATGCTTAACTAGTGGGAGAGGGTTTTTTTGGTCTCGTAGAACCTCATGACCTATGATGGTACCGCCGTGTTGAGCGAAAAGCTTCGTGAACCGAGCGTCGTCTCTGGCGGTCGCTACATGTATCGGCTCCCTCGCAGGTAATCGACGTTCCTCTTGAGAATAAGCTACGAGCGGTTGTTTCGCCAAAATTTCATTTTGTATCTCGATAGCGAAGAGTCCTGTATATGTCAGCTCATGTTGCGTAGTCTGGGTTGGATGGCGGCGTACTGCATACAAGCCGGTAGTCTGCGACGTAGAGTGGGCCCACGTCCCTAACCAGGTACCTAACAACACACTGGAATAGTTCCACGGGCAGGTCAAAAAGCTCCATGGCAGCTCAGACTTTGGTGCTTGCAGTGCGTGGTATCCAGAACGGAGATGTGGAGTCGGTGTCGATCGATGCGGAGGCGTAAAAAAGCGGGGCCGCTTAGACGCATGGCATTTGCTGGTGCATACTGAGGGTGAGGATTCCGCGCAATGATTTCCTGATATTAACACTCAAAGTACCCCCGCCAGAGAACCCGCGGGAGATCAATAAATCAACACTGGGAGTAAGCGGGTTTAAATATTCTTTCCTGATCTTGAAATGATCACAAGAATAGCCCATACGAAAACTGCAGTCAAGAAATGCATAGACTCAAGTTCGTGTAGCTCTTTAAGAGTTTCTTTAGGTATAGACAGCTTTGAACTTGATTCAAAATGAGGAGAAGTAAAGGCTTCTCATGCATTAGATCAGGCTAAGAGATGTGGACATGTACTAGAACTGTTCAAGGTCAATGTTAATTAGATATAGAATCATCGCCAGACCAATTCCTGAAGCGTATAAGATAATTTTAGACTGTTAGATGATGAGCCATTGTGGGCTGCCGAAAGAATGCTGTTGAAAACATAGTGACCTTTTGCCAGACCTCGTCATTCTTGAGCCCGTGTGAGAGAACAAATGACATTGAATCGCTGCTTGAGTGCTGTGAGATATTTATCGGTTCAAGTCTTGAAAGAATGAGTCCTATACCTGGATTGTCCATGTCTTGCCTTTGTAAGGCACTTCGTGCACCAACTCAACTGCCTCCTCGATCGATGGTGATAGCTCCTCACTCCCATAGCAATCCCCATGCTTCTCCCCGAGACTCTATGTGATCCATATTGCACCCCCAGATACCTGGATGCACTGCGACTTCATGTCGTTTGTGTAAAGCCGTTTCCAAGAGATCTTTTTATTTATTCCACGAGGCCGCAGCATGAACTGGAGACAATCTATCAACTCTTTCGGAGAAAAGAAGATCAGCTTTATGGTTAGGCAAAAACTGGACGCCTTCGATATCTCCTTTGTCAGCGACATGCTAGAGCGCGACCGTCTCGACCATCCTGGAAGAATCAATGTGATCACAAACATCTCCGCACTCAAAGTACTTTCACAGAACCAGCGATAGCTCAACTAGGGCGTAGGCGCTTTGGAAATCCTCTTAAGAGCGCCATTTGTCCATCTCCTCTCTCGCGAGAGCTGTTGAGCAGCATAGGTTGGGGAGCGCCGTTGACATCTGCGCCATGGACAAGTAGAACGTGGGCAAGGTCGTACCGACTCTCGTCCAGGGCTATTGCAAGCGGGGTCTTCTTCGAGAGTAGAATGCCTTCAAATTGGCCATGCACACTGCAACTTCCAGCTTAAGGTCTGCCGCCGGACTGCAAGAGCAAAGCGGGTGTATAGCATTAGCCCTACAATTACAATGCAGGACCTCATCTTTGAAAACGACCTAGTCGACGTCCTGCTCCGTTGTGCGCAATATAGAATAGTTTACATTGAATGTAGAAAGAGACCATGATTAGATCATGGATAGTGAGGGTGAATCTTGATTGGTGATGAGGTTGTCAATATTTAGCTATGTTCATGGTCCCTGCATTGAATTAACCACTTTAGTATGGCGCCTAGGCGAACCTTGGAACGCGAGGCCCCAGGGGCGCGTAAAGCTGCTTTCCACTCTCGACAACTCCATTCCTAATCTATGTATCAGAAAATGTGATACAGTAGAACAATCACATGACTAGCAAATAGTCCATTCCCTCGACCGCAAACCGCCACGCCTTAGAAGAAAAACCCACGCGCTCTCTGCTTACCGCGCAATTGCAGGATGGCATCCTCATACATTCCACCTGCATACAACATTGAATCTCAACACAACGGCACCGCACATCTCGCCATCAAGAACACCTTTGTTCGCCGTTTCTTAACGCGACTAGCGTTGCATACTGTGGCGAAATTCCATTCGTGGGATGGCCTTTGCGTCCCGATCTCGAAACACATAATTGTTAAGACTGGGCGTCGAGTTCACCTCACGGAAGGTGCAACTTTGCAATACCTAGCTGAAAACACTACTATTCCGGTTCCAAAAGTCTATTGCTCCTTTCTACACAAGAATAGAGCATACATTGTTATGGAGAGGATCCAAGGTGAAGAACTACCAATCGCCTGGAAAAGCATGTCCGAAGAATCAGTCGAGGGTATTTTCGGGCAGCTCAAAAAGATCTTTCAGGAGTTGCGCTCGCTGACACCTCCACCGGGTACGGGCGTGGAAAGCTGTGTCGGGGGATCCTTGTATGACTCTCGCATACCTCGTGGAAACCCGCGTTTTGGTCCGTTTAAGACAATTCAAGCATTTCACTTCTGGCTGAGACGAGATTTGAAACCTGAGGATCTAAAAGATCGGGAAAAAGACCAAGATTGGCACGACCTCCAGGACATGATGAGCAAGCAGGATGGGCCATGGCCTCCACCAGTGTTTACACATGGCGATTTAAATCCCTTCAATATTCTTGTTTGTGGGGGTAAGGTGGTTGGAATAATTGACTGGGAGTTCTCGGGATGGTATCCGCATTATTGGGAATATACATCAGCCTGGTATGGCAATGTAACAAGAACGGAATGGCAGGGCATGATCATTAAGCTTCTTAATCGACCATGTCCTGAAGAGATCAAGATGGAAGAAGTTCGCAATAAATGGTGGGGTGAGTAATCCCCCATTGAGTGACACTTGATGCGCTGTTGCTTTAGGGGGATTTTCACACTACGCGTATTACCGCTGATAAAAGACATGACTACGACGCCAATGCGCTATACAATTACATGTCAGTGGCCGTACATCTGCGACGTGTCGCAATTCGTGCTCCTACGATATACTCTCTCTATTCTCGATCATATCCCAGGTTGGCTTCGGTTTCAACATATCCGCAGCAGACCGATAGCGACCTTGAGCAGTCTTGTCTCCCACGTACTGTCTTGCAAACGCCTCGATCTTCTGCCAATCTAGCTCAGCAGTGCCAACACACTTACCATCCTTCGAAATCTCAGCCAGCGCGCTCGCGATCCAAGAGCGGCATCTCCAGTTTGAATCGCCTTGTACGACTGGAAGCTCGCGAATAAGGGCAATGAGACGCTTCTCATCTTCGATTTTGGCAATGAGAATGCGCGCCAAAAGACTGTTGGTCGCTCGGACATTCTCTAATGGAATTTCTTCATAGACCCAGCCGAAAGGAGAGTTTTTGACGTGGTAACGTGCGCCTGGTATTACGTCTTTGCCCTCTACCTTAGGTCCGATCAGGAAGCCCCAGTGGTACCTAAAAAGGTCAACATGCATTAAGAAGAAGTTGAAATTGCAAATCACTCACTTGCGTTCCTCGTTGTTTACGACGCCGCTAGGATATAAAGCTATATACAACCGACTTTTGTTGGAAGGCATTCTTATTGTGGTGGAAACCCGGAAAAATACGGAAACGTAAAGTGAAGTTTACGCGCAGAACGGAGTCGTGACAATGGGTAGTGATAGCGCAAAATGGACAGTTGGGCAAATCGATTCACAGGCGAAGTATGAATATTCGACTAGCACAAGAGAATGGTGTTGTAGGTAGCATGCTAAATCTTTTCCTGTTTATATAACCTTTTTAAGTACTTTTTAATAGAAACAGAGCGAGCGACATATGCATTGTCGCTGTAGAGTTTGGAAATAACATACAATATCTATTTTGATTGGCTTAGTGGCTTTCAAATTGTACGGCTACGCCGCATCCTGGGCGCTTCTGTTATCTGATTATATCTCTAACAACACCACACAAGCCAGAATGCACCGCAGCGATAAGTGCGAGCGCTATCCGTTACAGTATCTAGAGCCAGGATCGAATGGATATCCAGTCTTGTAATGAAATGGACTACGTTGAATAGAGCACGAGATGGTTTGGGGAAAGGACTTGGCGGTGGGGACTGTGTCATGGATAGTAAAACCAATAACTCAACAGTTGCTCACATTGAAATCATCAGCGTTAGTCTTAAACTAAGCTGGCTTGGAGCTCTTTGTTCCAGGCTGGAAGTCCTAAAAGTAGGCAGGGTAGTAGTATCACTGCAGTACCGTCAAACTAAGGAACATTGTTATCTTCGATTACAAGTATAAGAATTTCACGATTAGACATGAAGTGACTCTCTAACTCAACTAAAACTTGCAGAACCTATCTAGGAAGGGAAAATCTGGCTTTGCATCAACTTATATACCCACAAGGAGCTCGTCGAGCATGATCTTTATCGCCGAGTCTTCTGTATCTGCTAGTGACGTTGCTATAGAAGGCACTGTCAACTTGTAGTAGTTTCGGGACTGGAAGCGATTAGGGATGACTTTTACAGCTTCGAGTTCCTCTGTGGAGAAGTTTGCTCGTGACTCTTTCACTAGCAATTTTTCTTTGTGTTCTCCTGGCTAGCCAGGCGGTGGCGCTTCTACCTCGTCGGTTATAGCGTGGATGGGTATAATCAAATCGATAGATTCAGTGTTATAGCACACAGGAAATGCAGAATGAAACAAGTTACTTTAGCCGTACTTGGCGATGGTAATTGAGCGCGGTCTGTGCATGTCTATGATTGTTTTCTAGGTATGTATGATTTCTGACTGTCTCACCCGGCGGTACCCGAAAGCAAAAGACTCGTCCATACAGCACCTGGGAGACAAAGATCATACTACACGCTATTCTAAAATCACTCGTGGCTTTGCCCCTCCCTTGCTAAACAAAAAAACATTGTAGAAGTGGAGTGCCGTCATTCTTGACCCTGAGTTTCTGGCTTTTGTAATACCCGTCTTGGAGTCACGAAACGCACTCTGAGACGAGACATTCTGTTTCTTTGTACTCTGTGTCTTCAGGCATTGGGGCTAAATTCTAAAAATTAGAAGCTATATTTTAAGATCAATGGTCATGATAGAGCAAGGAGGAAGATAAAGTCATAGTTTGCAAGCTGGGTTGATATTCATACACAGACTCTATTGAGAACGAGACGTTAGCTTTTTTGAAAAGACTTAGTCTCAGATCTCTCGCAATCCCTACAAGAAAGTGAACAAGTGCCTTCATACCTATAGTATGGTGTCAGCGAATACAGGCCAGGTTTCCACAGTTCAAGATACTACAAACCTCAAAATTATCCATAGGACCAACCACGCCTCCAAAAGTGACCTGAATTACCTGATGGCCCCAACAAATGCCAACAATCTTCTGTGTTGGATACTTGGCCACTGTTGTTCTCAAGAATTCTTGCATGTTCAGCACCCAAGGAACATCCTTCGCCGTGGCGTCTGCGCTGCCGCCGCTCAGAACGATCAAGTCATATTGAGCTGGCTCGGGGTATATCTGGGCTTCTATTGGATCAAAGAAGTCGACTTGCGCGCTAGGGCAGGCGCAGCTGATGCGTTCTTGAAAGGCAGCGCTGAAGGCGTCGTCAAGCGCTGATATGCTGTTAACCAGCACTGCTGCTTTGAAGGTCGTCGAAGCCGTCATGGTGATGAGAGTGCAGGGTGTTTGGAGGCGTGGTGTATTAGTGATTAAGGACTCCTTAACATTATACATGTAAGTTAAGATTGATAAGCCGCCGTCGTTGTGGCCTTTTCGGCGTAGACGACGCTAGCGCCTTCAGTTGACGGCTGCCTTGATCCAAAGTACCGACCAGGTGGCAATCTTGCATGACAATGCGCGCCACAATCGCCACAAGGCTAACAGTGACTTCTCGCTCTTGTAGTGACATTCAAAAGCCTAAATAAAGCCAGTCTAATAGCTAAAAGGCTATTAAGGGCCTAGCGCAGTACTGCATAGCGTAAGATTATATTCTTGTATAGAAGAAGGGGACACTGAACTAGGCGCGTAGGCGTTGACGCTACTGTAAATTTTATAACTATAAGGACAAGAGCAATCTAGTGCATAGAACTATATCAATATAAGACTATCCGTTGCCCTAATGCGCGGAGAAGATAAGAGTCGCTTGAATTTGAAGTACTTATAGTTTGTCTTGCCACCCAGGGACAGGCATTAGATGCTTCCTTTGTTTGGTAAACGATGAGCATTATACTACGTTGTTCAGATTCGCGCTACACAACAAATTTCTCCTCCCTCAAAGTACATTTCCAGAATAACGAGAGGTTGACAGGTGGTTTTACCAGGTTCGGCTTTTTTAGAACAACCTTCAGTGTTTTTGTCTATTTTAGTAGCCTCGGGCAAGCTCTGTTCGTCGTCTACGCGGCATAGATTACTAACATGTCGGAGATTGCGAGTGAAAAATTAAGTGCACCTTTGCTTAAGAAGCAGGACATCGAAAAGGAGTAAAGAATTGATTTTTCCGGATAAAAATTAAGGAAACAGCAACGACACTAAAATACAACACTGGAATCGTTTTGCATAGAAACGTCCGACTGATCAAAACAACACAAACAAGACACCGTACCCCAACGATTGATAAGAGAAAAAACAAGCCCAACACATTCCTCACGTTCATTCCATCACCTACTTAGTACCTCAGCCCCGTCATAATTTACAACCCCCTCTTAGATTTAGAAAGACCCGCGTCGATTCTCCGGTGCCTTCGGAGATTTTGGATTAGCTGAAGCGGCTTGTTGCTTAGGCGAAGCCTTTGGCGGAGTTCGCGATGACTTCTTCAGGGTCGTACTCTTTGAAATGAGGCTTCTTGTCGTGGTGTGAGTCTTTCGACTCTTTAAATTTGTGACGGGGCTTTTGATAGGACTCCTTTCTAGCAACGCCGGAGCTGGCGTATCTGTTGAGGAAGTGTCAGAAGGCGGTGGAGAAGGAGCTTTCTTCTTCAATGTCTTCTTGGTATTGGCCGTGTTCTTCGTCACACGTCCAGACCTGGTCTTGTGGAGTGTGTCGTTGCCTGCATCTTCCGTAGCGGCTTTCTTTTGAGTAGGGTCGGCCTTCTTAGCAACCTTCTTAGTAGCAGGGGCAGCCTTCTTAGTGGCCTTTTTAGGGGCTTTCTTAGTAGATTTCTTGGTAGCAGGAGCAGCCTTCTTAGCAGCAGGGGCCGCCTTCTTCTTGGGCCTGCTCTTCTTGGCGGTGCCTTTCTCGCGATCGCCAGCAGCTTCAGCAAGTCTTGTTTCGTTCAAGCTATCATACGTAGTCTTCCTATTGTCGCGACGTGGACGATCAGCAGCGGGCATTATGGCGGTAATGACAATGTTGAAGGCGGTGTTTGTTTAAGGCAAGGGATGATGACAAGATGACTGTTGCGTTCCGTAACCTTCTGGATGATTGAAGTATGAGAAGAAATCTGCAGCGTTTACCATTTATGCGGTGCAGGGAGTGACTTAAATAAACGTGAATCGAGTAGGAGTCAAGTGGCCGAATGCAGGAGAAGTGGCTACGAACAAAGCCACGTGAAAGAGGCGTTTGTATAAGACAAAGGCACACATGACCAGAGGGCGACTGCTTTGTCTTCCAAAATATGAGGACTGCATAATGTAGTGGTGGGCAAGTTGGCTGGTATCTCTTTGTCTTCGAAGTTGGGGACTTCGCACATTTCCGGGTATTAGCTTGGCGATAGTGCGAGCGCGTGGTTGCACCGGTAAATAGAAACAAATGGGTATTGAGCATATACTAGCAGATGAAGATACACAATGTAATGCTTCGTAAGCGCTTTCCGTCCAAACCGTCGATGCGGTATAAGCTGCTCAGCAGCTCCAATTCATGGCCAGATTTTCACAACGCTGTTGAAATCGCTGCCTGATCGTTACGCTTATAGTAAAGATACGCCGAAATATGTACAAAGATAAATAGCGCTAGCCGGCAAAAGCAAATCGCGCAAGACTAAACATGGGCTTGCGAGGCGAACACTCGCTTTCTGCTTCGCTGTCTGGCACAATCAAATCTTCACTTCCCTTCAACGATGATCTTCTCCTCTTCGCAGGAGTCATCTGAGGCGGCGAGCTGGCAGCAACGATGACTTCCGCTTCCATAGCTGCCCAAGCGGAGTCCTCCAGCTCTGTTCGATCATCTGCGGGAGGAGGTGATCCTGGAATCATGGTATTCTCAGACAAAGTCTTTGTGTTGGAGTTCATGGCAGGGGGCGAGGGTGCCCATGTTTCAGTGTGGCGTCTGTGTAGGTTGGCATTTGCTGCTCGTGGTATATTTGACTGTGACGAAGACGTCGCCGCGGGTTTATATGTGAACTTGGACCGTAATCCAGTCATCTGAGATGAGATTGCAGCGCTGAACACTGTCTCAGGCTCTGGACTACCTTGCGATGAGGCAGGTGTGACTGTGCCAGTAGTCTCTTGAGACTGCACGGTGCTACCTCGTGAAAATACCGTCGATTGGGATCCACTCTTCACGCTTAACTGTATATCGCTAAAGACCCTGATCTTCTTCTTCGGCTGGTAGGCAGCTTCTTCCAGATCTGCCACTTCCGCTAGGGCTTCCTGGATCGAGTCATCGGAGTAAAGTTCGAAATTCTGGTCCGTTTTCCTTCTGCTCTTCTTTGTCTGACGCAGCGATGGGCTTGGCTCGGGCAGTGTCGGTGCAAAGAATTGGCTACGCACAACACCCTCCCCGCCCGCGGCTGGAGTGTCGAAGACAGAGTCAGAGCAGAGGCGTTGTCTCTTAGATGGGTTCGGAACTGATCGCCTGCCTCCTGCTGGATCTGAAATGGTTCGCCTCCCAGGTTGCGGTGCCGTACTTGGGACCAACGGTTGCTGTTGCAGTCTTGAGAGCGGCGCCGGTATTGCTGCCCATGCACTTGTGTTGCGCTGCTGTTCTAGTAGGGCTTGCTGACTTGGCGATGGCGTGAAGCTATTGGGATCCAACTCGGCTAAAGGTGTACGCTTGGGCTTGAAGAAAGAATCAATGGGCTTCGACGCTTTGGAATCAGGGGTTTGAGCGACTGCCGAGGCCGTCCGAGGTTGAATGAGCGGCTTGTCGGCTAATCTAGTCTTGTTAGTGGCCGTCATGGGGAGCTTCGTGCGTGGATACAAGTCGCCTCGTGCTACACCCATGGCAACAAGTGCTGAAACTTCTTCTCCCAGGTATGGCATGTCGCCTATGTCGACTCCATCCTCAAGCGGTGTCAAGTTGACCAGCTGTTTCGAGACTGGACAAAAGACCCATTGGTATAAAAATGTCTTCTCTGCCTGTTCAAAGGAAGCCGTGAAGCCAGGAGGTACCTTCAACTTCCCATCGAATAGAGCAGCCTTGATAAGACGATCAACAGTTTTGTGCTTTCGTAGCATCCGGTGAGCGGTCTTAAGACCCAAACCACCGATACCAGGGAAGTAATCGCAGCCGCTAAGAATTGCCATTCTTCTGAAGTCGGCATCGGACCAGCCTACAAAGCTGACCTCTCTGCAGGCAGTGAAGTGGTTTCGATTGACCTCAATACAGTCTCCGTACTTGTCGAGCTTCGTGATCAGGCACTTGACACCGAAGACCAGAAGATCTGAATCTTCGGATAGGACGCCGTTGATGATGCCCTTGCGCTCCAAGTAGCAAAGTTGAGAGTCGGCCTCGTATGGGGCGACAACGTATTGAATATTGTGGTGTTTCAGTTCCTCGATCACCATTCGGGCCATTTCGGGTGTCACATCCACGGACTTCTGGAGTTCGAGATGCGCTTGAGATGTCTTGCCAACTTTTAACAGCTCCAAGCCCATCCTCTTGCTTTCCTTCCGTCTCTCTCGTCTCTCTTTCTCCGTGCCAGCCTTACTCGGTAAGTTGTCTCCATCGAAAACGAGATAGGGTGTAATGCCGAAGTGGATGAGCATGCGAACGCGATTCATAACGAAATCGACGAATCTAGTAGCATGTCAGTGAGATCCTTGAGGTATTCGGCGTAGGGTAAAGTACTTCGTTGTCGGTTGGTCCAGCGCCAGATCAATGGCACAGGCAGCCGTGCCTCGGTGTAGCCAGCCATAAGTGTCTACGCCAATTGTCTGGCCGGCGTATTTCTTGAGACTGCATGGCTTTTGGATCGACTTGAGCAGCGGTAGAAGTCCTGTCCTACAATTAGTTTGGAATGGGGCACAGTGGTGGAGTACGCACCGGTGATGCCCATCTTGACCACTTTGCCGCGCACGCGTCGAGCCCAAACAACGACTGTATTGTGGCCGCTACTGTTTCATACTGCGTCGGCACGTCAATAGTAGTAAAAGGAAAGCTCCTCTATGTCTGAGTAGTATTCAACCCCGGAAGGAGGTCGCTGTCGCCAGTTACCTAGGTAAACGTTCTCGATATTAGTAGCATTCGGCGCGTAGAACGCGCCCCGCTAGAATGCCGCTAGGCTGGATTTGTATTTTAGCGCCGATTCCAAACTCCGACCCCCGACGAATATCTCAAAATTTCGTGCACAGAAACTACGCCAACATCCAACATATTACAGTCAAAATGGTCAGCAATCGCCTGAATAAGGTGCACAAGCAAATCACGAAGAAGAAGGGCAAAACTCCAAACCTGCACGAAAACAGTCGGGACACCCAACGCCTACAACGAGCAGCTGGTAGAGACGACAAGATCAACCGCGTGAGCAGACTACGAGAGAAGCAAAACCGCCCATATCGTATGACTAAAAATTCTGAACCTATGCCGTCTTCGTACTGATTTATTTCAGTATTGAGGATCAAGTCCTTCCAATCTTTCACAACAGAGCATGAATCACCTCTCAGCGTCTCAGAACTCCAGGCCATGATCGAGGACTACCTAGGTCGCGATGATGAAGAATTAGCCAAATTGAAAGCGGATCGCCGTCCAGGCCGGCCACCAATGACCCGTCAAACCCTCCTAGAGCAGAACCAGGCTGTTGAGCAGGGCGAGTATGCCTCCGGATTCTGGGTGCCTGACCTTGAGGATGCCGAAAATCTACGTAAATTAAAGGAATGGAGCGGCCAATGGGCTAACCTAGCTACCCTCAAGTTCGCCAGGATCTCCAAGGAGGGTCTCAAGCGAGAGTCAAGCTTTCCGCCAAAAGGCATGTCGTAAGAGATGGAAGATTGTATGCTTGTTTGGGTTGGAGACAGCGAGTACAGTGCGTGGGATGGAGTGAACAGTTGCGTGCAACGCGGAGGTCACCTTTCAGCACACCTGTCATTTGCACGCTGGCTAGTGTCTGCCTCCATTTTGGGTCGGACCTATCACACTTCTTCTGGATTATTGCTACGCCTCTCCGATTGAGATCCGGGTCTATCTACACAGCCAAGCAACCCATCACAAGCACGTAGGTGTACATTCGCGCTCCACGGAATCTGTCGGAGCCCACATGAATTGCAACTCTCGTACACGGCAGAGTGTTCAAGACGTGGAAGCGGGCTAAATCCCCGCCTGGGTTTTCCGCAGCTGTAATGCGAGCAACACTGTCCAGTCTCAATTTAACGGAGCCTTGATTTCCCAGATTCTCTGAAACCCCGTATTCAGCGCGGCAATTTTGTATGAGGTCGGAAAGACGATGAATGCACGGACTTGCCAGGGAGTAGAAGATGTTGGAAATGAACGCTATATCTTAAAAAAAGTAACGTTCATGAAGCAGGGCTTGCGCAAGAAATTTGAGAGCATCTCGATATATCGTAACAGCTAAACAGAAAATAGCGTTTGCATACACTAGCACTTCATCTTAATCCCCCTCCTCTTCTCGTTTTCTCTCCACTCAAACATGAGCTGAACAGCCATATAAAGCGCAGCACAACTCGTCGCCATGAACACCCAGCCGTCCCACGTCCCAATAATCCCCTTCAACAACTCGCCCAGACCATCCAAGCCCAGCGCAAAGCCCACAAGATTCGCTGCCATGAGCATCAGGATTTCGCCAACAGCACCCACGCCGCAGAGCCAGCGATACGCGTCGGGTCGATCCTTCCACTTGCGCGCTGGGAAAATGTACGAAGCGATGATCTCAGGGAGAACGAAGAGTGTGACGAGCCAACCCCACATGAGGAGGCGAAGTTGGATATCATGCCATATGGCGATAAAGGTGAAGACGATCAGATAATTTCCCACTGCTCTCGCCTTGCCCCAGATACCTGGCATCGCGCTGCCACCGAGCGGAATGTACAAGTAGCGCAAACTCCACTTGTTGAAGCTACGATGCCATCCGCGCCAGAAGTGCATGACGCTGTAATTATTCGACATGCAGCGGACCATGTTCTCTGGGGGGTCGATACCATCCAGTAGTGCCCAGAGGCGGAAGAAGCGCCACGGAATGAGAAGCTTGAGCCATATGTGCTTGAGATTGAAGAAGCCAAGCATGCTGAGCTGCGCGGGCGTGTACTGGGACCAGGCAGGCTTGGCGTGGAAGATGGCGACCATGTACATGTAGTGAATCATGATTTCCATGGTTAGTAAAACGACGATGAATCGTATGGCGTACATTGTTGTGCGTTTGCTGGTGATGCTATGTGGGCGGTAGCGTTGCTGGCAGATGTAGTCGTTGAATGTGACGACAGGGCCCGCGAGGTATAGTGGCGAGTACAGGGCATACGCGAAGTAGTTGCGGAAGCTATAGTCGCTTGGTTTAGCAGGGATGGTAACGCGGTCGCGCTCAGAGAGGTTAGAGGGGTCGAGTTGCTTCTTCTTAACGTTATTAGCTCGATCGGTGGACTAGGAGTAGGGGTAGTTACTTCGAGAGGACTATTGGCTCGCGAATTTAGACTCCAGTAGTAGTCGAGATTGAAGCTGATGAGTCGTAGGATGGTGAACTTGAAGAGCACTTCCCAGCGAGGCATGAGGCCGCCGTAGCTGTCGAGCGTATGACCGAAATTCCTTGTCGGTTGTTCCTTCTCTGATGATGGGGACGAGAGAAAGGCGCTGAAAATGGCATTGTACGAGTAGCCGGTGCTGAACTCGTTGGCGAACAAGGTACCGACGTTGAAGATCCATGTGGCGGCCGGTATATGTTCCTTCGGCAACTTCGTGACGATACAGTAGTTCGCATATAGTATTCCAAGAATCTTGAATGTGGAAAAGCCGTGCAAAGCAGTAAGGAAGACACCAGCAAACAGTACATCAAACGAGATGCGCTGGTTCAACCGGGCATCTGCTGCTGCGGAGGCAGTCAAGCCCATAGTGAGGCTACCATTACCCGCAGAAGGACGTACGTGCGTATATGTGTCCGCTCTCCAGAACGCGTCGTAGGCCTTCCGTAGCATTGGATGCAGTAAAACCACAATGAAGAGATACAACATGTTTGAACGGAATCCAGAGTATTGAGAGTCTGAGTTGTCCTACGCGTGTTGAGCATGTAGTTTGTGACAGTAGAAGAGGACAACATACGACTTTCCGGCCAGGTATCCAACCATCATCTAGCAAGTGAGAAAACCTTGAGTAATTCGGATGTGACTCTGAAAAACAATTAACAATTGATTCCCTGCTGCTGTGTAATTGGACAAACCTTTCGATACATCCAGCACCAACTTGAACATAAGGGCCACGGCTATCAGAACGGCCACGGAGTAGAAGTAAAACTCCGCTGTGTTCCATCGTGGCGGTTGTATATTGTCTCCTACATCCTTGCTCTTGCCTTTTCCATTCTGCACCGGCAAGGGCCCTGCTGGGTCGAGTTTGGCTTCCTCGAGGGCTTCCTTCGGGGGTGTCGTGGCCGGCACTACGAAGCGGGTGTCGAGGGTGTCGAGGGAGTATAGCTGGCGGAAGAATCTGAGCGCCATTGTGTTTCCAAGTCTATCTCGTCATCTTTCAGACATCCAAATGTCTATATAGCGCTCGGATGTGGGTGTGCGGCTTGGACGCGGGAGCGGCAGGTGCGGTGGTGAAGGAGAGCTCCGCAACCTCAACTTTTGAGGTTCGCGTCCTTGCGATAGCCTTCCTTCAACATCCACGCCCACCCCACGTTCACTGGCCCGAAACTACCTTGTCTGCTCACCAATACGCGTCAATTGAATCGCTGCACTACCGGTAGACCGCTGTGAAGCTTTGCGCATTGCGATACGACGCGCGATGAACATTCCCAATTCGTCAACCGCACCAGCAGCGGGCGAGTACGCTGGAGGTATGTATAGCTCGGAGAGCTTCACGATGCGCGCAAACTGACCTGCATGCAGACGAGGTCTCCGCGATCGTTCTCGACCCCGGATACTCGACTGTACGCGCGGGGTTCGCGGGCGAAGACGTCCCCAAATCAGTCTGCCCTTCCTTCTACGGCCTGACCGACGAAGGCAAATATCTCTTCGGCGAGAATGCAATCCATGCGCCTGTCGGGAATGTCAACATCAAGAACTACTGGGGCTCAGATGGCATAGTAGAAGACTGGGACACGGCGACGAAGCTCTGGGAGTATGCCATCACCAGTCGGCTTACGGGCGCGAGACCTGGAGACCCTGCAAAGAACGGGCTAAATGATGGCGCTGATGCGAACGGGGACGCCATGGATATGGACATTGATGCGATAGAGAACAACGAGAAGCCGCTAGAAGACAGCCCGTTGCTCGTCACTGAACCGGGTTGGAACAGCGCGAAAGCGCGGGAAAAGTACATCGAGATCGCAATGGAGGACTGGGGCACGCCAGCCTTCTTCCTGCAAAAGACAGGTGTCCTGGCTGCCTTCGCGTCAGGCAAAGCGTCGGGCATCATCATCGATGTCGGCGCATCACATACCAGCGTTACGCCAGTGCTAGACGGCATGGTGCTGCGCAAAGGCGTGCAAAAGTCTCCCTTAGCAGGCAACTTTGTCTCGTCCCAAATCCGCCAAACATTCAAGCAGGCGACCCCCGAGATCCCACTCACACCACACTACCTGGTGCAATCCAAAACCCAAGTTGACGCCGGCGCCCCCGCACAAGCAACCTACAAATCTTTCTCCAGCAACCCACCTACAGACTCGTTCCGGCTCAACGAAGAAGACCGCATCCTAACCGAGTTCAAAGAGTCTGTTGTAGAAGTCTGGCCAGGACCCGGCCGCTTCACAAACGGCACCAACGAAGAGCTCGCCAAGAACATGCCCGGCAGACCCTTCGAGATGCCAGACGGCTGGAACCAAGTCTTTGGACCAGAACGCTTCCGCGCGGCGGAGGGGCTATTCGATGCATCTGCCGCACTGACGAGCGAGACCAACCCGCGGCCAAAGGATGAGCAGACCATCCCCAGACTGGTGCAGGCGGCGGTGCAGCAGGTCGATGCTGATCAGCGGCCCATGCTGCTCTCTAATATCGTTGTCACGGGCGGTTCGACATTACTATACAAGTTCAACGAGCGTCTCAACTACGAGATCAACAACATCTACCCGTCTACTCGCAACAAGCTCATCGCGCCGGGCAGTGTAGTGGAAAGAAAATACGCAGCTTGGATTGGAGGTAGTATACTCGCCAGCCTGGGCAGTTTCCACCAGCTGTGGATTTCAAAGAAGGAGTATGAGGAGCATGGAGCTGGTATCGTAGAGAAGCGGTGTCGGTGAGCAAATTATACGTAGAAGGAGCTTGCAACTGGGAAGTTCTGGGCTAAGTTAGGGGTTCTGTTGCGGGTGAAGAGGAGTATGTGCGTCTAATGGCGTTTTTTGGACAAAAGGCTTTGTGAGAGTAGAGACAGAGTTTGAAGGCTAGTAATGATTTTATTCGTGTTCAAATGTTTGACCTTTCTGAGTGAATCGATGTTGATGTAAAATGGTCAATTTGAAGGACTTCACCGTGTGCATCAAGTTCACGTTACGAGCCAGCTCTTCAGCGGAGAAAAAGGACAAGTTCATAGCTCTTGGTGGTCATGATCGTGTTGCCTCTATCTAATCGGCTACCGTGGATGGGCCATAATGGACCTCTGATCCGGGTTATAGTACATGTCTTCATGCCCGTAACGCCTATGCGAATTCTTGCCCGACAGCTCTTCAAGTATCGATATCCATCGTCTCTGCGGTTGCCGTAACGTCTTCGTCCTTCAGCTCGTGCACTGTGACATACTTGCTAATCTCCTCCTTGGTGATGACCTTTTCGTTCAGCACCGCTGTGGTGCCCCGCTGGAAGCGGTAATTCCGCTGCTTGGGCCGCCTGGTGTTGGGCGTCTTGAAGTTCCTCAGGAGCGTCGTCTTCTCCTCGGTAATGACGGCGACGTCGACGTTGCTGCCAGACCCCAGATCGTTCCAGATACCCGCCTCAATCGCATTTGCACACAAGGCCACGGCCTCATCCCGGCTCAAATTGCCCTTCCATTGCGTCTCAAAAACGGACATGGCAGCCAGACTACCCGACCCCATTGTCACGTAGGGAAGCTTGTCGGTGGAGCCGTGGGCGTGCACGGTGAAGAGGTGGGCGCCCGTGGGGTCCACGCCGGCGACGACAAGGTAAGCGCCAATGTGGCCTTGATGGCGGAAGAGGTGCTGCTTCAGCATGGTCATGCAGGTGACTACGCGTGGCGTGCGGCCGGTGGAGAGGGCGTGCAGTTCGAGGTTCGACGAGATGATGGCGGTGGTGAATTCCGTGTCTGCGGCGGTGCCGGCGCCGGCGCACCAGATATGGGGGGAGATGTAGTGGAGTTTCTCGCAGTTCTAGCCATGTTGTCAGATATGTAAGTAGGTGTTTGGTGGAGCGTCGCGGAGCCCATGGCGGGGAGTGGGTGAGGTGAGGGCGACGTACCTTGTCCGCTACTATAGGACCGCTGGTGGCTCGGGTATCTGCTGCGATCACGACGCCGCCATCGAAGAGACATCCCACAATGGTCGTTCCTGTGCTAGTCGCCTTGGGTAGTGGGACACCCTGGGCGTGGAGCGCCGCATTGCGGTTGTGGTGGGAGAAGTCGAAGCCGCCCATGGTGACGCGGAGAGACGGGTTTGTGCCTGCGTGATTGTGCGTTGTAGTTTGACGGTGCTGTGCAGTACAGGTGGCTTGCAGCTTCTTGGAGCGGTGAAGGTCGACGGGGTGTGGTATAAACCTAGGATTCAAGACGGCGATGGTGAGGTTGCGTAGCTGTCGTGCCTGGAGCTGGAGCTGGAGCTTAGCGCCTTGGTACGATCCGAGCTCGCAACTTTCTTTGGGGAGCTGCAACAACAAAGGTCGCGCCGTGTGAAAGTTGTCGTCGCCTACATGCTTGTCGCTCTATGACATAAGAGCGCCAGGCCCTCCTTCTAGGCCACCATTCTCAATAAAAGCTTCGAGCTCTTCCGCCCCAGTCCACCCCGGGCTTCACGCTCGTTTTCGTCCACCCCGTCTCCGATCCTACACTCGCGCTCCAGTGCCGATGATATAGCAAAGACGCTGTACCGCAAAACATCCCAGCGCGAGATCCGACCGAGCTTCCTACGCGCGAGAACCTCATCCGCCTTCACCATGTCTACGGGCAACGCGCCGACAGTCGAGGCTGGACCAGAAGTTGCCGATATAGAAACAGAGGTAGCTTACCAGTTGCTAGCACTAGCAATCCTAACACTGGCCAGCGCTAACGTATATACAGCATCTAGGATTTAAAGCTCTCAGCCAGGGTGGAGCAGGTCCCAAGAAGGTCAAGATCCTCCCCGAGCCATGGCCTACCGACAACGTGCCTCCTGCCTCAGCGACGCTTCTCTCAATAGCCTCCAAACCCGGCTTCCTCGCAGCCGCCGGGCCCGGCCTCCTCGTCGTGACCACAATCGACAAGGTGCGCAAAGCATTTGAAGAGCAGGCTGGCGAAGGCGATGTCGTCTCAGACTTTACCCCCGACGTGCAACTGACGGTTCCCACGCTTCGCCATGTCGTTTTCTCGACAGAGGGAGAGTTCCTCGTCGTATCTGCCGAGGAGAAGGGAGGGCTTGCAGTCTTTGATGCTGCAGAAGTCGTAAACGCCGGGAAGAAGGAGCCAAAGAGACAACTCGACACCGAACAGGTAACCCTTCGCGCACTCCTACCAAACCCCGTACCCTCATTGGCCCACTACTTCGCCGTTGTTCTCGACTCGGGCAAACTTATGATAACCAATGTTGATGACGGGGTATCGAAGACCATTAAAGCCGAAGGTGCCAACTGTGTCGCATGGAGTAACAAGGGAAAAGCCGTGGCAGCCGGATTACAGGATGGAACTTTTGCGATACACTTGAGCACAGGAGATCTAAAGGCAGTCGTCCCACGTCCTCCTGACGTCGACCAAAGCTTTACTACCTCTGGCCTGTCATGGCTCAACAACGAGCAATTCCTCGTTGTACACTCTCCAAAGCATCCTGATCTGCAAGAACCACAGGACAGCAAGTACAATATCGTCAAGAGCAACAAAAACTGGACATCATTCACGTTTCATCCTCTCCCTTGGGACCCACTTCTTACTGCGCAAGAAATACCCCGTCGAGCTCTCCCCCCGCGCTTCTCAGCCACACGGCTACGGAATTGGCTGCCTGATCTCGAGGATATGCTCATCATCACCAACTCGCACACCGATGCCATCGCGGTACTGGCGTCGACTAGCGCGAAGATATCACCCTACCAAGAGACCCTCGACGAATTTGTCTTAGTCGATATCGACGACACAAGAAAGGCTGCGGTACCTCGAGCTGCTTATGGAGAAGATTCCGACAGTGTTTTCATTGGCGAGGCATTGGATCTTTCTAGTACAGAAAAGATACTGCGCCCAGTTCCAGCACTAGAAGAAGAAGGGATCAACGAGGCTCCGTGGCCACTGCCTGCATATATGGCTCTTACTCATGAGGGAGTTCTGGCAGCATGGTGGGTGGTTTGGAATCGATCCATCCAGGCCGGCACGCGCTATCCTGGTCTCATCTTTGGCAGTGAAGATGCCAATTCGGTAGCTTCCTCAGCTACTATGGACACTGCTCCTGCTCCAAAACCTGCACCCCCCGCCTCTATACCATCGTCTGGATCCCCGTTCGGACAGGCTTTAAATGGTCCGTCCTTGAATGGAACGAGCAGCGTCTTCGGCAAGCCGGCGGCCACTTTTGGAAACACCGGGTTTGGTACGCCGACTCCCGCCTTGATGAAACCCACACCACCAGGCTTTGGTACGCCTGGATTTGGGTCTACTACTCCGAAGCCTGCACAACCGGCGTTTGGTGCTCCTTCTGCGATAGGAGGTACTTCCGGAGGCACTGGGTTTGGGTCTACTGCTCCGAAGCCTGCACAGCCGGCGTTTGGTGCTCCTTCGGCGATCGGAGGTACTGCTGGAGGTACTGGGTTTGGAGCGGCAGGTGGAATGGGCAACAAGCCCTCTCCCTGGGGTGCACCCTCACAACCTACCCAGCCTCAAGCAAACCCATTTTCTGCTGCAGCTAGTGGTGCGTCAGGGTTTGCAAAGTTCGGACAGTCCGGCGGCGGTTCCAACTTTTCGAGTTTTAGCAGCAACAATGGTGCTCAGTCAGGATTTGCATCACTCGGCCAGGGGCAGCAGAAACCTGGATTCGGGAGTCTCAAGACCGAGCCGAGTTTTGGCTCTACGGTCACAGTAGGCTCGGGCACTGGCTCCACGCTTCCATCATGGGCCAACACGCCAGGGCAGCAGAGTGGCTCAATGTTTGAGCAAAATAAATCCTCATTCAACACATCCTCGTTCGAGTCCAAAGAGTCCGATAGGAGTGATACAGAGGACGCAGAACGACGGAAGAGGGACGAAGCCACACCGACCCCCCAAGCTCCTCCACCACAACAATCACAACAATCACAAGCCCTCTTCGGCCTTGCAGGCGGCTTTAAGCTTGGAACCACTTTCTCGAGTGATGGTACAGCGAAAGACGACCCGGCGAAGCCTGCAGCTCCCACAAACGGCTCGTTCTTCGGTAGTGACTTCGCAAACACAATAGGCGTAGCAGCCTTGAAGCCACCGGCTACTCCTTCGAAGGAAGCGCCACCGAATGTCTCAACTACTCCTGCGTCACCACCAAAGCAAAAACCGCTATTCCCGAGTGCAACTCCAGCGAAAGAGAGTGATACCCCGAAAGCAGCTCCACCAGCCAAGGAGAAAACACCTCCCATTGACGATGCGCCACTTCCTCCTGACTTCACAACGGCAAGATCATCCAAGCCGGATGCACCACTTCCCCCGGATCCTATTAACACAAAGCTACCGCAGCCGACAGACGATGACTTTCCACCTCTTGCTGGTAGTCCAGGCATCAAGGTTGAAGCCCCCAGCTCATCCGTTGAGGTATCTCCTATCGATGAAGAGGATGATGACGAAGATTTTTCGGATGAAGATGATGAGGGCGAAGACGAAGACGACGAAGAAGCGTCTCCCTCAGGCCCTGCCTCAAGATCGCAGCCATCGAAAGCAGGTGGCTGGAGTTTCCAAGATAGTGTCAATCAGTCTCCACGTGTCTTCCCTCCTGCGCCTACGCCTCCAGCTATCAAGTCCGGCACTACGTCGCAATCTGGTAGGAGCGCATCACCAGCCCAGCCTGCGCTATTTGGCCAACCTACCAGACCAGCTAGTAGTCAGCCGGCGTATTCAAACTCATCACTCTTCGGCCAACAATCACAAAAAGGTCCCTTGTCATACGGGTTAGTAAACAAGACAGACCAGTCTACGACACCCGGAAAACCAAATCTTCCGCCACCGACGAATCGCGCGCATGCCAACTTGCGCGCATCAAGTCCAGTTCGTTCAGCATCAACATCTGCCCTTCGAACACGGAGAGAGCCGTTGGTCGCTCCAGGTGCTTCGCTGAGTGCATCGGTTCAACAGTTGAAACCGCCAACACCACAGCCACAGGTTTCTGATCTCGAAGATGAAGAGGATCAACGCATGCGCGAGCAGCTTGCGCGACCAATTGAGCCTAGCAGGACGCTGGACGAGTTCGTTGCATACCAAAACTACACTGGTAGAGCTCCTAGCAAGACTGGCCATGCTGCCCAGATTGAGATGATTTATAAAGACATCAACGGCATGGTTGATGCGCTTGGCTGGAACGCGCGTTCCATCAAGTCGTTCACCCAGTATCACAAGAAACCTCAACCTGGCCATAAAGTCAATCGACGTACCCTAGAGGATGTGGAAGATGAAGGTCAAGACGGCGCGTGGTTCGAGAAGTTTACCCTGTGCGAAATCGAGGCGTTGAAGGCTCTCGAAGATCAGCTGGAACAAGAGTTGGATGCAGGTCGAGTACAGGACGTGCTTGACAAGCTTGCTCAGCTGGCCCGTCTCCTCCATGAGAAAGCTAAGCTGATGACACGCCTCAACGACATCCGCCGTCAGATCATCAACCGCAAGGATCCCGACAAGGCCGAGGTGCTGCGCAAAGCGCCATTACCGAAGGAACTCGCCGACGGGCAGAAAGCTCTTCGCAACCACTATGCCCAGCTGCTGACCTCACTTAATAAAGCGGAAGAAGCTGCTTCGATCCTTCGAACACGCGTCGCTTCTCATAATGCCCAGAACGGCAAGGCCGGTGCTGTACCGACCATGGATGCGGTGAAGAAGACAATCATCAAGATGACTAGTATGGCTGAGAAGCGCAACAGCGACATCACATTACTTGAGTCGCAAATGCGCAAGGTCGGTCTCACAGATGCAAGTCGTCCCTCTTCGTCATCTTCTCGCACTATCGGCACACCGCGACGAGCAAGAGGTACAAACCTGCGTAACAGCGTGGCCGGGCCGCCGCTCGCTACACCGCCTATAAATCGCAACAAGATGAGTCTGAGCGAGTTGAATCGCCACGCCCTCACGCCAGACGTCGATGCCACCCCCACACCGAGCAAGGGGTATGGTCTGTTTTACACGCCTCAAGGTAGCCCTTCGCCGAGCAACGAACTTGCGCGCTTGGGTGATCTCGTTGATGAGAATCTTGACAGTTTGAGGGCGACGGCGAGACGGAGGAAGCAAGTTGCTGCCGGATTGAAGAAGGCGCTTGTTGAGCGTGGTGTCAAGACTACCAAGGTCAACTGATTGACAGATTGGGATCGACTGGTTTTGGTTGACTTGGTTATGATTGTGTATCAGTAGGCGTTTCTGCAACGCTTGTGTTTTTTTGGAATAGCGCATTGGAATGAATTGAACATGTGTATGTAATACGTTGAGCGAAGCATTGGCATGCTGGTCTGGAAGGCATGGAATCTAGTCTCGTTGTCGATAGTGTTTTGCTTCGGATCTTGTATAATGAATGTCATTACACCTGTTAACTATATGCAGAACCAAGACGCCAGTGTCATTAAGCCAGAACACATCGCCTCGCCGACGGTCACTATCGCCTCATCCATGGGCACCATCGCCTCGTCCATAGGCAGCATAGCGACGTACACGAGTACTGTTGCCTCATCCTTAGATACTGCCGCATCATATATGGTATTATCACGTCCTCTATGAGTGCCATTAGTCCAAGAGTCCATGAGTGTCATTGCCTCTTCAATGAGTACTGTTGCCTCTTCTTACGAGTGCTATCGCCTCATTTAGAAGTGCTATCGCCCCATTTCCGAAGGCGGTAGGTGCCATCACCCCTAGTAAGCGTTTGGTTGGCCTCGCCTATGTCTTTCGCTACAGTGAACTCCATCTACCAGCATTCCTGTCATCTACCCCAATACCTTTGGCAAGTTTCAACAGCATATCACCAGTTGAGCGCTTGGAGGCCCTTGATGAGGAGAACGATACGTTGTCAGCGCATCTTAGCCGCCCGACTTTAAACTCGAACGCGATAAACAAGATGATCGCAAGAAGTCCGACGTTGTTGAAAAAGAAGGATGCCATCTACGCTATACGAACGAAGGATCACGTAAAGCCCGAGGCCGTGCCATAATATTAGGACCGTCCATGTGTGCAAGAAGAGTGTGGATCCTATGTACTTACATATCAACTTATATCCGAGCGATTCGTTGCAACGACACAAGCTAACCGACGAACTCGAGAGTTAAAAGTGGCTCAGTCTAGCATCGAGGAGCGAGAGAGACTGCGGCTCAGGACGAATGCACAAGTTGCCGAGCGAAAGAAAAAATACAAGACGTAGCGAGACAAGGACCTAGACTAGGGTTCAACTTAGACTGCTGTTAAATTAGGGAAGCAAAGACAGTATACCGTGGCCTCTGTACGTCTTATGTACTGGTCCCAAATACATCGTTGTCATAGTTGAGGGTGCTCATGATGATCTAGGCCTACTACCTCTGCGTACATCAGTGTTCCCATACGTAATTTCACGATGAAAGACGACAAGACTATACAGGAGCCTAATGTATAAACAAGCAACGAGTTTGTACACGAACATTGACTACGCTACCGCAACACCTTCTCGACAACGATCAGTAAAGACAGCCAAGACCACCGCAATACGTTCGCCACAACCAACGATCAAGACGGGATACTCTACGCCATTACAGAGTTCAGGAAAGAACCCACCTCCTTTCTCAGCTACCTTGTAGTACACCTCAAGCAGATCGTGTACGATCTTGTTGGTGCATCGGATCGCACGTGACAAAGGCAAGAACTCGTCTCTTACCTAGCCCTAGCGTCCTAGCAGCATCTATTTATATATATATATATATCCTCCGCTACTTCTCTCCCTCCTTCTCTCCATCACTCTTCTCTAATTTTCCATAACTCCCCTCTAACTTTCCACTCCTCTCACATTTTCCAGAAAATTTTCAAAATTTCGCCCGAATATCCTTCTCTCCTCCCCAATCCAATCGACCTCAAGATACCTCCAACACAGGAAAGCCTGTTGAGCTAGTGCCAATCCGTGGAGGTACTTTGAGACGGAGATGTACTCTGCCAGCATGGTTAGTCAATTTACGCCCATCCACTTGCATAGTACTAACTCATTTAGATCAGCTCAGCCGCCCCCTCGCCGACCGTAGCCTACAACGACGAAACAACGAGAATGAGGATGGGATACACATATCCCGACGAGAACAATCAAGACCGTCGTAGCGAAGTCTGGATCACCTTCCATGGAACAAAATATAAGAGCAACACTCACGAAGTATCGCCCAGAAGCTCCCTGCACGACGGTCCAGGATATGAAGATGGCCTACTGAACGCGTCAAACTTCGCCTTCGAGACACGAATCCCTGAACTGAGGTATATCAAACCGCAGAGATGGCAGGGACAGGTGTACCCGCTGTGGAAAGCGAAGTTTGGAGCGGTCCAATCGACTGACACCAAGGAGATTGTCAGACGGAAGCTCAAAGAAGAGAACCAGAAGAGAAAGGCCGACCATGATTCTCAGAACCCCAACAAGAAGACGAAAGTAACGACCATCGCCAACGACATCGCATCAGACACAGATGAAAAGGACGACACTGTCTACATGAATGCAAATGCCCTTTTCGAGCGCTTCTACGAATTCGACAAGACGCTCTCAAAGAACGCATACGAACGAGTTGGACTGTGCCTCCAATACCGGGACAGTCTTACGAAACCGCCTCCAATTGCCCTCCTTAGACAGCTGCATGAGAATGGGAAGGACTTCGCACGCCATGATCCAGCCAAGGTATGGACCGATCCAGCATGGGTGAAATTCCTCGAAACGCATGCACCCGACTCGATGAGCGCGAGGGATACATATCTCGCTTGGCGCGCAGACATTGACAAGTGGCGCGAGGATCTCGCACGCATGCTCAAGAAGTATTCGGAGTGAATGCTAAGTTTTTCGGCATGAACAATGGTTCAAGAACATGATATGTTCTCAGACACTCGAAAGTGAGACATGGCATTTGGACGAGCAAAAAGGAGGTACATCGGAGGCATGGCATTTAGGCGAGTATAAAAGCACATGGGAGGACTGGTATTCAAATCTTTTTGCATTTTCTTTGAGACTGATGGCGGTCTGCATTATTTGGATGCCCCTTGACGTGAGAACATACCATTCTCTCTACTACAACGTCACCTACTCGATAGAGGCAGGGCACACCGAATATATCTAGTATTCATTTAGAAAAACAATGTAATGGACATTACAAAACTTCACATCTTGGTATAACAGACTATAATAGACCACCTACTATAGAGTCCAGCTCTAATAGCGCAGACTTTGCTTGACGGGGGCGTTGCGTTATAGTCGGCTGAAAAGTCCTAAAGTTAAAATCAAGTAAAACGACCTTACGAGAGGATTTGAAAAGCGCCTATACCAGCTCAACTAGGGCGTAGGCGCTTTGAAAATCCTCTTAGTTGAGCCATCGCTGGCTCTGTGAAAGTACTTTGAGTGCGGAGATGTTTGTGATTACATTGATCAACAACCTTACGAGATAGTCAAACCAAGACCTAGGCCCTCTTTGAAATAGACAAAAAGAGTAAAGAAATGCAAAGATGTAATGATGTTAACGTTAAAACATGTGAGGCCGAAGCCATGTAGCGTAGAGTGAATTTACGTCATACCCATCAGCCAATTTTGCACATCACATTCATTGATATTGTGTCGACTGACATTGCTTCGCAAGGGGTAGGCTGGGGAGACATGTGAGTTGTGGGTCTAACACCCACGAGTAGCCATTGCCACTTGTTGGCGAAAAAGAAATGAAAGAAAATAAAACATAAAACAGCAAAAAGAAATCCAGGATTTCGACAACGGCAGGATTCGAACCTGCGCGGCCGAAGCCATATGATGTCTAGTAGATTGAAACTCGTTCGAGTCATACCCATTAACCACTCTGGCACGTTGTCTTATTTGCTGATGCAGAAAATTGGATTAAGATGGTAGATATAAGGAGGTTTTATTCACCTAACATGCCCTTAGCCTAAGCGCTGCTTGCTCGAGAGAAACCGTACACTCACAAAAAATGCTGTCAAAGTGGGGCGGGGATGGAAATTTAAGCAGCCCGTGCCGTACGAGACCCTCGGCAAGCGCAGCGCGTACCCGGTCACTTTTTCGTCGCGCTATCAGGAAATTGTGGGGCGCGATCTCCGCGAATGGAGCACTTTATCCGACAACATCATTGGGTTCATGCAGGTCCCGACATTAACACCCCAGAATAACTCAGCGTGCCACGACGGAGCATGAGCGCGACCTCAAAGTGTTGAGCTTGCTACTGCTGCTTGCCATCTTGGAGTTTAGTCACTCTGCTTACCCGGTTCGCTTGCCCGCGCCATGAGGACGAGAAGCACACTACGATTTGAGTTGAAGGTCTGCGCTTGAAGCAGAGGCACCATGGAGACGATAGCAGCAACCCCCAAAGGCGCATCGCTGGCGTCGCCCAAGGTCGTGAAGAATGCCAAAGGCAATATCGTGCCGAGTAGCCAGATGGCACATATCGCATACGGCTGTGGTATGCCTTGCCCCAACCCAACCACGAATGTCCTCTGCTGACCTTGGAACAGAGCACATGGGCGAAATGTTCGAAAACGCGCGCAAGCAGACCCTGCAGCACTACCGGCTCATCCTCCAGAATATCCACGAGAAACCGAGCATAATAGCGCAGACGTACAATGATTTGGCGGCGAATGAAGGGATGCATGTTGTCAGCCTCAGGCCGCTGTTTTTGTGCCTACAGTGTCCGAGCATCATGACGGAGAGGGACAGGGATCTGCACTTCGAGACCAAAAGTCACTGCTTTTGTATGTTGTCGCAGTATGATATACATGTGTTGGAGGCAAAGCGGCTAATGGGCAGCAGCGGTGGAGTCAAGGGACGGGAACATACACTGTGGGAACTGCCAAGATTTCATCTACGATCCCGCGTTGGAGGTCTTGAGACTCCAGAAAGGTCACTTCCTACCCCCCTCCTCTTTTGGGGACTGCGAGCTGACAGAGTACCTATAGGCAAAAAGCGCAAATACGAAGACACGACTACCACCGACGACCACAAGCTTGTCGTGAGCAACTCCACCTTCCTCCCATGCCGCGCTATTGGTCTCCGCGGACTATATAACATGGGCCAGACATGCTTCATGAGCGTCATACTACAAACCCTCGTCCACAACCCCTTCATTCGGAACTTCTACCTCTCGGAAGGGCACAAGCAGACGGACTGCGAAAAGGAGGCCTGCGTTTCCTGCGCACTGGATGAGATGTTCGTTGAATTCCACTCTGCGGAGAAGACAGAGGGATTCGGTGCTGTGCAGATGCTTATGGGCAGTTGGTTAGCTGGAGAGGCTCTTGCAGGCTACCAGCAGCAAGATGCGCATGAGTACATGCAGTTCATCTTAAACACACTGCACCTTGCAAATGGCGGTAACACCGACGATGACTCTGAGGACTGCAGATGTGTAGTTCATCAAACGTTTTGCGGGAAGCTGTCGAGTACAGTAACATGCGACAAGTGCCGGAACGTTACGACAGCGCTAGACCCGTATATGGATCTCAGCCTCGACGTGCGGGGCCAGAGTAAGAAGCGGAAATTTAACGCTAACAACGGTGGGGAGGAAGCGCCAGCTCTGGACCTGAGAGATTGCCTTGACAGGTTCACAGTCAAAGAGAAATTCGCCGAGTACACATGTAGGAATTGTGACAGCTCGCAGAACGCAACGAAACAGTTGAGCATCAAGCGATTGCCGCCGGTTCTCTCCATTCACCTGAAGGTACAATTCCCCTCCCTCGAAGTCTCTAGACTACCGATTATTAACGCAAACAGCGCTTCGAGCACACCAAATCCACATCCTCAAAGATCGAGACGCCCGTTCGCTTCCCAGTGAAATTGGACATACACCCGTACACGACCCAGCACAAGGCTCAACTGAGAGTTGCGAAAGCCTCTGGTACGCCTATTGCGATACAAAATATGAACTCGCCAGCGAATAGCTTAATTTATGAGCTTTCGTCTGTCATTGTGCATAAAGGCAAGATTGACTCTGGACACTATGTTTCATACTCAAGAGAAGGGAATGATTGGTTCATGTTCGATGATAGCAAAGTCGTGCTTGTTAGTGAGGCCGACGTTCTTGCTGCAGAGGCGTATCTTTTGTTCTACATGGTTGGTGGCCTGGAAGTGTAGGCTGCAACCTTGCTCGTATATCTTTGCTCGCCCGTTTCCGTCGTGGGCATAGGCCCTTGTCATGTTTGTGTGTTGGGCTATATATAGCCCGGAGTTGAAGGATCGACGTTTCTTGAGGTGCATTTTTGGCGTTCTACTGGCATAGGAGGTATGTAATACCAGCAGCATGGCGCCTGGCGACTATGGAAAGTCGAAAGTTACTGGATTTGAGGGAATTTCCGGGTTCTGAGGAGTAGAAGGATTACTGCATCAAACTCTTCTTTTCACACTCTCAACCACTTCTTCCGTATTGGCTGAAATGACGGAAGTGCGCAGTAGTCGACGAATTGTTTGTCATCCAGGTTCTTTTTACAAACACGACACTCGAGGCGAATCTGACCAGATTTGCCGCTAGGTAGTTTAGCCGTGATCTATATAAGATGTGAGTATGCCTTACGGTCCCGCGCTTTGGCAGGAGCGTAATAACTAGAAAGTCATAATTTTTGGGTGGCCTAAGTAATTAGGCAGCTAGACTGTTCTGATAGGGGTCCTAACGGAGAGGTCAACCTGACCGGCTTAGTAAAGTGGAGTTCAAGAGCTTGGGTGGTGGCCTTAGACCGGAGTTCGCTAAGGAAGGATTTTGGCGACTAGAGTGTGGCAGAGTTCTAACATGCACAGAGCCGATCTTAAGAGTGGCAGAAATGATTCATAGACGGCACGTGGAATGGCTTGTCTCGTGTGATCACCGTTGTTCTAGCGATGCTGTCTTTCTAGTGGTGGCACCTGGACCCCGGCGTTCACTTCTGTGTCCGTGCGCTTTGATGGTGCAGAGTGCCAGACCCACATAGCAGTGAACAAGAAGGTTGGCAAACTTTTGTATTGAGACATGCTATTTACTCCTTCGCCGATGAGTAGATCCACAGAAGAATTGTCTTTTCTGTGCGTCCGGATGCTCTAGCATCTTAGGCGTACGGCGTGATCTGAATGACTTTCATTGCATATTAATAGTAAATTATGATGGGCTGGCCCTAGCCCACTCTGCATCATCTTCCAAGGATACTTTTGCGTATTTCGACGACTCTAGGGACGCTAGAGGACCTCAGTACAGGCGGGATGCGTCATGGCACTCCAAAGGGCTGGGATTGGATTGAATTGGACGCCGTGTGGGCGTTAAGCCTTGCATTAAGCCTTGTGTCTCATGTTTCCTTTTCGTCTTACTATTCTGTCATAAAAATGAAGCGCAATGAGCCCCACACTGGGGCCTTACGCTACCACACCCAAGTCTGAATTCCTTGCACGAGAGACTTGACGACAAAATTACGGAATAATTTACTTCAGATAGCCACTCACCCACGAGTATTGGAAGATCCCAAGCTCTTTGTATGTCACGATAAAATTCTCGTAAATCCTTCACCTAGGGAGCCAAGAATGTAACCCGCTCGGCTACGTAAGTTCTTAGTAGTCAGCGATCATAGTGAATGTGCCTTGCGATGTGCATGTCTATGTCAGGCCCTCAGCAGTAGGTGGATGCCGTGTTCTACTTCCAGGGTGGGTTTTATGCGTCATTAGTGTGTTCATGAATGGATCGCCATTAGACCAAACCATGACTAACATACCTAACAGAAACGACGAGGCTATGATTCGGAAAAGCTATGCATTCATCTACCCCAATCAGACAGATTCTGTTCAGTGAATAGGGGTAGTGAAGAAGCGTTTCGTTAGCCACTGCACGCGCCTCCTTTTGTTCAATTGATGTCCTCGATCATACAGATGCTAGGGCGCCCTGGACGTTCTATTCACCTTTTTCCGAGATCTCACTGCCGCCTACTCGGCTCCAGGACGTGTCCATCCAGACTGACACAGGACAACACCAACATAAAATGCACCGCCCCTCGGGCTTGGCACACTTAGTCGCGTCAATGGTCAGAGTTTCGAAAACCGATCAGAGTAGATTCCAGAGAAGGCGCGCATCACATTCTTTTTATCCTCCCCACCCCCATCGCCCCTTTCACGCATGCAGAAACTCGAACCGACATGACCTCGCACTCGAAGCTTGAGAAACCCAACAGCGTGTCACCTCACGACTTTCGGCGTTCTATTCGCAACACGATTCAAAACCCCCACCGGCTCCTATGGCTAGGCTGTGCTACTGTCTCATTGTTGAGCGCAAGACACTTGTTGGTCGAACAAAATGTGCACTCCCCGCTACAGTTATACATCTACCAACTCGCCGCAGCGGCCACTTTTATATTCTGTCTACATCCATGGCGGCGGAAAGTCCAGGAGACAAGTGAACAAGAACAATGGAAGAAGGCAACAGTGCAAGGAACGTTAATGGTCGCCGGTGCGCACTGCCTGTTAGCAATATCGATGAGCTGCACAATGCAAGCCATCTTGCACTTCAGAAACTTTCCAGTGCTCATTTTCATGACTGTGAGTACTTGGGAGCATGTCTTAATTCACAAAAGTCTAACACCGCTAGACAATAGCCTACTTCGTCGAAGGTTTGATACTTTTCGTTGCAGGACTCAGGCCTCAGTCACGAGCAGAAATTTTGCGCCTTTGCCTACTCGTTCCAGCTTGTGCTGGCATCTTGATCACAGAATATCGACTGAGGGTACCGAGCCTGCTACCATCTATTCTAGCAATGCTGTTCGCTGGGATCGCAAGTGCTCTCAGAAAGCTTGCCATCGAGTACTATCCAGGCGACATGGCCGATCGCAACGTGGAGAATAGATGGCTTGTCGGTATGGGAGCTCTGGTTGCGGTAGCTTGGGTCGTCTTGCATTGGCCTAGACAACATATATTCATGTTCGACATGGAAAGCGTACCGATGCTCGCCATCAATGCCTGCTTCAGTGCGGCCGCACTGTTGATGGGAGGCTCAGTCCTCTTTCCAATGGACACCCATTCCGATAGCCAACCACCCGAAACTGTTGATATGCAATCGCACCGCATCATACACGACACTCTAACACTGTTGACCCTTATTGGGATTGTAGGATGCTACTCCACTCTTTCGTTGCGCCGCTCTTACATAAGCTGGTATCAACTAGGGTGCTTCATCCTCGCAATGCTGTGTATCAGCAGCAAAGCCGTCTATACCGTCGCCTGGAGATTGTGGGAATGTCAAAGGGATAACCACGGGAGTTACGAACTCGTCACAGACACGTCTATACTACCGCCAAGCAACAACGAAACGACAACTTTCATTGAAGAGTCGAACAAAGCCCGGTTAGAAACAATACAGATAGAGACTCGAAGCACTGGCTGGCACTCATTCTTGGTCAGTATCGCGATGGTGATGATATGGACGTCGTATCTGTTGTTAAACTTCACAGAACGGGAAGGCCCTCGTGTCCATACCGCTCTTAACCGGGAATACACTCCGAATTTGGCTGTAGAGGTTGTACTCAGCATGTACAAAGAGCCGGTAGATGAGGTTGCTCAGCTCATTTCGAATCTGAAAGTCATGCCATCACTCTCGGAAGCTCTCTTTACAATCTACATCAAGGATTCGGAAACCGATACGGAGATGATCAAGAATGAAACGGGTGCGAATAGTGTCACCTTACTCCCCAACATTGGAAGAGAAGGCGAGACGTACCTGAACCACATTGTCAATCGCTGGGACACTCTTGCGAAACAGACAATCTTCCTTCAAGCAAACATCCACGATCAGCGAGAGTTCTACTCGCATCTCAACAACTACTTCAAACCAGGTCGAACGGGCTTCCTCAGCCTTGGCTGGTCTGGGAGCGTATGCAACTGCGATTCCTGTGGAGATGAGTTCTTCTGGCGCGACGAAACCCACCTGTTCCCCACTATTCAGTCCCGGATCAACAATGCAACCGCCTGTCGCAATGTCCTACTCAGCTACAAAGGCCAGTTCGTAGTCTCAGCGGCACGCATTCGAGGCATCGATAAAGCCATCTACCATGATCTCCAGCAAGCTTTCATTGATGAAAAGAGCTGGGCACACCAAGAAGATTACCTACGCGGGCGAAGTGACTCCATGAGCCAACCTTGGTTCGGATATACAATGGAGAGGATGTGGAATCTGCTCTTTCAATGTAATGATATGGACGTTGCGTGGAAATGTCCGACCTTGTTGAGTAGATGGAGGATTGGAGGCGATGTCGAGGATTGCCAGTGTTTCGACTGAAGATTTCTAAACCCTTGTAAGAACTGTCAAAGAGGAATAGTCCATTAATTGTTGTGATACCCACGGACCTTCGAGTGGCGAAGCGTACGCAGATTTCAGGAGCTCTTTAGACCAATATAAGCCTAATGATTATGTAAGAAACAATGACCTTGCGCCACGAACGTCATTGAGCAAGGAGAAGAATTTAGTGACGCGGACTTTTGATACGGAAAATCCTCCTCTTCAATGCCATACTGGATCCATAAGCGTTTGACGATAGTCATGCATCAGGATGAAGATGACAACGTTTGAAGCGCCAAGCTGAAACGTGGGGCGCGGGCCACATGCCGCTCTGGCTATTGTAGCACGTGTCCGACTTCTCCACCTTTGCCCGATTTGATCGAGCGGAACGGGCCCCTGCTGCCCAAAGCCCTGGATTCCACGGCATGCGATTCAAATTCCTCTTTTCTATGAAATGGCGACGTTACTGCCAGCTGGCATCAGGGCAGGTCGTGCCCAATTGCAGTGATCTATTCTTTAACCCTACCCTCTGTGAAGAACCCAGTAAGCTTTACTCCCCTCAGCAGAATTACGACTTGACATAGCTGGGGTTGCGATCTAATCAAACGTTTTCTTGCGCCTCGCCATAAATCAACATCATGGCAATGGCCCAAAGGAAAAACAAAAACCTATCGATTGCGTCCATCGATAGTATTGATGAACCTTATCCCAATCGTCAAAGTCAGCTTTACAGAGAACTCGAGGTTTTACTGGAGCTCACGCCAAGCACTTTCAGCTCAAATCTTCTAGCGCTACCACGAGAGCTTCGGGATCAGATCTTCGACTATGTGTTACCAGAAGCTGTCGAAAGTCGCCCAGAATTACACACATGCCTTTGGGGGGCCGATATGGTCAACGGAGAGCCCTGGAGACATGATATATTTGGCTATGAAACTTCAGTACCTAACGCTGACCGGCTGCGTCCCGAACTCTTGCTTATTAATAAGCAAATCCGCGACGAGCTGTTGCAAAACTACTTCCGCCGTAGCAAGCTGACACTACACGCTGAGTTGCGGAACACTACAGCAAACAACGATCACTTCGAATACTCCCCACACATCCTACAGCTGCCAATGCTGAAGCATGTCACTCACATCAGATTCTATGTGGAATGGAACTACACGACAACGAAGCACGTTATCAAGGAGCGACGACTGAAGGACCAAGTTCGCATGACCGACGACCTGCTAAAAGCAATGGACAAAATTATTCACCCGTTACAAGCGATCGAAACAATCGAGCTCTCCATCCTTTTCTTCTGGAAATATCATTTTGGCAAGGTATACAGCCTCTCTATGCAAGACCTTTTCGATCTCGAAGATAACTTTAAGCGGTACGCCGAGCAACGCTGGCTTACTCTTCTCCGCGACAACAAGTCGCCGTCTGTGATATCGCCCAACCCGTCGGCGGCAGGAGTGGGATACAAGCTGTCCAGTGAGAAGAAGGGCACGGAGCAAAGTGGGGGCATGGAGATTTTCGTGAGCCAGGATTTGGAGGATGCGATGAGGGTTCGACGGAGGAGTAACGTGGATTTTTACGGGCATTATGGCATTTCAGATCCATTGCCGCAGCCCAGTTATAGACATGGCGTGATGATCTAGCTCGCGCGAAGGAGGAAATACTAAGCAGACCTCGGCTGAGCAAGGGATATGGCAATCCTATTAGCCAAGGCTTCCACGTGCCCGTCTCGAGAACTCTAAAAACTAGGAACAAACTACGTCTAAGTGGGTGTGGCGAAGAAGAAAAAGTGCGAGGGTATAGTTGGGTTGGGAGCTGGGACGGGATGATAGTTTGGGAGTACCAGCTCCATCTTCGAGGGGGAGTGTGAATGAGCCAAGCTGGTAGGAGGCACAAATCATCCGATCAAGCTAAAGATCAAAAACATTCAAGACCCGCAAGGTGTCTTGTAAGCAAAAGTTACACTGTGAACAGAGGATTTGAGTGAAACATTTGGCGGGCAGCCAGCTTACATTGTAGAATCATCACACATGTTCAAGTCTACTGTGGGTGATACTTGAACTTCAGATCTGGGTTGTGAGGTGTTTGAAGTAGGATGTCTTTTCATTGCGTGTTGTCAAAGGCTGAAACTAATTGATCATCAAAGCTCAGCCTTGCCAGCATGTCATACCACCATTTGCATCGCAGACTCTACCCATGCGAGCCTGGACGCCACAACCGCCACACATAGTATCGAACCATCTGTCCGATTGGGAGAGGACAGGCTATTCTGGCACCTTCTCTCCTGACAAGAAATTCTAGCACAGGCTTGTAGGAATCGAAGATTAGCCTTTTGTGAACTGGCGTCTGGCGCCGAATCGACTACGTGCATAAACCAGCCTTCGCAAAGCATACAATATCACTGCTTGGTTTCCATGTGCTGCCTGCCAGTTTCTTCACTCTCGAGCGAGAGCTCCTTCAAGAAAAGGGAGGCGATAGCTCCAACAGCAGCGAGGGCAGCTAGAGCATACCAGATGGTCCGCAACGAGTCCGCATATGCGCCAATGATCGCATCCATCATCTCATTCGGCAAGGCGATCTCCCTCAGATGTGGAATGAACCCAACCGCGCTGGCGGGGTTCTCTAGAGTGGCCACAGATGCAGGTAAGCTTCCGAGCGACGCCACTGCGCCCCCGAAGGTGCTGCTAAAAGCAGTGGCACCCACCGCGAGACCGACCAGACCCCCAAAAAGACGGAACGAAACAAGCACACCAATCGCAAGCCCTTGATCGTCGACAGTGGGAGCACTGGCCTGCATGGCAATGGTGGGGACTGTAAAGAGTATACCCAAACCAAGGCCAGCAAGAGTCTGGAAGCCAGCAGATGCAGCGACTGAAGTGTTCTGATCCCAGAGCGCCATAAGGCCAACACCGATCGCAAGCAAGACCCATCCGACCCAGATTTCCCAGCGATATTTGCGTGAGGCTTCGACTGCGAATGCTGCGGCACCGCTAAGCACGACAACGAAGACGCACAGCGGTAGGATCGAGATAGCCGCTTGCAGTGGTGTCTTCAAGAAAACTGCTTGAAAGTAGAGTGGGAGATATAGCAGCAACGCGTAAAGTATCGCTCCGTGGATGAAAGCACCAATGAGTGTCACCTGCGCTGTAATATTGCTGAAAATGCGATGGGGAAATACCGGTTGCGGCGGATACTTTTCATACACAGCGAAGCCAATGAGGAATAGGATGCCAATGATGAAGGGGAGTATCGTCCGCCACGATCCCCATGGGTACATTGCATCTGCCCAACTTAACGGGAGAGAAAAGAGGATGGCACCTGTGGCGAAGAGCAGCATGCCCGTCCAATCCAGTCGACGAAGCTTTGACGCAAGAGAGTCCTCAATAGGCTTCAAGTTCATGTAGAAGAAGGCCAGTAGTGCAGTAATACCAATGATGGGGAGGTTGTACCATCCCAGCCATCGCCATGTCGCATACTCGCTGAAGAGGGCGCCAATGATGGGACCGAGAATGCTGCCAACTGCCATTGGGAAGGAAAGCAGTCCTACCCAGAGCGGGCGTTCTTTCATTGTCGTCATGTCCGTGACGATGACTTCGCTCAAGACGTCAAGACCGCCGCCTCCGAGTCCTTGAAGTACTCTTCCAGCGATGACAGTAGCCATATTCTGCGCTACAGCAAATACAATAGCTCCGACGAAGAAGAAGCCTAGTGCGATGAAGAGTGGAATGCGTCGTCCGAGGACATCGGAGGTTGTGACATAAATTGGCTGAACCACGGAGACCGCAAGCATAAAGGCGATGCTGGCCCAGAAAGCTTCAAGTGTAGTTCCTCCGAGCTGTGTAGTCATGATCTGTTGCGATGGAATTAGCAGGCCTGTACTTGTCGTGGAGGCGGCGGTCAGCTTACCGGAATTGCGACAGCTAGTCCCGTGGAGTCGAGAGAAACGAGAAGAACCGCGAGCCATAGCGACAGTGAAGCCAAGTAGAACTGGTATGGTTTGTTCCAGTTCGACACGGATACTTCCTCTGCCGCAGAGGCTGCGAGTTCTGGCACTTGACCAGTTTTCTCAAGGTCGCCATTTGCGCCCGTTGTAGACGCCATTATCACAATGGCTAAGCGGCACAAGGGTAGGGAGAAGTCGAGGCGCTGCTGAGTTGTTTACGAGTACGCAACTTCAAATTCAAGTAGTAGGCTCTTATTGTGTATTGCTGACAAATGGTTTCTTGTGGCACAGCAGCGGGCGCGGTGTGGTTGTGTCCGACTGCGCATGCTGGGGTGCTCAAAGAAGAAGGGCCTGGAACCAAGAGCTTCATTCACCGCCGGCGAGTCATGCAAAACGTGTTGGGATCTCGCCATCTCAGGAACTGGTGGCGTCAGGAATAAGTCGGTTAAGAGCGGAAGGTAGTATTCTAGGTTGCTGTGCGTCTGACACGCATACAATGATAAGAGAAATCAAAGACTCCACTCTGTCCCGTGTAGCGTCATTGGGGCGTACAGTAGAGTCTTGGCATAAGCAATAGCTGGGACACATTGACGAAAATGATTATTCGTTCTTGTTATTGTAAACTGAGCACTTTTAAGCAGATGCAAATAAATGCAAACAGAGTGCCCTTACCTAGATGGCTTATTTGAGTAGGCCAAGATTTGGGTGTAAATAATGATCGAAATAGACGAATCTACTTGTTGACGAAGCCTTTTGCTTATCTCGGTTCAAGCAACACATGGATGAAGCTATCGTTGTTTAAGTCGAGATTCCGCTGCACAACTAGAGGGTCCAACGGGCGCGGCGACGGGGACTGCGGTCCCAGCCGCCTCGTACGCTAATGCGCCCCACTGAGTAGAGCACTTTACTTTATTAGATGTAACGAGAATAGGTTGTAGGTATGAGTCCCCTACTATACTTCATTGAAATGTAGTCTCGTTAGGGCTTTAGGGCTTACGGGTCCACTATTGCCCGCTCGCAGTGATGCAGTGAGATATGACAGTAGAGGGTGTGGTACGGCCCGGCCCCTCGCGAATGACGACAAGACGCCAGGGGGAGCTCGCTTGGAATCACGACTTGACACTCATCGTGTTATGCAGATTTCGAAATTGAATGTGATTGATGGAAATGATTACGTTGCAGATCCGACACGTCCCCTAATGGACGCATCGAATTTCGATCCAATCACGGTATCTCAACACTTTCAGGGTGCTGAAGTCCCCTGGGCTGCATGAACCTGGCGCGCAGCACTAGGTACTTTGACACCCTGACCACTAGCTTCCAAGTCGAGCATCTCCTGCGCCCACTCGCAGACGCTATTTGCTAGCTTCTCTACTTGTTCCTCGGTGTTGCCAGCATGGAACACAACCCTGATGCGGCTGAATCCTTTAGGCACTACCGGATAATCGATAGGGAAGCAGTTGATACCTGCAAGCTGCAAATGATAGCAGAGGAATAGAGTGTAGCGCTGGCGGGTCATGACCTGAAAAGCGTTAGTGGTGGTCCAGAACAGAGTATGGTACCGAGTTGACCTACAGGCACAACATGGGTGACAAACGGCTTGGATTCCCATCCTTCAAGATTTGGGATCGAGAGAATACCCTCGTCCACGGCTTCATCATACACATCGTTTGCCTCGATGGTCCGAGCAAAGTGCTTCACGACGTGCTGGATCTGGTCTTGCAGCTACAATGAAAGTCAGTCAGGTGTCGTTTCGACCCAGTCCGAACTTACAGGCTGTGTCTGACCAGACTCCATAAGTTTGTAACCTCCGCGAATAGCCGCTACCATCGGAAATGAGGGAGCAGTGCTGTAGATGAACGATCGTGCGTTGTTCACAAGCGTTTCGCGAACAGTGTTGGAACACACCACAGCAGCTACCCCTAGGAGTCAGTATCCGAACATGAAAGAATGTTGATTGGTCGACTTACCTCCCGTACACGCCAACCCTTTTCCATAAGTGTGCATACGGACCGCAACGCTCGCCTCCAGCCCCAACATGCTCACATACCCTCGGCCCTTTTCTCCAAAGACGCCCGTGGTATGCGCTTCGTCCACGAAGAACTGACAATTGCCACCCGGAAAAACTTCTTTCCCAACTTGGATAAGCTCCTTGAGTGGGCTCACATCGCCGTCCATACTGTACATGCTCTCTAGGGCGACAATGACAGATCGCTTGCCGTCTCGAATCATCGTCTCCGTGGTTTTAATCTCAACCAGTTTCTCGCGAAAGCTGTCGACATCATTGTGCTTGAAGCTCTTTTTGTAAAGGGCTTTACTAATCTGCATGCCCTCGTGTGTGCTGGCGTGGATGTACTCATCGTACAAAATGGCATCGCCAGGTCGCGGGACAGCGCCCATGAGTGCTACATTGGCCTCGAACCCTGAATGAAACAACAGTGCCGTTTCGCCGTGGTGAAACTCGGCAATCTGACGCTCGGCCGCTTCTGTATACGGGTTGTTGCCATTCAAAAGGCGCGAGCCACCCGCACTGAGTTCGAAATCTGGGTTTGCAGCAAGTTCTTCGAGAAAGGCTTTGCGAATCATGCCAGATTTACTGAGGTGTAGAAAGTCAAGAGTGCTGAAATCGAGCGATTGAGGGTGAGGCTCATTGCGGTGCAATGTGAACACAGCTTTATCTGAGCGTCGGACGTCAAGCGATTCTTCGAGATTCCGATCGAAACGTGTTGTACCGCCATTTAGCGCGGCACTCTTGGACTTGTGGATTGGGAACCATTGAGCAAGCAGAGTAGGAGGAGTCATGACTGATAAACAGACCCGTAGACTTTTTTTTTGGTGAATGATACAAGCGCCTCAATTGAAGATGAAATTGAGACTGGAGTGTGGCAGCTCTCCCGAGATGAAAAGCTCAATAGTAGTACCATTCCTTGAGTTCTTTTCACTCACTGGACCTGGAAGCATCTAGATCGCAAGCAGGGCGCTTGTTGAATACACGCGTTGGGAACTATGCATGCAAGATAGCTGTTCCGTATTGTTACGGCCCCCAGCCGGCCATATCATTCCAAATGATCGCACCAACCAGCCTAGATATCGACTGGCCATGCCATGCTTGTGGCCAAAACGGAGATAGTTCGGGATCACAACTTTATTTCAAGGATATATCGCAGCTTGGCTTTCTCTCAGCTAGACCTGAGTGCAAGCTTAGTGCTTACAAGACATGCCGTCGATGAAGCAAAATGACTTGTCTTGTTAGGCTAACAATTTTTGACCCTTGGCTGTAGTGCGATCCGGTGAAAGATGGTTGCAGGGCTCCTACAAGCTTCGCTACCATTTGCTATCTTGGGCAATAGAATTATGTAGCCAAAGTGAGGCTCAATTACGTCAGCCTCAGGTGAGTGAACGATTGCATGGCTTCACAGGTTACACCTGATCTGTCCACAGCCTAGACGCTCTTAATATTGTCATTCTCGTATGATCTTATGTGAGCTTACCATAAATGGTAGCATTGTATTAAGGCTAGCAGGTGGCCTTGCTGTGTATTTTAGGAAGGTATATGCAGATGTTGCGCAAGCTGCAAGTTGAACTCGCCCCGTCACCACACATCCTGCTCCTATGGTCTCCAACGTACGATAAAGCGGACGGAAACTGTATCCTGGTGCTTCTAGATTCATCTGACCGGTGCAATTGAAACCCACGATTCCTGAATGGGCCCTTGCTGCAGTCGTGTACGCGTCTACACCGTGACTATGCTAGGATGCCGATCCAAGTGGATATAATTTCCAATTGTGCATGACTGACGCTATTGAGATCTCACCCTTGCCACTGTGATGGCGTGCGAAGGCTTCGATATCACCTCTTTAGAAGAGGCTTCGGAAACAATGACACCTTGCGGACGATAGGATGTGACTGCACGTGTCTGGATAGAGAAGGTGGCATTGCAGACCAGATTACACGTAAACTAGCTGAACTTGCCTTGGGAATTCGGCTTGTATCTTGCCCAGTATGCACCTTCGCATTTGTAGATCGAATTGGTTAGGTCCGGCCTGTACCGTCAGTGAAGACAATCCTCTAGCTCGCCACGCAATCAGGCGACTGAGGACAAACCATTGTCAAGGACAGCTCTACTGCGAGTAACACGCATTTTCACAAGTTAAAGAGCAAGCCGCCGAAAGGGTTTGTAATGAAGTGTGCCTGGTAGCTCTTCCTCTCTTACTTGAAACCATCAATCCATCCGTCCATCCAACCCCATCATGAGTCCTCACTCCATAGAAGATGAGGGGTACTCTGTCAGTGCCGACAGGAGTGAATCGTCCTTTGATTCCATTCCTGAACTGAATGACTCGGCGAAGGGCACTCAAAACGGCTTTCCCCCCATTGCTATATGTGGAATGGCTTGTCGTCTGGGTGGTGGCATCCGCTCCCCGGAAGATCTCTGGGAGTTTCTCGTGAACAAAGGCGATGGCAAGGTCGAGGTTCCCGCAGACAGGTACAATATCGATGCCTTCTATTCCCCAGTCAAGAAGCCCGGTACTGTTATTACACGTCACGCTTACTTCATCGACGATGACTTGACTGGGCTTGATGGTTCATTCTTCAACATGTCAGCTGCGGAGATTGAACGGTGTGACCCTCAACAGCGGCAAATGCTTGAAGTTGCTCGCGAGGCATTTGAAGATGCTGGCGTGACGGGTTGGCGAGGCAGCAACACAGGCGTCTACATGGGCAGCTATGGCGACGACTGGGCAGATATGCTGTACAAAGAGTCCCAAGCCTCTGGTGTTCACAACGTCATGGGCCAGTATGACTTTGTCATAGCAAACCGTGTCTCCTACGAGATGGACTTGCGAGGACCGAGGTGAGTACTTGTGGCTATGTCTACGCTGTACAATCGTTGTACAATCGTACTAACGTGGTCAGCTCTATTTCAAAGACCGCCTGTTCTTCCTCGTTCGTTGCGCTGAGCGATGCTTGCTTGGCCATTGCGAGGGGAGACTGCGACGCGGCGCTCGTTGGTGGCACCAGTCTAATTCTGACACCAAAGACGACGATCCTGCTAACAGAGTTTGGCGCACTCTCGCCCGATGGCTCGTCGAAGGCCTTCTCAGCAGATGCTAACGGCTATGCCCGTGGTGAGGCCATCAACGCCATCTACATCAAACCGCTGCACGCTGCCCTGCGCGATGGCAACCCTGTGCGCGCCGTGTTGCGGGCTGTCGCTACCAACCACGACGGCAAAACACCAGGACTCACCACGCCGGGGCTCGATGCGCAGGAGGCTCTCGTACGCCACGCCTACAAGCTCGCAGGCATCGAAAAATATTCCGAGACGGGTTTCTTCGAGCTGCACGGAACCGGCACGGTTGTTGGAGACAAGATCGAGGCCAATGCAGCGGCGCGCGTGTTTGGTGGTTGTGCAGATGGCATGCACATCACGTCCGTTAAACCGAATCTTGGCCACACCGAGGGAGCTAGCGGCTTGACCTCACTTATGAAAGCTGTCCTCGCCCTCGAGAACCGTACCATTCCACCCAACATCAAATTCAAGTCGCCAAACCCCAACATCCCGTGGGAGACGGCCAGATTCGCCGTGCCGATAGAACCCACACCATGGCCGAACACCAAGAAAGAACGCGTCTCTGTGAACAATTTTGGCATCGGCGGCACCAATGGACACGCCATCGTCGACTCGGCAGCCAGCTTCAATGTGGCTCCAGCCATCAGCGAGGCGTCTGACCAGCCCCAGCTACTTGTTTACTCGGCCAATTCGCCTGAGTCGCTACAAAAGGTAGCCGAGAACTATGCCCGGTACCTCGAGAGGCATCCTGAGCGCATCGAACACCTTGCATATACGCTTGCAAATCGACGGGAGCATTTGCCCCATCGTGCCTTTGTCGTTGCGAGCAGAGAGAAGCCTGGCAGCGTCTCACCAGCGGTCAAGCCGTCACAAACTCCGAGCCTCGTCATGGTCTTCACTGGTCAGGGTGCTCAATGGCCGCAGATGGGTCGTCATCTTGTCCGTGGGAATTCCATCTTTAGGGCCCGCATCCAGTCTTTGGACACACATCTCCAAACCTTGGGGGGCGACGCACCCACATGGACCATCGAAGCGGAGCTACGCAAGCCGGCCAGAAGCAGTCGTCTCCATCTCGCAGAGCTTTCGCAGCCACTGTGCACAGCCATCCAAATAGCTCTCGTTGATGCTTTAGCGGCCATTGGAGTAAACCCGTCTGCTGTAGTTGGTCATTCAAGTGGCGAAATCGCGGCTGCATATGCAGTTGGTGCTTTGACTGCCGAGCAGGCCATTGCTGCGGCTTTCTACAGAGGCGTCGTGGCCAACAAGCAGCAGCGAAAGGGTGCCATGGCAGCTATTGGTATGGGATGGAACGACGTTGGGCCTTTCCTGGTTGACAATGTTGGGGTCGCTTGCGAGAATTCGCCGACGAGTGTGACCATCTCTGGCGACGCTGAGAAGGTCGAGGAAGTGGTCACAGCGATTCAACGTGACCGACCCGATGTTTTAGCGCGGCTTCTCAAAGTCGAGAAGGCATATCACTCGCATCATATGAAAGAAGTGGGCGAGGATTATTTGCGGTTAATGGGTGACAATTTCGTCGCTAATGCTCCCAACAAGCCGTTCTTTTCCAGCGTCACTGGCCACCTTCTGCGACAGGAGAAAGACTTCACACTTGGCTCGAAGTACTGGCGCGCAAATCTAGAGTCACCCGTGCTTTTCAAAGATGCCGTGGAGGCCGTAGCCAAGCACAGTGTTGGCAAAAACGCTGTTTACCTCGAGATTGGTCCGCATTCCGCTCTCGCAGGCCCGCTGCGCCAGATTTTGGCAGAAATTGGATACGGCATAGCGCCGTACATATCGGCTATGATTCGTGGAGAGAACTCTGTAGAGTCCTTTCTCTCTGCCGTTGGTAAACTATACGCACTTCATTTCTCGGTCAATTTCTTAGCTCTGTATCCCGATGGTGTCACTCTGAGCGACCTGCCCCGGTACCCATGGGATCACTCAAAGAAGTATTGGCACGAGACTCGAGTCACTGAAGAGTGGCGACAACAGCGATACCCTTACCATGATCTTCTCGGCGTCAAGACTTTGGAGAGCACCTCGCATGAGCCAACTTTCAAGAATATGCTTCACTTGGACAACGCTCCGTGGCTACGAGACCATTCAGTTGGGGAGGACATCGTTTTTCCATTCGCTGGCTACATAGCCATAGGTGCAGAAGCAGTGCGACAAATCACCGGAACTGATGAAGGCTATCAAGTGCGCAATGCGACCGCAACCACCGCTCTCGTAACTCCAGAAGGAACACCCGTTGAAATCATCACTTCATTCCGCAAGGTCCGAATTATCGGCTCTCTCGACTCTGACTGGTGGGAGTATAATGTCTCATCTTATAATGGCCACGGTTGGACCAAACATTTCACTGGGGAGATTACATCTTGGTCTGGAAGCCTTGGTACTGCCAGCGAAGAGACTCTCAGTATTCAACCACCGCGCAAATGCAGTGCGAAGAAGCTGTACGAGACACAGGCGCAGTCTGGCATGGTGTATGGACCGCATTTTCAGGGATTGAAAAATCTGCGGTCACCCACCAGTCTTCCAGGCTCGGGAACCGCAACTGTTCAGAATAACCAGCTAGGAGACGAAGCAAATTATCATCTGCATCCAACGATCGTCGATTTCTCCATCCAGCTACTAGTCGCCACGGCGTTGATGGGTTTGAGCAATGACTACCGAGTATACCTGGCTACGAGCGTTGCAGACTTGAAAGTGACTCGCTCTTCGGCTGACCTAAGAGCTATCGGACATGCATCGTATGCAGAAGATGGCTCGATTGTTGGTGACTGCCAGTATGTCACGGATCAAGGTGAAGTTGTTCTCAACATGACTGGCTTTGGCCTGACCGAGAAGCCTAATCGGAAAAGCACCGACTCTCATGCCTCGGCTCGTTTCATCTGGAGGCCCGACATCAACTTCCAGAGCATCAATGACCTCATCAGCCCGATATCGACGTATACGTCGCACGAATCGGCATTAAATGAGCTTACCAAACTTTCTTTGGTACTCTCTCAACGTCACATTGATAGCACCAGCACAGAAAATTCCCATCTACTCAAGTATCGTTCGTGGGTGACTGAGCAAGTTCGAGGCATTGAACCGACCTGGGTGTCTACCTACGCTCAAATGAACGATGCTCAACTCGAAGCCATGATCCAGTCTCAAGCTGAGCATCTATCCGACACATCGGTTGGTAGCGTAGCACTTGCTCTCCTCAAGCTTGCCACGAATATTACTCGGGTGTTCTCTAGCGAGGTTGAAGCTTATGATCTTCTTAATGAAGATGATCTATTCAACCAGTTGGAAGAAGTTATCAAAGAGCTCCATACTTTGAATCTTCTCCGCAGCTTGTCGCATAGCAGGCCCAGCCTACGCGTTCTAGAACTTGGAGCTGGTACTGGGACGTCCACATCTCAGCTGCTAGATGAGCTTGCCGAATCATATTCCGCCTATCATGCGACAGACAGTTCGGTTCATGCCATCGATATGTTGAAAGACCGCTTCAAGAGTTTCCCAAAGATGAATTTCACTGTCCTTGACATCGGCCAGTCACTGGTGGAACAGGGGTTTGAAGGCGGACAATATGATTTGATCATCGCCAACAATGTGCTTCATCAAACGCCGAACCTAAAAGAGGGTCTTGCAAATGTACACAGGCTTCTCAGCCCGAACGGTTACCTTATCGTCCAAGAGCTGTCACATGCTGCGAAATGGGCCACCGTAATCTTCGGGATCCTTCCAGATTGGTCAAAAGGTGGCGAAGCAAGAAGCACCTTTGAGGCCACCAAGGAAGCTGCTGCTTGGATCCGAGAGCTTGTGATGTCAGGTTTCGAAGTCGATGGTGTCAGTGGTGATTTGGAGTCGCAGGCTTTACTCAACACCACCATAGTTGCACGGCCGAGCCTTCTTGCAAGATCTCCGACAACAAAGATATCTCTGTTAGTTAGCGAAGACTCTGATGTGTCTAAGGTCTTGAGTGTAGACCGGAAGTTGAGAGAACGAGGCTATGATGTCTCACATGTTACCCTCAACAATGTTCCAATCGCGGGGCAGGATATCATCTCTCTTTTGGATTTGAGTCACCCATTCTTCGAGTGTTTCGACTCCAAGAAGTACGAGAACCTCCAGAACTTTGTTGCAAACGTCATCGACTGCGGAATTTTCTGGCCGACGCGGCTCTCTCAGATGCATGTCACAGACCCTCGCTATGGTCAGGTCATTGGTTTTGCACGCACCATCCGTAACGAGTCGGGTATAGACTTTGCTGTCTGCCAAACCGATCTGGACTTCGCCGACGACAAAATATTCGAAGTGTTTAAGAGATTCACCGAAAGACAGACGGGTGACATCCTCAAACCGGAGTTGGAATATGTGATTGCCAATGGACAAGTTCAGACTGGACGTTACTATCCTCATTCGATCCCTGATGAGCTGGTGACAACAAAGCCCGATGGACCAGCTTTGTTGACTGTCGAGAAGGGGTCTCGCCTTCGTGGTCTTCATTGGGAGCGCCAGAACGAGCAGACTCCACAGGGTGACGAAGTCCAGATCGATGTACGCTACATCGGACTCAATCGAAAGGTATGTAGTGCGCAGTTCCATAACTTATCGAGCAAAACTGACATTGATATTCAAGGATGTCTTGATCGCAACGGGTGCTATAGACACGGTAAATCCCGCTCTGGGTATCGAAGCAGCCGGAGTTGTTCTAGCAGTGGGTCCCAATGTGAAGAAAATCCGTGTCGGAGATCGGGTTATGGCCTTCTGTGAGAACAATGCCGCATCGATCATTACAGATTCCGAATCATACGTCGCCAAAGTCCCAGACAGATTAGCTCTAGCGGATGCAGCGACCATGCCATTTGCATACATCATGGCTCTGTATGCTCTACTTCACGTGGGCGGCTTGGAAGAAGGACAGGTGAGCTCGAAATCTGTGTCAGTGAGAAAACTAGCTGACTCCGGCAGTCTGTCTTGATCCATGGTGCAGCGGGTGGAGTGGGACTTGCTGCGCTCCAGATAGCTGACATGATCGGGGCTAATGTATTTGCTACCGTCGGTTCCGACGAGAAGGTAGTATATCTCACTGATACATACAACATACCGCGGAATCATATCTTCAATTCCAGAAATATATCCTTCGCGGACGCACTACTCCGCGAAACAGGTGGGAGGGGGGTTGACCTGGTCTTGAGCCCAGTATCACCCGAGCATCAACATGCGACGTGGCGCACTGTTGCTGAGTTTGGGAAGTTGGTCGACATTGGGAATAAGCACCTCTCGCGCGACGCCAAGACTGTCTTCAATGTTTCCTCGGGCAACAGGAGCTACACATGCATCGACATTGGACACGTTCGCAAGAACAAGCCATTGATCATTTCCAGGTAGGCATATACTCCTTATACCGTAAGCCATCACTAACAGCAATGGCAAACAACAGACTTCTCAAACGCACTCTGAAGCTTTACTCAGAAGGTCACATTGGACCAATACGTCCTACCAAGATATTCCCTGCCACCGACGCACTTGAAGCGATTGAGTACATCCAGGATGGAGCTCAGCTCGGTAGGGTGATTCTCGAGCTACGAAACGATGCAGGAGACACACATCTCACCTCGGGAGTGACAGAGCAACGACGCAACCCTCAATTCGATCTTGCTGCCTCATACCTCATTGTAGGGGGTCTCGGCGGCCTCGGACGTTCGGTCTCTGTTTGGATGGCTATGCACGGTGCACGGAGCCTCATTTTCCTGTCGCGCAGCGCGGGTAAACGTGCTGAAGATGCCGACCTCGTACACGAACTCGAATCGATGGGATGCAAGGTGCAGTTGGTGCAGGGCAGCGTCGCTACTAAGGACGACGTTACGCGTGCTATCAGCAATGCCCATGCACCGCTAAAAGGCATACTGCAAATGTCAATGGTGCTCCGCGACACGGCTTTCGCGAATATGTCGTGGGATGACTGGCGAGCTGCGACAGAGTGCAAAGTACAAGGTACCTGGAACTTGCACGAGGCGAGTATCGATGCTGGGAACAAACTTGACTTCTTCGTCATGTTCAGTTCAGTTTCCGGTATCGTGGGCAATATGGGCCAAGTGAACTACAACAGCGCGAACACTTTCCTCGATGCATTCTGTCAGTACCGTGCTGGCTTGGGTCTCGCGGGCTCAACACTCAACTGTGGTGTCGTCGAGGATGTGGGTGTCGTTGCTGAGAACCAGGACATCCTGCGTCGCTTCCGGGAGCAAGACATTTGGACTATCAAGGAGCGAGACGTCATTGACGGGCTGCAGCTCGCAATGGATCAGCCAACACTCCGTCCTGGCGATTTTGACGGCTGGGTATCCCCCAATACCTTCATGCTGGGTATACAAACTACTACTCCGCTCAGTAGCCCGAAAAGTCGTGCTGTCTTCCGGTCCGATCCTCGCTTCGCATTCTACCACACCCTGGGCTCCAAGTCTAACGACTCTGAGTCAGAAACCAGTACTGCTAGCGACGCCGTGCTAAAAACCTATATTGCGCAAGCCAAAGCCGACCATGCCATTCTCAACACACCTGAAGCAACGTCATTGCTCTCGCATGAGATTGGCAAAAAGGTGCTTGCACTGCTAGTCCGGGGCGATAGTGACGTAGACACGAGTCTGGGTCTTGCCGATTTGGGCATCGATAGCTTGCTTGCGATTGACATGCGTATGTGGTGGAAACAGGTGTTTGGGTTTGATATCAGTGTCTTAGAGATGCTGGGAATGGGTACGCTGGAGCAGTTGGGCAAGTTGGCAGCAAGTGGCTTGTTGAAACAGTGGGGCGTTGCATGAGCGGAAAGTGGAGTGCGTTTAGTGGTGAGTAGACTCTGCTCTCGATGCTATGGGTACAAGTTTGGGTTGTTGTGACAAACTATAGGGCTGCTAATTTAGCCTGGCGATATATTTTTATGAACATTTCCGCACTCAAATTACCTTCACAGAACCAGCGATAGCTCAACAGGCAACGCTGGGATGTAGATGTCTTTTCTTTAGCCTAGTGCTCGAAGTGCGAGCTACATGCCTTAGGACCCGATATCGACTTGGGGGTGGCCAAATGTGCTTCACCTACTGACGGACTTAAAGGAAAGCATGTTATACTACGCCCCTCTTCCTCATTTAGTATAGAGCTAAGCTATAGTATCTAGACTGGGGTCTAGCTCTACCTAGTAAGCGCTAGTAATTTCTAGGCCCTTAGCTCTTACATCCTCCCTTCTTCTATCTGGATCAAAAAATTAAATAGCGCTTAGGCCATGTTTGAGCTATCGCTGGTCTGTCGAGTTGGAGATGAAATGAGGTTCTCTACTTAGGTAATTCCCTTATCACCACTATCATTCTCCCTCTACCACTCTCATCTTCCCCCAGCATTATGTTCGCCGCTGTCTTGTTGACGCTGCTGGCCCTCCCTGCTCTTCTCTTTGCCTGGTCAGCACTTTCTCTCCAAGCTAACAAGGCCAAGGCGGAGACGACAGGTCTGCCACTGCTGGTGCGATGGGTCGCGCCCACAAACCCCCTCTGGATGATGTTCGGCAGCTCCATCGTGCTCAAATGTCGCGCCCTCGGCATCGGCACTAAGCGCTTCCACCGCTTCTACGTTTTCAGCTGGGAGGCCAACGAACGACACGTCGTGCACCAAGAGCTTGGTCCTGTCTTCATGCTGGTCTCGCCTGGGGGCAATTGGCTCTGTGTCAGCGACGCGTCCGTCTTTGAGGATGTCATCCATCGCCGTACTGACTTCCGCCGCAACATGGAGCAGTTTGCGGTGCTAAACGTGTACGGCAAAAATCTTTCCACGACCGATGATGAGGAGTGGCAGAAACACCGCAAGGTCACCGCCATCACCTTCACTGAAAAGAACAACGAGCTGGTGTGGCAGGAGTCTCTATCGCAGACCCGCGGTATGCTTAAATACTGGTTGCAGCACCAGCCCGTCAGCACCACCCACCAGGACACCAAGGTCTTTACCCTCAATGTTCTGGCTGCGGCCATTTTTAACAAGTCGTATCCCTTTGAAGGCGCTGCAGAGTCCAAAGAACACGTCAACACCCAGGATGCTTCTTACCAGTATAGGGACTCGCTCAGCAAGATCTTGGCTAACATTATTCCTATCTTCATCTGCGGCGAGCAGGGTCTGAAGGCTTGGTGGACACCAAAATCGTGGAAATCGGCTGGAACCGCTATTGCCACTTTCCGTGCTTATGTTGCGGGTTTGATCAACGACGAGCGAGACTACATGGACCGTGGTATCCAAAAGAATCAGCATCTCGTCGCTGCACTTGTCCGGGCCTGCGAAGACGAGACTAGGCAGCCTATCCAGGGCAAGAGAAACATGACGCTTACCGAGGAGGAGATTGTCAGCAATTTGTTCGTCTACGCTTTTGCAGGGAATGACACCACTGCTATCTCGCTGAACCATCTGCTTGTGGATCTCGCCGCGTCTCCTGAGACCCAGGAGTGGATAGCTGAGGAGATCCGTCACTACTTACCTGAAGATGATATATCGCTGTGGGCCTACAAGAGGTTTAGCAAACTGAAGCGATGTCTCGCTGTTGTGGTATGCAAAGTCAATGATGAAACTTGTTGTTAATACTGATACTTGATCAGATGGAGTCTATTCGCATCAACCATCCCCTGGGACAGCTTGCAAAGCAAACCGGCCAATATTCACAACAACTGAAGATCGGATCCCGCAACATCACAATCCCACCCGGAACATCAATCCACCTAAGCCTAGCAGCATTGCACACGCACCCTCAATACTGGGGTGAAGATTCCCTGAAATGGAACCCTAGCCGCTTTATCTCCACCCCTGATGGCGCCGGAAAGGATTTTGAAAACGAGGTTCTCGCATCAGACACACAAGAACACTTTCTTCCATGGGCAACTGGACAGCGCGTCTGCCCAGGGAAGAAGTTCTCGCAAGTTGAGCTCGTGGCTGCGTTGGCGTTCATCTTCCGTGATTACTGTGTGCACCCGCAGCCACTAAGGAACGAGAGCATGGAACAGGCGCGTAAGAGAATCTTTAATACTGGCATGGAAATTGAGCACGAGGGCACCATTCTGCATGAGTTGAGGTATCCAGAAAGCATTGCTCTTAATTGGAGCAAGCGCGAGAGGTGATCGGATCCGTGTAATCTGAAGATCTGGGCACTGTTTTGAACCTCGTTCCCGTTTTCAACTTTTGACCATGGCCAATGAGCAGATGCTAGAAGTACTGATTGGTAGGATTACTACAACATGTAAAATCTTACTATTATTATATTAGACTTGGCGTTTCTACGCAAACCTCACCTAGTGCTCGAAGTGCGAGCTATATATCTTTAAAACGATTCTTCTCTATCATGCTACAGGGCGGACTCTAATTATAATTTCAGTGCCCAAGTGGGGAGTGATCTACTCCAGGATGTAGGGTAAAGGGTTCGGCCGAGGTTGGGGGCGGTTAACCCTCACGAAGGTGTGCCCATGTGGAGAAGATGGAGAACTGAAGCAGGCTATTAATGTCTTCTGGGTGAGCCAATAGTAAAAACCCGGGAGGTCGTCTGCTTAGTAAAGATATGAGTGAATTGCAAGAGACAGACTATCGAGGCACGTCCCTTACAGGGGAGATGAAGACCAAAGGCGCGAAGAAAACTTGTACACACCAAGCTTTATCAAAGTGGGGAAGGTACGCCAATTTGGGTGGAGCCTGCAGCTTACCACTCCCGCCCTCATCGCCCCCCTCAACATGTGCGAATACGGGGGTGTGACGCTGGAGAGGCTGAGATGGCTGTTCTTCGGCGAGAAACGATGTTTCGCATTAGACGAAGGCGGACACTGACTCATCGCGAAACCTCGGATGTCTTTTTACTGGCCTTCTCATCATGACCTTTGGGGCACCACTTCTCTTCCTCTGACTTGTCGTTTCCACGCAAGGGTGTGATGCGTACCCAAATCCTGCGCCCTACGAGTAGACGAGTCAGCATGCGGCAATCGGGTTTAACGACGGAAATGTGGACATGCGGCCGCCCGCCTGTCGATTGACCCTAGGATCTTTCCCCGGCTTAGCTGCCCTCTAGCTGCACTGCTCTCATTATAAATACGTTATGCGACTGCCCCCCTCTGCATGGTGGTTCGCACTGTCATTTCTCACAGCTACTCCTCGCCGTGTCTCTTCGCCCTCCACGTCAGCCTCGTGCGTTTTCCCGCGTCAGAACGATCCGCCGCCCGTTCAGCGAGTCTACGAACGCGCCCGAGGCTTGCCAAGGAGTCAATGCCACGCGTGCTCATACATTTTCTGAGCCGTCATCATGGTAGCACCAGCGCTTTACCGCCACCCAACGAGGAGTGAGCTCATCGACCTCGCCGCCGCTGAAGGTCACGATGCAGATATTCCAAGCAACATCGGTTCATTGCCGGAAGATTCTCGACATACCACACGGCCATCAATCTCGTTGCACGAAGAAAATAATCACGCAGCAGCCAGAGAAAAGGACGTCGAGGGGGGCGCTAAGCCAGGGTCAATATCCAGTACGAATGAAGCAGAAGAAGAGCCCGATAACGATCCAGACGTGGTCGATTTTGATGGCCCTGACGACCCAGAGAATCCATTGAATTGGAGGGCCACGAAGAAATGGGGCATGGTAGCGTTAATATCGGCCATTACTTTTCTAACACCGCTTGCGAGCTCACAATTCGCGCCTGGAGTACCAGATGTCATGAGGGACTTCCACTCGACGGACCAAATGCTCGAGGGCTTCATGGTCTCTGTATACGTACTTGGCTTCGCCTTTGGGCCGTTGATCATCGCGCCGTTATCCGAGATGTACGGAAGACTACCGCTATACCACAGCTGCAACTTCTTCTTCATTGTTTTCACGATTGCAGCTGCTGTAGCATCCAATATGGACATGTTCATCATTTTCAGATTCTTCATGGGCTGCTTTGGAGGAGCACCTATGGTTCTTGGAGGTGGGACGATCGCCGATTTGATACCCCGTGAGCAACGCGGTACTGCAATGGCCGTATGGATGATGGGCCCAAGTATGCACTCGACCTTCATTGTAGGGTGTAGCTAATGATGCGGTAGCTATTGGACCATGTGTAGGACCCATCATCGGAGGGTTCCTCACCGTTGCGAAAGGATGGAGATGGAACTTTTGGTTTGTCGCTATAGTGGTACGTGTACATCCTGACTATCCTAGACATGAACTAACAGGCTAGGCTGGGGCGTTTTTTATCATGTCTCTCCTGCTCATGAGCGAGACGTCCGGGGTTATTATCTTGCAGCGCAAGACCAACCGCCTTAGGGCTGAAACCGGCAACATGAAGCTGCGCTCTAAACTCGATAGTGGTCTGTCGCCCACAGACCTATTTAAGTTTTCCATCATCCGACCCACCAAGATGCTCTTCCTTTCCGCGATATGTTTCGCGATATCGCTGTACATCGCCATCACCTATGCGTATCTATACATCCTGTTCACTACGTTTACAGCCGTCTTCACAAAACAGTACGGCTGGCACGGCGGCATCATGGGCCTGTCATTTCTCGGACTCGGCGTCGGTTCTCTAGTAGGACAATTTATCTACATCCATTATGGCAACAAAATCGTAAATCGGCACATCCAACGTGGCGATTTCCGGCCCGAGCATCGTCTCTACGTAATGACCATTGGTGGCTTTTTCATACCCATAGGTCTCTTCATGTACGGCTGGTCCGTCCATTTCCATACGCACTACATGGTTCCCATCGCCGCTACTGGTCTCATTGGGTTCGGGCTGCTAATGACATTCATGCCTGCGACAACGTATCTGGTGGATGTTTTCACGATACATGCTGCGAGTGCGATGGCGGCAAGTACGGTGCTCAGATCCCTTGCGGCAGCTATCATCCCGTTGAGCAGTCAGACTATGTATGAACGGCTGGGGTATGGGTGGGGAAATTCGCTGCTCGGCTTTATAGCGCTAGCATTGGTTCCAATACCTTTTTTGTTCATCAAGTTTGGTGAGCGAATCAGGGCAAGTAGTACGGTTAAACTATAATTCTAGGGACTGTGTTGTGGAGAAGTCTATACCCTCTAGTATGTAATAAAATCATTGCCATATCTAGCTCAGTGCTATCAACTACATAACCTAGCGATAAAACCATGACTCGAATATGATTCATTGTCTCTTATGCCTGAGTCGCCGTCCGGCTACATGCAGGTGGTACCTCGGATCTTACTCCGCCAACCCCACATCAATCCACTCCTCTACCAGCCCTATATTCGCCAAGGGCTTAAATCCGACGTCATCTGGGCTCCGCAAATCGATTCCACAAGTGGTATAACGATGACTAATACAAAAGGCCCATATTCAATTGTGTGCTTTACTCAACTCAACTTTTGTAATACTCACATCTAATCGAAACAAAAAAGACACCAAGACAAGAAATACAACCCTATCACAATGGCCTCCTCGGATCTCCCAGAGTCTAACACAGCACTAAGCTACACCCAGCCTTCATCGCAACCACACCTCACTCACACTCCGCTCCAATCTCCTAAACCAAACGAATTGCTTGTCAAAATCAAAGCTGCAGCAATCAATCCCGTGGATATCCAACTATGGGGAAACCCAGTTATTGGTTGGCTAGCAGGCAAGAAAGAGAAGGGCATTGGACGGGATTACTCGGGAGAGGTGGTCGCGATTGGCGAGGAGCTGAAGAGGAGTGGGAAGTGGGAGGTTGGTGATGAAGTTTATGGGCTGTGTAATCGGCCGGTAAGCAGCACTCCAAGCATCTGTAGGATGTACTAGAGTACGGGGGTCAAGGAGGGGCTTCCTGAAAACTGTACTAACGTACAAATAGACTGGAGAAGGTACATTCGCCCAATACCTGACTGTGCAGCCCGGCGAACCCATTGCCAAGAAACCCTCTACTCTGAGTCACCATGAAGCTGCTGCTATTCCTTTGGTCGTTCTCACAGCGTTTTCGTGCCTCGATTGGCTTCCAACTGAAAGTCAGAGTCCAAACTCAAAGCGCCGGGTTATCGTTTCTGGAGCGAGCGGTGGAGTAGGAGGGTGGTGTGTGCAGCTTGCGAAAAAGCTGTACAACTGCCATGTTGTTGGTATCTGCTCTGGACGAAACGCCGAGTTCGTCAAGGGCCTGGGTGCAGATGAGATCATTGACTACAGTACACAAGACGTTGCGAAGACGCTTTTGGATGGAAGACCTGGGGAGAAGAAGTACGACCTCTACATCGACTGTGTAGGAGGCACTGAGATATTCAACCACTGGGTAAGCCACTCATATCCCTCGTCATAACATTATCCTAGTATTCTCTCATCTAATACTAATCATAGTACGATCTTCTCCACGCGTCCGGCGCATATGTTACCATTGTCGGCGATAAAACCTCCCGCACAGCCATAGGCGGCCCTCTCACATACTTCACATACCCCTCCCAGGTTATCCGCCACATCCGGGGCTACCTATTCGGCCCACGCTACGCAAATGTCTTGCTATATCAGAAGTGTGAGCTACTAGAGCAAGTTACGCAGCTAGCGGAGAAGGAGGACGTGCAGGTCGTCGTGCAGGACGTTGTTAAGGGAGTTCTGAGCGAGGAAGGGTATAAGGAGGCATGGGAGAAGGTTAAGGAGTACATGGTTGGGGGGCGGGTTAGAGGGAAGATTGTCGTTGACATTGCTTAAGGATGGTGCGCTATAGGACATGTAGTGGTCATACACGTAGCAAAAATCTTAATGATTATGCGCATTGTGTCCGATAGACATAAATAAGTAGCTGCGTCTCCTACATCCAGTTGCCTAGATGGAGCACTGAACTGGAGGCTAGGGTGAACTAAGCTGGTTTAGTGAGGACACGTGCCCCGCCTCAAGCGTCGCACAACACTTCCCTGACGGCATCCGGCTTCCATCCCATCATCCCTTTACTCCACATGTACATTTCGCATGGGCGCTGTACGTACGAGCCCATCTTGTGTCGCTCTCTTTTCGCAGGCGCTCCTTGTCGCTTATGCTCGCTTCGGGGCCACGGGGTTCATCGCCCTACCCTTACCAGACTCATGTGGGTTTCCGTCTATTGGCACCTCTGAATACTAAATCGACCCTCTCTTCTAGACCCAGGTCTCGAGACACGCTCCAATCTCCGAGAGACCAGGTTTGTGACAGATTTGACAGTTACACTGCATTGCGATGATAGACGTTCTAAGGTTTCAGAAGCTCTCTCCTGTGTTCCACCATGATACCTACGATGGCATTATCGTTCAGTTACCAACCGCATTCCTCTTGCTTTCTCTTCAATACGTCATACTCTCGACCCCCCTTTGCTCGACACTCTCTCTTTTTCTCTCTGTCACTATTCACTATTCACGAATCAACGCCTCTGTCTCGCCTTCGTTCACATCGTCGTTGGTATTTGTCTTGCTGCCGAGTCAATATACCCTATCAATGGCATACTTGGCCATGGTCGTTCAAGAGGCATTCGATATACCAACACGACTCTACAATCCGGGTGTGCGCGGTCGAGACCTGTCGCGCAGTCTTGTAAGGAGAGATCGACGTAGACTCATCAGCTGCTCCACTTTCTGAAATAACTGTTATCTTGTTAAGACTTGTGCATTGAAGCCTGCCGTTTGTCGCAACGTCTTGCTAGTGTCAGTAGGCATCAACAAATGATATGGGTAGAAGCGCCACCGCTGATGTATATGGCGCGCCATGTCTTTCCACCTTGGATTGTTTTCCACATTTCGGTTCGGCTCAGAGACGTTTCCCTCTTTTTATTCTCACTGTTCTGTGCCTGAGGCACCTTGGTGTTTCAGTTCCTGCATCTTCATTTTAACAACGGCCTCGCGTTTCACCCCACACTACCCCATATAAGTGGATCACAAGGCCCCGAACACGATGCTTCGACAACACTTTTCTTCACTGACAACAGGGCGTCGCAATGGCCCAAACGGCGCCAGCGCCAAGCCGCTAAGGCGTTCCCCAGGCAGGCAGGCACGCCCGCGCGCCAGGCACAGGTACCACAACAGACACAGGACATACGTCAACACCCCTTGCTTCCATTCCACTCCCTCTCCACCGACCTCTTTTACAGTCTTTTCCGGTCTTTTGCTCGAAGCTTCTCAACCCGGCCCAGTCCGAGTCTCCTTCCTTTCTCAAGCTGCAGGGCGGCAGTCACTCACTCATTCTCAACGAGGTGCCTCTACCTCTGCTTGCGCTACATTCATTCACTGCGCTCTGGCCAAACCCTCGATTGCATCTTCTCGGCTAGCACCTTTACGTGGCATTTTCTCCAACAACATTCCGTAACATTCCCTTCACCACCACCATGAGGTCCATTGTTTTGGCGAGCGCTCTGGCAGCGGGTATCTTTCTGGGCACTGCGAGCGGACGCCCTCTCAGTATGTGCTTTCCTCTGATTGCTGCCGCAGTCCTGGCTAACGGAATACAGATGACAAACGCGCACTCACGACCCAGTACTTCTATGTTACTGACACGACTGCTGATGTTTATGTCTACGTTGATGAGAACGGCACGCCCTACCTGACCACGACCGTTGGCAAGACTGATAGCGTTGCTACCCCCGTTATTGTGCCTACGACGACGTCCGAGATTGCTCAGCCAACTCTTGAGCCTTCCTTGACGCCTCAAGTTTCGTCATCATCATCGTCAGCTGCACCTGCTCCACCACCCTCGCCGCCAGCGCCCGAGGCCCCGTCATCTGCTTCCGTTACGCCATCAGCCGAGCCTACCGCCGTCGAGGTCAAACATGTTACCCCCAAGGAGTCTGCTTACGTGACACCGCCTCCACCTCCAGCACCCACCACTTCGGCTGAACCCGCTCAGACCACTACTCAACTTCCCCCGCCTCCAGCGCCCACCACTTCGGATGCGCCCACTCAGTCTACTCCACTCCCCCCACCCCCACAATCCTCCAGCACGGCCCCGGATGTACCTGCTAAGCAGAATGAGCCTTCAGACCGTCTTGGCATGGGTGTGACGTACGATCCCTTCACAGGCTCTTCAGGTAGCACTCGGTGCAAGACCGAGAATGAGATCGCCAGTGAGTTCGATAGGATGAAGGACTACAAAGCTGTTCGAATCTACGGCTTGGGCTGCAATATCCTTCCACTCGCTGTGAAGGGCGTCATCAAGAACGGTCAGAAGCTCATGGCTGGTGCATACATGAGCAAGAGCGGCAACGGCGAAGACCTCAGCAAGGTTATTCAGACCCTGAAAAGTGCTGTTGACCAGTACGCTGGCGGCAATTGGGACGTCATTCAACTCTTCTCCGTCGAGAACGAGCGGGTCAACGATCACGACATGACCGCTTCCGATGTTGTTGATGCTATCCAACGTGCCCGCGGTCAGCTTCGAGGACTTGGATATAATGGCCCTGTTGGCGCCGTCGAGACCGTGCCCGCTACCATCGATAACCCTGCCATCTGCCAGGCTTCGGATGTAGTGATGGTCAACTGCCACGCCTTCTTTGACACCAATACCGTGGCTGCAGACGCCGGAGCTTTTGTCAAGGCCCAGGTCGAGCGCGTCAAGTCGGCCTGCAACTCAAAGCGCGTTGTCGTCACGGAGTCCGGCTGGCCTCACCAGGGCGACCCCAACGGCGACGCTGTTCCTTCACCGGATAACCAGCGCAAGGCTCTCGAGTCAATCCACAGTAACTTCGACCACGACATGTTCATCCATAACTCTTTTGACGCAACTTGGAAATCGGATAGCGCGTCGACGTTCAACGCCGAGCGATACTGGGGTGTTATTCAATAAACGGCCTGCCCTGTGGCAAAAGGTATCACTCTTTTGGTAGGGCTACTTGGAATGCATCTCGTGGCATGCACTTTTCGGATTGCATCTCCTGACATGCAGCTAGAACTGCTCCCATCTTCTTCATCTCACTTCATGCACACACGCAGCCGAGCTGCGCAAATGTTCAGAAGGCATTTTTGGCGCCATTATGGGTCATGAGGATATGGATATGAAGACATGCGTCACGTAGTATAGATATCAAATCTCAAATGAATGCATGCATGTACAACTTAATATCACAAGTCTTGGGCAGTTTCCTCAATCGCCTTGACCAAGCCATCCAGTGTCCCCTTTCTCGTATTGCCATTCACAACCACCCTGAAGAACTTGCCTTTCTCGCCCGGCGCGAAGTCAATCATGAAGCCCCGACTAATCAGCTTATTAGCAATATCCGCCGTCGCCTTGCCATTCGCCTCTGCATCGTCTCCGAGTAGCCCACCCTTTGCATAGTAAAAGCACACCTGCAAACAAGGCAACGGCTCGGGACTAATCGTGACGAAGTTGCCATTCGCCTTGAGCAGTGCGAGAAGATACTCGGCATTATCAAACCCGTTCGCAACCAGCTTTGAGAAATACTCGGAGCCATAATATCGCAGCGCAAGGAAAAACTTGAGGCTATCAGCGCGGCGACCACACTGAGGCGTCAAATCAGCCAAGTCATAAATATCATCCACACTAGCACCAGGCGCAATGTGGAACAAATAGCCCGCCGGCAGCGTCAGCGCGCGGTAGAACAGGTTCATGTCCTTGCCCAGGAGGAACGAGCACGTCACGGGCACACCGAGCATTTTATGCGGGTTGATAGTGATACTATCTGCGAGTTCAGCGCCCGCGAGACGCGTAGCAGCATGTGCATGGGAGAAGATGACGGGGCCGCCCCAGGAGCCGTCGATGTGGAACCAGAGGTTATGCCGTGCGCAGATAGGGGCTAGTTCAGCGAAGGGGTCGAACGAGCCATGGACAGTCGTTCCAGCGGTTGCGTTGAGTAAGAGGGGGGTTTCGCCGCGTGCTTTACTTTCCTTGACGAGGCGTTCAAAGTCTGCGGGGATGATGCGGCCTGCATCGTCGACAGGGACGGAGATGACGTTTTTGGATCCCAGGCCGAAGAGGTTTGCTGCTTTTTCGACCGAGTAGTGGCCGTGCGCGGAGGTGAAGATTGTGAACTTGTAGGTGCCGTTGCCTTCGGTCTTGGTTTCTGGGTACAGCGTGTTTCGCGCAATGACTATGGCGGTGCTGTTTGATGCTGAACCGCCTGGTTGCGAGATGCCTCCAGAGGTGGCTGCAGGCAGGTTGAAGAGCGATGCGAGGTACTTTGTCGTACGTTTTTCGACGAGGGTTAGTACTGGGGAGACTTGGTAGACGTGCACCTGCATGTAGCGTGAGCAGTCGTAGTACATGTCACGGGGTGTGGATGAGAGTGAGATGAGACGAGGGGACGTACATTGGTGTTCAACGTTGCAAGCAACAATTCGCTCACCAAGCCCACTGCGTTGGTACTCGCATACAGCTTATCGAGAAACCCTTGATCCCACGTGTTGACTGAATACTTCAGGACACTCTCCACGAGCGCAACGAGGCCATCTCTTCCGGCTGCATGTTCTGTGATTTCCAATTCACTCTGCAGAATCCCTTCTAGTTTTTTCGGCGGGAGGTGCTCAACAAGCGCTGTTCTCGGTACTCCGCCTTCAACACGAAGGCCTTGACCTGTGTGTTTGGTGGCCGCATCTTGGTCTGCAGCAGCAACGAACGGGACGATCAAATCAGTGATGGCAGTGAGTAACTGTGGGAGAGATTAGTAAATGCATCATCTTTTCATCCTTGAATCGGGTTGATTCGCCAAACGTGACCACATGGATGAAAAAAAGCAGCGGTGGTAGGCAAAGGCGATGTCGGACTAGCCAAAAGAAAATTCCGGAGGCACTTACATCCTTGACCTCGTCTGCACGATTGAGGGGTCCCTCGGTGTCACCGTTAGTGGCAGACATGCTGCACGATTGTATGCGAGACGCCGAAACAGGCTCAGCAGGTAACAGTCTCGTTAGGCAATAGGAAGCAAGAAGGAAGAGTACCCTAGTAGGAGAGAGATTGGGAAGTAGTAGGCCGCACTAAGTCCAGTCATACAAGTAGAAGTCATTGTTCGCTTTAATTCCTACCAAACATCGCTCCTCCCCACATGGCGCAAACTTCTCTGCAAATGCACTAAATATGTTTAGATCAACGAATCAGAAGTTGTCCAAAGGACCCACCCATTTAATCCACAACGCCTTTTGCCAATGCCTGACATCAGATAATTCTTACACGCGATGCACGCCAACTATTGCGCCACAAGATTTACTTTTTCCTTATCTTTACTGGTCATCACAACTCTCCCCTCCCATCCCTTTTACCGTCCTTTTTCGCTAGGGCTTCCTTCCTCTTCGCTCCAGCCGCTTTGGACGCAGCGTGTTTTTGCCTTGCGAGTTCGATGGCTGTCATTTGTCTGCCAGATCTGTGGTTGTGCTGGTTCTGTGGCGATGTTGCCGTATTGCTCTCTGGAAAAGACTGAAATCCGTCGTTCCCAGCAGTATAGCGTGACTGCTTGACCCAGTCGTATCGGTTACGCTTGTAAAGGTCCATCTTCCAATTTCGCCAGACGGCACGACCGACAAAAGATTCACGCAGTGAGTTCTCGTTTTCAGCGAGCTCTTCGGCGATACGTTCGCGGATGAAGGCTAGGCCGTGGGTGCCATCCCATATGGCATCGATAACGCGCGATGCGGCGGGATCAAGTGCGAGTTCACCGACTTTGCCGTAGAACTGTTGTATCATTTTCCGACGGAAGATGACTGAAGCGTTCTTGGAGGTCAATGCTGCTTGGAGTGTACGTGATGCTGTGGGATCGCGAGCTATTTGGATGGAGAGTTCAGGTGATAAATTGGCGAGAGAGTCAAAGACAAGGCTGCCCAGGGGTCCTTCCACTAACATCATAGTCTGCGCTAGGAGAGACCCATGAACCTTTTCCGGCGAGTGTTCCTGTTTGCCATTGGGCTTTGCGTCTTCCCCACTGAGTTTGAGGATTCGTGTGACCTCGAAGCCGTTGGAACCACCGTAAGCGGTCTCGAGTTGCGCTTTGATCGGAGATGTGTCTACTTCCCGAGCCATGCATCGCTCGATAAGAGTTTTGATAATGGATGTTCTGTTGCGCTCGACCAAGTTTGGTATTTGGTCCACAATCTGACGCATAGCCTCTTCCAGATCATCTTTGCCCAGTCGTTCGAGTATCTTTCCAGCTACGTATCCAGCGATTTCGTTGCGCGCCAAACTGCCCATTCGCTCCTTGAAGAACTCCCCGTAAATGGACTTGAACAGCTTGCCAGGGGCGTTCTCGATGATGGTTTCCAGCAGTCGCGAACCGATAGGATCGTAGACGAGACCGTTGATGAATGAGGCGCTCTCTGTTCCTTCTGCAATTGGGTCATCGGGTAATAGCCTATGGATGATCGACTTCTCGTCCTTGGCTCTTGACTTGCCAAAATGTGATAGTTCTAGTTTGAGGAGTAGTTGTAGAGTCGGGTTGCCCAAGGGGTGTGTAGAAAGCGAACGCAGGTAGTGTGGCTCAAATCCTGACACGCTGTCGTTGATGACTTTTTCTAGGGCTCGCAGGAACGACTGCGGCACAGTCCGTTTCTCTAGTACCAAGTCTTGCCCCTTCTCAGAGCCTGCGACGCCAACCTTTTCTTTCCTCTTGCTCTGCATGACGGATTTGGTCTGCTTTTCTAGTGGTGACCCAGAGAAGATGACGAGCAACACTCGTAGTACGTGTGAGGCAAAGCGATCCGTCATCAGGAAGCCTACGTATCCCTCCAGCTCATTCAGGGTATAGAGGAACAGATTCTCCATAGAGACGAAGACTTGGTCGGGGTCAGAGGATGGAGGGGTCTGCAAATCGGGTTTGGCAAGTTCTTGCGTGACAACGGGCGCAGCTTGTAGGAAGAGGGCTTCACAGCAGTGCGAGGCGAAACGGTGCTGTACGAGATTGAGGAAGCTGCGACTGGTAAGCATGGCACTGGCGGGAGACGCACTTGATGCACTCACTGTCCACTGAACTTTTGGAACAGTCCTTTCAGCTGGTCTGGCGTAGAGAGCAGGATCAGACGCTCGAGCAGGCGCGAGCACGACTGACTGTTCGCAATCTTGAGTTCTTTCCCGTCTGCTTCCTTGTATACACTTTCGAGGAATAGAGTGCGCGCCTCTGCATCGTCGAACTGGTTTAGCTCGAGCATTTCATCGGCGCGCTTGAAGTACTCCTGCTCATCGTCGTCGAGCATGCCATAGAAGGGCAGGGCGGCGGGAGTGACGCCATCGGTGGCTTCCTGCTGGAACGCCTCAGCATCTGGGATGTGCTCGTCGACATCTTCGTTCTTGTGTCTCTTGGAGGTTGTATCGTCGTCGACGTCCCGCTTGCGCTTCTTCTCCTCTTCGCGACGACCGCGCTTCTTGTGTTCCTTGGGCATGGCGAAGGCGCGGCGAGGTGGCCGACGAGACTGTAAAAAAGTTCTCGGCTAACGGTACCAGGTAGAGGAGGGTAGGTAGTGGACGACTTCTCTGCAGAAATGCGGGCGACACAGCGACTATTAAAGGGAGCAGCCACGGTCCGTGGGTAGAGCTATTAGAGGGCTTGCGACACGACAGCAGCGTGCATTAAGGTTGTTTTCACCTGGGCCAGAAGCGGGCTGACGAGAGCGCCGACGCCTTCGCTTGCAAGATCTTGAGAAGGCAGATCGATCGCTCTCCGATGCGGCTTAGCTCGAGCGCCACAGGCGCCACCAAGCGTTGGGCGCCCGCATCCCGAGACACCTCGTGCTCGTACACAGTCTAGTGTCTCTATACCTAGCCCGTTGCTGCTGCAGCATCTGGCAACCCTCGTACGATGAACGAGGCCATGGACGACAGCCAGGCGCGCGTAGCCGACTACCTCGACGACAAACTGCAGACCATCAGCGACCTGGACTCGCTCGATGCGCTCCTGACCAAGATCACCTCGCAGCACGGCCTGCTCAAGCAGCAGCTCGACGACGCACAGCGCCATCTCCACGACGCGAAGCAGTCAGCCCATGCCCACCACGCCCAGCTCCAGCAGCGCGGCGACGCCTTCCAGCATGCCCAGGCCGACATTGACCGCCGCCTCATGGTCATTACCGCCTCGGAGACCAGTGACGATGCCGTCCCCCGCTTCGAAGCCGTGCTCGACACACTGCACCGCCTGGACGTGGCCAACGGATACGTCGAGCTGCTGAGCGAGGTCCATGTCCTCAGGTAGGACAGAGCCCGCGCCTAAGCCTCTCTCCCCATCAGCTGATATTCCTGTAGCAAACACGCCCAGGCACAGCTCCAGACCTCCAATGAAGCCGCCCTACACCCGTACAAGCAACTGCGTGCTCTCCACACTCGCCTGACCAACCTGCAACATGCTGCAGAGGGTGCCGCTCCGCAGTTACTCCACCACGTCGACAGCATCACCCAAGTCCTGCGCACAAAGATCCTCGATGCCTTTTCGTCCGATCTCGACGTGGTTCTGAAGAAGATACACTGGCCCACGCCAAAAGCAAACATACCTAGTCAGCTGCGCGAAGAATGGGAAACGGCAATTGCTAAGCTGTTGGACCTGCAGATGCCTGAGCTGCAAGGCGCAGACTATGCCAGCGGGCCAGTGGACAAGGTTAAGCTGCCTGCAGTTCTCTTCCCGCTCGATGTACTCGTGCAACCCTTGGAGATGCGCTTCCGCTACCATTTCGAAGGTGACAGGCCAACGAATCGGATTGATAGGCCTGAATACTTCCTCTCTCACATCACCACACTGTTGAATGATTACAGTGGATTCGTAGGCGACCATCTGCAACCTGTTCTACTGAGGCACTTTCGCGGGACTGATTTGGCCCTCGACCCTGTCTACATTGATGCCATGTCTGCCTTCATCACCGCGCTTCTACCAATGCTTAGGACCAAGATCGGATCCCTGTTGCCCAAGGTCGCCGGCCAACCCCAGCTCCTCAGCCACCTTATGCATGAAGTGATGAGCTTTGACACTACCATTAGAGACACTTGGGGCTACGATGGCGGCTACGGAATAGACGGCTGGAAAGGGCTCTCCTGGGAGTTTCTCGTGCAAGGCGATTGGTTCGGCCGCTGGCTGCAGGTTGAAAAAGACTGTACAGATCCCCACAACGCTCTGACACGCCATGTTTGCTTGAGACTAATGTGCGTGCAGTCGCATTATCCCGCTATCAAAGTATCGTAGACGATCCAGATTTCGGTGATCTCGACTACGAATCCGTCGATCCCAACGCCACCAAGCCAACCAAGGGAGCGATCCGCGTCAACGACCTGCTCGAAACCATAACTGGTTCGTCTCGGCGTCCCGAGTAACCGAATATGCATTGCTGATCAACACTTTCAGATCGATACAGACCCTTGACATCCTTCACGCAGAAACTTACCTTTTTGCTAGACATACAGATTGCCATCTTCGACAAACTGCATGAGAGGCTTTCGAGTAGTCTAGATGCGTACCTCGCGATGACCACGTTCACGGGACGTACCATAGGTGGTGTTACGAAAGAGGAACAGGAAAAACTGCTTGGCATCGAGGGGCTTGAGCGCCTCTGCAGGACGTATGGCAGCGCAGACTATCTCGAAAAAGCAATGCGGGACTGGAGCGACGACGTGGTAAGCTTCGCCGCATGCCAAGGCAGTGTCCCACGTGTCACTAGTGCTAACCCACTGTAGTTCTTCCTAGACATTTACGAGGAGCTACAAGACCGTGCGAGACAAGCAAACAGCATTGGTAGCATGAGCGTTGCTGACGTTGCTGGACGCACGTCAAAGTCGGTCGAAGGAGACAGTGACAGCGGCTCGCTCTTTGATGAAACGGCGAGTTGGTATGCGCGCCTCCGCGAACGCAGCGCAAACATCATCATCGACAGGTTGAACAATAATGTGCGGGAGGCGCTGCGGCCCTACCGACATATGTACGTCTCCCGAATAGGAAGTTGCAGCGTTGAGCCATACTTACTTTTTCGGCCAGCAATCCCTGGGCGACTCTCAGCGGCTCTTCGTCAGCTGCAGCCACAAATCTCTCGCCTACAGCAGAGATCGACCCACTTCTCACCCACCTAACCACTACCTTGACGTTCTTGTCCCGCGTGCTTGCTTCCGCTCCCCTGCGCCGCATTACTAGAACGGTGCTCGCCACCATCTCAAGCACGCTTTGGGACAACGTCCTTAGCCGATATCGTTTTTCGACTGCAGGCGCGGCACAGCTGCACACTGATCTTGCGGCGATATGTCGCGTCGTGGATAAAGCGGTGGGCCCGGGAGTCGCTGAAACAGGCTTACAAAAATGCATCGAGGGCGCACAGCTCGTTGGGCTGCCTGTCAAGGGTGGCAACAATCAGGCTGTGAGGACGCCATCGTCTACAGAAGATGGTGGCGATGGCGGCGAGGAAGATTGGGAAGCTTGGGGCGGCGCGGATGCAGACGAGGACGGGGACGGGGATGATGGGGCGCCTGTTCCGCGAAAAGCAAACATTGGTGACACAGCGGCCGGGGATGTGGACCTTGGCCTATGGGAGGTGGAGAAGCGTCTCTTTGCGGACAATCAGAGCGCGAGGGATGTCTTGGAGGCGTTGGGGTTGGACGTGTTGAGCGAGACGGAGGCGAGGGCGCTGTTGCGACGAAGGGTCGAGTTGGCGGGTTAGCAAGTAGGCAGTTGCTCTCTGAGCTGTCATGTGCCAAGTGAAGAGCTGAGATCGTACGATGCAGGTCACAAAGTTGATCACGATTAGATCAGACGATGTTTCTGCATGTAGTCGATATCGTAGTCACAAATTCGATTGCCGTGGCTCTCACAAGGTCCCAATGCAGCACCCTGGTCAATGCAAAAGACTATCACACGGCGCAACCGCAGCAAACCTTATTGTTCAAAGAGCGAAATTAAAAGAGGGTGCTCGTCACAAAACTTGATTTCTGTACCTCGTAGTCGTTGGGGGGGTATCATTTCAAAAAGCATCTACATAAACCCTCTGCTTCCTTTCCATCCACCTTTCCCACCGTTCAAAGATTCACGCCTCCATCTCCTCAGCCAGACCTGACCGCATGATAGAATGTTAGAAACGAATTCCCACAGGCTGAAAGGTCTCTCCGGCCTTGTCCTTCCCTCCGATGAGAGAAATATCCATACCCTGCGTCCGTCCAGTCAAGCTGAGCAGTCTTACGCCATCCTCATTAACCCCTACCATTCGCGCGTGTATCTTCCTCGTGGGCCAGGCTAGGACTGAACTTAATTGGAGAACTTTGAGTTCACCTTCTTGCCCGTGAACTTCTCGAAAAGTTTGCGCGCGCCGTCGGTCTGGATAGCACACGAAATTAGCAAACTTGCAAACACACATGAATCGTTGTCATCAAGGCCCGAGTGTGATGTAAACATAGCTAGTCGATCGTGCGTGCGCCGAGTATAGTGCGGAATGGAACGGAATGGAAGAATTCCAGCGTGAGTAGGTTCGTTGCGCAAAACTTACGATTTTCTCATTCATGCCACGGTTCTGCGACATCTTCTGGCCCTGGGCGCCGCCGAACTTCTTCTGCGCAGCCTCGAGGCCCTTGTCAAGGTAATCCTTCTGTCCACCAGCTTGGCCGTTGTTGGAATTCATATTTTCTGTTGCGAGTTTTTGTAAATGTGTTGTGGTTTAAAAGGTTCGTGGGTGTAGTAGTGGTAAAAGTTTGTTGCGGTAAAGTGCAGTGAGTGATAGCGGCAGGCTTATAAGAAGCGGGAAGCGGGGGAGATGAAACTCTTTATGCTACAACGCATGCGACGCACTCGATTTCAAGTCGCGGTGAGCTGAGACGGCGCATGCCGTTTGATAGGGCCGACGTCAGTCACACAGCCCTCTTTTCTTTAGGTGGACCATATTCGGAGGGGTCATTTCCAATATTCGGAGGGGTCGTTCTAGATTGTACGCATACAGCCCTTAAATATTTAGCCTAATCTAACACTAACCCTAACTAATTTTACTACTAATTATATTATTTAATTAAAAACAGGTAAATTTATTCTTAATTTATAACATTTTAAGTCTATTAACTACTTTATTAAAACCGCTAGCCCTAAACCGCGCAGCTACACTAATACTATAAAAGCAATTTATTTTATTCTAAACTGCAGGTACGTTTTTATAGTATACGTAATAGTACTATAAAGTTTTCTAAAATTATTCTATTACATAGTTATAGAGTTACAGTGCTGCTTATATTAAACCTATAATATTAATAATAATATTGCTAACACCTTTGCACTCTAATTTTTAATAATACTTTAAAAAAATATATTCTTCTGCATGCAGACTAGCTTAGAGTATATATATATACCTTCTCCTACATTAAAGAAGTTGTACAGTATACTATAATAAAAATATAACTTTATTTAAGTAAGTTTTTATTAAAGTTAAGCCTAAACCCCTAACTAGCTAGCCCCCTATAATAAAAATAGAAAATAATAGTATATAGCTGCGTATACAGGGACTTTAGAGCAGCTAGAAATAGCTTCTTTTAAAGCCTTTAATTAGCCTAAACTACCTAAACAAGGCTAAAAAAGCTAGAAGAAAAAAAGGAGGTTAACGTATATATATACTAACTTCCTTACTACTATTCTAACTGCCTGGAAACTTGTTTACTGCGCACTAGAAAAATGCTATAGCTTTTTAAAAATATATACTAAGGAAAAGAGTAAACTTTAAAGTACTCTAGGTTTTTTAAGTAGCATTTAAAGTTCCTAAACAGCTAAAACCTTTTTTTCTTTAACTAGAAATAAAGGGGCAAGGCAAACTTTTTATTAAAACTATATAAATTACTGCTTAAAAACTTTTAACTAATCTTTAAAAGTATTGCTAGGTGCTTATTAAGACTAGAATTAAGCCCTTAAAGTCCTTAATAATAAAAATTAGAATATTTAAAACGCCTGCATATATTTTAAATAAATTAAATTATATTTCTTTAGCATAAAAACAGCCTCTAAATTATCTTTAGCAACCCTGCCTTTACTTTTTGCACCCTTAGGACAACCCTTAAGTTTTAATTTAACTAAGTTTTTAGTAAAAAACTTATAGCAGCGCAAATTATTTACAGCGCAAAAGGGGTAGAAGTACTAATATTAACCTACCTATATAGGCTTAAGGGTGAAGTTTAGGTCTTTTTAGAGCTATATACTAAGCTAGTGCTTATAAAAAAAATTATATATTATAGTAAAAGCCCTTAAATAATTTTTAAGATTATAGGATAAGTCCTTCGCAAGCCTAAACTAGTTTATAAAGAAAACTAATTTAAGCAAAGTAATATAAGTATAAAGCTTTTAAAAGCCTAAGATATTTATATTATTAAATACCTAAACCTCTTCTATATCTATAGCAACCTAATAAGTATTTCTAAAGGCCTAAATGTGCTTATAAAAGTCCTTTATTATATCTAAAAAGTGCCTAGTTTAATTAAAGAAAGCTTGTTTAACCCTCCTATATAAAGCTTTAAGCAGAAATATTATTTGCTAGCTAAAACTAGGCATATACTAGCATATATACTCTGCCTATTTATATTTTAAAAATATTATATAACCTTTTATATAGTCTAAAAAGGTTAGCGCGTAGTTAAAATACTCCTAAAGAAATATATATAAAGTATTAAACTGCTCCTTACTCTAAGCGTCTACTATACTATAAAAGTAGTATAAAAACTTTTCTTTAATATTTTTAAACTCCTCCTCCTGCCTATAGGGGGCCCTATTGTTAGCCTAAATCTTATTAATCTTAACTTTAAAGTTAGTATTAAAGTGCTATAAACAGCCCTTAATAAAAATGTTTTTAAAAGTCCTATGTAGGCAGCGCTTTAAGGCCTTTTTATTATTAGTAATAAAAATTTTTATAGTACGCCTAATAAGGTTTAAAAAATCCCTTAGGGCAGTTATAGTATTATTATAAGCTCTTTTTTGTTTATTTAAGAAAAGCGCAAAAGCTATATTAAAAGTTTAATTTATACTTAAGATCCTTATAATATAGAAGAAAAGTATATTAAAACAGTTTGTTTTATATATATAGTCTATTATAAAAACATCTAGATATTTTTGTAATATGTTTATAAAATATAAGTAGGCTTAGAATAGTAAAACAAAGCAGCTAGAAGAATCCTAGGTAAACCTAATAAAGTATTTAAAGAATGCGTTATTTACTTTAATTAAAAAATAAAAGTAAGGCTTATTTTTATAAAAATCCTATTAAAGCTTATTTTATAGAGCTTTAATCTTTAAGCAGCTTTTTAACTTTCTTAATTAGCACTTTACTATACAGTTTTTAACGTCTTAAAAAAATATAAAAAAGCGCCCCTCTTCTAACTGCAAGTAAATAAAGCCTAGTATAGCACTTAATTATACTTTATTTTTAATTATATAGTTTCCTGCTTTATTTTAACTAGCTTGCTAGAACTATAAAAGGCTATACTATAAAAATCTAATATAGTTATAGGTAGAGTTTAAAACTTTAAGCCCCTATATAAAGGTATTATTTTTACCCTAATATAGTTAATATAAAGTAGCTTTCTATTTATATGCCTTTATTTTTATGCTTATATTTTGCTTACTAATACTTTTACTATAAAAAGTATTAGTATATTTTTAACTATATGCATACTGCAGGCTAACTTAAGTAACTTTTAAAAAAAGTCTAGATTAAGTTACGCGTCCTTTTTATGCGTATAAAATAGAAGCTGTAAATTTATAAAACTTATTATAGAAAAATAAGTTTAAACTTTTTACTACTTAGTAATAATTATTACTTTTAAAGCTTTCTAAGTATAATATAGCAGGATTAAAAATTGCAGAATCGTTATTTAAGTTATATTAAGTTAAGAAAATATTATTGCTTTAAAGCTAGGCCTTTAGGGAGCCCTTAAGTATTATAATTAATAGTTTTTATATATTAAAAAGTAGGAGTTTTACGCGCATATGCAGGAGTTAATAGAAAAAGTTATAGCTTAGTAAAATAGCAACAATAATAATGCGTTAAACCTGCTATACTAGCTGCGTAACTATAATAAGTTATATTACAACTATAAAAATACGCGCAATTAACTTAGCGCACTTTATTTAGTAATTCTTAGTATTATAATATACTGTAATAATTTGCTGTTAGTTTTGCAGCTAGTGCAAAAAGTAGATTATATTTAGTAAAGGGCAACTTTAGGCTAACTTTAGCAAGGTTAGCATTAAGTTTTGTAAAGCTAATAAAAATGCTAAAGTTAAAATAAAAAAATATACATTATACTATTAATTTAAGCAGGTAATTATGCAATAAAAAACTAGTTTATCTTAAGTTTTAATATTCCTGTCTGTGCGCTCTGCAGGATCTGTAGGCTCTTATTAGCCTAAAGCTGTTGTATCCCCGGGCTCTGACGTTACTCTATTAGGATTAGTTAGTCTTCTAAATATTAGAAATGACCCCTCTGAATATGGTCCACCTTTCTTTATCATCATTCACACTTTCTAGGCCGCTTCCAGACATCAGCGTGGGGATCTTTTGATCTAGATCGTCTGTGGCTAGGGGGACTTGGCTTTCGGCCGGGTGGACGCTTGGTGGGGTTTAACGGGGAATAGCAGAATATGTGGGTCCTGGATGGAAGGCAAGACGTACTCCAGATATTAGTCGACTGAGTTTGTCCGAACCTTGCTACGTAGATTTACTCTGGTGGATGTTTGAATGCTGTTTGTGAGCATTGTGATGACGTGCTGCCGGTTAGCCGGTGAGATGGAAACGGAAGTTTTAGCCGACGCGTCACAATATGGGCAAGTTACAATCTCATCATAATGATTTCGTTACGGGTATATATACGATTCATCCTCTTGAATAGGTCTTCTTACGACTTGACACTTTGGTATCGACCCTCTGCTGCCCAAGCCACTTGTTCTCGAGCCCTTGAGGCTTCAGCGGGACAATGGTCCCATTGATGCGTTCAACATACGGCCGACACCGTTGCCATTTCTTATTCAAGGTGTGCAGACGATCCTTCATGCCGTGACTAGTTGGAGACCTTGTCTGGGACATTCTTGCCGGTTGCTTTTTCGAACGCTCCGCGCGCGCTATCGGTCTATCACAGGGTGGTAAGTAACAGTCTCTAAAGATGTGTAGGGTAGTGATGCAACGTACAATCTTCTCATTAACCCCGCGATTCTTCTCTGTATTCTGGCCCTGAGCGCCTCCGAACTTCTTCTCCGCGGTATCGAGGCCCTTGTCAAGGTAGTCTTCGTTTTGGGCGTTGCCAGACGTTTGTGCATTGCCGCTCATCTTGGCTGTAGAGTTGGGAGTAAGCTGGAAAGTAGGGAGATGGTTGTTCAGTCTAACAAGGCAATGTAAGCGGATATTCGTGAGAGATCTGGAGACGGAAAGGTCTTACGAGTTCGGTTGAGAAGGTACGTTGGGGATGTAGGATGGTGATGGTAGAGTGATGTGTGAGCAAGACTCGAGCTCTCTTTTATATGTACTTGTTCTTGCATTGCCGCTGGTTACCCCTCGTTGCAAGGGTCATTACGAGCGTCGTCTCGATTGCATCACATCCGCTAGGGTCTATGGTGCCTTATTTGCTCATGGAGCTAAGGGTGGGTCAAACCATGTCAACATGTTGGAACGATCGTCAAGCGTGGCAGAAACTTGGCTTTTTGACTTCAACGGCGCGAACCATGCGGATATAACGGCCAGTAAAGCTTGAGTTGAGCCTATGAGGCTTCCTTTCTGCTGTGACGTCACACTATCGATAAGCCTGCCAAAGACATGGCATGACGCAGCCCGGATGAATGAATGACTACGGAGCCTAGACTGTGATCGTTGAGATGAGGACCGAATTGAGGGCTCTGCATCTTGGTCATGCTGGCCGTGTGGAGGGTCTCCTAACGCGAAAGTGATTCAGGTACCACCTACAACCGAAATGTACCTTCACATGGACACCACGTTCGCCAGGCACCATCCATACATATGCATAGAAACAACAGTCATACTGCGTTCATTATTTGCTAATTAGACTCTTAAGTGGAGTAGAATAAATGCACAACCCTAGAACAGCTCACAGCCTTGCACGTGTCATCCCACGCTAGCAGCACACACCACGTTCTGCCTCCTCTGCGTCGTCTGCTTTAGGAAAACGCAGCTGCCTTGCGTGTGCAAAATTTTCTATTGAATGTCTCAAGACTCAGGAGTCAGACTCAGACTCAGCCTTCAGCTCATGTTCTTACTTTACTTTCCGACTCTACTCCTACCTTATACTCGGTCACGTCCATGGTACTGACGACGGGGAGTGACACCAACATGAGCACCTCACTAAGCACGCAGTATCACACAAGAGGAATTTTGAAACTGGACTTAACATCGTACATATTCGAGGATACTGACCAGCCAGAATGCAATCTCGTCATCCATCGTAGCCGTCACCCCCCCACTACCTTCCGATATATATCGTCGCAACCGGCCGTCAACGTCGTTACTTCTTCTCAATGTTGAAATATCCATGTCAAACGCCAACAATCAGACTCGAATCCACCAATCTATGTGTACGACTCAATACCAACAGAATAAAGGGTATCTCAGAACGGGTATAAGGCTACGCCTATTACAACCACGCAGCATCGAGTTGCAACAAGCGAGCGCTACTGGAGCAAGTCCAGGAAAGAATCTTGTAAAGAGAAGGAACCCACCTAGACACCAGTGCTCAAACGCACTGTAAACGCAAGATTGAAAACGCTAAAACGCATAGCAAGAACAACGATGATGAGATAACAAATACAAGAGAAGAACTGGAAAGTGTTGGATAGGCGAGACAGCGGATGAAGCGGCCGATCATCCATACTGTTTGATGAGGGAGTGCAGGAGACCGCAGAAGAGGGTGTGCAGCTCGACGAAGAAGTTCTCTTGACCAACGATTTCGGCTAAGCTCTTGGCTTTCATCACATCGCGGGACACACGAGGGAACCCGTCAGGATCGAGCTTCTTGGCTGACAAGAAGGATGATACTGGCGTGATACTGCGGGTGGGCGAGCTAGACGTGGAGGAGAAATATCGCCCTTTCTGTGGGGACATGAACGTTGGCGGCATTGAGGACGCTGAGGTTCCAAGAGCAGGAGGGGTGCTGTCACTTGCAGTCATGGGCCGGGATACGCTTTGCGACGCGGCACTCTCCCGTTCCAGAACCCTCTCAGCGAGTGCCACGATGCGATTGGCGATGCTTTCGAACACTTCGGTGATCTTTACCATGGCCTTGGTGGCTCTTCGGCAGTCACGACCAGCCATTGCGATGAGTGCATATGTGCGTTTCGCTCCGCGGGACCGAGGATCTTGGAGACGGAAAACGTAGGCAATGGTGTATCCGGCGACCGAATCTCCGAACATAATGGGCCCAGATGGTTTACTCAAGGGAAGGACCTCTGTTGATAGAGTGCGAATGCATGTGCGTCGCAGGAGGGAGTATGTGGTAGGTGACTGTGGCTGACTGGTGGAGATGTAGTTCAGTGTGTGGGTATGCATGCCTCTCGAAACGAGCATTGGTGAAGCAGGGATTGAGTCTGGGTATGCACCTGAGTGGCGGCTCTCGAATGAGGTGGACTGCTCCGTGTCCGAGACATCGGACGAGTCTGTACTGCTGGCATCGCCACGGGAGACAGGCCGGCGCACTGGGTAATTCTGGGAACTTCGTAGCACAGGACTGCCGTTCCTGCCACGTCCGTCCTTGGAGGGGCTCCCAGGAGCACCAGTGGGCAGCTTGTCCCTATACTTTTTGGGGACTTCCATTTGGCAGTTCTCGCATACGTCAGGGTCAGCGTCAAAGGTGCTGCTGCTGGGTCTCCTTCCACCAAAGCTGCTAGCAGTAGAGGATGGAAAACTAGGGAAGTATGGGTTGTGTGTAGGCGAGCGTGGGCTAGTAGGCGGAGTCTCGAATGGCGAGGTGAGCTGGGGTAGCCGCCCGCCCAGCTTCAGCGGAGTAGGCTGGTCATACAGGCCGTTGTAAGAGAAAGCCGAATGCGGCTCTTCGGAAGGTGGCGTAACGCATGGGTTGCAGGAACCGCAGGGCGAGGTCGAGGCTTGGGTGCAGATGATAGACGTAGGACCGTGGACCTCGCAGAAGTGTGCCAGCGAGATCTAGCCACCATAGTTAGCTAAGGTATTCTCCGCCATCCTACGTGCAGACAGGGCGCATGACGTGGGGAGGAAGGTGTCCCCGGGGCTTGACTACTGTGTAGAGAGAGAGATAGGCGCGCGGTAACTTACCGTGAAGTCCATTTTCCTCGTCTGTCTTATCCCTAAGGCCTCATGGTCTTGGGTTCAGGTGTGTAGTGGAGGGTGGTTATCCGTGGCTCAGCTGACAATCGATAGCCCCTGCTCGCTCAGAGGGGAGTAGTTGCCGTGCTGCGGTCGCGCCCGGAGTGCTATGGTGTGGTGCAGGTGTAGCTGTGAGTGGTGAATGCGCAGATAATCGCCAGGCACCGCTCCACAGGTCTCAGAAGAGAGGGGGGCAGCGAAGTCGCGTGGTGGTGGAGGAGAGGCGGTGGAGGGTGTGGCACGCGGATGGATGGGCAATCTTGGTGGTTGTTGGCCGCAAACGGTGGGCCGGGGGCTCCAAGAGCGGATTATATGGCTTTTCTGATCTGGCTTACGGCATGGCAACTAGAGAGGGCAGAAGCAGAGGCAGAAGCAGAAGCAGCACGCCGAGGGAGCGGCAGGACTGGGTATCCGTGATGGATCTGGGAGCCATAATTACGGGGGGGGCGTTGCGCGGAGCATCATGGGCAGCGCAGCGAGGCGACGCTACTGTAAGAGTGACCAGGGGTTACACGGCCTTCGTCTTGCGGTCAGTATCAGCGGCGCGCCATTGGCCAGGGCTTCCGCTGTGACACCGCAGGCCACAGACAGTTGACATGTGGAAGAGGAACGACGAGATGCAGACTCTGTGCGACTTGCGGCTACGCACGTCGTCGCGAATGCATCCGCGACGATGTGACGAGCCAGCCCTTACACGACGGACAGACGACTCCTGTGCCACCTCGCCCAAGGGAGACGACAGACGCAACCTGCAAGCACACGACCACGACATGTAAGAATGCACTACACCCTCTTTAGCACGTAGATCTACATCCGCGGGCCTATCTTGGAGCCCATCGCTCAATCACAGCCTCTCGTCCCCTGATCCACGGTTGCACGTCATGCCTCTTCCGTTGCGGAATCGAACTTCCTACTCGCAAACAGAATGCCACCCATTGCAAGCAACTGGGCTCCTCCATTCACCCTTCTCTGTCATCTATCATGCCACCGCAAAGACGCTTTCTTCCCCTCTGCAGCTGGCTGCACCCCTTCGCAAGCGTCCATCCTGCTATGCAATAGTGGCATGAATCAAGTGGATCGCAACGCCCTGAGTAATAGCCGCTCACTCTTTTGACTGACCCCAGCCTCACTCGGAGAAACCCATTGGCCCTAACGTTGCCCGTGCGCTGCTTCTGGAAACCGTCACATGTAGGTATCAAGTGGAGCATTCGAAGCTACTAGGCCTGACTCGTTGCAAAGCCACCCACCACCACCGTTCGAGAACTCACTCAAACGGGCCCTCATAGCCACGACGCAAAGCGGCCACGACGACCCCATCAACTCGGCCGCGTTGCTCCGCTATCCACGGTAACTACTGCAGGGTCTATAAAACTTCTCTCAACGTTCCTCCTTCTTCGACGCCGTACGCCTGTTCGCCACTTACCGGGAGACTGGACGAAAAAAATGCCGACGATCTGGGGAACGCGAGGGCCAGCAATCTACAGATCCACCAATCGAGCACTGAGCCAGCTCATCAGGCTCAGTGCATATGGATGATGCATATGGATGAAGAATTAGCAGCAGCAGCAGCAAGCCCGAGGTTTGAGCTCAGAATCCAGAACGTAGTGGGTTTTCTTAAACCGCTTCTGTCAAGGTCACGGGCAATATATTGCTCCGCTAATATAACGATTCTGCTAAATACGAACGGAAACTGGTCGTATGCATGTGGATACAGGACCAGTAGTTCCCGTCGGCTTCCACGATCTGTGTACTAACAAAGGTAGCGCGCTACGCGACCGAGCCAGTACGTAATATGGAAGAGTTCAATGCCTCGAAAAGAGAAACTAAATCCAAACTAGTCGTTACCCGTCTCAACGACCCATAACATGAAAAATCTTGATCAGTCAACAGGCTCACAATAACGCATGTGATTAGTATCCGTTGTGAAGGCTGCCTGTCACAGAGTAGCCGATTATCATTACATTGGTGTAGTTCTGACCTGCATACGCTCATCCTCCTCCGCGTCGTCGTCAGCGTCGCTAGCATCGGCGGTTCGGCCGCGCAGAATATCATAACCCATGACTTCGTTGATAAACTTGTTCGAAATCTTGAGCTCCTCATAGCGGAGCCGCTCCTGCTCGGTGAACTCCCTTCTTCGAGGCCCCATCATCTGCGCTATCAGCGGCTCCCAGATCTGGTCGAGCTGCGTGACACCAATACGTGCGCACGGAATGTCGTCCAACAACGCAGGCGAGACGACACCAATATCCCTCCAGTGTCGTCTCCAGCATCTGCTAGTATGTGGCGAAAGGTGTGTTCTATACGCATGGAGGTATCTTCGACGCTCCGCGTAAGTTGGGCACGCGAGCAGCTTGGCAATCTGGCCAATGCCTCCAAGAATCAGGAAGAACGCAATGTCTTCTGCGCAAGGAGGCTGACTAGACCACCCTCGCAGCAGCTTTTCCACTGTCCCCGTGTGACTTGAAGGCCGCAGCTTCCGTCTTAGTATTTGCACGATGAAGCAGTACATGTAAAAGTACTGTAACCGTAGTGGAGGATCCAGTTTTTTCATAATCTTTCTCTCCTGGTTCGTGATACCAGCCGTGGTACAAATGAGGTACCCAATGTGCGAACGCGGCCGTATCCGTCCAAGGTCTCGGTCCAGGAGCAACCGTCGATGCTCATCTAGGAAATATCCAACCCCGAAAACCAACGGCATCATTCTCTCGTACGCAGATGTCCACAGCTGTCTCTGCCGCGGGCACGTCTGATCCAGTGCATCACCCACCAGGATGTCGGCTAGCTGCCGGGTTAACCTGATAGAGGCGATGTGTCGCCGCCTCATGGCAAGGAGGAAGGGAAAGTCCGCTGCATTAGGCCTTGGAGCGGGATACAGGCGCAGATGGAGATTACCCATGCGATGCTGCACCCAGTAACGCACAAGTGCAGGCGCATTGTTTGTGATGAGTTCGTTCAAGCTGCGGCATGTCCTTCTTAGAGCGAGCACATCAGCCACACACAGCTCACGGAGGATATGAATGTGAAGCTCATTTGGCAGGCGGAACAGCGCTTCCAGAAAGGGACTACGCAGTGTTTGATTAGCATGTGTTGCAAGGCTGAAATGGCAGAATATAGTACCTTGACAAACTCGGGGCAAGCTGCTCGCCTGCACTTCGTCTCCCAACCCTCAGCGACGCAAGCAACCTGCTCTGGAAGCGACCAGCTGCCTTCCCTAGACTCGGTCTTTTTTTCGAAATCGCTTTATCTGCCGGAGAAAGCGCAAACCCGTTCCTCGCACGCTCCGGGGTCGACTTGCCTCGCCGAAAACTCTCCATGGGCATGATGACGATGCTCGTGCGCGGTGCCGATCCTCACCGGCTCTCAACTTGGCGGAGATGCAGCGCTCAGCGCGCGTTTTCGTTGCGTAACTTTAATCACCAGGTCCTTCATTGTCGCAGAACCGTCCGCAGCATTGTTGTTGGTCCTAAGTCGCACAGAGATTGGAGATGGGAGGAGTGTGTGGAAAGTTGAATCGAACGACAAGGCGCATGATGAGGTGTAAAGACCAGCTCAGGGATTCGGTAAACAGGGGACCAAGACCAAGCATGGATCGGGGGTTGATCAAGCCACAGAACCACGAGGCCGCAATCCGAAACGTCAGCTTTGCCGGGCTTCCCTAGCCCTGTCTATGGGCCGTGCGATTCATTCAATCATTCAGTGAAGGACCCAAGGGACACTGCTTGATACTATGAAAGGAAGGATGACACCTTTCATTCATTCATCCATGCGATGCGATGCGATGCGACACATTGACCTGACTTCACACACAAAGCTGTCGCAACAGGACACATCCCAGGCTTTATCACAATGCAATGCAGGGTCGTCACCAGAGATTAGATTTGACCTGCCGAGGCCTTAATTTAGCAGTGTCAGCTTCCAAAACGTTGAAACCCGGTGGCTGCATCGCGTGGCAAGTCCCCGCATTAATTCATGGATAGCGGCCGTGCGCTAGTTCGTCATCCTCCCTGCACTTTTCTTCCGTCCACACCGCTCTCTCTCCGCATTCAACGATTACCATGCCAGTACGAAACGTGTGTTACCTTGATACGAATACGTATAATTACGTATAGGCGGATGGCTTTTGTCGCTCTAGGTGTGTGTGTGGCAAATGTATGTCTGCTGTTACCGAGTTTTATACATACGTGGCATAGCTATCCGAAGCGATGTCAAGACCCACTATCGTGACGTAGACATTGGAGCATATAGGGATAAAACTGACTGTTTCGAACATATGGTGCTTATTCGCACATATCTTATTCTGGGAAATCTGGGTACTTTAGTTCCAAGGTTATCAATGTCTACTGCTAAAGTTTCGGGACGATATTGACCAACTGTCGTGCCAACTGGCGGAATATTAGAAGTAGTGTAGATGGCGGATTTTGGTGACTGTTTCGAAGCAGACCGATCTAACGGTTTCATCAATGGTTCCTACTAGAGAAGGGCATCGGAATGGACATATGCAAGACGGATGGGAAGTTCAACTCCTGCGCTAGCGTAAACTAGTTTGCCTCTAGAAGGACTGTGAAGTCGAGAGAGCATTTGTATATAGGCAATAACATCGGGTACTTTTCGTAACATGGATCCACCGATCACAGATGCCTAACACAAACTAGATGCACAACCGGGAGGTCAATTCGGTGTGTTTCAATCGGACTTTGGCATATGCTCTGATTGTGACACAACAGCTGTAAGGCGGATTTCGACATGCTGAATAGCGTGAAACAGTTCAATACACTACCCACATGACAGTAGCCTAGCAATACCCTTGCAAGGATACTCGCAAGACTTCTGTGTGCAAACGTACAACACGCTATATGGTACCGATAATTTGACATGCATTCTCGAATCGAAGTTAAAAATGACCATTAGTCGAACAATGACTGCTACCCCAGCCTCACTCTCTACACGACGCTAGTTGATTTCCGGAAATCAAATCCTGACCTCTCCCCAAGCTACCCCTCAACCCCACATACATGCATTCGTGATCTCAACACGACGTAGCATAACGTAGATGCAGGCATAACTATGCAGAACTTGACATTCTCTTCCACTATCCCGCACTGTCGTGCACCCAACCTCGTCCCCAGTAGTCTACACCCTCACATTTATCTGTACACGACATCTTCTCCATGAGTGCTACAGCATCCATCCAACCCGTCATCCTCCACGCTCCCCAAATCGCCACCGCGCCGTCGGAAACATTCCCAGACCCCTCGATAGGCGGAAATGTATCGTGGAAAACGCTCATCTCCTCGTCTACAACTCCGTCAGATACTTTCACCGTTGGAATCGCAACGTGCCCCTCAGGCAGCAAGGCGAGTTGCCCATCTACTACGCCACAAAGGCCTGGGCACTTGAAACTTCATCGCCATACGCACGCGGAGATCTACCATGTCACCGCTGGGATTGGCGTAGTTGCGATCGATGGGGTAGATCATGAGGTGAAGAAAGGGAGTGTGGTGTTTATACCCGGGGATGCGGAACATGGGATTAGGAATGTGGGAGATGAGGAGTTGTGTTGGTTGTATGTTTTTGCTGCTAGGGGTTTTGGGGAGGTGGTGTATCGATTTAGTGGTGATGGAGGCGGTGGTGGGGTGATCGCTAGGCTGTAGAGCGTGTGTCAAGGAAACAAAGATGAAAGTGCAGGTTTTGAAGAGAGAGAGACAGAGAGAGACAGAGAGAGAGAGAGAGAGGGAGAGAGAGTTGATGTGCGTACATGATGAGATGTTTGATGGTGTGGAAGTCGATAGCATAGTCGAGATAATTGACAGTTGCAAGTAATGGATATCGCTGTGGTCTTGGGTGCCATACTTGTGGATAGTATGTATAGGCACATTTAGTAGACCGGTGCTACTTTGTACAGCCTTTAACATCCACGACAGTGTCCATGACACCGCATCATAGCTCGACCCGAGCGAATGCATCGGGAGCGGCACGTGGCGCAATTGCATCAGGCGCCGTAGGAGGTGTGACTATACGAAAGCGGAAATAGATAGCAGTAATTAGGGGAGAACTTGACAAGTATACAGCTCCGACTCTTCCCTTGGGTAAAAACTACATGATGTATCGAGATTCTCGAAGAGACGCAGATCGAAACTGATAGGTGAGGAACAAAATGTTTTCAGATAGCAAACCAAACTCTCACGCCGTGGATTTGAAGGGCTATGCCCAGCAATGCAGGAGCGGCTAATAGCCTACACATACCCATGTTGTCGCGCCAAAATAATTGTATCCGTAAAAAATCGTGGTGTGGTACTGTGAATGTGAGCTGCAGGAGGCGTGTAACGAAGACGGGACAGCAGAAGCGGGGCACGTGTCCCGCACAGTCAAATCTGGCCCGCGTTGAGTGCGGGGCAACAATCCTTCTCACCTTGTCCATCATCGTGTTTAAACCTCTCAATGGCCGTCGTACCCGTCAGTAACAGTGAGAGAAGTTGTGCTACCAGTGTCATGTTTCGTTGCCGAGCGAGGTTTATGATTCAAGCACCACCAAAGACCCGACCGCCCAGTCTTTCAAACAGCGGTCGCTTCCGCCGCGTACGCAAAGCCAGCCAGCAAAGATTATCGCAGACCGTGCACTCGGTTAGCGCAACGCACACGCCAGCACCCCGTTTCCGTCCCTCAACCTATTAGGCCGCTTTTCCGATGTGTATATATAATTAACATTTCCAAATGTCCATTGTGCAGTGCGAGGATTTGTACGAACTCATTTCTTGCCTTTTACCAGAAGTGACCGCGAGTCCCGCACAACACTGCACTTACTCAATCTTTGGAAAAAACATCACCCATGCGTGGGTTCGAAACTTTGTTTTTGCCATTTTTTGTTCCTTGTTACATCTTTTTACTTGTCCACTCATCAACGCAATAGATGAAGTGCCTGCATCAAGTTAATTGATTTACAAGTGGTCCTTGATTTGTTTTTACTCATGTGCGGTCTACAAGTTATATCCTAGTAGTTGGTCTTTGGCTTTTGTTTCTGCTGCACTCCCGTCTCACCTTTCATCCGTTGCAGTTATCGTTCTTCTTACTTGTACTGCGTAAACGCAACATGCCACACCTTGATGCCTTTCACTCCAGTCCTCAAATACCCTCTAATCTTGCCAAATTCCTCCGTCTCCCTAAACGCCATATGCGCTTCGACTGTCGGCCACCCCACAAACGCTGCGAACAACTTGCCCTCTACGCCCTCACCAAGGCTCTCATGCTGATGGGTCTCAACTGACCACCCACCCACCAATCCTTTAGCCTCAACATTAGGAATGTTCGCAATCTCAGAGAGGAATGTAGCGAAGCTCGCGTTGTACTCGGCCTCAGATTGCGCAGGATCGAAGTACGCGCTTATGCACTCTGTGACGGGCGCGCTCAGAGGGTTTGCTGACAATGTGTCTGTTGGGAGCCTTGCGTGGAAGAGCGTGGGTGGGCCGGCTAGAAGGTGCTTGTCTAGTGTCTCCAGGAAAGGTTGGTATTCTTGCGAGGCAATGAAGACCTTGTGGGCGTCGACGGATTCCCAGTCTGCCAGGGTGTTAGCGGGTAGTCTACTGTTTAATTCCCGAATATGAATTTAAGAGGCACTTGGTGCACTACACCGCAATCACACAAATACGCAAAAGGCCGTATAGATTACAACACGCACCAACAACCAGCTGCAAAACATCCTTGTTCTCAATCTGGCGTCCCCAGAACAATGTCTTTAACCCCGATTGCTTCGCTATGGTGACTAGCGTCGAGTCCCACGCGCGTTTCGCCTCGCCCGATTCTAAGTCCAAACCAGCTTTAAGGGTAAGGTATACGATTTCAGTAGCCTGATCTGTCATTGTGGATGGTAGAGCGAAAGATGAGGTACTTAGGACGATTGAATCTTGTTCTAGAAGATGAAGTGTTCAAACAGACGAGGCTGTCGAAGAAGCAATTGTGTGAATGATGGGTTGATCGATATGAAGATTGTTGATAGGGTTGTTCTGCATATATACGCAATAGTTCGGATCCGAAGTCTTTGGCCGTTGCATATGCCTAGGTCAGATGTTGTGTGTTGTAAGCATTTGTATAACGAGCACGGCATGGTTGTCATCTGGGAGGTGCCCCGCCCTTATCCTCAGAAAAGGAAGGTGGGGCATATACTCCTGTGCTACCATGTAATACACACCCTGTCAAGCTCTCATTTCACGCAAACACAACACCATTTGCCCCTACGTGTCTAAGATTGCAGACGTGCTGTGTAAATATTGGGATCTGTAAATAACAGTATGAGCATGCTAATCCAAAGCAGGCAGGAACTTATATCTTCCACTCAGTTAGCTTGCCCTTGAGTCCTCTCGAATCCACGGCCCCATAAGCGCTTTCAAGAAAGAACTTTCAACCTGTATGAAGTAAAACGACTTTTAGGTGTCAACTCGTTACTGATCGTACACATTATTCTGAAGAAACTCTACGTATGGCGACCTCTTGATTCGACCCGTGTTTGCAGTTCTTGCTATCAGGCTATTGTTGTTGCGTCGCTACTTTACATACACTTCTTAAAAGGATTTCCAAAGCGCCCACGCCCTAGTTGAGCTATCGCTGGTTCTGTGAAAGTCCTTTGAGTGCGGAGATGTTTGTGATTACATTGAATCTTCCACCAGGATAGGCTGTATTCGAGACTGGTCGTCAATCGTGGTATCGAACCTTATCAAAAACGTAATCACAAACATCTCCGTACTATTTCTTACTCAGTATTGATCGGTACGAATCTATCTGTGTCATGCAGGCAGAAAGCTGCCGGAATAAGACACGCCGCGGTAGAGGTGGTAGTCGTCGGTGGCTTGAAGCCCACGCGTAAGTGCGGGAGAAGGCTGACAGATGGCACCTGCCAGGCGGGAGGGGTAGATTCAATGTCATCCGGATGTACTGCTCTGGCGATTGAGACAGTGCCGAGTGAAGAGGGCGCACCCGCCCGACCGTACGTTACCCACCAGTGTAGCGAGGTCCGCAGCAGAACGAAGAACATAAACAGCCAAATCCTCCTCCCACCACCGTATTAGCTGCTCACGCGGGATGTACTCGCATTGCCATGACGAGGCGTGGACCTGGGCGTCTTCGCTGTGCTCTAGGACGACGAGGATGTTGGGCTCATCGCGGAAACGTGTGTACATGGTCGGTGACACGAGTTGGAGAAGAGTGTAGAACGTGCATGCTGCAGACGAGAGGCGGACGTCTACTACCTGGAGCTTGTCAAGAGAAAGGGAAGCTGATTCCCTTCTTAATAATGTGAGTTACATCATCGCCAGTCAAGGCGAGAGGAATTTACTGATGGCTGGATCAACACCACCAACAATCGTCGTAGGCATCATCGTTCTTGTCTGGCTGGGCTGGGCTTGTGGAAGTTCTTCTCAAGCGATGCATCCGGCCCTGGTAAGAGCGAGGACGTCAGAGCTCAGACGTCGATATGGGGAAGAGTAGTTGTATTGTGGAAGACGCACATGCTTTTCTCGGGAGATTTCATGTTGCTTCTGTCCTCGTCAATCTTCTGATGGCAGGCCCAGCTTCGTGATCTTACTGGGTGGTCGAGAAAACCATCTGCGGTATTGACAACAGCAGTTGTTGTATCGTGGAAGGTGCACATTCTCATCTCGGAAGATGTCCTTCTCCTTCTCTTCTCTTCTCTTCGCCTGTCATATCGGCCCAGCTGCTGTATAGACCCTACATGGGCCTTCTCGCTCTAAATCCCTATCTCCAGGTGCGGCTTAGCTGATTTCCTCTACAGCTACATGTACATTACCATTAACAGACACGTCTCACTTCAGCCACAGTCAAGATCCTCGTCATTATAGCTCGTACTTATTACAGCGAACAGTAAGGGTACATTCATTTATCCGGCATGCGAATATGATTTCTTCCCTCCTCGGTCGAGTACTCGATTTGAGTAAAGCTCATTCCAAATCCTCCTCGAACCCAAGCTTTGTATCATTACGCCTTTACAACTTCGCATTGGCCTCGCCCTTGAGCTCATGTGCCTTGCCCTTGGCCTCGCCAGCGAGCTCGTTGGCCTTGCCCTTTGCCTGTCCGGCAACCTCGTTGGCTTGTCCCTTAGCCTGTCCCTTGGTCTCGGGGACTGCTTCCTTAACGGCGGCGGCGGCTTGCTCTGTTTGGAATTATCAGCCAAACTAGTTCAACAACACACAACGTATGGGGACCCTAAGTCTGGAACATGTTCGTCATGTTCTTTGCTGCAAGCAAGCGTAGAACAGCAGGACTAGGGAATGGTAGAGCGTGGAGTAAGACTAGAAGCTGTTACATACCGCCCTTCTCAATGCCCTTTACGGCAACATCTGAGATGGTCCTGTCAACAACCTTGGCGGCGTCCTTGACGGTCTCTACTGGGCTCTTTCGCGCAATTGGGGTGGTGCTGAAGAGGCGAACCTGGCGGAGGAGTTGTTGGCGGAACATTGTGATGGATGTGTGGGATTTGTGTGTTGGAATTGACGAGGGATTGTTCAAGGGGTGATGATTGGTGATGAGTGTCTTGAAGATGATGTATTCTGGGCAGCGGATGAGAGCTTTAAAAGAAAGCGGAGGTGTCTAGGGTTTGCGTTATGGTGTCAGGCATGACGTAGCTATGATCAGCTTCCAATCGAAACCAGAGGTGGTCATAGCTCCCTGCATGTCCCATCTCCATACTGTCCCAACTTTTATGCATTTACGGCGCTTTGCACATGTTTACTGAATCATTGGAAAAAGTTCGAGCTCAATTCCTTCTCCTCAATCGTTAACATGGTAACCAGTTATGCGACAAGATTGCTCGACCTAGTACAGCGCCTTCTGCCACCACGCACACCTAGCATTCGCGTTGCTGTCGCGCACATCTTCAATCCCCGTCACGTTAAGTTTCAACACTCTAGCATCCGGCCCGTACATGTTGAACTGTGTGATACCGCCCGCCTCTGGTGCACCGTTCTCCGCAAAGCTCGCAATAAATTGCTGGAGCGCAATCGCAATCGTTCGGTTCATCACAGAGAGTGACAGAGCTCCTCCGTCGTAGTATGTATAAGGAACATCGAAGCCGTGGAAAGCAGGCGGCACCGCAAAGAGGTACGAGTAGGTCTCGTTTTTGAAGCCAGTGGACAGATAGTTCGTGTTGCACGTGAATACACTTTCGGAGATGATCAGGTTAGCGCGTGAGAACTGGTTTCTATAACCGTACGAGCCATCAAAAACCGCCGGGTAGAGGTCCTTCGTGATTGTATCGATGGAATGCTGCGGTGCGTACGGATAGGCACTCCTGAGCTGAGTAACAAGCGTTTCTTCTGATTTAATCGAAGGAGGTGTGAAGTACGTTCCTTCATTCGCATTATGGCCGACTAGAATTCGAACATCTTGGTCGAAACGTCCTTGAGCGAGAAGCTGGCCAGGCTGCTGAGGCACAAAATTCCCGTCGACTACGGGTCCGTAGATGAATGATCCCCATTCTGCATCATAAGTAACCTGTTGAAAGTTGGCGCGCATGATGTCTTCGGATGGCAGCGCGCGTAGCTCGGCGAGCGATGAGCTATTCGTCAAGTTGAGGAGCTTGCGATATGTATCCTCCTGCTGAAGGTTTGACTGGGCGGGCTGCCAACCAGGGCTCTGCGGCACAGCTTGCTGAAATGGAACTTTGCCCTTGAGGCCTCCGTACGCGGTGATCTGATGCATGATGCTACCGCCACCAGCACTCTCTCCGACAACGGTGACGCGGTTAGGGTCACCTCCAAAAAGGTGGATGTACTTTTGCACCCATTCAAGCGCAAAGCGTTGATCATACAAGCCAAGGTTGCTGACACCGCCTTCAGCCTGGTACGAAGGGCCTGATTGCCACCCAAGCGCACCGAGCCGATAGTTCAATGAGACGTAGATGATATCGCCGTTCGAGGCATTGCCAGAGGCAGCAATCAACCCAGCAGGGTTCAGATTCTTATTCCCAAGGGTATAGCCTCCACCATAGATCCAGACCAAGACAGCAGCCCCATATCCTTTGCCTGCCTTGCTGAGCACATCTTCCGGGACGAAGACATCTAGGAAGAGGCAGTCTTCTGACTCGCGAGGATCCCGAGGCGGAACTGGACTGCTGGAATTTGCACCCGTCACTACAAACGTTTCGTTAGGAGCGGGCAACCCTAACACCAAGCTGGTCAGATAATTAGTGGCAGGTTTACCCCATGCGGGACTGGATTGAGGGCATATCCTGCGCACGTTAGGACACCTCTAGTCAAGTTGAGAATACTTTGATTACGTACCTGGAGACATCGCCATTGTTGATAGCTGATCTGTTCTCCAAGGGGGCTTTAGGAGGTGCAAATCTTAGGTTGCCAATGGGAGCTTGCGCAAACCGGATGTTGCTGAAATTATAGAAGTTGCCAGTGCTCTACGCTCGAATTAGCATGGAAGTATCCACAGTTTGAAAGCAGACGAACATTGAAGCCAGCAGCTCGGTAAATCTCGTATCCTAAATCCACCGTCGGCAACGACGAGTTCTGTGCATACACAGCTCCTAAGAGGGCAGCTGCTCCAAAAATCTTCAACATCTTATCGACAAGATTACAAGTTAAGCACGAATATATCCGAGCAGCTGTATCCCAACTGTTTACTCAACCCGCAAGCCTGGGAATCAAGACCGAAAATCCTTAGACAATTGAGTAGAGACTCCCGTAGACCGGGTACGGGTCGAGCTTTAATACATGCTCGTTCAATTTTGTTGTCCAATCGCGCAAGCGGGGCCGACTCCAGTCTCAGTGGTACCCTCATCGTACATGCGCAGTACCGGTCAAAGAAAATACGCCCATACGCTGGCGTAAGCCGCACGCAAGCCCATTGTTGCCCGACCCCTACAAATGCGTCATGAGGCGGAGGCCAGGGCGACTAGCTGGGATTTCGATTCGTCCGCCCGGACCTGCGCTGAATACATTCAATACGTGGCTATTCAGAGGACGGCTGGATCTTGAAAGGTACGAATTACGAGGCTTGAATGTGCGGAGCTACTTATTGATTTTAACAACGCGGTTGGTCCCACGGGGCGGGTGATGAGATGGGAAAGGTGGGTTCCGTTGGTTGTGTGCTGCAGATCTAGAATGTACAGGGTTCCCCGACTTTGTGTAAGCAATCTACCGAGGTTCGCTCCTCCTTGCATCTTTAATCTTGACCTCCAGGACCGCACCATGCTGCCGACAACAGTGACGAAGGCAGAATGACCTCGTACAAGATGAGACAGGATTCAAAGGCTACCGAAACCTTTCAGCTTACTCATTTTGTGCCGTCCATATTCGACCGAGTGGAGGCTGGGGAAGCATCGCCCGTACATATTTAGACCTGCTTATCCACAAGAACACAGTAGCGCTGACATCCATGCGAAGCATCATTTCGTTATATCATTCACAGTAACTTCCCCAAACAAGCTATGGCTTCGATGCTCTGATCAGCGCGCGGTGGTCGAATTCCAGTGGTTCAGATTGCAACACACCGCCTCTACGATTGACCGAGAGCTCTGGGCGCTTTACAACTCCACGTCTCTCTATTTCATTGTCGGTATTACCTTGCCATTTCGCGTCATTTCGAAACAGGACAACATCCACTTCGAGAATAGATTGAGCTCTTGAATTGAGCAAAACATTGTTAGGACGTCTTTGATGGGTGTTTCCGAAGCGCGTGTTCCTAACTGCTGCTGCTGCTGCTGCTGCTGCTGTCGGGGAGGCGAGCTTCATGTTACCCCTTCGAATGGTCCAACAGCTAACATTACTGTATCCAAATTCTTCTGTCAAACGAAACTCCCATCCTGAAAACTACCCGTCACGTCTCCTTTCCCCATTCCATCTCACTCATTTTAGATTCTCTTCATGGTGGAAAGTGGCTAGTCATTCAGAGCCTTGACTCACGTTTTATTTATAAAGAGATATCTAGCCTTGGTCATTTCGCTGCTGCGGTTTCTACAAGCTCACTGTGGTATCTCCATGCGAAGCCACTGACAAGAAGAGATTATGAGCGATAGGTTTGAACATGTGATGGCGGCGCTGAAGGAGCCGCTTGTTATAGACAGATAGAGTGCGTAATTTTCGTTTCACTGCTCACAAATTCTCGTCAAGATTCTACGGTGTTGCCAATTGGAGTGGACCAGTGCACCGCTCCTTTCACTCCCTCAAGAGACCACGAGGCAGGCACCTGTGGCTTCTCCTCTCCTCTCGCCCTACTCGCCGTTACATAAGTTCCTTCTTGAGCTCTCTACCTCGCGATCCACCCTGGTGGACTATCGCCCAGCGCACAACAAGCAATCACCACGCCTACGAACTGCTCACACATTCTTCAACGCCTACAACTAGCCAAATACCCCAAGCTCGTGCAAAAATGTCTACTCAACACCCGGTAGATCAACCTGACAAGATTCCCACAACGCAGTAGTGGCTAACAGACAACAAGCTCCCACCACACTCAATCATTCCACCAAAGCAAGCCGTCTCCTCCCAGCGCCGCCCACCTCGAGGCTACATCCCCCAAGAAACGTTCCGTGAGCTAAAGAAGCGCATCCTCTCCAACGCGCATGCATACTACGCCCACCACTTCCCCCGATCCGAGCGCTTCGACCTCATCACCTCGTCGACGACGCCTACAGGTCGACTTGACAGTAGGGAGTGGCGCGCCGCGTTGATCGTGTATCCCGACCCGAAGCGCCATGATTGGCGGGTGTTGTATAAAAGCAATGCGTGTCCGAGTGTGGAGGACGCTGCGTTTGAGATCAAGTATTGGATCGAGGAGGACATGAGTGCAGTGTTTGACAAGGTGGAGGTGGGGGATGTATGGTCGGCAGACGTTTAGCATACTGCTGCTACTACTACTACTGTGTCGCCGGAGGAGAATTTTGGGGGTTATGCGATTAAGACGGAGGAATAGGCTGATACTGAAGAGGGGACTGTTCAGAGTGCGTCTGGCTTGAGGCGTAAATCGCGTGATGAGCACGACGAGGAGCGGAAGAAGAGCGTCAGAGCCAACGTGGGATAGCGGGTCTTCGTGGATGAGAGGAAAGAGCTGCCTGATATTGATACTACCAAGAGTGCTCCAAGAGTGCTCCAAGAGGCTGTAGCGGTACTATGACAACGTCGACATGTTCTTAGCCTACTTTGCTATGCCTGACTAGATGGACCCTCGTTCTCTACGTTATTTCTCCATATCAAATCCACGACATCTCGTTCGCTCAGTAAGTTGGGTCAGAGGGGTTTTCTTTCCAAAATTCAGTCTGGATATCCCCAAACCGGCCGCCCACCCCTCCGCTACCTCATTTCTCATGTTCCCCCAACGTTCAAATAAAATATGTCTTTACCTCGTTTCTTGCCCAATACACTCTTCTCTTATCATATAGCATGTCATAGGCACCTCTTCCCCCACCGAGATAGAAAGCGCAACCCTTTCAAACTCGTGTGAAACCAAAGTTCACCAACTGAATCTCTGACTAGTTTTAGCAGGTCCCCTAAATATATTCTACATTTATCTAGGGCATGTCGATTCCTCTCACACACACTACCCCCTCTATTTCTCGCGCAAACAGTAACACAAACCGCAGCGGCCCCTCCCCCCTAGAAATAAGAAGAGATGTCGGACACAGAACACCGGGTGCGAGTGGCCTACATCAAAGATGTAAAAGAAATGATCTTGAGTAAATTTTGCCCTCCTCTCCTCTCCTCTCCTCTCCTCTCCCCTTCTTACTTTTTTTTAAGAGAAGCCAACTAACACGGCCAGGCGACGGGCGCGCCCTCTTCGCAACCCAAGGCTACACGTCGCACAGAATGACCTACGACATGACGACGTCGACGTCCGGCGGCGGCTACCGAGCCACGCTCATCGTGTACCCCGACCTAAACACAAACACGCATTGGATCACGCTGTACGAAGGGATACGAGCCAGGACGTTGACTTCGGCTGTGTGGCAGCTGTGGGATGCGTTGCAGACGGGCTTGGGCAATTACCAAGGTGTGTATGCTAAAAAGGTTGTGGTGGGTTGGAAACTGCGAGGTATGGCTTTGCTGACGATGTTGCGCTGAAAGTAGCTATGCAAGCATATTATGCTGAGGCTGCGCTGGCGGCTATGTATCCTACTCCCGCTACGACGACGATGAAGCGGGAGGATGCGGCCGGTTCTAAGACACCAGAGGGGAGTTCGTCGGGCGAGGTGCCGGAAGCGAAGGTAGAGAAGGTTGAAACTGAGGCGGAATGAAATGAGTAGGCTACGTTGAGCAGCTTGTGCAAATGGGTAACGGTGGCTCCTCGGAGAGAGAGAGAGAGAGAGTAGACGGAGGTTCCTACCTATGAGATACAGCACAATCGAGGACTAGTTTTGGTAGGGTTGGCGAGGAGGCCTTTTTCTTTAGTACCTTGCTCATGGACTTTCTTCTGTATGCTGGCTAGAATCTTACATCTCTTTATTATTCTCGACACAAATCCAAGGGTATCACCATGTCTATTTACATACCAACAAGGTCGACAGTCGACAACCTGTTACTTCATTCCCCCTCAACCTATCATATCAAGCCCAGCTTCCTCATAGACCCGACATGCGCCTTCTCCCTCTTATCCCCGCCCACACTCACAAACACCTTCTTCGCATGCCGTATCAAACCTCCCCTCCAATGCCAGAAATTACTCTCAATCTTCTTGGCTACCTCTTCGCCCTCGACGCTCGCAACAAGCCGACATACCCAGATCAAGCGGCGGGCGCTGACGAAGCGGGCTTCGGATAGTGGTCGAATGATGGCAACGCGGACAGTGGCTTTGGTGAACATCGGGCTAATGGGGAAAGAGTGCTGCTGCATATGGCGGTACAGGTAGTATATTGAGCGCCATGCTTCACGCTGGGAGCGTGTGTTGTCGAGAGAGTATTGCTGGGCAAGTTGGTGTATGAGTACGATGCGGTTCTCGAGCGGTATATCGACGGGGAGGCTGCGGTACGCAAGCGGCAGAACGTGGGCGGCTTGTGCGCGGTCGAGGATGTGCTGGAATTGGCGCTTGCTTTGGAGTGTGTCTAGCTCTTTCTTCGTGCCAAGTGCGCTCACGACGACGGATGATGTAAACTTGCTGAGGACTTTGAGTATCCGTTGACAAGTGGTCAGGATCAAGGCGTTGTGCTGACGTTCTTTTTCTGTTGGAGGGCTTGACTGCTGGCAGAGGGCTACCTTGTCCGCAACGAGCCTGTTGAGGGCAGAGGTATCGCATATGTTCAGCTTCTCTTTGTCCATGGCAATCAAGAAACGTAGCACGAAGCCTAGATCGTTGTGCCGGACGAGGAGTGTCACAGTCATTTTCATTAGGTTGTCATATGGCAGTAACTCGCTTCGCATTCGTGAGAACAGACCTCCAATCCAATCCTCGCATGGAACAGGTCTCAGCGTGGAGGCGGCAAAAGAGTCAATGAGCTGCAACAGCTTCTCATTCAAAGCGGCGTAGAACGCATCTTGCTGGGATAAAATGGAGACCAACGCGTCAAGCAGGGTTTCCGGTCGCATCTCGGCAGACGAACGATCAGCAAAGACGTGCTTTGCAATTGTGGTAATGGCAGTGTCCACTAGAGATGCGCTTGGTCGATTGAGAGCAAAACTAGATTCAAGGCGGTAGAGAAGGTTCAGCCAGGTGCTGAGACGATTCTTGTACGCGCTCTTGGAAAGTCGAGACTTTCTCTCGATTGCCGTGACCAAGTCTGAGGTCATCCCTGGAATAAAGTCGATTAGGAGTTGCCGTGGTATGCAGAGCAGGATTTGTTCTGCAGCCAAGTCACGATCCTGGCTTAACGAAACACGCGTATTCAAAGTCCTGACTCCCTCTTTCATGTCGGCGAGAATACGTTGTAGTGTTTTGGCTGTAGGCTGATGCTGAATCTTCCTAGCGACTTCGCGTAAAAGGTCCTGGGCCGCGTGCTTGTTAGGCACTCTTGGTGAACAAGTAGATCGCCATAGCTGCCGAACCAAAAGGAGGAGCTCATCATCCTGTGTGGTGCTCACTGAGATGTCTGCATGAACGGCTGCTTCTGCTAGCTTCACATTCAGGCGGTGCAAGTCATGTAGGCGATCCGGGAAGCGTGTCGACAGCTTTTCTACGCATCTCAGAATTTCCAAGCTCTCCGTAGTGTATGTGGGCGGCACTGCCAAGGAGGCTGATTTCCCGATGAGTAGGGTAAGGTCCCAATTGAGTTCAGTCAAATGCTTGAAAGCCATGACATTGTAGACCCACGCCTCCGAGTGGTTCGGACAACAGGATCGAAAGGCGTTGGCTATAAGCTGACTCTTGCCGGGCTCTGATAGGTCACCTGCGTGTACGATGCTCGATTTGAAGTTCTCGAAACAGACACCCATGGTCTGCGCGGGAGCGGTAGATTTCGAATCAATTGCTCTACCTGGTTTCTTCAGAGCCGTTGGAGTATGCGAGACTCGTTGCGGGAGAGGGCTACTGGTAGGCGCGGTAGGCTCGACGAGAGGGATTGGATCGAACGGGAATGGCGAACGTGCAAGATTGGATACTAAGGGTGATCAGCTAGGCTCAGACATATTCTCAAGTGCTTCCGCAGACATACCCAGGTCCAATGGCTCCCCTTGCTGTGGTAGCGACGGCGGTTCATATCTCCACTGCGGCTGGGAGTCTTTGCGAAAGCCGAACAGCGCACCCAGGCTAAAAGGTGGGGGGAAGCTGTCTTGAGGATGGAAGTTGGCCGAGACGGTCATGCGACGCTTCGCTGCCCTCCTCCTGGCCTCCAATGGCCCCGGGACGTGGCTGCCATGGCGCTTTTGATGTGGACATGTAGTGGGGAAAAGTCGAGCGAGGGCGAGGGACAGGAGGTCGTCGGAGATCCAGATGTGCTGCGGAGCAGGAGATTGAAGTGCTTGCACTGCTCGGCGGCAGGCAACAGGCGGACGGCGCATCAAGCGGGGTGCTGGTCATTGAAGGGCTTCATGCTGAAGTTTGACATGGTCGAGCTGGCCGAATTTGGACGCGAACGCACGGACGCTGGGCACGTGACGTGCGAATACAGCAGCACGATGGCCCTCGGCAACAGCGTTTCGCCCTGCGACGGTGTTTCAACGTCTTCCAGGGTTCCCAGGGGGCTTCGAATATTCCCACTTCGAGAAGCTCTTTCGTGGTCAGGAAGTGATAAAGAGAGTAAGGTTCGAAAGGGCGGATTCATCGTAACCAGCAAGAGGACCGCATCGAGTATGAATATGAATACCCTCTCAAACACGTCCAGAATGCACTGCGAAGGAAGCTCAATTTTGCATTATTCCATGCATAAATCGCAGCATATGGGCATGTTTGTGCTGTATGCATGGCTACTACTATTTTTGCTCGGCCGAACACTTGCGGGCCTTCAGCTGTTGATCCTGTACGGCAACACGTGAGGTTTGCGCGACGTCGTTGGCCTGCTCTTACTGGCTGCGACGCCAACGGCAAGACTCTTGTCACTACGCGAAAATTCTCAAAAGGCCCAGACTGTGCCGCGCAAAAGAAAAGTGGTGCAGCGACACGACGACTCTCCTCTCCAATGCGGCAACGTCAGCGACCAGCTGGCAGCAATAAGTACACCTGCAAGCCCGCGAGGGCCTTGGGGCTGGCCGCGCGGTTCAGTCCACCCCCTGCGCCGTGGCTGTGGTGAAACGAATGGCAGCGCTGGTGGGCTTGAAAGGGCGGGGACAGGCTGGCCACCAAAGCCAGGCACCGCGTCCTCAGTGGCCGAGAGACTCCTGGTGCCTGTCCACAGCGACGCCTCCATTGATAGGCTAGGTGGAGCCGCCCGTTGTTGCTTCGTCGTTGCAGCGCAGGGCTGGACGGACGGCCGCTGTATCGTGTGTGCGTGCTGCAGGCGACGACTTGTTGCAGCAGGTCAGGCTGATCGTGGACGCACGTCGTATCGTATTCGTAGAGCCCCCGTGCAATGCAGTCAGGTCAATCAATCAATCTATACAATAGACAAGCCGTCCAACCGTGCCAAGCGCACCGGAATTGGCGACGCGGCCGCCAGTCAGCCCAGGCTGGGGGTGGTGGTGGGCTAATTTCGCTCAACGAAGGTCCCAACTGGGGTCCCTCCTCCTGATTCCACCTTCTCACTAGCGACCTACTCCCAAGCCGCTCTTCGTCTTTGCTTTGCAATTCACCCGAGTCTGTCCTTGTCGACCTCTACATTCGTTCTTGCGCCTCTCCTGCTCGTCCAGACACTCGTTATCATCGACCTCCTGCGCCCGACGATACATTCCTTTGCCTCGCTACGACGAGAAAGGGGTGAAACACGAAACATACATTCCCCGGGGCTCCAAGAGCCCTCACCCAACGCGCTTCGTTTCACATCCGGCAGTCGTCGAGGGCATCGCTGAGCGAGTCCACGGTTGAACAACGCGGCTGTCAAGTCACCTACGACTCCACCATTTCCACGGCCATCGCCCCGGCCACTACCGTACCCACCGCAATCCGTATACCCGCCACCACCCGCCCTTGACCTCACCACACACCCGAAAAACAAACCAAAAAAAGGGACCGGCTCAGAGCCTTGCATGTGTACACTCTCCTGTGTATAGGCCAGAGGTGCGACACGCCTGCAGTGAACGTCGCCCGACACAACACCGCTGACTGCGAATAGTCTGCATCTACTGGTACACACGGCAGTCATCTGCCATCACAATCAACACCCACCCATCTCATCCCCTTCACAATCATGGTCCTCATCAGATTCACATCCGCCATCGCGGCCGCATCAATGCTGCTGTTGGCGGCTGCCGATGAAACGCCAACCCCAATCAAAAACCCCATCACCACACCCACAGTCACGCTACCTGCGAGAGAAATTGTCGAGATTGGCTGCTTCCAGACAGGCGTGCCGCTTGAAAACCATGGAGACTACATTTATCGGAGTCCTGGCAACTGTCAGCTAGTTTGTCTTGAACAGGGCAAGAACGTCATGGGTCTCTCCGACGGAGAGAACTGCTGGTGTGGAGACAAGAAACCCCCAAAGAGCTCGCAAATCGACAACAGCACATGCGACACAACATGCTCTGGAGACAAGACGGTTCGCTGTACGTTGTTTTACGCCACATTGATATAGACTTGACTGACACATGACAGGCGGTGGGCCAAGCGTACTTTGGATCGCCCTCACTGGCAACACCAGAAACAAGGTGGATTTCTTCGAGCCTGTTTCTAGCTCTTCATCGTCATCGATAAAACCGTCATCGACTGCTGCTCCTCCTACATCCACCGCCACACATACTCCGTCCAGCACCCCCTCAGCAGTGCCCGAAAAAGAGAGCAAGCCAAATACCGTTGCCATCGCAGTGGGCGTCGTCGTTGGCATAGTAGGGCTTTCCGCCATCCTCTTTGGTGTCTGGTTCATGTTGCGACGAAGACGCCAACGCCAGGCCGAGGAGGACTATCGTCGCAACGCTGCCAATGTCAACGGCTTTGTCAATGGTGGCAAGCTGCACACCAGCAACTCGTCAATGAACGACTCGCGCCTGGACCCGAGCTTCATGGACAGAAGGCAGAGCAATGGCAGCATTGCAGACAACGAGGACTACTCGAGGCGGATATTGAAGGTACGCAAAACAAGGAAACATGTGCGCCGCATAATGATACTAATATAGCACAGGTTACCAACGCATGAGTGCATTGACAATGGCAACTGGCATGGCATGAATGAACAACCAGCCAATCGCCCTTGCCACACCATTCCTCCTCTCACGGCTGGAGTCCTCTGACGAAACCTCAATACCCTCGATATCCCACACACCTAATCTCCTCCTCCACCTCCTCATGTCTCGCATTCATGGTGTGCGATTACGCTTGACGACGAGAGTAAGAAAGTAGCATCTTGCGTTTTTAGCCCGTTGCTATTCAGTACAACGACGGACACCCAACCTCCGTTGAATCAGGAATGCGGTTTGGCTTTGTGCAAGCCCTTTTCCTTTTGTGTTATATATCTCCGACCTTTTCCATACCAAATCTGGCGTCTCTAGGGTGTTTAGATACCGGCTACTTACAATCAAATGGGTTGTTCAACAGAGTTCAATTTGGCGCACGGGCATCACGGTCACTCCTTTTTTCTCTCTGTATTATCTTCTGGACGGTAATTTCGTTCCCTGCCATTCCTTTACAACGCCTTTCACACACTTCCAACCTGAGAGGGCATTGGTCATGTCCCCCGCTGTCGTCGCTCCCTACTACCTACCTACCTATCACCATGTGTGCTCTGCCCCGTGGCTCCCATCACCACATAGACGCCCGTACCTCTAGCTACCTATCTACACCCTACGCCATCCTACAAAACCTATAGTCTCCTTGTAGCTAAAGAAAACAGACCATCTTATAATCCTTTGTGCTCTTGACCCTGAGCTTGCATTACGCTTCTAATGTGCATTACAGTACTCCTTTTGATCATGTTCATCATTTACTTCTATAGCTATAGCGGTGAACACGAAACACCCAACTATGACATGATCCTTGCATTATTGCAGCGACATGTCACGCCGCACTGGCCTTCAAACGTACATCAAGTGCAGATCCAGACTAACGCACTGTTCCACTCACGTTCCTCATTTCTCGCAAATATACATCACATCTTACCGCCGCCGCAGAGTAAGTGGATGTAACGCCTCGATTCAAATTATATACTATATACGCTGGTGGGTGGGTTGTCGCGGGTATCAAGAAAAAGGGAAATAGAAAACGTGGCGAGCATAGAGAGCGCTCACACTGAACGAGAGAAAAGAAAACGCAGCAAATTTCGACGACAGATAACGAGCAACGCGCATCCCAGAGGGCCCAAACCAGAACATAAAACCCCAAATGTATCCCACCTTACCGTAATTTACCCTACGGCATCGGCACCCTTGAACTACCAACCCGAATCTTGGGGTACTCGCCCGGAACATGTAGGTCACTAACACTAATGTCCGTGTTCTGCCTCGCCATACCCGGATGTGCCCTTGCCTGCGCAGTCTCAATCAGCTCCACAGGAACAGGTCCCCCGTTGATGGTCTTTCCAAAGGGAGCGCTGGTGCCCACCTCAGAATCGGCTAAAAAAGACTCTGCTGTGGTCGCAGGTGTAACAGGGGCATTCTGGTTGGAAGACGGAGCAGAGATAGGAACGGGCACTACCGAAGAAGGCAGAAAGGCTGTAGGCGGGGCAACATAACCAGTGTCATCAATCTGATCAGGACCGGGTGCTCTAGTTTGGGCAACATAGCCAGTGTCGTCGATCTGATCAGGGGCGATGTGGTTGGGATTGCGCTCGGGAATCGCTGGTGTGCTGCCCAAGGAGCTCAATGTCCGCGGTAGTTCGGCGGGATAGTGCTGTTCTTGCTGCTGCTGGGATCGTTCTTGCTCTTCCATTTGCCTCCTACGGTAGGCTTCGTTGGCGAGTACTCCCGCAGCGGCTCCACCGGCGGCAGGTGCCATCCAGTTGCCATAGGACGTGTCCTGGCGCTCGAAAGGAGCAGGGTCTGCATGAGAAGCCTGAGCATAAGGCTGCTGAGGCTCATAGTGTTGCTGGGTATACGAAGGATCATTGTCATACGCTTGCGAGGTAGATGCGTACGGGTCGACGTAAGAAGCTTGGTTCTCATAGGTCTGCTGAGTGGGTGGAAAAGGATTGACATACGACGCAGCTTGGTGTCCCTGCGGTGGCTGGACGGTTTGGAAAGACTCGGGATGCTGAGTGGATTCGACAGGATACTCTGGGTTTACATTCTGTTGCAGGCCGCCGGCTGCGGTGCTTAGATCATTGCCGACCTCGGAGGACCCACTAGAAGGCGAAAGAGGTGCTTGTAAGTTACGGTTGACCAGCAAATCGGATGGGAAGCGCCCACCTGGAGAAGGTCGTGAGGGTCGTTCCAAGGACTCGTCCCTTAGAGCCTGGTTCTTCATCGACTGGTTTGCACTGTAGGGGATTGCATCTGCCTCGTCTTCCTCAAGGCCTCCGTCGGAGCTTGCGGAGCGAGCACTACCAGCGCTGGTGCTCCTGACACTAGCATGTCGGCGCACAAAGGCATTCCGCTCCTCGCCAGTCTTCTCTGTCAGGGTTTTGATGTCATCGAACCAAGCCAGCATTGTCTCATACGTCTCGGCCCGGAAAACCCAAGTGTGGCCACGGTGCATCGATCCGGTCTGACGGCCCTTGATAACAAACTTGTGGGAAGAACTTCCGGGCTGAGAACGCGATCCAAGCTTCTGGTCTGGCAGATACAAAGACATGACGGGAGGCTGAGTGTAGATGCGATCGGCCGACTTGAACTCGTGGAGGTGAGTCGGCGACAGGACATACCTGCAGCAAATTAGTCATGAAATGTCACAGAAGAAATTCCAACGTACCATCCGGGAGTGTAGCTCTTCAGATACTTGCTCTTTCTCTCGAGCATGCCCGCCCTGACCTCGGTGGTAGCTGGATGGTGCTTGCCAGGATATTCAATCTCCTCGAGTCTTCGCAGGGGCAGTTCGGGGTTCACAAAGTGAACGTCACTTCGCACGAACCTGTTCCACTCGTGATCCCTAGACATGGCAATCGGACCACTGCGCAGCTTGTCGACAGTGTTGTACATTTCATCCGCATCGCGCTTCAGGATACTGGCGAGGGCATTGTAAGATTTCTGGACCTCACCCACGACGATCGACTCCAGCTCGCGCCCAGAGTTTTCGAGATTAAGGTAAGCCTGACGGTGTTAGTGAAGCCTTAGTTATAAGTAATTGCCTGACTCACCCTGTGGAGGTAGTTTTCTTCATCAATCTGCCTTTCCACCTGGCGCTCCACTCCGAGACGGACTACGTAGGGGTCGCCCTTGCCCGCCACTGCCGTAGGGTCTGAGTCGATCACTGCCAATGCCTCCTCGAGGGCTGTCACACACTTCCTTGTCGTCTCCTTTTCTCTCTCAACGTTGTTCTTGAAGTCACCCGACAAAGACTTGATCTCCTTGATCTTCTGCGCCAAATCTGCGCGAAGTCCACTGAGCTGGTTGATGACATCTGCCTCGATATCTCTAGCCTTGTTTGCCTCAACGATGGCCTGTTTGTGGAAGTCGCGGAGGAAGCGGTTGGCATCGTTTAGGCCGCCCTCGGTAAGAAGCGCAGGCGGCGCATTGGTGTTGTTGATGACGTTTGATACTTTGAGGAGAGATTTGGCGCGGTGTTCATACGATGAAGCCACTTCTCGAAAATAGGCGATGAGATCTTTGAGAAACTTTCGCCAAGCTATCATAGGTCAGCCCATGGCATGAGGCTAATGTGCGCCAACTTACTCTGGAAGCGATCCGCCAGAACCTCAGTAGGGGAGCCTTTGGTAGGCACAGGCGTGTAGAAGACGCTGTTCTCTCGGTCGTAGCCTTGCTCCTGATCGTCGATGGTCACACCGCGAATGCTGCCCGCGTGCATGCTTTTCCTGCTGCCACTGCGCTTCAGACTCGCGCTCCTCTTGACTGAGGCCTTCTTCTTCAGAGTACCACTGCGCGCAGGGGTTGAGCCCTGGTTGAGCGTGGAAGCTCGGGAAGCTCGGGAAGCCGACCGCTGAGGCACATCTCCATCGAGGACTGAAGAGCCTCGTGTGCGCGCGTCAAATTCCTCCTCGAACCGCCCTCGGCGCTCAGTGTGAGCTTCAGCGGGCGTGTTTGCAAAGTCAGTCACACCGACGTCCAGGTGGGAGGAGTTGCCGTATCCTCTGCTCAGGTGCGAGGGGTCGTGGATGTCGGGTACGGGGTTGTAGGACCCTGAGGGGGTATCTGAGCGCTGAGTTGCCATGGCGGTTGTGTCTACCAGACTCAGTGCCAGGTCCTAAGCTTGGTGGTGCGCTGTAAGATGTTCCTGGTGAGTAGTTTCAAGAGGTGTTCGTAGTGGTAGTAAGAGCTCCGAACTTCTGCAAGCAACCCTGTGCTGTGGCAGTCCCCTTGTGGCTGGCGATGACGTGGGGAGTCTGCGCTAGACGAAATGACCTCGGGAGGTTTCTGCAAAGCGACGCTGATTGGGACCCCAAAAGAGACGGTGCTGTAGATCAGTACCTACGGAAACGGATTCGCTCAAGGGGGGGGGTTGTCGGTTGCTGATCGAGTTGAAACGCAAAAGCGAAACATGCAAGCTCTACACTAGCAACAGCTTCTGCTCACAGCCTTGCGGCGTAGTAGCCAAGTTCGTGATGTCACCTTTCCAACAGCCTTGGCGTGACCTTTACATCACGGCATTCGGATCGGCATTATGCAGAAAGTGACAGTGACGCTTCACCAGTCGTCTTATTAGCTTTGATCGCACGGCTACCGCTTAGCCTTGGATTCCTATACGCTCTCCTTCTACCGTCACATCTCCAGTCACCTCCTAGACACAGTTGTTTCTGTTGGACAACAGGTCTAGCACATGCCCCCTCGGCTTTGCGACACATCGGCGAAGGACCTAGGGAAAGAGGGAAAAGATGAACACTTCCAAGTAAAAGATCACGCCGAGCCCCCTGAGGTGGGGAAGAATCAGCCACATCTCGGGTTAGCAATGCTCAATTGCAGATCTTTGCGTTAGCCAGTCGCCCAAACCAAACCCCAAACCCGCTTTTCTCTGGGCGGCTTTCAGAACCCGCCCGACGCGTGTGTCGTAACAACTGCCAGAGTAACATCACTAGTTGTCACTCGTCGTCCCGGTGGACGGTCACCAAAGGTACCACGTAAGTTGTCGAAATCGCGATTAAGTCATATTTGTGTGAATGGGGAGTTACATTATATTTCGCAAACATAGACACTAAGTTAGTGTATCGGTTTTACGTCAAGCGAAGATTGCTGACGCTTTAACATTGGTACTTATGCAGATATTTGATCGCCTATATTGACTCAGACGTACACTGCTATGCCGCACTACGTCGTGTTCCGCTGTACAATGTCGTGCTAAGCGTAGTGTACCATGATTCAACGCTGGCGGGAACGTCATGCTCTACAACAATCCTAATGAGACGGTCGGCTTATTTTGAGCAATAGAAAGGAATGGCTACCAAATTCCGTAAGGAGGGCATACAGATGACTTCAGTTCTCCCTGGCTTTATGTCCTAGTTTCGAAGCACTTGAACCGTTAACGCTTCTACCAGGCTACGCCTCATGTCATCCCCTCTGACTGCATACAATGTGCCCAGCAAACGAAGTACCTGAATCGGACGATGCGAAGATCAACCCGACAAAAGAAAGCCCCTACAAACAGATTTCCTCCACGATGGTACCACCAGTCAGCAACAGGAGTCCATAACAACAACCGTATCATGCCATCAGAGCGCCTCCGAAGGCCATATCAAGAACCGGACGTCTAATGGCCTCACATCACTTCACTACTTGTGACACCGTCAAATAGAGTATGGGATCAAACCTCAAAATCTACCGAATCTACAAGAGACGGGTACACCTGACCTGAAAGATACTCATGCAAGATCTATTGTCCCCATCATCACTCGCCACGCTCCTCTCACTTACGCAGACGCCGTTTGTCATGCGACGGCCCATACAACTATGGATTATATATCCTCGTCTGACCAAATACCGGTCATTGGGTGTCGTTCACGGGCCTTCGACCCCGAAGTTATATTACTCGGTTGCACATACAAACCATCGCCAAGCGGCTAATCTCCAACGAATTAATTGCAAAACATCTATATAGTTCGAAACCACGCGTTTACTTGCCGAGCGAATGTGCATTGCAAGCCAAGGCACCCTTGTTATATCTCCGCTTGAAGCTCGTCAAGTCGTGGACCAATGACACGACAAATGCCTGGGGAGGCGTAGAGGGAGAATCTGGGGTGCATGCTAATTCCTAGGTACGCTGGTATACGGTGGGTGCATATGCATCTCCAAGACTAGTCATGAGATAGAATGGATGATCGACGTAGCGCCCACAGCTGGGCGTCGAGAAGAGTGTGGCTGCCGTGGACAGATAGGCCGGTATATAAGAACCAGCCTCATGCTGAGTGCCGCCTCATCCTCTTCGACACTACTTCGATCGTTTTGTTAGTACGCCCTTCGAGTCAGTCACTTTCCAACTTCACTCTCAACATGAGATTCTTCGCCGTAGTCGTTGCGTGCCTTCCGGCTCTCTCCTCTGCACACACCATCGCTCAGCGTGTCCGAGTAAACGGCAACGACAATGGCGAGCTCGTCGGTCTCCGCGTCCCCAACTCCAACAACCCCATCACGAACGTGAACGATGGGAGTATCGCTTGCAATAGCGGCTACCGGACGCCAGTCTCGAGCAAGGTCATCGACGTCAAAGCTGGAGACAAGATAGGCGTCCAGTGGGGCCATGTCATTGGCGGTGCACAGTCTGCCAACGATGCAGACCATCCCATTGCGAAGAGCCACAAGGGTCCGACAATCTTCTACCTGTACGTCTTCCCCGTACTTGACACTTTTCTCAACAGCAGTTCTCCCACCCCAAATACTCTCAGGGGAGTCGTCGTACTAACCATATCCAAAGCGCCAAAGTCGACAACGCCGCCACAGCCCAACCCAGCGGTCAAAAATGGTTCAAAGTCTCCGAAGACGGCCTCGACGGCTCCGGAACCTGGGGCGTCGACCGCATGATCTCGGCCGGCGGCTGGGTAGACTTCACGCTCCCCACATGCGTCGCGCCAGGGCAGTACCTTCTCCGCGCCGAAATCATCGCATTGCACTCTGCCACCAAAGCCGGCGGCGCGCAATTCTACATGGGCTGTGCGCAGATCAATGTTTCGGGCTCGGGCACCAAGACGGGGTCTACGGTTAGCTTTCCGGGTGCTTACCAGGCGAACGATGCGGGGATTTTGGTCAGTATTTATGATGCGCAGGGGAATCCAAAGGGGAATGGGTCGCCGTATAAGATTCCTGGGCCGGCGAAACTTACGTGTTAGAGTTGGGTTTGTGAGGTCTTGGTTCGCAAGTTTCAACCTGGCTTTCTGGGGGGATGTTTCAATAGGAGAGCGGACTTGCAAATATTGTCTTGCCGATATAAATACGCATATGCATCCTGTCACAGCCGTCCGTCATTATAGCTTACTTTGAGATTAGCTCATCATGACAGATATACTCGTAACAATTTACTGCGTGTGATGGTCAAATTATTTATTACTGTCGTAACATCATCAAAAAAAAACCGAAATGAAGAACGAACACCAACTCCCCTCTAGCTCAAAGTGACATCATATTCCCTTCCGCCCTCCCATTCAAATATCCACTTAGTATCTCTCAATCAAAAACACCCTCCTCTCCGGCTCAGACATGCCAGCCAACATCTTCTGCTCACTCTCCTTCATAAGTAGATAATCCTGCACCAAGCCAGGGGCCAGCGCCTCATGCAATTCGCCATCGCCCTTCAGCGCAGCGACCGCTTCACTGAAACTGGCCGGCATCTTGCGCACAATACCATAATGCGCGCGACCCTCCTCATCCAACGTCGACGGATTAACCGGAACATCCTTCTGCTGAAACTCTCCCTGCGCAGAAGGCGGAGAAGACGCCAAACCCAGCAGGCCCGCAGCAATAATAGCAGACAGCGCAAAGTACATATTGGCCAAGCCGTCTAGACATCTGATTTCCCACCGCCCGTCTTTGATGCGGCGCAGCGGCGTCTCGCGGTTCTGCGTGCCCCAGGCGACAAACGACCCGCCCGTCCAATGGTCGTCGACGACCCTGGCGTAACTCGCAGATTCAGGTAGACTAAATGCGCAGATGGCGGGAAGATGGTGCAGCACGCCGCCGACGAAGAAGGCCATGTCGCGATCTGGCGGATGGAGCGAGACGTGCGCGTGCGCCGCTGTGCCGATTCCCTCAAAAGGCTTTGGATGCAAGGTAGCGCGCAGGCCGTGGAGCGAAGCAATCTGCGCAAGGACCTGTCGGGCTTGGATCAGCGTGTCGACGGCGAGGAGAGGCGGTTGAGGCGGGAGCACGAATTCGTACTGCCCTTGTCCTGATTCCGCATGGAATTGCTGCACTTCTATGCCCATTTGTTCGAGCGCGAGGACAATCTCGGACAGGAAGGGGAGCTGCAGCCATTGTTCGGGTGTCAAGGTGCCCCAGGCGTGAGTTTTTGTCAACGCGTCGTAAGGCTGATCGGGGTTGCGTGGGTTGCGGGAGAGGAAAGTGACTTCGATTTCAAAGCCCACGAGGAGCGTTGTGGCGTGGTTGTATTGTAACCCGTTGATCAGTGTTTCTAGATTGTTTCGCGGGCATTCGCGGATGGCTTTCCCGGATTCATCACGCCAGTAGCTTAGCACTGTTGCGGAAGGGAGAGGGTCCTTGTTATGCGTACGGCGAAGGGAACGGAGATCTGGCTCAACGTAGATTTGCCCGGTACTGTCGACAACGGGTGTCAGTGCATCGTTTTGCAATGTGCCAGTGTTGCCTTGTGAGACGCCAATGCGCTCCCCTTCCCGGATCATACGTGAAAACTCCTTGATAGGGACGATTCGAGCGCGGATGGTGGCCATGTAGTCGAGCCATTGGACGTAAATGAACTTGACATCTGGATTGTCCTGCTTGAACTTGTCGAACAACTGGGCATCATAGACTTGAGGAACTGTTGGCGGGGGAGGAAAAGAGGGAACGTAGGGCGAGGGGGATCTAGTAGTAGAAGTACCGAGGGCTCCAGCTCGGCTGGCTAGGCCTTGGTTTGAACTTGGGCGTATTGTCGGTGACAGATGTGGCGACCCTATGGCAGACTTTGGATTGTATGTCAACTGCTTGGGAACTTCTTGAATCGTCTCATCGAATATCGCCTCGTAACGCAAGTCGTATAGCATGTTTGAGTTGTTGAAAAGGATGTCCTTTGTCATAGCGATGGCCTGATGTGGGGTGAGGTCGCCCTCTTGGACGTACTCAAGGAGCACCTGTTGCCATTAGTAGACTGCTACTTACCAGGAAAAGTGTAAGATTACGTACCTCGAGCCACACCTCGCGAAACTGCAAGTTTGCTAACCAAAACGTCTCTGGAAACCAATGTCCATCACTGGAATAAAGTAGTTTGCTTCCTGGTACCAACTCCATGGCTTCACGCAGAATCACTCTCTGGCCATCTCTGCTCACCATGGGAAACACTTCGCCGATATCAAGATACACATGGCGATACACTGTGGCGAGGTAGCCCGCTTCACGCGTGTGCGGATAGGCTGAATGGAGCAGCACGAATGGCACACTTGGATAGTTCTCGATAAGCGGCTGAAGGTACGCAGGGTTCGATTCAAGGAGACTGATGTCGTTGTCACCAAGACCGGTGTGAAGTTGGAGCGGTTTAGACAGCGCATCTGAGTGTGACAACCGTTCTGACAAAATTTCCAGTGTCCGTAAAACCAGGTAGTCGTTCAACGCTTTCTTCTCCACCCTGTAACTGCGTTTCCGGATACACGCCTTGACGTACCGTTCAAAAGGATGACCCACTGCTCTTGCGGCCTGCTCGTAGTCAGGCTCGACATCGAGTCCGGTTCTGTAGCATATGACAGTCTTGAAGCCAGCGACTTCGTGGTCTTGAATAGCTTCTTGGATCTCGCGCTCGAATTCATCCGTGAAAGTCACCCAGGTGTCGGGTAGGAACTTTACTTCTCCCAGGTCGTCTTCAGTGGCGTCGCGAACAATGCTCTCCATCAAGCGTTCAGCGACTGTCTCGATACGCACAATACGCTTGCTGGGCGCCCTCGTATACTTGTCGTGGTATTCATAAGGGTAAACCTTTTCCGGTCCAGCAAGCCCATCGTCGATGAGCAGAGCATGAACACCTTCGAAACAACGGTGATGCAGACGTTCCGGGTCGCTGCGCAGCCACTCCACTCTCTGCTCGAGAATGTCCTCCCAGTCCGCATCTTCCCCGCATTCGTAAAGCTGGCGTAGTTGCTTGGCTGCTCGTAAGTGAGGGAGTGCCTTGAAAGTGTCTCTTAAAGCTCGTCCTTGGGCTTCGGTGGTAATCGATTCAAATGGTATGGTGTCTGTGTATGTGGGCAAGATCAGATTGTGAGCGTGGTTGTCGATGATAGGATAGTTGTTCGCGACATGTCGCAACTGATCGATAGTAGGCCTAGGGAGAGACATATTCGTGCTACCTTATTCGCTGGCGGGGTGAATCCAAATGCGCCGCGGGTATTCAAGTGGTTTCTAGCGTTCCTTCTCTTCGCAATCTACAAGTAAGATCCGAGAGTTTAAGCTCTCTTAAGCTCGGTCGGATGACGTCGGTATCAGCGGATGTTCGGATCGTGTAAGCGTCAAGGTCAGTAGCTAAAAGTTTTCGGAAGGCCCGAGCAGTTTATTATCATCGAAAGACATCAGTCATCTAGATGTTGGGCAGAGGAGCGTGGTCGTCCAATGAAGGCGAAGATGAAGTGGGGGGAGAAACATTTGATGCAGGTAGACGGCCTAGCTATTTTTAGCTGGCGCTTTTTGACCTCGTGAACATCATTTCGTGGTACATGCTACTCTAGGCTTTTCGGTGCTACATGTTAGGATGCATTTTCAAGATAATAAAGTAATTAGCCATGCTAGTCAAGCACTCAACTCCCGCAACCTCCAACGCCTGATTTGAAAAGGTATATCGGTGTTGGAGACATACTTGATGAGGCTGGTCGGTGGAGCTTCATTAGGTGTAGGGACCATAGATTTGAGTAACGCAGGCGTCATGTTCCACTAGATTTGATCAGTTCTTTGTGCAATGAACTACCTCACAATTTCAGTCGAGTAGATACGGTTGATTAAAACACAAGACTGCGCACAGAAACATGAAGAATTTAGACAGTCAAGTTCACATTTCAGTGTGCGGTTTTTATAAATATACAGCCACCATTAACGACTCTTAACCCAAAACTTCACTACCTTATTGATGCATTCAATGATGATCTTAAAAGGGGAAACACAGCAACCACGCAAGCTATGCAAGAATATCTATTCAATCGAAACCCTCCACCTTCAACCTTCCACGCTGAGAATCTATAGCAAGACCATGGCCATGCCCGAGGCAACAGCGCCAATGACGTACATGCCGAGACCGAAGATGCCAGTGGTGAACTGAGGGATCGCAAGACCCGCCGCAGCACCCTGGGAAGAGGAGCTGGAAGAGCCCGACGAACCGGCCTTGGGCGCGGCGCTGACCTTGCCAGTGCCAGCAGCGCCAGCTGCCTTGAGCAAGTTGGAGCAGCCGGATGCGGTAGGGGTGGCAACGGCGGACTTGGTGGTAGCCTTGCCCTTGAAATTGCAGCCGCCCTTGACAGCGCCGGCGTAGGCGTTGGCAGCGAACGAGAGCTGCTCCTTGCTGGAGCACATGCCGTAGGCGCCATAGGGACCCTTGGTAGCGTTCTTGTTGATACCAGCGCAGTACTGGCCGTCCTTCTCACCGCAGATGAAGCCGAAGACGTCGCCGAAATCCTTCTTCTCGACCTTGTCGGCGATAACGCAGCTCAGAGTCTCCATCATGCAGCTGCAAAGATCGGAGTTGGCAGCAGGAGGAAGTGTGTCAGATACGGCCTCCCACTTGCCTGGGGTGACCTTGGGGCACGCGGCGGCAGCGGTGTTGGAAGGGTTGTAGTCGTTCATCTTGACGCCGCTGGGGGTAGCCTTGGCGATCTCCTTGGACAAGTTCTCAAAGTCCTTGTTGGTCTTGACCTTGCCGCCCTCAATGGAAGCGAGACCTATCAATAAGCATTAGCAGGGCGGTCGGTGTTGTGCAAGTAAGCGACTTACCGAACTTGTTCTCCTCCTCAAAGTACATGTAGACGATACCACCGGACCAGACACCAGTCATTTGCTTGCCGTAGAGCGCACCGACTTCGGTAAACTGACGAGGACGAGGCGTGTTGCAACCATACTCGGCGAAGAAGACGGGAACATTGTACTTTTCGAAGTTCTTGGTTTGGACGTCGAAGCCAGACTTGGTGAAGGACGAATCACCGCACCACGAGTAGATGTTGTAACCCCAAAAGTCAATGGCATCCTCAGAGTTGCCGCAGTCGAAGTAGTTGGCCATGTTCTCACGAATGTCGGCGTCGTCATTGGTGGCGTATCCGACACCGATGGGGCGGTAGTTCTTGCTCTTGATGTAGGCCTTTGTGTCACGAACAGCGGCTTTGACGAAAGCACTGGCGATGGTGTTGTTGGGCTGGTTGGAGACCTCGTTACCGGCGAAGAAGCCGAGCGTGTTGCTGTACTTCATCAGCTCATCAACGACGCTGGTATAGCGCGCGAAGAGCTCTGTGGTCCATCCTGGGTCGTCACGGATGATAGACGTTCCGGGTTCGGACAAGTCGGCAACGACATAAATTCCAGCGTCTGCCAACGCGTCCATGCAGTCCTTGTGGTTTTTGGTAGGATCAATAGCATACACGCGGATGGTGTTGGTCTGGAGCTTCTTGAGGTATTCGATGTCGCGCTTGCATGTCGTGGAATCGGCCAGAGGATCGGTGATTTTGATGGCGTCGCCATTGGCGGACTGTGTGGTGTTGGAGTTGATTTCCTCTGCCTTGTGTGAGCTTTTGTCCAGACGTGTGTAAATCAGGGACCAATGCGCGTACGTTGGTAGGCGACACCCTTCATGAAGCTAGAAACAGGTTAGCTTTTTGTTTGCTATGATGTCGTACGCGTCGCTTACAATTGAGTGCCATTAGTCTTGTAGAAGAACTTCTGACCCTGGATATTGTTAGCTTCTAGGGGTTGTTGTAGTCGCTGTACGACCTCATACCTTGATAACGATTGGGTCAACCGCGGCTTGCACGCCCGCGAGCAACGCCGTAGCAGCAATAAGGCCCCGCATATTTGTTGAGAGCTACAAGAAATGATCCAAGATGTAGGTGGTGTTGGCGAGAGCTTGGTTTTGAAGCGCCGAGAAAATGAGGTCCAAGACGGTTGAGAAAGGGTTCTGTGCAAGGCACGGGCAACGAATGTGGCGCAACAGCAAAAGGAGCTGTTTGCAGTGTTAATTACTAAGGAATGATGTAGAGACCGACTGGTAAAACAGAGAAATCAATGTAGAAACAGGTCTGAGGCATACGGAGTGAAGGAGGGCGAAGATAACTAAGCTTCACCCAAGAGGGATCAACGGGCCCACATTTTGGCCCCTGGCTAGGCCCGTTTCGCATTCATGGCCCGAGCAGTCATCCATGTGTGTACGTGACAGGCGTATGATGGCCTGAAGAGGGCGTCTCAAGATGCGAAACTGACATTCTACGGCTCCGTGGCTTACACGGGTGTATTGGCGACTGAAAATAGAGCCCGCGAAGCCCTGAATTGGACTACTCTGACCATTGCGACGCGGTTTGCTCGCGACTTCGCTGATGCTCAGTGTGAATAGTAGATGCCAGGTACAAGTGACGCGTACATTAATTTCGCTGCACCCCACCACCAAGAGCCGCCTGCTCCACTGCGGATCGCAGGTGCTAATATGGCGCATCGTGGTTGTCAATGTCACGCTTTAGATGCCGTGCGATGCCGATGCCATGGTCATTGTACACTCGCTACTCGTGTGCGTGTGTGTGTGCGCGACGCCCAAGCTTGTTGTACACAGCCTCGTGGAGTCTTTGGCGAGAGACAGGACGTGTAGTAAGTGTAGCTGAAACTTGGCTGTGGCGACGTCGCGCGAGCTTGCAGGAGGCGAATGGAAGCGCATGTGCCGACAGGTTCCGTGGGGCTGTACCCGTCTACCAGCTGTCGTTGGCCCAGAGGAGGCCTGGACGTGGGGAGCAGATCCTTCGTACCAGCGTTCGCTCCGCAAAAATAGTGAAGGGGCGTTGGTTGAGGTGAGCGCGATCTACCGAGAAAAAATAGGCGGAGGCTGAAATAATAACTGGTTCTGGCAGGCAGAATTCTCTTTGACACGACAAGACGATCGACGGCCTCTAGTGCGACGTCGACTGCATGCAAACGCAAATCATGGGCAGTGAGTGAGGAGTTGCAACAACCGGCTTCCATCCCAACAGTGTCGCGGCCTGTAAGAGGGTGGACTGGAAGGCCTTGAGATCAACGTGCAGAAATAGGGTGGTCAATTATAGGCTGCCAAGGGCGAGGGCCCCAGTCTTGTCAGAATAGCAATTTCGTCATGGTGCGATGGCGTTTGATTCAAAAAGGACTGCCAATCTATCGACATGCATGGCTCAGGAGAGGCATGCTCGCGCTGACAGCGCCTCTATAATAGTCGGGACTCGGGAGTGCAGGAGTGACAGGCAGGCAGTATGGGAACTTGGGAAGGGAAGGGAAGGACTGGGCGGGCGTGGAGCATCCGGCGAGTGCCTGGCGCTAGGCCCAACAATTGAGTCGACGAAGCCGTCAGCCCCCTTTGCATTCAATCTCATCATGGGAGTCTTGCAACACAAAGCCGCCGTTTGGACCAGGATATGGCGGGAGGGCGCCACGTCGCCATTGGATACGCGATAAGGACGCCCTATCGCCATCGCGCCGTCGAGCAAGCGGGCCAAGTTTATTAGCAGAACCAATCTTTATGCTGGTGCGTCGTCTAGTTTCGGTATTGAAATGGCCCTTCTGCTCACTTTTCACCGTGCGCCGCCTTTCTTGGTTGTGGTGACGTGACGTGGGTAGCGAGGGAATGGCCATGGGAATGGCAACGATGGACATGGGGAGTGCAGGGGGAAAGATGGACAGTAGAATGAGTAGATATTGGGAGAGCAGTGCCCCCAAGGCCAATGGGCTTTCTCTTCGGGGGCGACGATTATCGAGCTGCGGCAGATCGGGCATCCCAACCAGCTGGTCTTTGCGAGAGCCAGAGCCAGAGCCAGAGCCAGTGTGTTTTGCGTCCCCCAGTACATTCCCGCCACCGCTCGCGTGCGTCGCGACGCGCAGGCATAGCTATAGCCATAGGTAGAGAGAGAGAGAGATAGAGAGGGCAGCAAACAGGCTTGGGCTACACTACCACACGCTGCTGGACAACGTACATGTCGACGCCCCTGTCTGTACTGTACTGTACTGTATTTAAAGTGGCAAGACGAATCTTCAGGCGTAAATGCTAGTAGAGGTACCCATGCGCAGCGCCTTGCGACGGCGTTAGTCCTACCTGGGCCTTGTGCCTCTCATTCAGGGGAAGCTCGTAAAAAGCTCTTTGCCTGCCCGTCCGCATTCCGCGCCGTCGCTCTACTCTCCCCAATCCCTCCTCCTCCTCCTCGACTACTCCCTTCTCCACCCTGCCTCTCGTTTTTCTACGTCGAGGTCATCTTTTTTACTTTTGCGGAAACCCTCCCACATAGCAAGAGGGGAGCCGCAACCGCCACCACCACCAGCAGCACCAGCACCTGCACCCTAATTCCCGCCTCGCCCACCACCAGCAGAAGCGCCGACTCGCCGCGCGTCTCTCCTGGCAACCACGACCGACTGCAGCTGCTTCGTCCGCCGCCATTCACTCGCTAGCACCACCACAACAACATAAGACACTTTTGCTCTCGAGCAGGCACGAGTAGCGCTCCTTGTCCCACCCGAGCAGCACTGGTTCCCCGGGCTCAACACCAGCCGCCCGTTTCACCTTCGCTCGCCCAATTGCCTCCCTCGCTCCCGCGTCAACACTCGTTCATCACCACCACCACCAGCACCACGTTGGCTTCGCGCACCCTCGCAGCAATCGACCACCACTTTAATTCCCGCAACCCACAATTTACGATTGATTGCATTCTGCCGCTCCTAATGCCCATTGTTTGAGGTATGCCCCTCCGACTGCTGCTGTTTCAGACCGCGCCCCGCCCTCGGCACCACGGCTTGCTGACAGCTTGTCTCACAGATTCTCCATTGCAACTCTAACCACTGCCCATCATGGCCGGACATCAACAGCCCGCCCTGTACGATGATGGCTATGGCCGCCAGGGCCCGCCTCAGGGTCAAGGCCAGCCTCAGGGCCAGGGCCAGGACTCGTACTATCACGACGACCAATACGGGCAGTACCACGACGATGCCCGCGGCGGTCAAGGCCAATACGAGCAGCATGGCGATGCCTACTACGATGAATCAGCCTATTATGACGGCCAGCAAGGCGGTCACTATCAACAAAACGGCCAATATGACGATCGGGGTCAGCAGGGCTACCAAGACGAGTATTACAACGATCAGTACTATGACCAAGGAGGTGCCCAAGATGGGTATGCGTACGTTTTACCTATATACCCTTTATGCTCCTTGTTTCTGACTTTGTCTGTGCAGCCAGCAGCCCCGCCGTCGTAATCACGACTCCGAGGAAGATTCCGAGACCTTCAGCGACTTCACAATGCGGTCCGACATGGCACGTGCCACCGATATGGACTATTACGGCCGTGGCGATGAAAGATACAACAGCTACAACGAAGGCAACAACCGTGGATACCGACCACCGTCATCCCAGGTATCCTATGGAGGCAACCGTTCGTCTGGCGCATCTACGCCCATCTACGGCATGGACTACGCAAATGCTCTCCCAGCTGGCCAGCGTTCGCGCGAGCCCTACCCAGCCTGGACCTCCGAGGCCGAAATTCCCTGCACAAAGGAGGAGATTGAGGACATCTTCCTCGACCTTACGGCCAAGTTCGGTTTCCAGCGTGACAGCATGAGGAACATGTATGACCACTTCATGACGCTCCTCGACTCCCGCGCGTCCCGCATGTCGCCAAACCAGGCGTTGTTGTCATTGCACGCCGACTACATCGGTGGAGAGAACGCCAACTATAGACGATGGTACTTTGCCGCTCATCTCGATTTGGACGATGCCGTCGGCTTTGCCAACATGAACCTTGGCAAGGCTAGTCGCAGGACGCGCAAAGCCCGAAAGGCGGCGAAGAAGAAGGCCGGCGAGAATCCTGAAAACGAGCAAGAGACGCTCGATGCATACGAGGGAGACAACAGTTTAGAAGCTGCTGAATTCCGCTGGAAGACGCGCATGAACCGCATGTCCCAAAATGACCGCGTACGCCAAGTTGCTCTGTACCTGCTATGCTGGGGAGAGGCCAACCAGGTCCGATTCATGCCTGAACTTCTCTGCTTCATCTTCAAGTGCGCCGACGATTACCTGAACTCGCCTGCTGGTCAAGCCCAGACAGAGCCAATTGAGGAGTTTACCTACCTGAACGAAGTCATCACACCTCTTTACCAATACTGCCGCGATCAAGGATACGAAATCCAGGATGGTAAATACGTGCGACGAGAGCGAGATCACGCCGCAATTATCGGTTATGATGACATCAACCAGCTCTTCTGGTACCCAGAGGGCCTTGAGCGCATTGTTTTTGAAGACAAGTCGCGAATTGTCGATCTACCTCCTGCTGAGAGGTACTTGAAACTGAAGGATGTCCTTTGGAAGAAGGTATTTTTCAAGACGTACTACGAGCGACGATCCTGGTTTCACATGCTTGTCAACTTCAACCGTATCTGGATTATCCACGTTACTGCTTTCTGGTTCTACACGTCATACAACTCGCAGCCCATCTACACCAAAAACTACACTCAACAGCTCGACCCACGACCACCGAAGGCTGCCATCTTGTCAGCAGTCGGATTGGGTGGTACCATCGCTTCGTTGATTCAGATTTTCGCAACTCTTGCCGAGTGGGCCTACGTTCCTCGCAAATGGGCTGGTGCGCAACATTTGACCAAGCGTCTTTTCTTCCTCCTCGGTGTCTTCGCTATCAACATCGCCCCTAGTGTCTACATTTTCGGTCTTGACAAGACCACGGGCACGATCGCGAACATTCTCGGAGGTGTTCAATTTGCCATCGCCCTGCTTACGTTCATCTTCTTCTCGGTCATGCCGCTTGGTGGCCTCTTTGGAAGCTACTTGACTCGCAACTCGCGCAAGTATGTTGCCAGTCAAACATTCACAGCTAGCTACCCCCGTCTCAAGGGTAACGACATGTGGATGTCATACGGTCTCTGGATTTTGGTCTTCTCTGCCAAGTTGGCCGAGTCTTACTTCTTCCTGACGCTGTCGATCAAGGATCCAATCCGCATTCTTTCCCACATGCAGAAGCCCCAGTGTCTGGGTGATGCCATCTTGAAAGACCTCATCTGCAAGTACCAGCCTAGGATTCTACTTGGTTTGATGTACTTCATGGATTTGATTCTGTTCTTCTTGGACTCCTATCTGTTCTACATCATCGCCAACATGCTGTTCTCGTTCGCTCGATCATTTTACCTCGGTATCTCGATCTGGACTCCTTGGAGGAACATCTTCTCTCGCCTTCCAAAACGTATCTACTCCAAGGTACTGGCCACCACCGACATGGAGATCAAGTATAAGCCGAAAGTCCTCATTTCCCAGATTTGGAACGCTGTCGTCATATCCATGTATCGGGAACATCTTCTCGCCATCGATCACGTCCAGAAGCTGCTATACCACCAGGTTCCTTCGGAGCAGGAGGGCAAGCGCACACTGCGTGCCCCTACCTTCTTTGTGTCTCAGGAAGATCATTCTTTCAAGACCGAGTTCTTCCCTGCCCAGAGTGAGGCTGAGCGTCGGATATCTTTCTTCGCCCAATCACTGTCCACTCCGATTCCAGAGCCCCTACCAGTTGACAACATGCCAACCTTCACTGTCCTTATTCCCCATTACGGCGAGAAGATCCTTCTTTCTCTGCGAGAGATTATTCGTGAGGATGAGCCATACTCTCGTGTAACTCTACTTGAATACCTTAAGCAGCTCCATCCTCATGAGTGGGACTGCTTCGTCAAGGACACTAAGATTCTGGCCGATGAGACGTCTCAATTCAATGGTGACGACGAAAAGGGTGAGAAGGATACCGCTAAGAGCAAGATCGACGATCTTCCCTTCTACTGCATTGGTTTCAAGTCTGCCGCCCCTGAATACACTCTGCGAACCCGTATCTGGGCGTCATTGCGATCTCAGACTCTCTACCGCACTATCTCTGGCTTTATGAACTACAGCCGTGCGATCAAGCTTCTCTACCGTGTGGAGAATCCCGAGGTCGTTCAGATGTTTGGTGGCAACTCCGACAAGCTTGAGCGTGAATTGGAGCGCATGGCTAGACGCAAGTACAAGATCTGTGTGTCTATGCAACGTTACGCAAAGTTCACCAAGGAGGAACGCGAAAACACCGAGTTTTTGCTCCGCGCCTACCCTGACCTGCAAATCGCCTATCTGGACGAAGAGCCGCCGGTGGCCGAGGGCGAAGAGCCACGCATCTACTCGGCCTTGATCGACGGGCACTCTGAGATTATGGACAATGGCATGCGTCGACCCAAGTTCCGCATTCAGCTTTCCGGCAACCCTATCCTTGGTGACGGCAAATCTGACAATCAGAACCATTCTATCATCTTCTACCGTGGCGAATACATTCAGCTCATCGATGCCAACCAGGACAATTACCTTGAGGAATGTCTCAAAATCCGAAGCGTTTTGGCAGAGTTCGAGGAAATGACCACGGATAATGTCTCGCCCTATACTCCCGGTCTACCAAACGCAAACTTCAACCCTGTTGCTATTCTCGGTGCTCGCGAGTATATTTTCTCAGAAAATATTGGTATTCTCGGTGACATCGCTGCCGGAAAGGAACAAACGTTCGGTACCATGTTCGCTCGTACCCTAGCCCAGATTGGTGGCAAGCTCCATTATGGTCATCCTGATTTCTTGAACGGTATCTTCATGAACACACGTGGTGGAGTTTCCAAGGCTCAAAAGGGCTTGCATCTCAACGAGGATATTTACGCCGGTATGAACGCTCTTCTCCGAGGTGGTCGTATAAAGCATTGTGAATACTACCAGTGCGGTAAGGGTCGTGATCTTGGTTTCGGCTCCGTCCTCAACTTCACCACCAAGATCGGTACCGGTATGGGTGAACAGATGTTGTCCCGTGAGTACTACTACATGGGAACGCAGCTGCCTCTCGATCGATTCTTGTCCTTCTACTACGCCCATCCTGGCTTCCACATCAACAACGTATTCATTATGTTGTCCGTTCAGTGCTTCATGTTCGTCATTCTGAACCTTGGAGCCCTCCGCCATGAGACCATCATCTGTAAATTCAACAAGGATCTTCCGATCACCGACCCACAGTGGCCCAACGGCTGTGCCAATTTGGTGCCTGTCTTCGATTGGGTTTGGCGTTGTATTGTCTCCATCTTCATCGTCTTCTTCATCTCTTTCGTTCCACTCGTGGTACAAGAGTTGACGGAGCGTGGTTTCTGGCGCGCAGCGACCCGTATGGCCAAGCACTTCTCTTCTGGATCGCCTTTCTTCGAGGTCTTCGTCACTCAGATCTACGCCAACTCTCTCCAGACTAATTTGTCCTTTGGTGGAGCTCGATACATTGGTACTGGTCGTGGTTTCGCCACGGCCCGTATTCCGTTTGGCATCCTATACTCGCGATTTGCTGGTCCATCCATCTATCTCGGCGCCCGTGCCTTGATGATGCTTCTGTTTGCCACTATCACAATGTGGGGACCTTGGTTGATTTACTTCTGGGCGTCCCTGCTGTCTCTTTGCCTGGCCCCCTTCCTGTTTAACCCGCACCAGTTCTCTTGGGACGACTTCTTCATCGACTACAGGGAGTACCTTCGCTGGCTGTCTCGTGGAAACACACGCTCCCACAGTGCCTCATGGATCGGTTACTGCCGCTTGTCGCGAACGCGCATTACTGGCTACAAGCGCAAGATTCTTGGAGACCCAACTGCCAAACTTTCTGGGGATGTTCCTCGCGCTTCAATCACCAACATTTTCCTCAGTGAGATCATGGGACCCCTCGTCTTGGTCGCCATCACTCTCGTTCCCTACCTCTTCATCAACGCTCAGACTGGTGTGACCGATCAGCGTAACAAAGACAATGAAAAGGCCGACCTTGCCGACCCCCAACCCTCTGGCGCATTAGTCCGTGTTGGCATCATCGCTTTCGGTCCTATCGCTGTCAACGCGGGTGTTCTGGCTGGTCTATTTGCCTTGGCTTGTTGTGCAGGTCCTCTACTTGGTATGTGCTGCAAGAAGTTTGGTGCCGTTTTGGCTGCCATTGCACACGCAATTGCTGTCATTATGCTCCTCCTCTTCTTCGTGGTCATGATGGTCCTCGAGGCCTTCAGCTTCCCCAGAGCCTTGGCTGGCATGGTCGCGGTTGTCGCCATTCAACGATTCTTCTTCAAGCTCATCATCTCGCTGGCCTTGACTCGTGAGTTCAAAGCCGACGGCGCCAACATTGCCTGGTGGACTGGCAAGTGGTATACCATGGGCTGGCACACCATTTCCCAGCCAGGTCGCGAATTCCTTTGCAAGATCACTGAGCTTGGCATGTTCGCAGCCGACTTCATCCTGGGCCATGTTCTCCTGTTCTTCATGCTTCCAGTCTTGTTGGTCCCTTATGCCGACAAGTTCCACTCCGTCATGTTGTTCTGGCTTCGTCCTAGGTATGCATATCTTTTTCTTGATTTGAATTACCGCTAACATGATTCAGTCGTCAAATTCGTCCGCCAATCTACTCGCTGAAGCAGACCAAGCTTCGTAAGCGCAGAGTTATCCGCTACGCTATCCTCTACTTTGTCCTCCTCGTCGTCTTCCTCCTGTTGATCGTTGGTCCGATTATTGCCGGTTCCAAGCTGGATCTAACCAGTATGAAACTCCAAAACCTACCGATGGAGATCATGCAACCTACTGGATACAGCAACAACAACACGAAGTCTACTCCCACAGGAAAATGTATCCAGAACCCGTGCCCCAAGTTCGACGATGGTACTGGTGACAGTGCCGATAATACGGCAGGAGGAAACACTGCCGCGGCGTCGGCGACGGACGCCTCTAAGCGTTTCCGCCGCTACATGGCGTACTAAACGCATACCTGACGAAATTTGCTGCTTCGACACATTGCATTGTACAACAGGCGGAAGCATGCAGCGGGACGACTTGGATTGGTCTCGTAATGATTGTAATAATCGGCTTCCTCATCTGACTCGTCTTCTCCGGCGTTGGGCGGTGCGAGTAGATGCACCATTGGCCCTGTCTTTTCTCTCTTTTTGAACACTTGCTGTCTGCCTCAGGCGTAGACTTGGCTGCACATATACTACGATGGGGTTTGTTTTGTTTCATCATGGGTTGGCGAATATGTTAGACAGTGACTGCATAACACATAAATAAATGGATGCCTTTACGCCAATGTTTGTTTGTTATCCCACTTGTGAATTTCCTGTCGACGGCTCGTAGCCTGATGACTGCCTGTTGCCGTGTTTGTGACGATAGAGTTGTGACATTCAAGAATGGAAAACACGTGAGGCGTGGGAAATTAATTGCGCGCCGATTGCTGACGTCTGGTTGCACCTCCGCGCTTCGCCGCAACCCCGAGTCTGAAGACCCCCAAAAGTCTCGCCTGCCTCCACGACGCTGCATTACACGACCACTACCGACCATGGACCTTCACGAAGTACAGAACGCGACTGCGCGCTTCTTCACTGATGCCAATGCGCATTTCAATCGTATACCCGGCTCCGCCATTGCCGTTCGCTACATCAAGTCGAGTTACCAGGACGATCCTGTCCGCAGCGCGATTGAGCTGTTCTTGTTCTTGTTCGCTGTCAGGTATCTACTTGCGCCCAAGTATAGCACGCAGAAGAAGGTGCAGCTTTCAGATGCGGTATGTCTTGCGCTGGTGGAGAGTGGGTGTGGGTGAGAAGCATCGGGTGCTAATAAGGCGGAATAGGAGATCGACGAATTGGTCGACGACTGGACACCAGAACCGCTCGTCGCAGCACCTACGGCCTTTGAAGAACTCGACAATGAGAAGAGGCCTGTCATCGTCGGGTAAAACCACCCCATCCTCTCCTGCGCTCGCCAGCCGGTACGAAATAACCCAAAGCTAACGCAACCCCCTACAGACCAACCGGCCCCAAATCCAAACTCAGCAACGGCCGCACAGTAACCAACCTCGCCTCGTACAACTTCTACAATTTCCTCTCCTCCGAAGCCCTCAAAGAGAAGGCGATTGCTACTCTGCGCACGTACGGCGTCGGGCCCTGCGGACCCCCCGGCTTCTACGGCACGCAGGATGTTCACATGAAGACTGAGGCCGACGTCGCGGCTCACCTGGGTGTTCCAGCATGCATCATCTACGCCCAGTCGTTCAGTACAATTTCGAGTGTGATCCCGAGCTTTAGCAAGAGAGGAGATATCATTGTCGCGGACAAGGCGGTCAACTATGCGGTCAGGAAGGGCATGCAGATTTCGAGGAGTACTGTGAGGTGGTTCGAGCATAATGACATGGAAGACCTAGAGCGCGTACTGCAGCGAGTGGTAAAGGAGCAGGCAAAGAAACCGCTTACGAGGCGGTTTATCATCACAGAGGGGCTGTTTGAAAACATTGGGGATGTGGTGGATTTGCCAAAACTGGTATGTTATGCTTGTTCTGCTCCCGTAGATGGCTGGATGGAGGAGTATTGGCTAACGTTGTTCTGGCACAGGTCGAACTCAAACTAAAATACAAATTCCGCCTCATCCTCGACGAGACATGGTCCTACGGCGTCCTTGGCCGCACCGGCGGTGGCGTAACCGAAGCCCAAAACGTGTCCGCAACCGAAGTCGATATGGTCATTGGCTCTCTCTCAGGCCCCCTTTGTGCTGCAGGTGGTTTCTGCGCAGGCAACGAAGAAGTCGTCGAGCATCAACGGATTTCTTCAGCGTCATACACGTATTCGGCTGCATTACCTGCCTTGCTTTCAACAACTGCGAGTGAGACGATCAGTCTCCTCCAGGAACAGCCCGAGATTTTGACAGCGCTGAGAGAGAACGTAAAGGCCATGAGGGCACAGTTGGATCCGAGGAGCGATTGGATTCGGGTGTCGAGCACGGCTGACAATCCAATGATGCTCCTTGTTCTCAAGCAGGAAGTCATCGAGGCAAAGAAGCTCAGCATAGATGACCAGAACCAGGTCTTTAGAGACGTGGTCGACGAGGTACGTCCTAATCCCCCCTCATCTCTCAATAGTACAGTTGCTGACATGTTCACTCCAGTGTCTCGCAAACGGCATCCTCATCACTCGCCTCAAAGCCTTTCCTCTCGGCCTTGGACTTAATCCCCGCGACGCGGGCTGGCAACCTACTCCTGCCCTGAAGGTATGTGTGACGAGTGGATTGACGAAGAAGGAAACAGAGAAGGCGGGCATTATTATCAGACATGCTGTTACTAAGATTGTGGGGCGGAGGAGGTAGAATTACGTCTGAGATGAATACTATTGACGAGGGGAAGGGGGGAGCATTGGGTGGCGTTCTTGAAATGAGGAGATGTTTAGGATGGGGGCGGCGCTTGTTTCGCTTCCTTGTATAGATAACTGTTTGGCTGCTAGATGGCTTGTGTAATGCTTAATACTGATCCCGTGAACGAAGGTGTATATTTGTTTGTCTTGGAAACTCGGTTTGGTGCCGTGACTTCCGCCTGGTGTGTGGGTCGCGAATGTATCGTTGAGGTCACCACAGGCCGGTTTTCGATGACCGCCAGCTGCGCATGTACCATGAATAGAGACTCTACTATTGCATATACGCGATGAATTATCTTGACATGATAGGAAAATTGAAGCGTCCTTGAAACATCCTTAAGGTCCGGTTCTGGATATATGTTATTGTTGTTGTTGGGTGCCGCGCCCACCTCGTCTCGTTTCCAGCCTCCGCCCAGCCATCGTGTTTGCGGTAGGTTTTTCCAAGTTTGAACATCAGATTTGAGAAAATCGCACAGCCTGATTCCTCTACATTGTTTCTTCTCACATACCTTCTATAAACCCAACATATTCAAATCCTTCTGACTGCACTCCTGCGATTGTATTGCTACTTCGCATCGTATCACCTCCGAGACCTCCGCATCAGCCCCGCAACACTACACCCGCAATCCACGTTGCTCACGGCTACGTACGTCATTCGCTCGCGCCAGCTTGTACAACGACGTGCAAGGACCTGAGATATTGATTTCGCGATATAAGAGTTTGATCAGGAGAAGAGAAAGGATAAACGTCCGAGAATAGAGGGCACAATTGCGACAGCGCGCCTGGTCTGAAGCTCACTCACCACACGGCTAACCGACACAACCACCAACCAAGGAAGTTACCAGGAACGATAGACACAATGGCGCGCGGAGGACACTCAGGGACAATCGTCGGCTCGGCGATAGTAGTGCGCGAGAAGTACTACTGGCCCGACCTACAACTGAACATCTGGACGATTGTCATGCTGGCAACAGCAGGAACGATACTAGGCGTCAACGCGCAGTTTATGCAGATACAAGATCGCATGGACCTTGGGATACCATGGTACGCTTCCCTCCAATCTCTCTACCCTTGATTTTCACTCCAGCACAAAGAACAAGGAGCTAACAGAATGAACAGGATCATGCCCTACGGCGTGACAGTCGGCGCACTAGCCATCATCTTCATCATCATCGAAGTCGTCTACATTGCGCAGCGCAAACTGCTCCCGGGCATGATGTTGCTGCTCTCCTTCATCCTGCTCGTCCTGTTCCTCGCGGGCATCATCGGGACGGCGATACAGCTGTTCGGCGCCCCGAAGATCAACGACATGTGCAATACGTATGTGTTTTCGGCGAATAGCAATGGGCCGAGTTATAATACGCTGGCGTACTTGCAGCAGAAGAATATCTGTGAGTAGTGCTCACTCCTTCTTCCTCTTCGTATCCAAGGAGACGGAGATAAACAGAGCTGACAGGAGGAATAGGTCAATGCTGGCAAGCTGTCTTTGCGTTTTGGGTTGTAGGGACCGTCTTCCTCGTCTGGATGATGATCATGGCGAGCCAGGTCAATTCAAATCAGTACCATGACTGAGTGATTAGCGACACTTTCGCTTTCGTTACTTGGCCGTTCCCTAATTTTTTTTTCCTCAGGGGAAACCTTGCTCACCATTCATGTATATTTCTTTCGCGTGGGATTATGTATACACGAAGTGGCCATGGCACTATGGGAATATGAGTGTATCCTTAGCAGCGGGTGGCGTCTGGGTGTTTGTTTTGTTTACGAGATACCGAAAGCATGGGATAGGAGGATGGTTCTAGGACGGACGGGATGAGGAATGTTCACATCTGTGTTATGTACTATTTCCAGCTGCGTGGGTAACGGCAGATTATTACCACAAAGTACACCACCCTGTGGGATTCACATATCCAAGTCTTCGACTCTCCGCCTCGTGCAGAGTGGAATAGGGAACGAGGAATCGGCCAGGACTTCCTAATTCTTGTTTCATTTCCCTTATCAAGCTACAACCCACGGACTAGAAAGCATACTTTATTTACCGCAGCCGAGTATTATGACATGGCAATTAAGTTTCGCTAACAAGGGATCCTTCTCCTCCCTTTTTTCTTTTTCTACCAAGTGTTTTTGCCCAAGGGCGGATCTGAACATTTCAACGTTTGACGTGCTCTCACTCGTTCTACCACCGAGCAAGTATTAAAACGATTTCACGTTTCTCGTCTCTTGTTTTCATGACTCGCCTAACCAGCTCTCACCACCCCCCTGACAAAAAAAATGAGACAGTGACGTAATCCATCATTAAGCGGGCCAATAGGAATAGGTAGTTTACTGTGGCTTAGTGACTGTGCCACAGCTTGGCACAAAATTGTATTACATAAGCGTCTCAGTTAATCTGTCAGGGGGGTGTCACTGCCAAGTCCCAAATTTAAACAATGTTGGCGGTAGATCGCATACAATAAATTAAGCGTCCGTGCCATGTCTATGCGTATGCTGTCTCCCCGCCGACGCAGAATAGGAGACCGCCAATCGCCCTGTCTAGTAACGCAAGTTAGCAATAGCCCCGGGGCATTGCTTCGCCCGTGGACCGAAAAAAGGACAGGCACCACCAACACCCGCTCCCTCCGCCTCTACAAACTACCGAAACCAACTCTAACAATCAACTAGCGTGCCAGCACTCCATTTCCCGGGCCTTCGCACCTCTTTCCCCTTTCCGTGCGAATTTTATATTACTGACTCATCCGCTCCAAAACCCTTTCCTTTTCCAGCCTAGCTGTATCGGCACCCCCGGGGCCTCATCTCTAGCTAACAACCTTGCCTAATCCCTGCTAATCCTTGCGAAACTCAGCGAATCATTGCCGAACAGAATAATTTAGTCTTAGACAGCCGCCAATGAAACGCCAGGAAAAGATATTTAGCACGTAATTCCCTAACGCGAAGTTGGCGCGAAACGCGTCCGACGATAGGGTTCAGTTGGGCGCGTCGCTTGGCTTGAGTGAATCTGATCTGACTCTGGGAGGGAGGGGGAGTGAGGTTATTGGTGAGTGGGGACATATCCATGCGATGGATTGGGTAGGATGGTCTGGAGAGGTAGATAAAAAGAGAGCGAGAGTAGGGAGGGGTATGGTGGCTGGCTGACTGGTTGCCTGGTTCTGCAGCGTGTTAGTATGCAGCAGCCTTATGAGTCTCATCTCGCACAGCATGTTTAATGATGGTTACTAGATATTGGTTAGTATTGGAGATAGACTGACTGCAAAAGATAGAGTGAGAGAGAGGGAGAGCGATCGTTTCGACTTGCGTCACACATTGAACCACTCATACATCGAGAATGGAGCGATAGCGATAACGACCAAGGATCTCCGTGCGTGCCTTGCTTGCTTGCCGTGTTGCGTGAGGATCGAGTTCGCAGAATGTCATGTCATGTCATGTGCTGCACATCTAGCTAGCTGTTATGGACATTGCCGACTCATGCACTGGCGATCAAAGGCAGTAGCGTAGCCTTGATTCGCCCTCGGCCATGCCTCCCGCAAACGCAATTGCTGCTGGCTGACATCAATAGTAGCGAGCATCAGGAGGCGAAACAGGAATCTGCAGCAGTTACTATTACAGACATTATGCATTTGGGTTTAACTCTTTTGCGTTATGCGCCTATTTATCCTGGGCTGGCTGCTGCTCTCCAGCTGTACAGGCCTGACCTGTCTTTCTCTGGCGTGCTCTTGATGTACTTGGCTGCGCTGTGCTAATAGCAAACAAATGAAACACAAAGGAGACGTAGAGTACAGTCGCTGAAGATAATGCTCGGACGGGGATATGCTGGGAAATGTGTAGTACAAAGCGCTTGCTGTGTTGCTAGCTCGCATTTGCCGCCCAGGGGTAGATGGGCGACAACAGGTGGAGGAAACGGGTCCAGGAACCGCCAGTGGTTCGGGTATCCAACAAACCCACTTGGACAAATTTGGGCATCTAATGACCCTGTTACAGAGAGATACGAATCCAAAAATATCCCTTAACGCCATGCTTTTCGAAGCAGAACAAAGAAAATAGAGTAATGCAATCGGCCGCACTTGACTGGAAGTGATATTGCATATGTGTGTACTGTCGCTGTGAAGTCATAATCGTGTCCCTCGTCTGCGGGGTGATACGTCCTGGATGTCCTGCGTTGCCATGAAGCCTTCAGGAAACCAGTTCCCCTCCCAAATCCATGCCCAGCCCCTCGACCTTGGGGATGCGGGCGCCGATGCCTGGACTGTCTCCAGTGGGAGGAACAAGGTTGTCGAAGTTCAGACGGCGTCTGCTCTCTCGGATAGCGGCGGGCGTTTTTCCGGCAATTGGGGTGCGATTCCACGAGGCGCCAACTTGTGCAGGACTCGGCGTCATGTTGAGGAACTCGGCAAAGTTCAGATTGGTCGAGGGTGTGGCTAGGCCGAACCCTGGGAAGGGTGCTCCGCCGCCTCCAGGTGTCGACATCATCGACGAAGGTAATGGAGTCTGTTTCGGGGGCGGTGTGGAGGGCGCGAGCATCTGAGGCTTGGTTGACCCTGGCCGGGCAGGCGTTGGTGATGTGGCCAAGTACATCAGCAAGCTTGCATCCTCGTCGCCTGTTTTGCCTTCGCGAGCTGCACCGGCAGCGGTGAATCCGCTCTGGCGAAGACGAGCTGATCGGGCAACATCTGGGGGCGGTGTGCGTGGAGCTCGTGGTGGTGACGACTGGAAGCGGGATTTGTTCATGTGGAACGAGGTAATGGGGAGGTCTTCGTCGTCGTCTTCTGATAACAGGGGCGAGTGAAGATTGGGGACGGTAGATGTCTCGGAGACAAAGGACAAGCTCGGCACATGTATGCGTCCAAAGCGTGCGTGTCTGCGGTGGTATACGGGAGAGGACTCGGGCAGCTGGAAGCTGTTCTTCCACGACGCCGAGGCCGACGTCGAGGCTCTTACTTTGTTCCGGGTGTGGTTGCTCGATGCGGGATATACGGTTCGGTCGTAGCGAGGCCGCTTGTTCTGGCTGTGACTGCTGCCAGAACGACTGCCGGACCGTCGAAGATCATCTGAGAATATGGGGGCAGCGAGCGGGGAAGAGTCGAGGATGCCTGGTTGGTAGAAGCGCTCAGATACACTGGAGACGTCCGACATGGTCTCGTTGCTAGAGCCAGGGCGCTTCCGCTTGAGCTCGACATCGACGACGGGCTCAATGGCATCCAGACTGAGACTCTCCCAGCCGTTCTTGATCTTGACATTGGCCAGAGCGAGGCGGTTCTGCAGCGTGCGGGTCATCTGCAAAGCACATTGTTAGCACAGGCTGGGAGAGGGGCCGCCGACACAAGGGAGATGTACCTTGGAGACCTGGGCGCGGCGCAGGACCTTGTTTGCAACTTCATCTTGTTCGGCCATTGTGGAGCAGTGACAGAGAAGGGCTCGCAGCGGAAGAGAGAGGTTGATATGGCCTGGCAGACGTCTCACGGCGGTTGTGGAGGGCGAAACAGCATAGGCTCGGAGCTGAAATGGCCGTCGTCGCTAAGGAATGTGAGGAGTGGATCGAAGTGGATTAGCTCACGATCTTGGCCGGACAGCACAGGCCAGTTGAGGCAGGGCTGGCGGGCTGCGTACGGGTGAAGTCCAGGCTGGCGTTCAGTCAGGATAGTGTAGCATGATTATATTATTACTCCGTACCGAACGCTCGCTCCCCCGTTGCAAACAAGCAAATTGCTCTGTACCGGTAGGGTTTGGCGAGCGACAGGGGTGGGGTGAAGAGTGGTTCCTTGTATTATAAGGTAATGTAATGTATCGCTGACTAATACCAAGCACGCCCTGTATCGTTGAGTACGGTTACGCCGGCGCTTGGCAAGCAACGTCATTGTTGAGGCGCAAAGATGTTGGAGCGCCATACTGTACGGCGCGGCGCCATCCGCTGCGACGCATCAATTGCTTCTTCTATCCATCTTGCTTTTGGCAATAACGAATCGCGTCCCAGGCCCCTTCCCGACTGTGCCAAACGTCGCTGCGACCAATCTCATCGGAGATACCTGCCTGCCCTGCCCTCGACCACGTCGCCGCATGCAACCAAGGCCTGTCGGCGCCATCCAAGTCGGTCCAATCCACCTCCAACTCACTACTACTCTCGTTCTCCGTTCAGCATTCCCTGGCTTCACTCGTTTGCTTCTGCCAGCATAGCCTGCATCGATATTGCCATTGCCGCATTCCGCAAGCCTGTTCCCTACTCCAGTGTCCATCACACTGCATTACGCGTCCTCCGCACAGCTTCTATAAGCTCCACATCGCTCCCCGGCCGTCGCTCCTTACGCCTATGCGTCCGTACCCGGCCCAATATACCAGCGCCGTAGCATAGCCTAGATGCCTTCGTTCCTAAGTAGTTTGCGCAGAAAGAGTAGTCGAAGCTCCAAAGCCAGCGGCAGGCATGGCCAGGTGGTTCTAGATGGTCAGGCGAACGGACAGAATGGCAATGGTTTGTCCCATCGCGTCTCTGCTTCGACGCTGAACTCTTCGCAAGTCGGCTCGTCGACACCATCCACCACGCCGGCCACGTCGACGACCGAAGATGTTACAACCCTGACCAAAAACCTCACAAATGGTCCCACGCCTCTACCGGCTCGGCCCCAGCGGCCCTCTGTCGAACCCGTCAAGCGTTACAGCATGAATGTGAGTGCAAGTGGTCGTGCAACTAGTACAACCGATTGACAGCTCCATAGGGCTTATCTTCGCCAACATCCACTGGCTCCAATGCGTCGCTGAACAAATCGTCGCTTCTCGCACCGCGCGTCATTTCCGTTTCGGATAACTCATGGGTTGGTCTCGCTGCTTCTGTGCTCCTATATCGCTGACTCTGGTTAGGTGCATCAACAAGTACTACTAATATTCGGACAGGTCGGTGAAGCGAATAGTAGGCCGCTGGACGGTACAATTACGGTTAACCACCATCAAGGCCGCTTCCCAGCTACATGCTGGCCGGTCCACGACTCATACTTCAAGGCTTTGGTGCATCTGGAGCCTGGGTGGAATCGCATTCGTCTAGACTTTGCTTCGCCCAAGGTGTCATCCAACAATACTTCCGTCCCCTGCCATGCCTCTTTCATAAACATCAACTACCTGCCGCTATCGCATTCTCCGCCTCTTCAACTGGCCATCATTCTTGGCCGGGACTCTCCAGGCACATATGACGTACCTCCAGATCGCATGCAGCGGGAAGGAAACGGCCTAGATCTTGCGATTCGGAAATTCCGCATGGCGGCATATCTTTGGCAGGCTTTCACAGGCGAGCAGATGAAGCGGTACGGTTTTGGTCGACGCTGCTTCCGCTTCGAGGACGCTTGGGAGCCAGGGACTTTGAGCTTCCAGGACTGGGCAACCAACCAATATCGAACGCAGGCGAAGGTCCATGTCATTCGCTCTAGCAAGACTGTCGCCGAGATCCAGGATCTTGAGCGTGCTCAGCAATACGGGCCTGGGACGAAGAAGGGGGAACTCTTCGATATTGCCCTAGAAGCCTGCAGAGACTATTTCCACCCAACGCAAAAACACTACGTTTCCTGCATGTTTCTCGACTCGCGTTGGGACCAGAAGGAGAACACGATTCGAGGACATGCAGCTCTAGGCGGCGGAGCTGGAGACCTACAGATTGGTATATTTGGTTCGCACGCACTCCACAGCTATCCATCGAGTATCGAAGAGGTTTTCCAGTCCTTCCAGGACTGCACTCGGACAGACACCGCTTTTGTCGCAAATGACTGTAACGAGTCCGGCAGCAATTGGGAAACTGCCAACATAGGAATTGGCGCTCACCTCCACGAGACTGGGCATCTATTCGGATGCCCACACCAGGAGTCTGGCGTCATGTTACGCGACTACGTTACCTTGAATCGTACATTTATTTGTCGAGAATCATATTCGACCCGAACCAAATCACCCGGCCAACGGCTTGTTTTGCCCAATGATGAATGTAGATGGCACAAACTAGATGTGCTCCGTTTCCGATTCCATCCGTGCTTCCGGATACCAATCGACCAGGACAATCTCAACGGAGATAGCAGCGTGCAAGTGTGGACGGTTGATAGCGGTCAAGGTGGTGTAATTGCAACATCGAAATCTGGGATCGCATGGGTTGAGCTGTACCCAGAGGGAGACGATGTTTGCCATTACTGGAGAGAGTTTCCTGAGTCGGACAATCAGTTTCCACGACAGGTTGCACTGGAAGAGGCCACTCTCCGCGCACTCATGCCCAAGGAGAAGCTCAAGTCACGACTGAAGATCGAGGTCTTCTCTGCAGGCGGAGGGAGTCACGTTATCGAAGACTTTAGTCTGCTTGCGAACCAAAAGCTGGCTCGCGTTAAATTTCCCGATGGTCGTTGGGGTTACCGAGGCAGCAAGTTGGGGTACTCGCAGATGGAGGGCTCACAACCGCAAGAGATTCTGCTCGAGAACACGTACATATCGACTAAGCTCCTGCTTAGCGTCAAAGTGTATCATGGTTTCGCCCTAGACGGCCTAGAATTCATCTATGAGGACGCGACTAGCCAGCTATTTGGCAAGCGCGGAGGTACTCCCACTGATTTCCCGTTGGATACGCGGAAGGGAGAGCTTATATTAGGTTTTGCTCTGCGGGCAGGGCTTTGGATCGATGGCATCCAGATCTTGACGACCTTGGGTAGGAAGAGTGATTGGTTCGGCAATCCTAATGGTGGTAGCGGGTATGTTCAACTTGGTGTTATTATTGATGTGCATACCGACTAATTCTCCCAGGCACACGCTCATCCCTCCTCGCGGGTATACAATCGGCGGCATATCCGGATCCTGTGGTAGTTGGATTGACGGCTTTTCGTTGATCATCACGCGCTGAGACTATTGCGTACATATTCAGCTTTTGACACCTCTTTGTTTGGGCATCGCGTTCGATTATCCGGATGTCTACACTAAGACGCCTACTCTAGTAGTCGTCGTTGTCCATCTATCATCGAGGGTGTCCAAACGGACCCCATCGCCCATGAAGACCCGGCTGGAGATAATGAACTGATATGTTGGTCATAGGCTGAGGCTTAAGCCTTTGTGCTTGCATGTCCCGTCTACCGCAAGTGCAACTTCTCAACAGGATATATGGTGCTCGACGCATTGTCAGCATGATCTACCAAGGAGGACAAAGTGTAGAGGTATCGCGAGGTGGTACCTCCCGAAGAGGCTAAGCAACGCCGTCATACGATCAATATCAGATCCGACCTCTTGTAATAGTAACAGTAGAGTTAGAATATAGATGGTACATGGTCCTGTTAGTAATCACATAGTGCTCCTAGTGTACAAACTTAGGACTACTATTACTTTGCCGTTATGCCGTACGTTTCTACTTCCCTCTGCAATATTAAGAGGTTGGAAACAACGACTTGAAGGCAACCCTCGGGTGACATGGGGAAAATTTACGAGTAAATCTGATAATAGGGTATCATCATTATTTTGTACGTGCGCCCGCTAGTCGGTCATAGCATCGTTATCCCTCTATAATACCAAGGAGCAATAAGCGTGACGTCCCTGCTATGGCGAGGCATCGTGCCGCCTACAGCCCCCCAGTATACCTTCGCTCCCAACGGCCCCTCTGGAAATCACTCTTGTCCATTCTAGATTTCTAAGGCTTGGGGATATGGATAGTCTTGCTGACCATAAGACACCCATGTAGTATGAACATGGCGACAACGGGGTGGAACTCAAAGGCGGTACCCTCCAGCCACAGGCCCAGGGGTACCTGTTCAAGCGTCCAGCCCTTGTACACCCAGTACGCCATGATTTGCACCAGGATAAGAGACATGGGAATGGGCGTGCCTTCAAAGTATTTGGACTTGCCGGAGCCGTCTTTGGGCAGCATGGCGACGGTGACGTTGAAGCGCGCGAGACGGGTTAGGCCGCAGAGTACGAAGAAGGCCAGCAGGATGTGGTCGAGCGGGGTGCGGAGACCGAGACTGAAAGCTGCGGCTGCGGGCGAGACGCCGAAGGATACCTATCGCACCAGTCCGTTAGCCCTCTATCCTGAACAGTGGGAAATGGTAGTTCTCCCATTGGTTTCTCGTCATCGGGTGGTTGGAGAGTGAGGTTAAAACGTACCAAATCCGCAAGCGAATCCAACTCCTGACCCATCAACGACGCCCTCTTCCTCCACCTAGCGACCTTGCCGTCTAGGAAGTCGAAAAACAGACCCAGAGGTATTAAGCCAAGTGCCCAATAGAGATTCGCGTAGTTGTGCGGGTCACCCTGGATGCAGTAGCGCAGCGAGGAGAAGACGGACATTACGCCACAGAAGCCTATAACAATCGTCAGTCCCATTGAAATCCGTTTATGCATGCCTCCTCCATTGCCTAAGATGAGTGCTTGGGGTTTCTTCTGTGTGAGGCGTACCATTGAGCTCAGTAATGAAATCTGCAAGGTGCAGAGCGCGCACGAGAGAGAAGTGGCCGGCTTCCTGGGACAGAAGACGTGCCTGCTTATCTTGCGCTGCGTCTTGTTAGTATACAACTCATATTCCCATCCTTTCATTCGCTGCTACGCACTCAGATCCTTGGACGCAGGAGCGTCGTCCTTGGGGCCTTGCGGCGCGCCATTTCTTCGCTGTGCCATAGCTGCCTGATTTGCTCGAATGGTACCTGTCTAGGTTTGTATTGTAGAGCGAGGAAGGTATTGGAACAAAGTTTATCCTTTTTTGAGTAACGGAAGGGTGTTGAGAGGATCGGTGCTAGAAGAAAGCTTGTTATATGCTACTGGGTGCGCGCCGGAGGTTGGTGACGTGCAGACCGGGTCTGTCTCGAATTCAAGTTTGGCGAGAACGTCATCCTTCCGCGCGCCAGCCACATGCTGTGCGCAAACTCCACCTGCACCGCCATGACATCTGCCGGGCTGTACAGCGCTACGATAACCAAGTTGCGACACAATGTCAGTGATGCTCTTCTTATTCGTTAGGAATCAGTTGATTCTTGGACCCAATAGAAACCGCGTTCAAGATTGTTTGCAGCCTAGTGTGCGTCTCAATTGCACGCAGGTAGCGATGCAGTTTGTAGTTCAAGACATTTCAACATCACCGACGCCATAGGAAGGCGCCCATTTGTAAAGCATTCTCAGAGGCTGGATTTCAAAATTTGATTCGACTAGAAGCAATAGACCTTGCACCAGTCTCGAGCTATTTGCAACATGGCGCCAGATTTTCGACATCCCATAGCAAGTGCCCGTCCTAACTCCCAAACGCCGCCGAATGATCATGGTATCGGTAGGATAATCGTGATGGCTGTACTGGTACCGCGACAAAGGACCGTCGTTGTCCTGTCTCGTCTGGTTTCGAGTCGTGACTGAGTCAGAAACGACACGCTCAGTAACCTCCTCGACCACGTCCACCAAAGCCGCCGCCACCACCACGTCCACCTCTTGAGAAGCCGCCACCACCACCGCCGCGGCTGAAGCCTCCTCCGCCAAAGCTGCCTCGTGATCCACCGCGTCCAGGGGGTCCACCGCGTCCTCTTGGTGCTCCTCGACCACGGCCTCCGAAGCCGCGGGAGCCTCCTCGTGGTGCACCACGGCCACCTGCGCCCGCTGGCTTCTTGACCCTCGCCGTACCACCCACTGGCTTGGGTTTCGGTAGGAACCTATCGATGTTAGCTTTTCGTTCCCAGGTTGTTTAAATAATGATAGCGTACCTATCAATTGGCAGAAGCTTGTCGCCTCCAATGTAGAACTTGTCGCCAGCCTTGAATGACTTTGCTTGGATGCCTTCTTGCGGCTTGATGGTGAAGAAGACCTGGTTCAGCGGGCCGAGGATCTCGTCGACTTTGCCAATAGGGGTCTGCAGCTGCGTCAGCATTCATGCTTCTTCTTCATCTCGTCTTTTCTATGGATATGTACCTTGTTCTCGAGGTAAACAGGCGCATTGAAGTACGGGATCTTGACGTTTATCGATTCGCAGAACATCTCGTTTTCGACATCGTGGACGAATTTGCCCATTTCTAGTCGTGTTGTTAGCGGTGCCATAGCGCTTCAGTATTGGTGCGCATACCAAAAACTTGGTCTGGGGGTCCGTATGAAGCTCCAGCTCCACCGCGTCCTGTACAGAGTTAGCTTGAAGTCCTGCCTGCAAAGCTCCTGCACTGAGCTACACACCTCCACGGGGAGTAAATCCGCCTCTGCCGCCGCCAAAGCCGCCGCCGCGACCGCCTCGTGGTGTGCCGCGAAATGCCATGTTGTGTAGGATGTTGGGGGTACAATCGGTGCGCGGAGTTTGAGCTGGTTCAGCAGCTTCGCGAAAAGTTCGAACTGAAAATCGAGGTTGGAAGGCGCGGCCAATCGGTGCCACGTTTCGCCGATGCGTCCTTGCGCCGCGAAACCCCACCAAATGCCGAAGGTGGGCTGTCTGCGCGTGGAGCTGTGTGAAATTGAGAGTCGATGTGAGGCTTTGATAACTGCAATTGTGACTTTTTTGTTTGGGTATAATAATTTAGGTTGTGCCCAGGTACCTCCAGCTCCTACTCACGTTGTACAACCATTGCTCCCCTACAGCGTTTCGAATCATAGCCCTTGGCGCGCGACATTGACTCAGACGTCCTATTAATTTACTACGCTCCACTTGACTCGACACCCAACATACAACATGGCGGAAGCGGTGAAAGACGCCGTCAACACGGCTGTCGAGGGCGTCAAAAACCTGGCAGTCTCTGCAGAACAGAAGGCTCCCAAACCGAAGAAAGAGAAGAAGGCCAAGGGCGATGGTGGAGATGGTCGGCCTCTGATGCTCGACCCTGCGCCAGCGTACATTGACCACCGAATTAAGATCTTGTAAGTCGAACCAATAGGCCATGTCCCTCAGCATGCTAACAAGTCTTTAGCGAAACGCTCAAAGCCAAGTACGACGAGGAAGTGGCCCAAAAGCCCCGCGGTACGCTCCTCCTCGAACATGCATCCAGTCCCTTCACTGACGCATTCTTCGCATAGAGAACATTAGCATCACACTCGAAGACGGCAAGATTATCGAAGGACAGTCATGGGTTACCAGTCCGGCAGACATCGCACGCAACATCGCCAAGAGCCTATTCGAGCGCACTGTGATCGCACGATTGGACAAGGGCACCTCAGAGGAGACGCTGTGGGATCTTGAGCGACCGCTAGAGAAGAGTTGCAAACTGGAGCTCCTACCATTCGATCATCCAGAGGGCAAAAAAGTCTTTTGGCATTCGAGTGCGCATATCCTGGGAGAGGCGTCTGAACGTAGATTCGGCTGCGACCTTTGCATTGGTCCACCAATTGAAGATGGCTTCTACTACGAGGTAAGCCGGGCCCAAGAGGCCAAAGTTTGGGCTGACAGAATCGCAGATGGCCCTTCCAGAGAAGGCTGCCGTAGAGCAGTCCGACCACAAGCCGCTCGAGACCATCGTCAACAACATCGTCAAGGAAAAGCAGCCCTTCCAGCGACTGACGCTTTCCAAAGATGACCTGTAAGATCGCCTTTGCACCTAGCAGATCTCGATACTGACTGTAACGTAGACTCGAGATGTTCAAGACAAACAAGTACAAGCAACACATCATCAAGGACAAGATTCCCGATGGCACCTTCACGACCGTCTATCGTAACGGACCTCTTATCGATCTTTGCCGGGGACCACACGTACCACACACCGGACGGATAAAGCAGTTCAAGATTATGAAGAATTCTGCCTCGTACTTCCTCGGCGATGCCAATAACGACAGCTTACAGCGCATATATGGTGTCTCCTTCCCGGACAAGGATGCAATGCATGCGCATCTCAAGTTCCTCGAAGAGGCTGCCAAGCGTGATCACCGAAAGATCGGAAAGGAACAGGAGCTCTTCTTCTTCCACGAGTACAGTCCTGGTTCCTGCTTCTTCCTCCCGCATGGTCAGATCATTTACAACACACTGCAAGCATTCTTGCGGGAAGAGTACTGGAACCGTGGCTACCAGGAGGTCGGATCGCCGAACATGTACAACTCTGCGCTATGGAAGATTTCGGGGCATTGGCAGCACTATGCCGATGACATGTTTACATTCGATGTCGAGAAAGAGAAGTGGGCTTTGAAGCCCATGAATTGTCCTGGTCACTGTTTGATTTTCAAGCACCGCGAGCGAAGCTACCGAGAGCTACCAATCCGCATGGCTGACTTTGGTATCTTGCACCGAAATGAAGCCAGTGGTGCTCTTACAGGTCTTACACGAGTGCGCCGATTCCAACAGGACGATACCCACGTTTTCTGTACTCAGGACCAGATCACTGAAGAAATTTCAGCGCTTTTCGACTTTTTGAAGGCGGTGTATGGAAAGTTTGGCTTCACCTTCAAACTGAAACTGAGCACGCGCCCAGAAGGCTTCCTTGGCGATATCGAGACCTGGAACAAGGCGGAGGCGAAGCTGACTGAAGCTCTGGACCAATTCACGGCTGCGGGCGGCGGCGCTTGGGAGCTGAACCCTGGTGACGGTGCCTTCTACGGACCAAAGATCGACATCACAATCTCTGATGCCCTGAAGCGCGAGTTCCAGTGCGCCACGATTCAGCTTGATTTCCAACTTCCGAACCAGTTCGAGCTTGAGTATATGACATCTGAGGTTGCATCTGCAAAGCCGAAGGAGGAGAAGGTCAAAGAAATCAAAGAGGAGCCGTCGAAGGAGGGCAGTCACATTGAGCAAAAGAAGGAGAAGTTGGAGGGTGAGGTCACAATACCCAAGAAGATTCCACCGCCACAGCCCGGTTACGCTCGTCCTGTCATGATCCATCGTGCTATCTACGGTTCCTTCGAGCGGTTCATTGCGTAAGTTAACAGGCTTCTAATTACTTTTTAACATGTTCGCTAATATTCCACTAGTATCCTCACAGAGCACTTTGCTGGTCGCTGGCCCTTCTGGCTCTCTCCTCGCCAAGTCATGGTCATTCCAGTCATGCCTTCTGCGAACGACTACGTTAAGGAAGTCCAAGCCGAACTCCGTAAACACCGTCTCCATGCCGACATTGACATCAGCGGAAACACCATGCAGAAGAAGATCCGCACGGCTCAACTAGCGCTATACAACTTCATCATGGTCGTTGGTGCTGAGGAGCAGAAAGCGGGGGCTGTCAACTGGAGGAACCGCGATGATCAGGAGACACAGCAACGTGGCGAGATTGTGCCGCTTGATGAGGCGGTCAAGAAGCTTGTGCAGTTAAGGGACGAGCGGAGATTTGAGAACAAGGTCTAAGGTGATTGAGCGAGAGATCGTGGGTGCATCGGAAGGCGTGTAAGGTATGAGGTATGACTTGATGAAGAACAAGGAGACCATGTCATGTGCAGCTCTTACACCAGTATGCTCAGTAGAATTTACGAATCGTCATAACCGTCTCCAGGATCTTTTATCTGATTGTATTTTCTTCTGTTCTTCAGACAGGAATGCACATCCACTCTGATATAACGCGTCATGTAGGCTCAGTCAATGATCTGCATGGTCAGCCTTTTTTAATTCCCAAGCCGGTGGAAGCCTGATAGCTAAGTCCACTGCAACATAAGGCCGAGCGGGTTTCTACTAGCTGTATGTGAGAAGCCTATGAAATTCTTAAATTCTTTTTAAATACTCATCTGGAGACTCGCCGTTGTTTTGCAACACGGCAACCATTCAGGCACAACTGGGTGACTGACTGCTCAGAGAGCGATAGTACTATTTCTCTTCTTAACCACACACTCCTTCTGAATCTATCGACAACGTCCAAAATCACTTCAAACTCTGCGGCACAAGCTCGACCCAATATCCCTATGTACACAATTAGCTGCTATTCAACGAGGCACAAATCATCCCTTCCTCCCCCAGGGAGAAAACTTACATCAGGGTCTTTCACAAAAGCCAGTTGCTTAAACACATGCTTATAACCATCATGCACACTTCCATGTTTCCCCTGGACAACATCCCCTGGTAAGCCCATCTGGGCTTCCGCCGCCTCACCTAGCGGTTTAATCACTTCAAAGCCAAAGCTCGCCACGCGCTCTAGTGTGGCAGCAACATCTGGTACCGTGAAACCAACATGGCCGAAGCCTACGCCTGAAGCTGAGTACTCGTTTCCAGAGGCATACGGCGTCGAAGCGTCAGCGGGGATATGGTAGAGTTCCAAGAGCCCTTTTGATGTACCGAGGTTTGCGATTTCTGAGTGTGGATTGGTTAGTATATAAGCTATGCGAACTGGATGTGCCTGGTATATATATGTATGGGTACGCACCGACGTCTCGCGGCCCGAGGTAGTATATAGTCCATGGCCCAGCGTCAAAGATGAAGACAACGTGCATGCCCATGCAATCGCAGTAGAATTCCAGACTCTTTTTTGGGTCCTTGATACGCAGCATTAGATGGTTGAGGCGGTACGATGCGGTTGCCGGGGAGACGGGGCGCGGAGGGGGGAGAATGTGTTCGCCTTTTGGATAGGGCCCTGGGGGGTGGTTGGGGTTATTGGTGGTAGTCATTGCGGTTTGATGAGGAGTGTAAACATGCAAAGTTGGAAGAAAGGTACACCGTGAAAGGTATTCTATGAATGGATCAATGTCATAGCTTCTTAGTCCGCTGATTGTTATATGATAGAGTACTGTAGGATGGATGTGGGGCATGCGGGGTAATCTTGTTGGCGTGCTTGACTATGTGGTGCTGCTCTGAGGTGTTGGATCCACATAGTCACGTATTGCGTTTTCATGGAGGATTCAGCGAGAGAAGAGAAGAGATGTACGTATTACCTGCCAATAAATCCTTCGAATCTGTAAGTGTACTGGAGCAGTCATGGTGGGCTCTAAAGACTACCAGATAGCCTTTACAAGGTGGCGCAGACATATCTTGGGTCTGACTCTACTACTGGGAAACAGTCATGGCGATTGTAGCCATCGAAGTCACACTTAGCTTCTAGTTCAATAACATCAGTTCTTACCGTTCCATCGTCTGACCTCCACACAACAAGTGAGAAACGATATTTAGGGACGAGGCAGCCAATAGTTTCCTCCTGTACTGCAGTCTTGGTTAATCGCCGGGTAGGTTCTTGTTTAAGTGGAAATTCCAATGCATCGTTGTGTCCTTGATATAGACACGAAAGATGCCATGACGCATAAGATATTTCATTTTGGATGAGGGGCAGCAGACGAATCTCCGTAACCTAGGTTTTTCGTGAAAATCTACGGTCGTGTATTGTGCGCAAATTCTCGATGCACGTTGTGAATTTGGGTAAGCAGGGGCTGAAGCCGCTGGGGGCCATGACGTCAGGAGCGTATGGCGTTTCAAAGATATAGGAGTACTACGTGTCGACGCGTTCTGGAAGACTCTGGACCTAACAAAGCAGGGGACACTAACGAAAGAATTTCTTTGGGTCGCTTGTCTTTCGTTGGTGTCGTTTCACTCACGAGTTCTGGTGTCGTTTGACCTGATCTGACCTGAGCCGAAACGGGATGGCCCACGGCACATTTTAAATGGACAAGAACCATCTGAGATAAAGATAGAAGATCTGGTAACGCACATTATGAGACGTGTGTGCGTATACACCTCGACTGGAGGAACTGAAGGGTAACAAGACGCGTAAGGCGACAAGATGTTGATCAGAAGTTGAGCCGCGGGATCGGAGATGTGCCCGCCGCTAGCAAATATCGAAACTAAAAGACCCTGTGGATTGAAAATTGTAAAATGTTTGTTGATGAATTCCTGCAGACATAATGAAGACGAGATGTAAAGTAAAGTATGGCCATGGCGAGCCATGAACCCAGAACCCGGTTTTAAGCGAGGCGATCGCGACATGGTTGTGATGCACGATGATCTCCTGATACTGAATCCTGATGGCTGTGCTGGCAATTGGAACATGCCATCTGTTTCGTAGCATGTTTACCAGAAAGGATTCTGCACTGTCACGTTTCCAAGCGTCTAAAAGGTCGTCAGGGATCCATGCTCTCCGCAATGATTAGTGTGGATGCACAAAAGGGGTTGTATTGTGGTGTTTTGGCGCAGTATGAGGTCATGCCTAGCCCAATTTCCAGGCTTTGAGGGCTAGGGCCCAGCCGCCAGCCCTTCCGCGGCGCCGTGTCAATCCATAAAGCATGTTTATCTTGAAGTGCTGGTGATATCTACACTCTTTCCATCGATTCTTGCACCACCGCCATGGACAAGCTGAAGGCGAAGACGCGGTCGGCGCGCAACAGGCTCGCTGAGGCGACATCGTCGGGCACTGGCACCGGCGCGCTCCATGTTCCTCAACAAGGTCTCGCACCGCACGACAATTCGAGCATGCAGGCTGTCAATGAAGGCTTCCTAGGTACACAGGCGGGCCCGGCTGCGCGCGACTTTGCTGTGCAAGATAATCCGCCAGTACGCCAACCTGTCGTCGAACCGCCCACCTCGTTACAGTCATCTATCGACGCTGGCGCACATGTGCCCAGGCCATCCAGATATGGCGATCCTTCGTCGCTCGTCAATCATAGGTATGCTCGAGCAGATCGAATAAAGGGCAACGCCTTTGCTAACCACCACAAAGCACTCTTGCCGCGACGGCACGACGAGCAAGAAGCAACTCGGCCCCAAACAGCCCATCACCCCAGCAACAGCAACGTCGACCGACCGTTGGCGGACGACAAGCCAGTATTGGTATACGACGGATGCCTGCGTCGAATGCGCTGCGACAAGTAGCTCATCAGCCGAATGTCTCAACATCCAGATTGAACGCGCCATTGCCAGCCTTGAACGAGGACTGTGTGCTTGGACAGGTGCCTTCCAACGGGAGCGAATCGACTCTCACAGAGCCAGAGCCAGCACAAAGTCGATTAAGGAAAGTCAAGAGTGCAGTGCAGACAAGAATACCGTTCTGGGGCAAGAAGGAGCACGAGAGTAAACCTCGCCCAGACAGTGCAGCTGCGTACCACGACGACATATCGATGAACTACACGTCAGACATGGTGGATGTCTTGGATACCATTGGTATGTGTCACCTATAATAAGCTGCTGTCTCGCAAGCTAACAACACCAGATCCTGAAGTCGCCACACTCACGTCCCTCACAAATATGCAGAACTCGCTCTTCATCCCCAACCTCCCCTTCCTCAACCGTCGACCCACCTACAACCTACGCCGCCGCCGCAGCGAAGATGAGATCATTGAGGATATCAGTCGAGTTCTAGGGCCAGCGTACGCAGCTCAGGTGGAGGAGCAAGCTGGTCCGAGGCTACAACGGAGCCAGACTGAGAGCACCATGGCCACTATTGCTACCATTGACTCGCACTTGAGCGAATCCCGTTATGCTGTTCTTCCCCATGGCGCCTCCCTAGACGGATGGAGCAAAGATGACAAGAAAGAGGTGAACGACCACGTGCGGCATATGCTGCACTCAAAGCGATCCAAGTTCAAGCGCACAATGAGAGGATTTGGACAGTATGTCAGGAGACGTAAGTTCCTCTACCTAAATCTTTTATTGTTCATCTACTGACCCCAGCATAGCTTTGGGCTTCCTCGTCACGCTTTACGCCACCCTTATCACGTTGTTCGGTCTCGCATGGGTGCTGTTCCTGATCGGGTGGATCAATGTCGGCGGAAAGCAGATCTACGTCGTCCACATCATCGACAGCGTCCTGGTTGCCCTTTTCGCTGTAGTTGGTGATGGGTTGGCCCCTTTCCGAGCCATCGATACCTACCACATGATTTACATTGCTCATTACCACCATTTCACCTGGTCTCGGCGGAAGAAGGAAATGCTACCAGACCTACAGGATCACAACGATCTTCCTGCAGTAAATGCGCCAATCGCTGCACCGCAAGTAGTGGATCCTGCGGACCCGGAGAATCAGTGGGAGTTCACAGTATTGACCCCTAAACAACAGGAAAAGCTCGAGCACCATCAAGACAAGTTCTGCAAGTCGCACTCCTTTTATAAGCCGCACGAGACTGAGACGCACCACGCCTTCCCGCTCCGTCTCCTCATTGCTATCGTCGTTCTGCTTGACTGCCACTCTCTTCTACAAATCTCACTCGGCGCCACCACATGGGGTATATACTACAAGCACAGGCCAATGGCGATCACGACAGTTATTCTTATCTGTTCTATCACATGTAATGCCACAGCCGGGCTGCTTATTTGGCTCGGTGATAAACGCACGAGGAAGAATGACGTAGTGGAACGCATGAACCGTCAGGAATTGACCGAGGAAGCGATCGAACAGGTTAAGAAGAAGAAGGAGAAGGAGAGCGAAAGTGAGAGAGAGGACGATGGGGACAAGAGGGAGAAGAGGAGAATCAGTCTGGATGTGGTGAGGGCCAAATTTGTCCCTGGAAAACTAGGAGAGAAGCAGGAGACGAGTGCTTATCCTTGAGACAGTTGAGGGCGTGGGACGTTTGGGATATGTCATGATTTGTCTTTTCTTTTGGTTTGAAGCGTTCTAGCGAATATACCTACCTAACTATGTAGTACGAGATAATATGGACCGGGCACTAGCGACGAAACTGGTTTACCTCACGTCAAACCTCATGTGAAGTTAAAACCGCTCCTTCCCGATTAGTTCGTCTCTTCACCACTATTTAACTTCACCACCGAAGCGTTAAACGCAATGCAACTACACATCGATTCCACCTATCGCCTTGAACTCCAGCTGCTCGATCGGAGCCATGTCTAACCCGTCTGAGAAAATGGAAGTGGAGTTCAAGTCCGACTGCGGTCGCATCTTGCGGACGGAGGCTTTGAAGTGAGTCAGCCTTCTCATCAGCTTCCATACATCACTGACTGTACCTAGCATAATCGACATGATCACTATCACCGTCGGCACTGGAGCCGAAGCCGTCAAGTTCCCAGTTCACGAAGCAGTCGCCCGCAAGAGCTCGGCCTTCCTTGACAACGCTATGAAGCCCGAATGGGCCTCCCCGAAAGCCGATCCGCGCGACATTCAGCTGGTCGATGAAGATCCTGAGCTATTCAAGGTGTACCTTCATTGGCTGTACTTCAAGAACATGCCCACTGTGTACGCCGGAAGTAAAGGCAAGAACTATAACCACGAGTACGTTTTGCTCTGCAGGTGTTACATCATGGGCGAAAAGCTTATGGACGTCGGCTTCAAGAATGCAATGTTGGATGCTTTGGTGGGTGCGATGGAAAATACACCGCGCCTTGTGCCAGGTCTGACAGCGATCAACATCATATACGCCGGTACTTTGGGCGGTTCTCCTGCGAGAAGGTTCTTGGTCGACATATGGGTTAAAATGGCAGACGAAAGCTGGTTAGATTACTTGACTGCTGCTTTGCCTCATGCCTTTGTTTTAGAGTTTTCGAGAGTTCTTCTCCAGAGTAGGTGCAAGGGCAAGGAAGATACGAGGGCCTGGATGGAAAGGGTAAAGGAATACCATGAAGCTTAGGTGGACGCAAGTGGCCGGGCTGGTGTGGACTTGGAAACGTAGCATGGAGCAATGTTCTGCCAGGCTTGATGTTTAGAACACGCCTGGAGCAGAGTGGTACAGGAGGACTAGGCAACCGTTTAAGAATGATCTGGCTTTACGAAGGTTGCCGGGTGCCTTTAGTATGTGATTGCTTGAGAATAATACACTACCGAAGTCACGATCCAGCACTTTTGTATGTAAATGAAGATGGAGATGTTATGTTGCGATTAGGAACCTTCAGCACCTGGTAACATGTGTTCAAGTCTAACCTTGGTTGTGCTGACATGAATTTACAACCTGGAGGTTTCCACGGGTTCATCCAACCTTGGAAAGCTCACACAACCTCTTCTGCCCTCCAAGCCAAACATTTATCATCCTCGATTAAAGCGCAAGGCGATATAGCGATGATGGTTCCATCGCATGACTTGGTGGAGTCCTCAGCCATACCCCAGCTACCAGCAGAGCTATGGCTTCAAATCTTTGAGCAGCGCCTCACGCACGATGTCAACATCTTCAGCCAGTCGAAGCGCTACAGATACGGGATTATGCACAATTTGCGGACAATGCAACGCGTTTGTAGCACTTGGAGAGTATCAAATTTCTGCGTTCTTTTAAAATTACAACCTGACAGGCAGCAGGATTTAATCAGACCGCTCACGTACCGCCATGTAACATTTGATGACCTGACGCAAGACCTCAATAAACAATTTCTGTACTTTGCAAAATTAGTGGTCCCTGGCTTTGCCAAACTTTCTTGGATCCAGACGCTTTGGATTCATGCAGGTATATCTGAAGAGTTCGAAGTCACGGACAAGTCGCGAATGTTCGGGAACGCATTCAAAAGCTTCCTTCACCAGATGCATGCGCTCCAGGAAATTTCGATTCGAAAGCTTGTTTCAGTGCAAGAATTTGAGATCATTACGCGCTGTCATGTTCCAGTCCTTAAGAAACTGGCTGCTAGCGCGACGTGATAGGCTTCCCTGCCCTCCATATAAATCTCGTTACTTCTTGCGCCAAATGTCCGATTCTATACCTCCCGCTACAAGCAAACTCTTCTCCGGCGCCTTCACGCCTAACAATGGCTCCATCTCTGGATCTCCCTTCGCCATAGCCTTTTGATAAGACGGTCTCTCCCCTATGTCCTTCAGATACCGTACAATATTCGGATATTCTTCATACCCGCGCGGTTGATAATACCGTTGTGAAGTCAGCGAGTATATGATCAGGCAATCAGCGGCCGTAAAGTCCTCTCCGGCAAGCCATTTGTGGTTCTTAAAGTGAGATTCTAGGATGTCGAGGGCTTGTCGCACGCCATGGTTGGCATATTGAGCCATCATATTGTCCGCGGGTACTTGGGCCGCCGCGAGGAGCATGGCGCGAGATAGAGCGGGTTGAAGATTCCCGTTTACGAAGTTGTAGAAGTAGATAAAGTCCACATAGCCCTTCTCACCATACTCTTTCTTTAGTCTCTTGCCGCCTTCGTTGGCGTACTTGCCAAGGATGTAGTCGCATATAGCGCCGCTCTCGGATAGGGTGATTCCGGCTTCCGGATCCTCGAAAAAAGGAGATTGACCAGTGCGGTTCCCTGGAAGAGATTTGAAGGATTGAGGTGCCATGAGCGGGTCGCGGACATGCTTTACAAGGTTGTACTCAATGCCGAGCTCCTCAAACAGAAAGACAATGCGTTCGCTTTGCGAGATGCCGAGGTGGTGGAGTGTCAGGACCATTTTGAAGGGTCAGTATGATTACCGGAAAAGATCGTTTCGTTGATAGAAATGCGAGGATGAATGATACTCCCTTTTGAGGTAAAGATAATTATAAAGAGAATATTTACTAAATGATCTGGGTGACGTCAGCCCTGCCGAGGCTCTGCCGAGGTCAAATTATAGCGTCTTTATCACTGAGCCTCGACTCAACGGCCCGATACTCGATTGGCAAGTATTTCTAGGAACACATGGGAAGTCGTGTTCTCTCGGCAAAAAGGGGGGGCAAAAAGGGGGGTAGGTGGTCATCCACTTGACAACTACCGTAATAGACATGGTCAAGTAAACATGTCCAGGACTCTTGCGCAACGCTTGGTCGCCCAGTCGCGAATCTTTTGTGAGACCACTACACTTGCAAGGCTGTAGTCAGAGAATGTACCTCAGACACCATACTGCTTTAGGAAGTACGGCGAACGACTAGTTTGGGAATAGGTCCTCGTGGTGATCCATCCTGTAGCGACTCTTAGCTCTAGATGTGACGAGCCGGCGGGCCAGTTTTATGCTGTTTAGCAGGAGATGCGCGTCTGCTCATTTGCGGCGACAAATAAGATCCTTTTCGGATCGCGTAGGGATCAAATCGGTCTTCATTCCTGACTAGGCTTAAGCCCGGAATTTTCGCTTTGATGGCAGCAATCTCCTCCTCACGTTCCTGGTGATGATAGATACTCAGAAGTAAGTCTCCAATCGCTACTGTGCAGGGGTCTTCAAGTGAGAGAATCTGTGTTTGTGTTATCCTGTCCAGCATTTCGACACAGTGCTTTTCCGCTTCTTCTATGCAGCTCAGCTTGAAGCATATATGCGCGTAGCCGTACATGTTGTGAATCCAGTCAGGGTGATCGGGTGGGATTGTCGCAAACAACGGTCGAACCATCTCTTCGGCTTCTTTCCACCTTTCTGACATGAAGAGGATTTTCAAAGCGCCTACGCCCTAGTTGAGCTATCGCTGGTTCTGTGAAAGTACTTTGAGTGCGGATATGTTTGTGATTACATTGATTCTTCCAGGATAGGTCGAGACGGTCGCCAACCATTTTCTGACATGAAGTATGATTTTCCAAGGTTTAACCTCGTCATACTCATACTGGCGTTGTCGAATCGCTTGGAAGAAGTGGGTAATGCAGAGGTTGTAACAGCTCCTCAACTTCTTGCTGCCGTTCCCGAGCGAACAGTTTAAAATCGTTTCGCCATCTTGACTGGATCAGTGCGGGTGCGGATTTGGCATAACGTGCGATGGCCTCAAATGAAGTTAGATATCTACGGTCCAAATGCTACCGAACTTGGTCATTGTAGAGTGTGTTGCTAGGATGCCGCATTTTTCAACATTATCCCAAGCCTGCGCCGCAGGATCTCCTCCCAAAAGTTATATATCGAGAACTGCTTCATCAACGGGGCGAACTGCTCATTGATCTCGTTCAAAAACTCGGGACCCTTCAGCAAGCTAATCATAAAATGGTTTGGCCCTGAGTTTTGATGGGGTTGTAAGAGTAGAGCCTCCTTGTTGACGCGGGTGTGGGGTGCTCCCATAAAAATAATGCCGTATGTGCATGTGTATATCGATCGCAGGTCGTCAACGGCTTTGTGCCGCCTTGAGTTGGAATAAGCCAAAGCTCGTTTCGCCAAAAGACCCCCAAATCTATGGCAGATGAAGATAATGGGGCGGTGGAAGGCGTTATCGAGTTGACGGTCCGCACACAGCTCGGCTACTAAGCTAGTCGCATGAGCGAGTATGATATCGGTGGATCCTACGCCTGGCGCTGTTAATGCCTTTGCCTTGTAGCTATATATCAACATTCGAACTTCATGTAACCCTTCCGATAAAAAGTCTCTCAACCACAGGTTGCTTGATTTTGCGTCTGTCCAGGTCTGGATGCCATCCTCATAAATACCATGAATTGCGACGATGCTGCGGGTATTAGCCTTGCGCTCGCTCGCTATAACGAGCTCTGCGGTCCGAGTCCAATAGAACCTACTCGACTGCCACTTCAACTCTTTGCCGCGATAAAAGAGAGTGATCTGTGATCTGGGTTATGGCCATAGTAGTCGGCGTAGCAGATGAGAGAAACCCTGAAGAGTTGTTGCCTCCAAAGTCGAGGACGAAGGAAGCGGCACAGGCGCGACACAAGCGCACGGTCCTATATGAGCACCACCTTCCCGATTTACCATGCAAAACGAATACACCCATGCTGTTCCCCTGCAGAATGCTACCTTCATCATTGGGCCAGGAAGCGCCAAGTGGCTGCCTGTGATCTCATTCTCGAGCGGTGCGCGCGATCAGACTATTCGTTCTCGATTCGCAAGCCGCTAGTCACAACCTTAGCCTAAGCCTGTTCGTTACGCTCGTCCGCTCCCTCTTGACCAATGTCTTTGCCGTGATTCATCATACAGGCCACACCAGCTAATCAATCACACACAGGAAACGTACGGTCGGTACATGAGCTATTTTCCGCTCTCGCAAATCCTGGAGAAGGCTACGGGGCCACCCGCTTCCATTGGGTTTCAGATGGCTTGGCTCCTGCAACGATACGCACTGCACAAGTCCAACCATTCAATAAGTGATGGTTCCCGCCAGTTCACGTATCACTTATACTCTTCATCTATCATACGGCCATTTGGGAACAATGGCGTTGACTGTGCTTCCTTTGGCTGTGCTAGCTTTAATTGCTGGTTTTATGATTCAATATCTATACCGCTATCGGCAACAACAGGTAAGTCTATAAGTCGACATTACCTTTTCAGCGATTTGATCCCGGTGAAGGCAGACAAAGCTCTCGGTGAGCGTCATGGCTGCCTACCAGCCCCACGGCTGCAAAATCAAAGGCCTTTTGGGATTGATCGCCTCGAACAGATCTTCCGAGCAGATTCCGAATCGCGACTAATGGAACTTTTCTTGTTTCATTTCCGCCAGACCGGGAATACTCTAGAGCAGAAATTTCTTGGCACTAAGGCGTATGGTACCATAGAGCCAGCCAATCTCGAGGCTATATTCTCTACCAACTTCAAAGGTTAGACTGAGAATCGACGATTCGTGCTCCCTCGATTGGAGAGCTCACTTATCATCAGATTTTGGCATGGGGCCCCGCCGAGCTATCACTTTCCCAATGTTTGGAGATGGCATCTTTACACAGGAAGGTCCGGTCTGGAAGCACTCAAGGGATATGCTGCGACCGCAACTGCAACATAAGCAATACGAAAGCCTAGAAGTCTTCCGAACTGCTGTCGATGACCTGATTCATCTTGTTCAACAAAGCAATGGCACAATCGACCTTCAGCCCTTGTTTTTCCGCTTAACCCTTGATACAACTACGGCTTTTCTTTTTGGCGAGTCAGTGCGGAGTCTGATCATCCCAGAAGCTGTCGGGGAGCGAACCTTTGCAACAGCCTTCAACACTGCTCAACAATGGGTCACCAAACGATTTCGACTTCTCGATCTCTACTGGATTATTAACGGCAATGAATTCCAGCAAGCTTGCAAAGATGTGCACAAGTTTGCAGATCAAATAATAGATCGCAATCTTTCAGCAAACCGAGATGACGGCGCTCAGTCGGGAAAATATATATTTCTAGATACCGTTGCGCAGAACACCTCGGATAAGACTGCACTAAGAGGCCAAATTATCAACCTTCTTGCTGCGGGAAGAGACACGACAGCTTGCCTGCTTTCCTGGACGTTGTGAGTCTTGGCCTTTAGAACGAAAATTTACTTTCTAACTACCATAGCTTCTTACTTGTCCGTCATCCTCATGTCATGGACAAGTTACGCACAGAAATTGCTTCGGCATGTGGGGTAGATTCAAATCTCAGTCGTGACAAGCTTAGGAAAATGTCCTATCTGCAAAACGTTCTAAAGGAAAGTATGTGTTGTAACTGCTCGCTTTATCTATATTTTCTTACTGACGAACTTAGCCCTCCGACTTTACCCATCTGTTCCTGTAAATACCCGCACAACAGTGAGAACTACTGTACTTCCTACTGGTGGAGGCCCCGATCGAAAATCTCCTGTTCTGATCCCTGGTGGAAGTGCTATAGCCTTCAGTGTATATTCTATGCACCGACGGCCAGATCTCTACGGAATGGATGCTGAACTATTTCGCCCCGAAAGATGGGATGAAGACATGCCTATGTACCAGAATCCAACCAACTCAAAGTGGGGCTATCTTCCATTCCATGGTGGCCCTCGGATCTGTCTTGGAAGTATGTAAACTCTGTTCTCTCGTTCCGAAGAACATACTGTTGCTAACCTAGTTCGTGCCTTTAGTGGATTTTGCACTCAGCGAAGCTGGGTACACAGTTGTACGCCTTCTACAGAGATTTCAGAATATCAAACTTCCCGAAGGTGAGACTGTGGAGTTGATTGGTGTGGAAAAGCAGGTTATGACATTGGTTGTGGCTATTAAAGATGGGTGCAAGGTTGAAATCAGTTAGTGAATAGGTACGGTTGCAACGCACGCTTTGATAACCAGAATTATAGTTGGGACGAGTAGCCGCCTTTGAGTTCTTTATTGAGTGACCACTGAAAATATTCCTCACTGCCTATGATTTATGATTGTAGAATTAATTGATGTTAGCTGTGTTATAGCTACTCCATTATCTTCATCGTCTCCCTACGCGGAAAGTATCAGAAAGGAAGAGGATGCGTGTAAGAAAGCCGTAGTTTAAACTTCGTTAATTATTTGTGTGAAACCTCTACCGACAAAAAGAGCGGAACATTATAAATATGGGCTCAAACATCGCAGACATTGGGCAATCGCTCAGAAGACAGCGTTTATAATTTCAAAGACATCGCTTTCTTATATCCGACTACTACACCATACTACTTACTGCACCAGCTCGGCAGCTTCATTCTGCCGTTTAGACTTCAACATATCCGCCGCATGTATCCATCGCATTGAAACGACATCCGGAGCTTCTCTCGAATACCGAAGTAGCGCTGCAACAACAAGTCTATACCCTGGCGACGTACGACTCTCAAACTTTGCCATGTCCGCATGTCCGTATGGAAGACCTGCTCTCTCCGTATCATCGAGAATTGGGGCGGCCGAGTTTTCTTCAACTATCTACACCAGGTTAGAACTGATTTGGTTGAGCTGTGGCATAAGTGAAAATATCACATACGTAAGCTAGAGTGGTTCCAAGATTCGTCTTCTCCTGCTCCCAGAAGAAATATATCCTGAAGTTCTTCATCAAAGGCGCGAACATGTCTGTGATATTCTGCAGCACTTCTAACCCTTGGTGTAATGCATCAGCAAGCTGGCTATCAGTGTTAACTATTATGATATAGGGGTGATGATCTGTATTCCTAGGTTCTATTAAGCTAAACTAGCTGCTAAGTAAATAATATATTTTATTTTAGTATAAACTATTTTTTTTTAATATTTATATAATAGCTGCACTTTTGCAAACTAATAGCTAATATTATTAAATTTAATATTAAAATTTTTATTTTTTTAAATAATTCTGTAAGCAAAGGTAAATAACCTAGTATCTATTATTATATTATAGTAAAAAAAAACTTAAAAAAAAAACTTTAAAAAAAAAAAGCTATTAAAAAAAAAAAAATTGCTAAAAAAAAAAACTATTATACTCTATTACTTTAAAAGCAAAAAAAAAAATTATTTTTTTATTTATATAAAGTTTACTTTTATTAAAAAAAATTCTAGTAATTATAGCTAATATTTTTTTAGCTTTTAAAAGTAATAATATAAATATATTATTAAATATAAAATTATAAACTATATATTATATAGTAATAAAATAAGCTTTTGCACAATTAAAAGTCTTGCTAAGTATTTATTAATACTTATAAAATTAAGCTATTACTAATTACTTTTTAAAAAAAAAATTCTATATACAAAAAAAGCAAGCTTTTATATATTATAAAAAAAAAAAAACTTATATTTATATAAATGCTATTTTAGTAAGCAGGCAAAAAAGCAGTTCTTTATTATAGTTTATATATAAAAAAAAAACTAAAATAAAAATTTATAAATATAGTATAGAAAATTTACAAAATTATACTAAAAAAAGTAAATAAATAAAATATTTTGTAAAAAAATATTCTAACTTGCTTATATTATTATATTAATTTAAAATGCAATAAAAAGCTATTAAGTTAATTAAAAGTTTAGCAAACTTTATTTAAGCAATATTTTATTTTTTAAATTAGTTTATTTGTTAAATTTTTTTAAAGCTTTTATAAAAATAGTATTTTTATTTAATAGTATATTATTTAATTAAGTTTTTTTAATTTCGCTTATAGTATTAGCTTTTTTATTTATTTTATTATAGTTTTTTTACTGCTTATTCTTGCTTGCTAAAAAAAGCACTTATATAATTACTTTAATTTATTTAGCTATAAGAAGCTTCTAGTTTAAAATTTTTATAATAAAAATAATAATTACTAAAGTAAGAGCTAGATTAGTTGCTAATTTTGCAGTAAAATTTTTTATAAAATTTTTTATTAAATTTGCTATAGAATTTAGTATAAAATATTAAGCTATTAGCTTTTTCTTTTTATTTACTATTTTTTTTTTTAAAATTTAGGGCTTTGTAACTAGCGTTTTTTTTTTTACTAAAATAATTATTTTTTAATATTTAATAAAAAATTTAAAAATTTTAATATACTTAAATATTTTTAGTTTAAACTAAGGCTTGAAAGAAGGCTAAAACTGCTTAAGCAGCTATTCAATAATAAAACAACAGTACTATATATAATAAAATCTATATATTTATGCTAGTTTACTATATTAAGCTATACTTTAAAAAAAATATACTATAGTATATTGCAAACTATTTATTTACAGCTTATAATAAATTAATTTAATAATAAGTACGCAATGTACTTGGTTTGTAATAAATTTATAAATTTAATATAATAATATTATAAAATACTAAATAATTATTTTAAAAAAATATTATTTCTTTAGCAAGAAAAAAAACAATACTATAAAGTATATCTAAAAAATTCCTATAATAAAATTTTTTAATAAAAAGCAAAAGGGCAAAAAGCAAAAAAGTAAAGCAAAATATAAAATATAAAAGTAAAAAATTATAAAATTATATAATAAAAGTTTTATAATTATAATTTAGTAGTAGCAATTTAGTAGTAGCAATTACTTAGCGCACAATATATAAAATATTATAGTTAAAATATTACTTTTTACTTTATAAAATTTTATAATATTTTTTTAATAGCAATAGTTATTTAACGCAATAGTATTTAACGCAAAAATAATTAAAAATAAAGCTTATTTTTATACTATAGCTTACTAAAAATTAGTTTATTTTTATATACTTACTAATTGTATATTTCTAACTATCGCGTAAATACTATATATTTATTTTTAATTATTAACAAAGTAAACCTTAACTATTTAAATGCTATAATTATAAAATATAAAAAAAAGGCCTGTATTAATAACTATTATTAGTTATTAAGCTTAAAAGCTTAAAAAGTATTAAAGCTTTTTTAGTTTTATATTAAAAACTTATATATTTAAAATAAGTAATTATTGCAGCTATATAATAGTAATATATTTGTTTACTACTAAATTATATAAAGTAGTTAAAGTTGCTAAATAAGTTTTTTTTTATTAACTAGCAGTATATGCTAGAAAAGCTAGCTAAAAAGCTAGCTAAAAAAAAAAAAATAAATAATAAAAACCTATTTATTAATAATTTTTTATAGTAAAAAAAGCTAGAAAAGTACTTGCGTATTAGCAAGTAAATAATTATTAGTTATAATATATAATGCAGTAGTATAGTAAATAGTGCTTAATACTATAGGCCTAATATTACGCAGTATATTAGTACTATTATTTATATAAATAGCAAAGCTTATTATAAAATAATTATAAAAATAATAGTAGTAAATTGCAGGCTATTAATTGCTTATTACAAAGAATTTAAAGTATAAAGTATTCAGTATTATAGAATTTAGCAGTATAGTAAAAAAATTCAGCACTATATTTTTTACTACTAAATATAATTTATTTTGTATTAGCTTAAATTTTAATATCTTATTCTATAACTTTATAAAGTTGTAGTAATTACAGTAATTATAATATTATAGTATTGTAGTATTATAGTATTCGCAGTATTAGTATTTACAGTATTTATAATTATAGTAGTTTATATATTACTATAGTAGCTTAAGTTAGCTAAGGAGCTGCTAAAGCTTAATTAGTTATTAATAATAAAATTAATGCGTAATAGTTTAATAGGGTCCTTGTCCAGAAAACAAACTAAAGCTTAAATATTTTATTTAAATTAAAAGCAATATTTTTGCTTTTACTATTATTATTATAAAAATTTTTATTTTTTTTAAAAATTTTAGTATACTTATTATTGCCTATAATTTTACACTTGCAGTCTTAAGTATTATTTATATTTTAAAATTTTTTATTTTTTTTTTTTTTTTTTAGTTTCTATGCTTTTTAGAGCTTTAGTAGCTTTTACTTAATTTTTTTTTTAATATAATAAAAAAAGTTAAAAAATTATTTTTTAAAAATTTTATTAATTTTTGTACGTATAGCAGTATACTTAGCTTAATTATTTTTTATACTTTTAATATTGCGCTTATTTGCAATAAGCTAAATTATTTTAAAAATATTAATAGCGTGCTTTTTATTAATTTAGGCAATGCGCTGTTTATTTAGTAGTATAAAATCTATTTTAATTCTGCTTTTTTCTTTTATATTTTTACTTTTCTTTTATACTTTTTTTTTATTAACTATTGTTTTTTTAGTAGTATATTGTATAGTCTAGTAAGTAAAATAGCTTGCTAACTTATTAGAATTATATATTTAAAAACTTATATTTATACTTTATAAGTAAACTAAACTGCAGACTTATATAAAGTTTTTATCTAGTATAGAATTAGAATTATTTAGGAACTCTACTTTAGGCAGTATTTAATATAAATTATTAATTAAGGTTTTAAACTTTTACTTTAGCTTTATAGCATTAAAATTATATTTAATTATATAAAAAACTTTTATCTAGCCTAAGCCGCTCGTATAAACCAAATTTTATATTAATTATTTATATTTTCCCTATAGGAAACTTTATTAATTATTACTAACTAGGTAAATTAATAATAATAAGCACTAATTAACTAATTATAATAATAATAATAATAACAGCAACAACAACAGCAGCTATAATGCAATATAATAGTTTTTTCTACTTTTTTAATAATAATAGCACTACTTTTACCTGTTTTAAATAGCTAGCTCTAGTATAACTAAGTATAATACTATTACTATTTAAGCTTTACTTACTTTTTTTTAAAAGCAAGCATAAAATTTAGTTTTATTTTTATTTTTTATTTTTTTTTTATTTACAAGCTTATTAAAAGCGTTTCCCTATAAAAAAGCTTTTATTATTACTATTATAGTAGTATTGCTAAAAGTAGCATGCTTAAGCACTAAGTAAGCAAATATATAAATAAAAATAGTTTTTATACTATTTATATAAGCTTTTAGCTTGCTATAAATAGCAATAATTTAAATATTAGTAATACTAAATTGCTTAAGATAGTACCCTCTAAACTATAACAGTAGTATATAAAAATTATTAAAAGTAAAATATAATTTAGCAGTTTATAAAGCAATAAATTTAATAGTACTAGTACTAGTATTAGTAGTAGTTTAGAAAATTGCAGGGTACAAGTAATAAAATAATTTATTTAAAATAAAAATACAATAATTATTAAAAATAAATATTATTTTGCAGTTAATAATAAATAATAAACAGTAATAATAGTAGTAGTAGTAGTAGATAAAAGTAATAAATAAAGAATATAAATAATATTTTTTAAATAAAGTAACTGCCTACTTAAAGAATTGTAGCTTTTTAAAAAATATTTTAAAAAACTTAATAATAATAATAATAATAATAATTTATAGTTATATTTTTACTAAGCTTAGTTTAAAGCAAAATTAGTAGTACTTTTAATAAAACTAAACTATTAAAAAATAAAAGCTAGTTTTTAAAGTAGTATTAGCATACTAAGCTTTTAGCTAAGCTATTATACTTATTAAGCTTAAATATTAACTACTTATAATAAATAAAACTAGCGTTTTTATATATACTTATATTTTATTACGCTTTTTGTATTTTTTCCTTTACTAGTAGAGGGGATTTACTAGTTTGGACTATTTGTGTTTATTTTATAATACTCTATTTTGTTGTTTATATAAAACTCTATAAAAAAAAAATAAAAAACTTTTTTACTATTAAGTAAGTAAGCCTTTGCAATATTTTTATACTTTATAATATTATTTATAATTTTAGTTTGCTAGTCCTAGTTGTATTAT